CACATGACACGCTGTGAACTTTGATCACACACCAACCTGTAAATACTGAGAGGTCAAAACAAATAGAGAGGACAAACCGATGTGATGACAGACGACGAGAGAGAAACTGAAGAGGGGAGGTGACAGGAAATGAAAGAAAGAAAAAGGAAGCTTAGAGAGATAAGGAAAGGAAGGAAAAGAGGGCATGAGTGTACAGAGCAGGAGTCGAGTGGACACAGATAAAGCACACACTCAATGCAGATTCCAGGAGTGTGTGTCAGTGTGTTTAGTTCTCAGTGAACTTTTCAACCGTATTGTGCTGACACAAATCTGATCACACATGAAAGATACGCGGACTTATAGCCCAATACTGATTCAGCTCTGCCACCTGTCCCTTATATTAGCCATATACTATATACTATTAGTGTCCAAGTTTAATAGTAGGGGGTACTGGTTCTTCTTTGAATGGAGGTTCAAGGCAAAGTGTTACGGCCACATGGTCCTTCAAATGAGGATTTGTCAGAGGCCCGCTTTAAACTGAGAGTAATGAGAAAGCTCCAAGAATGCCTTCTGCATTGGCACAATGGCTGCTGCATCAACCAAAGAAACTCACAAATGAGTTAGAAAATGATTGATGTTTAATGTTCAGTCTTTTTCATCAATCATGAGAGAGAGAGAAAGTGCTAACTGAAAACATTGATGTCTTGGTAGCTGGTCCTGAATAATGGGGGAATTCTCCAGGATCCTGTGCTTAAAGGTTTTTTGGCTTTAAATATTTAATTAGAGTCAAGCGGGGAAGTTGCTGCACAGTTTACAGGTCTAATTACAAAAAAGCAGTCATCTTCGACTATTCTTTTTGTAGCATTATTCAGAGGGGCAAAGTAGCACTCAAAAATGAGAGATGGGATGGAGCTAGGGGTAAAAATGAGAAATGGTATTGAGCTACAATCCCTGAAATTCATAAATATTTCAGTTTTTTCCCTCTTTATAACTCTGTTGTTATATTACTGTAGCACTGAACCAGAGAATGAAACCTAAATGCAAGACACAAAGATCGAAAATTTTAATCCTTCTGGTCAGAAACAAGGTCAGTACAGATCCAAATAACACTGACGTTTGTATCCAAAATGTGAGGTGAACCAGCAGAGCCAAAAAGAAACAAAAACCCTGTCTTACATATGAGACCGCCTCAAGAAATGAATGCTGAACCGCTGACATGGAGATCCAAGGCACTGGCACAGAAGGGGGGCAACAGTGACTTTTTCTGCTCTCAGGGAGAGGACACAACAAGGCACAGAAGGGACACATTTGGGTAACCAAAAAAGCAGGAAACACAGATGGGCAAGGAGAAGACCAGGAGAAATATAGTTTCAAATGTTATAAAAACCAAGGAGATGTGTTGGACCTTTCATCAGTGGGGATCACACTCGTGGATTCATTCATAGTGAACGGATGAAACAGATTAGCTTACAGGTATCTTGGCGTACACCTTGATAACCTGTCTAGCTGGAATGATCATGTTAACATGTTGTGTTGTCATCCACAGCAAAGATTGTACTTTCTGTTAAGTCTCAGAGTGGACTGAGTGGATCACAGGATCACATTTGTATTTGACCAGAGAGCAGAGTTACATTGGCATAGTTAAAAAATGCTCGGCATCTGCCAGGGTAAAAACTAAGCTTACCTGTTTAGTTCAAACTTCCAAACCTCCCCCTTTGGTCCATTAGTGAGCAGTCTGATCTAAAGCATAATGAATAATGTCTTATTTATCATGCATCCTCTACACTTAGCAGTCAAACTAGCAGTCAATACTAATCTGAACTGAACCACTTCAAGTACTCTTTATGTTAACTTGACTCTTCAGTTAAGATGTTGAATAATATTTCTTATAAGGCTTTGTGGCTTGTGCAGTAGCGTGATGATGTTCTCATCGTTTAGATCTTTTAGCGTTTATCTTCCTCTGATTAAAGCTCTTCTCTTAGGCAATGTGGGTGATAAGCATTACATGTTGATTTTTTGCTTGTGGCCTTCTTGATTTATGTTTTCTGTTTGCAAGGGGGGGAGGGTTACTGATGGTTTTTAATATAGTATTCATTTTGTGGATGAGCATATGCTTGAGACAAATTTTGGATATGATACAATACAATACGATACGATACAATACGATACAATACAATACGATACAATACGATACAATACAAAACAATACGATACGATACAATACAATATGATACGATACGATACGATACAATACGATATAATATGATATGATACCTAAAGTCACTTATTCATCTATTTTAAGTTCAATGTTTATATCTGGCTTAAATCACATTTTGGCTCTTTGTTTGACTCTGATAAGTAGACAAGTCCAAGCAGGCCATCGGCAGGAAAATTAGAACTGCTATCCATTTGAGTGAAATGCCTCTGGGTTCAAATCCTCTTGGAGCAGGAATTTTCTAGTATGGCACACATCCATTTCATTCTCAAAACTGTAGTCTTTATGTACCTTTTGAATGGCTTAAAAAAATTGTTTGATGAAAAGACTCAAAAAGGTAGACACAGGCCAACAGGCAGCAGCATTGGTTAAGAGCCCCCCTTTGAGTGGTCCTGGGTTCAAGTCTGCATGTAACAAGGACTAGCAAGTGGGGCAAAAATGAAAATGCTTTCCCAATCCCGCACACTTAACCACGGTTTTAAGAAGTCACATGGAATGGTGTTCTAATGGTGCAGAGCTGCTGCCTTTGATTGAATTGGTAGTGGGTTCAAATGTCTGAAACAGTGGTATTAAGTGGGGGGATAATATGATGCTTCCTCAGCACTGCAGACTGAGCCCACCTTTTGGATGGCAATCATGAAATGGTTGAATGAAAAGACAGGGTGTTATGGTAAAAGTTGTTGTTTTTTTATGAGATAGTTGTGGGGTTTTAATCCAGTTTAGGCGGGGAAAGAAAAGCAGAAGGCAGGAAAAGGAAAGGGAGAGAAAGGAAAAGGGAAAAGTGTATGACAAGAACATCAGTGTAGCGAGGGTAGAGGGGGTTTCCCACTCCTTCTTTTTTGTGCAGGCACACACACACACACACACAGTAGGACAGCTGTCTACACACACATTGATTGGTTTAATGTAGCCTGTTAGTGGAGATTGTATTTCAACTCTGCTTGTTAAGAGTCGGCACTGATGTCACTTTGGCCCCTTTTTGTGTTATGTAACGTATACACAGACACTCTCATGGACCTCTCCATATCTCTTTCTGAAGAAGAAGGAGGAACAGGGCTGAAACTGAGTCTTAGATGGTTATCTGGAGGCCTGAACATGTTCATGAGGTGTTTGTGTAGCAAGTGTGAAAGTGATTTATGCCTGAAAAAGAATATAGTCCATTTTTTCTCCAATCATATCTATTTTTATCTTTCTCCTTTTTCCCTTATTATCCAACCTCAGCGCTGACACCCTTTTTGAGGGCTGTTTAATTAGAAAACTATTCAATGAATCATTGGGTAATAAGCACTCAGCACATTTATATTTCAACTATGTTGCACAGGGATTGTAAATTACTGATAGGGTGTGGCCACCAGTGTTTAAAGGACATTTAACAACTTTGTATCATGGTAAAGCAAAATCAATCATCAGTTTAATTTCTATTGCGTCACATTATGACAGAGATAAATTCAGGACCCTTAATAAAAAGAAAAAGACCAGGTCCATGAGACAACCTCTCATCAAGCCTCCATGAGTGAATATTGAAACTGGCAACATTAAAGCTCCTGTCGGGACTTTTTTGGATTGAACAGTTTTGACTCTCTCTGTGGATAAAGAGGTATAGCCTGTCTTATTTCTTGCCGAACTGTGTTTTCTCTATAATGTTTCTCAACATGAAAATTTCCTCCTGCTGTTTTTAACAGATAATTTTTTTTTTTTTTGCTCTAAAATATATAAACAGGATGTTTTTTGATGCTGCTGTTAACCGCCACATCAGACACTCTCCCTCTGGCAGGAAATATAGACATTATAAATAATAATACTGAGAAATTAAATCTTGTGGTCTTGTGTGCTTTTTTGGGTCATGAAGAGGCATCCTGATCAGTTTAAGTCTGTATCTAAATACTCTAATACCCCTTACAGCAGCTTTGAGCAAGTAACAGTGGCAGTGAAAACCTTCATACAGGCAGAAAGTCAGGGCAGAACCAGACACAGAGTGAACAGCAGTCTGCTTAGGGCACAAATCTGAACAACTTCAGTACAGATTCAGGCTTCACATCAGACGTGGCGCTACATTTGACAGCAGATGTTAAAAGATTTTAAGCAGGTTTCGAAATAGCTGTGGGGGTGTTACCGCTAATTTGTAGGTCATGATTAGATTCACATCCTGTAAGGGGACATTTTATTTCATTTGACTGCATATTTTATGTTCTTCTGTTTTTATCTCTTTCCAGGACTCCAGCACTCTTTCCCAACAGTTTCCAGAGGTCCTTATTATCTAATTTTGGAAAATAAGCGATAAATTGTAAGAGTCAGCGTCCGGCCCTCTCACTCTCTCACAGTAAAGTAACTGCTGACTATCAGTAAATGAGAGCTGGCACCGCTCAAGTCACAGAGCAGCTGATCCAGCCAGGACAAAGTGGGCCTTTTCCTTACGTACGAACTCTGTGCTGTCAGGTAGAACTGAGCTGTTTGTTTACCACATGAAGTTAAGTCAGGGCATGCTCCCGCACACTGCCACATAGAGCAGAGACATGCCACTAACCAAATGTCACATGACAGCCTTCAAAATAAAGCTCTTGCATAACCATGAGGGCCTGGAAGCGGAGAGTCTGTTTACAATGATCCAGTCTGAAGCTGGGTGACTTTCTGTGGGCGCTTGTGTGTGACTCCTCTGTTGTGTCTATGTGTCTGTGTGAGTGTACATGCTCCCAAACAGCACTCACATCTTATCCTCCCCTTCCATCTCCTGATGTGCATCAGCTGAGCCCAGCATGGCTGTTGCACTTGGTTATCACAAAGAGTATAACAACATGAACAAACACGCTCGAGTTGGAGACAAACAAAAAAACCACAAACATGATACAAACACAAACTCCATCTTCAAGAGTATACCTTTACACTTACAGCCAGCCTTTCACAGTGTCAGAGGTCAAAGGTCACATACACACAGGCGTTATATTTAAACACACATTCTCAGTCCACAGCACTGTCTACAGCCTCAAACCAACCAAACACAGCTTATTTATACCAAATACTCTTTATTTCTCAGGATATAAAACTTCTGTACAGACACACTTTGCTCTGAATGACGCTCTCGGCTAAAACAGAGAATTCAGAGTGAGCAGACTGCAGCAGCTGCTGTCTCAAAGCAATGTTTTTACATGCAGGAAAAAATGAAAACACAGCTATGTTTCACTCAGGCTGGGTGGGTCTGGTTTCCACTGATAAATCCTCAGCTGGTGTCCCATGTGAATAAGCTCAGGTGTGCTAAAGGGGGTCAAAAAAAACCACAAATCTAAAGAATGAACCTTGCTGTCTATTCCTGTAGACTGTCTGCGTTAGTTTGACCTCACTGAACTTTTAGAGTTTATGGGATTAAAGATTATGTATGTGTTTGGTTAGTCAGAAAGTCTAACTGATGAACTGAGGTTTACACAGTGATAAAGTGAGCCTCACATTCAGAAGGAGTTCATTTTTTATCTTGACAGACTGGATTCAGAGGCTGTTTTACTGCTGTAGTTGGATTAAACACCTTGTATCTGTATCCTATATAAGAGCTGGCAAACAGCAAAGAAACTGTGTGTGATTCAATGGACACTGTATATTTTTTTTTCTATACAATGTTTTTGTATGGTTAATCTGACTCATATATGCTAAAAAGTCCACATCCAAGCTTCACAGTATTCTCAACCAACATTACTGTCTGATCTTCAACTAAACATCTACACTTTGCAATCCATCTGTCACTACTTCGTCTTTTCTCACACTGTTCTTATACAATAATACACTTTCAGAGACCTGCCTGTTCAACATCACAGAGCCAAACATCTGTCATACAAACATAGAATATGCAAAAGCACGTATGAATTTTGACGGAGAAATAAGAACATCCCATGAAAAGTTCAAAGAAAGCTTCACTTCGATATAACCAGGGTGTATGGAGGATGAACAGCTATAGCCTTACATGGTGTGACTTTAGTTTGCTATCTTGCTCTGCACATAGATGCTCTATATATGACATACCTATAAACTGACTCATTGATTCCTTGAAACTTGTGTTACTATGACATATTCAAAGATGCATTCATCTTCAAATCTCTGTTACAGTTGTTAAAAACATTCTTTTTTTTTTGTCATGACTAACTGATATCAAGAATTGGACAGAATCATTTGAAATTTTGTTGTAGGACATAAATACAAGCTGCACATCTGCCAAGAGGCACTGTGATGAGATGTTTGTTATGCTCTCCATACATTATGCATGTAAACAGACATAAATAGAGAAACCTGGCAGAGGAAATACCAGTTATCATAAGGGTCTGCTTGACCTTTACCCTACTTAAATCCACCGTGAGCACAGACGCAGCAAGACAAGCATCTTATTATGTCTTTTCCCAGCAAGAAACAATCCAAAGCATGAACACAATGAATCCATTCACACGCATTTGTAATATTGTCTGCAATAAAACTTCCAAACAGCTTCACTACTCCTTAAGTCAGGATTTAAACTTTCACACTCAGGTCAAAACTCAACATTTCGTTTGATTTGAGTCCTCAGAAAACAACAGTGTTCCTAAATTTCAAAACACTGTTTGCCAAAATAAAGATGGTTGGAACAAGCTTTTGGTGATGTTTATAAGTTGAAGTTGCCGTGTAAAGCGTACTTTTATACTGGCTATAGTTATTAACACATATAATTTCTTCAAAGTAAATGAAAGTAATCTTTGAATCAAATTAGTTTCAGGGCACATCAATGCTAACTCTCCTTCATTTCAGGAGAGATCTTCCTTTAAACCATATTTTTAAAAAATGTGATGGTAATTTAAAAAATGAAGCCAGAAAATCATGAATACTTGATAGATAAATGGAGTTTTCAAAGTAAACTAACCCATTACTAGGATATGTTTTGAGGAGGTTACAACTTCCCAGGCTCTAAGGTATTTGACATTTAACTAATTTGATATCAGTCCAGGATTTCACAAAACCTCCTCCAGAGCATGATCGATGATGACCTTTAGAGTAATATCTCAGGAAATCTGGGTTCGGATAAGGGTGTAGGACTGCAAACTACTTCTCGGGAAGTACTGTGAGATAGTTGCTGTGATACAAACAGCAGAAAGAGTGACTCTTTAAATTCAGAATTTTAACATTTTAACGTTGATAAAGGTTGAACTTGTTCCAATTTCCTGACAGTGGTTTAATTTTACATTAAGAATTGCTCAGGGATAGGATCAGAGTTAGTAAAAATCATTTGTGTTAATGTCTGACCAGTATTTATCGCCTTTTATGCATCTGCACAGTAATTGCAGATCAGCTGTGAATTCAGTAAACTGCACCCTGTTGCAACCTTTTTCCTTTCTGCCTCAGAGACCCTCATACAAAGAGCCATTCAGGCAGAAGAACTGTGGAGGGATAGCTGAAAATTACTGGGATTTATTCTTGTTTAATTTAAACAATGTACAAAGACAGGTGTGGCAACTGTGGTCTCCTCTGTGTTTTTCTTCTCATATCTGCATCACACATGCAGAACTTAACCTATTGATGAGAGACCAGTCTGCAGACAAACATAGATTTGTGTGAATGATTAAGGGTTGGTGTTGTCATTCAGTGGCAGATTAAATTCTGTACAAATGGAAAACTCCTTGTATCTCTGTTACTTGTTTGCTCACATGTGTGCAGAGTTTTATAGTTTTGTGTATTTTTATAGCACTAAGATTTGTGGTTAGTATCATTGCCTTGTTGTTTTCCAGTCATTATTTCCACATGAATATGAAAGGACGTGGTCACGATAAAAAAAAAAAGTGAAGCTTGTGACCTGAAGGGGGCGACTCCACTGGTAACAAAAGGAAAACACAGTTGTATGGATGTCTGAGAAAGTGACCCGTTCTTTACTTAGTTTATCCCTCCCTCAGGCAGTGTACACTCTCAATGAGTAGTCTCAATTCTTTTCCAGCACAGCAGAATGTGAATTTTCTAAATTGTGGTCCCATTTTGAGTAATCTTAACATTAAAGTTGGACGTGCTCTTCAGTGATCAACCTATTGCCGCTAACACTACCTGTAAATTGTCTTGTCAGGAGCTAATTTAATCTAAATTCTGCACAAAGCTTGCTCTATGTGAACTGGCAATGAGTTTTGAAACAAAGATACAGCATAACTAACATGGATAACAACTTGCACCTTGAGAACCAAACACTAACAGTGACTTAGCATTAGGCGAACTCTGTCCTGCTATCTTACAAATGTCTTCACTTCTGGCTACAAAACACCTGAATGGCGGCTACTAAAACAGTGAAATTCAAAAGGCTTCTTAGTGGCTTAATTCACCTCTTATATAAATCTTTGTTTTTTATCTTGGTTGGAATTAGTGGTTTTCAAAAAAGATATGATAAGCCTGAAGTCTGAATCTCATCTAACAAATTTGGTCTGGCCTCACCCTGAGCCAAACACTGGTTGTCATCATCATGATACAGTTATTAGCTGCTCAGTGAAGAGGGCTCTTTGATGATAACAATGGTCTCAGTTATTCAAGCTCTAAAATTAACATGGGGTGAATGTGTAAATTGTTTTGCTCATGCTCAGTGATTGCCTGTGGGTCAGAAAATCCAGATAACTTCTTCATGAAAGGACAAAGTTTGGTCTGATCGACCCTGTTTCAGTCAAAAGTTCCCTCTGATCATGAAAACCAGACTAACACTACAAGCAAGTTAGAATAAAGGCCCAGTTCAGAGGCAGTTTCATGACAGTCACGCACAGTCTACAGAGTCAGACTCCTTTCCTTTTTTATAACAAGGCCACATAAATCCATATATGGTTGGAGAGGTTTCATCAGCACACCGGGCTGAACACTGCTCCATTAATGTGTCACAAAGAGGTGAGAAAATCAATACATCTGTTCTTGTTTAATCTGGACAGTCCACTTCACATAGAGAGGCTCCTCTGTTTGTCCCAGTGAGTAACTTTACCCGCAGAGGAGGTCTTTCTGTCTGGAGGCAAATTGATTCCAACCTGGTTAATGATTTCAATACTGCAAAGTTTACTGGGCAGGTCCTGGTAGAACCATCCTGGTCTCAATAGTTCATTTTATCCCTGATAAAACAAAAAGTTCTCCACAAACGATCATGATACGATCAAAAAACATAAAAATATCTTCGATGTTACTTTGGTTCCCAGCAGCTAATCAGTGGTCTTGTTCAACATGAAGCTCCATTAAAAGAAAAAACCCAAATGATGCTGATTTTGGGCAAAACTTCAGGCTGAATCTGGTCCAGGACAACTCCAAAAAGGATCTTTAACTTCTACAGTAAAACCTCAGAGGTTCAGGCCACACAGCAGTACCTTTTCCACCATGACTTGGACAGACTCTTCATCTTCTCTGGCGTCTGCCTTTGCTTTTTTCTTCGTTTCTGTTTCCCTCTCTGGTGCTTATGGGAGCTGTAGTTCTGCAGGCTGGCCAGTATGGCTGTGTCAAAAACTTCTTTCAAATTTTTCTGTGTCAGAGAAGAGCACTCCATGTAGGCCACAGCTCCAATCTCCGATGCACAGTCCATTGCATCTGCCGGGTCCACAGGTCGCTCCCGGTACTTAGCCAGGTCAATGAGAACCTGAAGAGAGGAGACGATACTACATTAATGAACCTTCAGAGCTCGGTACTGAGAATACTAACAAATCGGTAAGAACGGGTTTCATCAATAATCACTTCATACAGGAATCCAGCAAACATTTTGATTTGGCGGCAGTATTTGGGAGGAAGTCAAACTTCCATAAACCCATGTCAGATAACTCAAACCTGCCATTACACACTGAACACAACAGGGCTATTGTTAATGGTAGAGGCCCCTATCCTATTCCTGTTAAGCTAACATGGTTTTTTGTGAAAGAGCTGATTACCTAAATAATTTCACACATTTGCAAACTTACTGTTTACACCAACAAGAGTCAAAGTGTGTTCAATAACTTATTTTTTAAATATGCAATATCTTTAATAAATTAATTTTGGTGAGGAGGGTCCAAGAAGAGCTGAGAGGGCCTAGGACTGGGTATACAGAGAATCAATGTATGTTAATAGACTAAATATACTGTACCTTGACATCCTCTCGAAGGTCACATTGAGTCCCGACCAGAACAAGCGGGGCAAGCGGGGCATGTCTGCGTATCTCTGGGATCCACTTCTCAGGAACATTCTGGAAAGATGCAGGACTGACGACACTGAAGCACAACAGGAAGACATCTGCACTGGTGTAGCACAGAGGCCGCAGCTTGTCAAACTCATCCTAAAGAGATCAACGGAGTAAACATAGAGGAAGTGAAACAATTTAATAACATTTAAATAATAACCAGCACATAAACATAAACACCAAGTGGAATAATTGAAAGTGGAACGTACAGTATATTTAGACTTTCTGTCTCTGTTAATCAAACACATCTTAGGATAATATTTTATAAAGACTGATTATTAACTCTGATGATGTGACGAGTTTCTCCCCACTGATTTTCCGTCTCTTCCTGTCATCTCCCACTCTGTCTACTTACTGCAATCCCCGAGATCATTCTGCTTTAACTTCTGAAGACACACTGATTCAAGAGAACATATGATGTGTATCAGCAGATAATACATTATGGTAGCATTAGTACGAACCAAAATAATGACTTTTTAATCTCTATTTCTACTTAAGACATATTCATTCTTGTTTTGTTGTTGAGATGATTTTTCTATCAAAGTTAACTTTTTTTTAATGTTTGTTTGTTTTCAGAAGTCCTGGTGGGCCCAGAGGGACATTATACAACTAGAGAGCCTTGTCTCAATTTCCTCAAAGAACAGTCATCGTTTGCTGTCCGTCCACTCTTCCTGTTATCAAATTACGACTCAGGACAAAAATGGTCAAGACCAAATAATCTCTCATTGAGCACACCACGGAGAGCAGACTTCAGAGAGGAAGTCTCATCACTGGGACTGTTTCAAACACAAATGAAACAACTACAGGAAATGCTGCTGCCTAGGCTTTTGTGTGTGTGTGTGTGTGTGTGTGTGTGTGTGTGTGTGTGTGTGTGTGTGTGTGTGTGTGTGTGTGTGTTCAGATTTAAAATTACTGACCTGTCCAGCTGTGTCACAGAGTTGTAGTTTCACTGGCTGTCCATCCACTGATACAACCGCTTTGTAAACACAAATACAAACACCATAGGACATGATGTAGTTAATAACACTAACAAACAAGGCCAATGACACCAAGTATGTAACAGTGAATTCACTGAGTAACAGTCTCATCTTTAACTGGGCAACAATAAAACTTTTAAAAAGCTGAAAATATATTTTATTCTGGCTACTCTTTTGTCCACTGTGAATTAATATCTTGTTAAATAAACTATGAATGATACATCTGGCATACATAAAGAAGAGAAAGCAGCTGTGATGTGTCCAGTAGCTTTAAAAAAATGTCCTGATTCAACAGTTTTACAAGTTTTGAGGTCAAGTTGTGGTTTTAGATTTAGGCCTAGTGTCTGATGGTAAAACTGTGTTGAATTAACTTGATTACCTGAGAAGTTGTCAAATGCTGTGGGGACATACTCGGTAGGGTATCCATTCGTGGTGTAGCTGACCACCAGGCTGGTTTTTCCCACAGCTCCGTCCCCGACTAGCACACACTTCACCCGCCTCTCTGCGGCCGCGGCTCCAGACCCGGACCCTGCCCCTGCCCCGGACCGCCGTGTCCTCCCGGAGCCCCTTTCCCGGCTGCGGACCCTCCTCGGCGGTACAGGCGGAGCTGGGGACACCGGTGCCGGCTTATAGCCACTATCGCCCCGCGGAGGCATCTGACACGGAGAGGAGGGTGGTGTACTGCCCGAGTTGAACCAGGCAGGTGGTTTAGTCCTGGTTCGGTCCACTTTTCACACCGTCCATTCTCCCCTCATCTGCCGGGCTGCCACGGTTCGTCCACGGACTCCTCTCGCGTCGCTGTTGCCCCCTTCTCTTTAGTTTCCATGGTTCATTTACGAGAAATGTGAACTTTTCCTCACCTCACTTGTCGTCCAAACGGACTCCGTGTCCATTTTTAGACTCATGGTTGATTTAATAATGAATTTAAGTCCGAATAAATGACCCGCTTCAGTTACAGTGAGTTACAATCTGTGTCTGTCTATCCACTCGACCGATACACACACACAGAAGACTGTCCAAACTCTCCTTCAAATGACATCACACACACACACACACACACACACACACACACACACACACACACACACACACACACACACACACAGAGGGAGGGAGGGATCATACAGTGACAAAAGTACCAATTATGATCTACTTAACATTAATATTTTCATGTAATTATAATATTGTCATTGAATGTGTGTTTTATCTCTATTGATAAAGACAAATTATGATACTTATACAGGTTACTATGCTATAATATAAAATGCAAATGTGCAAAAGACTTTATAACACAGTCATGGTTTATCAGACAGGGTTTTAGTGCAGTTTAAACCATAGACTAAATATAGAATGGACACCGTCTGCCTCCGCAATGGGTGAAGCCACTTCAAGAACAGCACCCTCTGGTGACGGGCTGCAGTATAGCAGTATTGTACTCAAATCCTCTTATTTTCTGTACAGCTCAAATTTTTAAAGTTATTACGGGGTTCATGTTTTCTGTGAATGACACTTGATACAGCCTATGGGTGTAGCTATGAAGATTGCGTAGCTCACCTGGGGGATACACTGTTTGAGGCGAGCGTCATCACAGCGACTCTCCTGCCGAATGCGCTACTGTGTAAGTTAAGGTGACCAAACGTCCCTGATTTCCAGGGACAGTCCCCGAATTGGATTACCTGTCTCCGGCTAAAGCTGTACAATGTCCCAGATTTAAGCGTTTCGTGAATGAGAACAAAAATGTTGCATGTAGGCTAGAACAACGGTTATTACAGTAGCTGAATGGGTAGGAAGCACAAGTAAGCAGTCCTGAACAACAGTTTTTACAATGCTACTGCGCAATGTTGGTTTCAGGAAGTGGAGAAAAAACGCAGAAATACCCAGAGCTTTTCGGCTTCAAATCCGTGTACTGGCAGAAGGTGGAACCAAGTTGTCCAAAGTATATACGGTCTATGGTTTAAAGCCACTATGATGCTTTTCTTTTTGTTTAAATTGTTTGGAAACAAACTGAAATGAATATGAATGACTTTTTATAACTCCAAATACCTTTGAGGACAAGATTGAAGTACCAGCTACCAGCAGCCTCAACAAACAGCCTCTGTTCACATTTTTCAGGGCAAAAAAACAAAAAAAGATTTATTGTTGGGAAACATTCCCAAGGGGGACAGGATCAGCATAGAAAAAAGATGAATCTCTTTTCCAAAAGAGGGCGCCAAAAGCACTCAACCCAAAAAGGTCCTCATTGGAGCTTTAATTTACAAAAATGCATCATTATTTTTGCATCAATCAGATAACCAGCCATAACATAACAAACACCAGAGTAATCTCATGCAAGCCAATACAACAGCTGTTTCATAACTCTGCTTTTATGAAGCTTGTAATTTTTGTCAACATGATCAGACAGATAGCCTACTTATTCTTTAAATGTGTTACCGAGGACATTTTGTGTGGTGGTGTAGTGGAGTGTGTTTCTTTCAAAGATCCACATGTCTGTATTTATGATCAGTAATTGACTATTGTTGGGGCATTTGCGCCACCCAATGGCGAGACTGACAAGGGAAATGTCCTGAATTAATCAAACTTAATACGTTTTTTCAAGGGGGGAAGATCTTAAATCATTGTGCCAATCGAACATGATTAAAATATATGGCGTCACCATATCAGTGGCTTAAAAGCAGAATTTTTGAATTGTTGAATTGTTGATAATTTTTATAACAGGAGCGCCGAAGAAAAGCGGAACCAAGTACCAGTCGGCCAGTGTTTCCACACGGACGCTGTCGTCAACTTTACACGCGTTGTATGTGTTGTGTTGTGCCAGTGTATTGACAGGAGTCTGATCAGACAGTCAGGGTTGGTTTGATGACAGATAGTGAATCGCCGCTCACATGTGCAGCTCGGAGGTAGTTCTGGGTTTTCTGGAGGAGGCGGAGCCGTGGAGGCTGCTGTCCCCACAGTTCCCCAGCAAAGTCGGGGGGAAACCGGCGTGGCTCAGCCAGGGTGGCCTGCCCTCCCTGCCCAGGCTGGAGTGTGAGATATGTCGCCTGCCTATGGCTTTCCTCTTGCAGGTTAGTGTCCCGGAGGATAACATCCAAAACAGGACAAAGATGACCTCAGCTCTGTCATTAGGAAAGAAAACCATGAGTACTGCGTGTGTGTGTGTGTGTGTGTGTGTGTGTGTGTGTGTGTGTGTGTGTGTGTGTGTGTGTGTGTGTGTGTGTGTGTGTGTTAAAGTACCAGAAAGGCAGGTACTAGATATTAGACCGGTTAACTGTTTTCAGTTTCTTAATGAAATATCCATGGGAGTTTGAGATATTTTTAAAATCTGTGTATGTGAAGAGTACAGGAAACTAGCAGGTCAACTAAGGAGTGAACCTCAGTATACTCATCCAGTTTGGTTTAAATAGTTGGGTCACAGCTTTTTTGCTTCTTCATTCTGTAAGGTCTTTTAGATCAGAAACTCAACTTTTTGTGTGTACTACTTCTCTCTCATGATTCATGCAGGTCTACGCTCCGATTTCTGAACACGACAGATGTTTCCACAGAACGCTCTTTCTCTTCTGCTGCAAGACTCAGGAGTGCTACACATGCAATGACAGCCGCTGTATGAAGGGTAGCCTACAGAAGACCTCTGTTTTCTTTTCTTGATTACGTAATATAACTCTTGTGAATTATCAAACACAATTTATCTCTGGATATTATCCTGACTGGTTCTTGTTTTCTCTTTCTTCATTTGATAGTTTTCCGAAGTCAGTTACCAAGGAGGAATGAGTTCTACCCATACGATCCTCCATCAGGTTTGTTTTGGTGTGAACTCTGTTGGAATGCCCCATAAGCAACACACTGTGACATGCTGTTTGTTCTGACACCTTTCTTTCAGAGCCAGCGTTTCGCCACAGTTTAAGCTTCAGTAGTTCTGTTTGGTTCGGCGTCTGCTTGGTTGGACCACACAGGCCAACATTTACTCCCCACACATCACTGAGCCTTGGCTGCTTGTGAACTTGTTGCCGGTTCACTGGTTTCTTTCCATGAACCATTTTGATAGTTATTTACCACTGCAGACTGAGGGCTCCCTTGAAGAACTGTTTTTGAGATCCTTTGACTTTAGTCCTTGTCAAAGTCTTTCACATATTTAATGCTGCTCCAAATGTCAACTTACTGTCCAACATATCGCACCCACTGATATGTGCCATTATGACGAGACAATCTGTGTTATTTACTTCATCTGTCAGCGGTTGTCAGAGTGTAGTTCTTTAACATCTCTTCATTTTCAAACAGACATAGAAGAGTGTAGGTCAGTCCACAGTGTCACTCTACAATACTTTTACATAGATGTAGCGCTAATATTCAAACACAAGATGTTTAAAATGATAGACCTCATGACTCAGCTTTGAAAGGTTTCCGTTTATATAATTGTACCTGTCTGTTCTGAATCAGTTTTTTATGTTGTAGTGACTAAAAGGAGTCTAGTCAATGTAAATAGTGAGGAAACAATGTTAATTTTGATATGTCTTCAATTTTATCAGTCATTTAACATAAAAAGTAACATTAATTAAACAGTTGAAGTATCCCTGGGAGAATGAACACTGATGTATTTTGTTCCTTTTACCTTCAGAAGATGAACCACCTTGTAATCATGAAGAGGACCAGAGCATGTTGTCCCCCTCTGGAGTCAAACTGTGCTGGGTTTGTGGTTGCCCTGGCAGCAAAGCCTGCTCCCGCTGTCACACTGTGACCTACTGTGGGAAAAATCACCAAACCCTGCACTGGAAACACAGTCACAAGAAGGAGTGCTGCAACCAAGGTGTACTTTTATGTATATTACTATGTAATAAACTTGTAACGGATGTGTGTATTTCCTTTGCATACACTCAGGAGACTTAATCCTCCTTCAGGTTGGATTTTCAGTCTCTATTTTTCCATCTGTGCAGAGACCTCCATAGATAGAAACTCTTCATTTCTGTTCCCTGAATCTGAGCTGGTCACTGAGCCTGAGGAGGAGGAGGAAGAGGAGGAGATGGAAAAAGAGAAAAACACAAAGGATGTAGAAGAAGAAGAGGAAAAGGCTGCAGATGGTCCATCCTTAGCAGACAGTAAGCTTTTTGTCTCATCTAATCATTCCCTTTTTTCTAGGGTAAAGGAAAAATGAGCTACCTTTGGAACCAGTTAAGGCAGCTACTTTTTGAAAACTACAGCCACTTGGTTGAATTTTACACTGACCATGTCTTTGAAGAGCAGTCTCATATGTTGTTTTTCTATCTAGCCCTCGCAGAGACAGATCTAGAGGAGATGGCCATGCATGAGACAGAAGAAAATAAAGTGTTTCAGCGATTTAAGAAGAAGATTGCACCAGAACCACACCAGGTATCAAAAGTTGTAATATTAAGCTTAAAAACATCTGTAAAGACAGTGTTAATATTTACCTCATGGTGTTTTTTGTGTTCAGGTGCTGCGCTACACCCGTGGGGGCTCCCCATTGTGGGTCTCCTCCAAGTACATCCCATTAGATCATGATATCCCACCATGCACTTGTGGCGCTAAGAGGACTTTTGAGTTTCAGGTGATCACTGTCTTTGAATACTTACTAACTTGAACTCTTAAAGATCACCTAAATCTTTGTGTGTAAATTCTGCTGTTAGTACAGTTTTTTTTTATATCTATCTTTCAATCTTAGAACTGAAGTTTTCTTTTAAAAACTTCACTGAAGCATATGCAGTTATTTTTAAAGAAAAACTTTGTGTCTAACTTTGTTGCCTTTATTTATTTATTTTGGATGGTTTGAGAACTTAAAATAAATCAAGGTAGTACCACGCTAAGAAGCAGTTCAAACTGTGTGTGTGTAAACAAACCTTTGGGACATGATGTAGTGACGTGCCTTCTGTTCAGTACTTTTAATTCTGTGTGTGTGTGTGTGTGTGTGTTTGTCTTTAGGTGATGCCCCAGCTGTTAAACAGTCTGAGTGTTGACTCCACAGGAGCCAGTATAGACTGGGGGACACTTGCCATCTACACGTGTTCTAACAGCTGTAACCATGACGACCAGTACTGTCAAGAGTTCATTTGGAAACAGGACTTCGGCCCAGAGCAGCACACACAGATTAAACCCACCTGATGTCTACTGGACTAAATTTCTTTTTGTTTTGTTTTTTTGTATAAAAGTGAAGCTTATAGTTCTTAATCCTGTCCTCTGTATTTTACTTTGCTTTACATCTTGTTTATTAAAAGGAAAGTAAAACAGGTATTTTTGATGAGTGAGGATTGAGGGTTTTTTTTTTCCAATTACAGTGCTACATGCTGCATTTGTTACAGCCCATAAAACTAGCAAAACAACTACAGTATGTGCCTTAAAACTATACAATAAAGTTTCTTGACTGATTTCCTACCCTTTAAGCAGCTCAAGCACAGAAAATGTGAGGCGATGATAAATGCTCGTGTCTGTCAGTAAGAACTTTATGTTCCAAAGAAAAATCAGATAATTGCTACTGAAGTGATAGACTATTCTTTGCAATGTAAACCCTCAGATTGTTACTACCGTTACAAAACAAGTAACTTTTTTTTTTCCTCAAAAAGGAGACAATCAGAGAGTGTAATACAACTATAGATGGAGAATTATATACTGTAAGCAAACGCCCTGGTGTTGGTTACATAGTATTAAACTTTTCATTCATTCAGTAATCTAAAAAACTCTCAACTCAGTGTATGTACTGTGAGAAGTATTGCGGGACTGTGTGCTAATCAGTGTCAGTTGAATCTTTCTTAAAGGTAATAATGTTTAGCACAACTGAACAGCCATATAATCGCCACAATAAAGTTGCTTATTTAAATCAAGTCTACATGGATCTAGTTTTTTAGTCTTTTCCTATTAGTTTAGAGCTCTACTACACTTGGTTGGAAGTTCTCAAAAACAAGACTGTTCTCATATCAAACAACAATATAGTAAAGAAGCAGGCATAACCACAGAGCCAGTATGTACATATTTATTAGTGGACAGTGCAGCAAAACAATTCCAGGTGGATATTTTCATTTGACTTAATCAACTCTGGGTTAGCTGCTGCTAAGTTTAGACCTGCTGGTAAAAGTAGAAATTAATAATAGATGGGTTAAGTGTAATTCTCTAATTTTTCCAGCTATCCTGCTGTCCACACAGCCTTCAGGTAGCAGACATACAGATTCTGCGTGACAGTCAAAGTGGTTGTGATACAGTCACAAGTGCCCAAACACTTAACTTGTTTCTGTTCAAGCACACAGTGTGAACAGCCAAGAATGACTTACAGTCATCTGCTTAAGTAAACAATTGCTCAAAAAAAGTGACATTAACTAAATTCTTGAATGGAAAACTCAGGAAACATAAAGCAACATAAATATAATAAAGATGAACTGCTGACAGGATGTTTTTAGTGCCTATGAAAGGAAGAAGTAAAATGTGAATTCAAGATGAGCAAAACATCAAAAGTCAATTTTCCTTCACATTTTGGTTCTGTTTCTAAAACCTTATTCTTAATCACGCTCCAGACAAGGCATCCAGTAAAATCAAAAAGCTGATGAGCACGGTTTTGTTTCAGGTTGGATTTTAGAACAAAACCTCAAAACTATTACAGCTACCTGATGGAAACTAATGAAACTGGATTTGGATTAATTTAGTTGAACTCCTGACAGATATAAACTTCAGAGGATCCATTTTAGTCACTGCTTCAGAGAGGACGACTTGGTCACATCCAATATTCCCAAAATGAGAACCGGCAAATATCTCTTTTTGGTTCATGAAGGCATAATGAGAGTAAAAATGGAGACTGATATTGTGAATACTGTTAAAAGAAATGCAGTACTGAACATGTCTAAAACTTGTGGTCAGAACTGACGATTGGTAAAAATGCAATGTAAAAAAACTAGTTACAATAGCTGAAAATAAAACAAAAACAGTCCTACTTCGACTGCTTCTCTTCTCATTACCATTTTTCACATTCTTTACAGTCCTATGTACAATCAGGGATGTGAGTGAGACAAAAAAATAATAATAAAAAAAAACCTAAGAAAACAAATGTTTATAAGTTCGAACTTAATAGAGAGGTGTACTGGTGTAAAATATTCCATAATCTGTGATCACAACAGCATCCAAGAGCTTACACTGTTTCTAAGCGAACAGCAAAAACTGGATAGAAGAAAACTAACAAAAAGAGAAAATGACACATCCCTGTACAAAAGCCCCAACAGCAGTTCACTGGAAGGTCAACAAATTGACTTGATGTCATTTTAAAAAATTTGGAGTAAAAACAGATAGGGCTTAAAAAAGAGGGGAAAGAGCTGCAGGTTCTACGTTGTTTTGCGGAAGCCTTTCAAGATAGGATAAATGTTTTCAAAAGCTTCGTAGATTTCTGCTCTGACCTTGGCACCTGAAAAACAAACAACAAAAACTGTTTACTGGTGAAGTCTATGACAGTAACAGAAGTCCTCTATACAACCACATACATGATATTCAGGATAACAGAGCAGTTTCTAATTATCAGCCCAGTTTTGTGGAGACTTACATCGATACACACTCGCTAAGTGACGTGAGTGGATGTGAAATAAATGACTGAGGCGAGAAGCTGTTCTTACCTGTGAGTACAACTTTCCCTGAAACAAAGATGAGCAGGACGATCCTAGGTTTGATCATTCTGTAGATTAATCCAGGAAACAGCTCTGGTTCGTAGCTGAAACAGACAAATTCATTTATGCACCACAGAGATCACACACACACAAAACTAGTGTGAAAATAATCCTCTCTGCACTCTTAAAATGCCATTTTTAAATGCAACTTAAGTTTTGACTCATTCATGCTGTCAGAAGATTCTCTGATTTAGAGACTTTTTTCATTCAAGGAAGCGCATTTCCCTGTCTCTATGGAAAGTTAAAATGCTCCCCATGCAGACATCTTACCACGGAAAAGAGTGAATATTAGCTGCACAAGACACAAAGCAAACTTTTACCTGCTGAACTGTTGATGTGTGAGCACCAATCCCTCCAGTCTAATGGGGAACTTCACATCGCAGCTTCCCACCATGTTCTGAATTTTGAAGTCCAGGAACTTAGCCGGGAATCCAAGCTTCTGCACCACACGAGCATATTTTCTGGCAGCTAACCGTGACTGCTCCTCACTGGAGAGAAAAAAATAAGACAAAACTTTAGACAAGTATAAATGAGAGGACATGAGGTCAGATTAAAGTCAAGAATGTACTGAGTGTCTCATTTTAAGTCAGTTAAGGGCTGAAAAAAGTTTCTGACAGATAGAACTGAGCAAAGAATTTATTATGAACTTGAGCAGGTTAGTTATTCCGACCTCTTAGCTCCAGTGCAGACCATCTTTCCTGAGCTGAAGATGAGAGCAGTGGTCCTAGGCTCTCGTATTCTCATGATGACAGCAGCAAAACGCTACAAGAGATAAAGAGAGTAAGAATATAAACAGCCTGCAGAGCCTCTCCATAACTGAAATACTACAGGTCATTTCAAATAAGTGCACCTAAAGCAAACTTTAAGGCAGTATTTGGTCCATGCAGCTTCAGTATTTCTTATGTTTAAGAGGAAGTTCAGGTATGATGATGGTAGTGCACAAAACGTTAAATCAACACCATGGCAGATAAAAAATTCATGTTGGGAGCTACTCTAAAGACAGAAATGTTTATCAGACTTACCTTTGGGTTGTACTCTGCGTTTCTGGCTCTCAGAGCGATGGTTTTCAAGTCCAGTTTACAGCCCAGGTTTACAGTGGATACAATATTTCTTTGTAGAAAAAATTAAAAAGTACAGAAAAGAACTGAGTGAGGGTTTGAAGTTCAACCACTTTTGTGTTAAAGTTGCTCTTTCTAATAAAATCATCTAGTAGTGAGATTCGCCTTGAAGGGATAGCTCTTTTCTGCAGTGGGATTGTAAGTGAGGTCTTTGTAAGTGTATCACCAATAGAGGACACTGCTCAGCTTAGACAAGAAACCAGCCAAAGAACGAGCACAGAAGCTAGGCTAACAATGCCTACAGGTGAGGTCAGCTCTATCTCAAAATCTCTTGATTTCTAAGCATCAAATGCTGAACAGTATCTGGTGTACATGGAGTTTGTTATTTCTGCTCAGCCTTCCTCTTGGGCAGCTAACGGTGTATTTTGATATGGTTAACATGTCATGCACATTAAAGAAATTATAAGAGCTGGACATGTGACTTCAAAGACTTCCATTTGAGCATTTCTGGTTAAACTTTTGAATGATAGTGGTGTTCATTACAGCAGGGAACTCTGGTTGATGAGTTATGCAGACTCGCTGTGAGCTGCTGGTATCCTCTGATTCAGAGGGATCCTGAAATACCATCGCCAGCCTCCGTTCCAGTTCTCTGGCTGGTTTCTCTAAAACAAGACCTTTATATAACTCGTCCTCAAAATAAAAAATGGCACTGTTCCTTTAATGTCAACACTGACAAATGCAAAGTGAAATATAAGATAAAGCTAGACAGTTCTAAGAGTAATTAACACAAGCAACATAAAATGACAATGATTTTTGTCTCTGTTAAAAATCACATACTGTAACTGAGGTACTATTCCAGAGCTTTCTGACGCTGGTGTGGCCGGTGTGATTGGAGTCATGGGGGTCAGCGGTGTGTTGTAGAGTGGGGTGTTTCCTGGCAGTGCTGTGGTGGTTGAACCTGCTACTGTCTGGGAGTGGTACAGCTGAGGGGTCTGCCCTGATGTGCCAGGAAGGCCTAGAGGAAACAAAGTGATAATTCTAATCAGTGTTTTACTTTCACTATGCCCAAGACTAGGACATAAAACACCTAGAGAAAAAATGAGGAAAATAGCAGCTCCAGATCTCACTTCATGGTGGTTCTGTAGGAAGACGAATTTGAGCGTCTATGTTGTACCTGTGTTTGCCTGCTGCGCCTGCTGTTGCTGCTGCTGCTGTTGTCTTTGATGTTCCTCTAGTATAGACAAACTGTTCGTGTTTTGGACAGGCTGCGGTGTCAGGCCTGAGCCATACGGCATCATGGGACTGAAGATTGGCATGCCTGGGGTCATGGCACCCTATACAATGACATATCACAAAATATATGAGTGAAAAGGAGCAGAAAAGCCACTGTAGAACAGTAGATGCTTAAAAATGATAATCCAAAAACCAACCATCCCCACAAATCCTGTTTTGTTTTTTTACACCTTGCACCTGTCTTATCTGTTGTTTGGGTAAAACATGTAAATAATCTCAATTTTAAGTAAAATAACAGCAGTACCACTTAACCACTCACCAGTCCTAAGGCAATAATCAACTCATCAAATAGTCAATAATCAATACCAGCCCACTACTAGAGGCTTGTTTTGTTTAAAGCCAAACTGCTATTTTAATAAATGAAAGTGCTATAATACATTGTGATTCTAAATTCACATATACGATGCGTCACAACAGTATGCTTTGGAGTACAGTTTTCATTTGGTATTAGAACTTTTTTTTACTACACCTGTCTTTCATTGAGAACCAGCCAACTACCATTTTGAAAAATTTGGCAACAAATACAAAACGGTCATTGTAAAACCCCTAGTACTTATGTGACCCCTGAGAGCTACACTTGCTTACAGACACAATACATGACATACCTCACAAAGATTTCAGCTATATATTAAATATATATCCAGTTTGCAGAGTTTGCAGTGTGATATGATAGTTTACAGATAGAAGACCTGTTCTTGTCTGAGACTGATTGAGTAGCTTACACCACTAGTTCATGTAAACACACTCAGAGTAACTCTGGGTTGACTCATCAAGTTGACAACCAGCTTCATGGGGCAGTTGAGCACAGGCTCCTGATGGCCAAGGTTGGTGAAGTCAAATAACTTTAAGATACTCAGGATGTGAGAAGCTCACTTTGTGATGTAGATGCCTAGGTTTGATTATTACGGGCTACCTAATTATCAAACTTCTCCTTGGATGAGCAGTAACTGATGTCCATAAACTAATTAAGAAAAAAATAAGCAAGAGACTGCAGGGGACCACAAGGACTCCTCTTTATGACTCGATAAAATCGTGTTTGTACCAAGGTGAAGTGTATGAAAATGTCTCAAACACAGGAAACCTAAACCCAGTATTACCTGAGGGGAGGCCAGTCCCTGAAAGGCTGGTATACTGTTGTTTTGGTCCATCTCCTCCGCTCCTCAGGTTAGTTCTCTGCCCCCAACAAAGAGGACTAAGCGCAGTTTGGACAGCTCACCACAGCAGGTACCTCAGCTGTGTGTCAGGAGTTTACAACTCTGAATATAAAACAACGACCACAGCTGACTTGACTCAGCAGAATCACCTTGGTCTTGTTCGGCCGCACCTTACTCCTTGCAAAGGTAGAGAGAAACAGACAAGGAAGAAATATTAGAGGTTGAAATAAGGACATAGTGACATGAGGAAGCAGACATGTGTGCAGCTGGAGCGGTGGCGCGAACCACAGTCACAGCCTGCTAATCTCCACATTTAGGATGTTTGAGAAAAAACTACGTTTCTTTCACTCATTCATTCGGTCGTTCTCGAAACACTACACTTAGACGTACAATTTTAAAATATTGGCAACATTCGTGTTAATTCCGAGCACTACTTAGTAGGATTTCTTGACAGACTCCAACATGAAACATGTCAACACAGTTGATGGCTGAAGTTAGCCGCAGAGCTAACATTAGCGGCAGAAGCTAACATATAACCGTGAGTCAAGCGAGCCGGGGCCACTATCAAAATAGTGTCTTTACTAACTAAGAGACATTGCAAAAAGCTCAAACTTAAAGTAGGGCATTAAAGTCGATTCCAAGTGAACATACCTTCACAGCTTCCCTCTTCAAATCTGCACACAGAAGGTTTTAATTCAGTCGTAGCTTCATCTCAGCCTCGGTCGCCCGATGCTACTTCTTCTTTCTCTTTTGAACTGATCGGCGGCTGACAGACAAGTTGGTATACTGCCCTCTGTCGGTTCATTGATATGAACTACATTTTATCAGTCAATTAATGAATGTACTTTTTTCATGCTGGTGCTGGATCCCAGGAACATTTTTTACACTGAGAGGCTTTATTGGGACAGGGTTCATCAACGGTTTGTTACAAAGCATGTAATCAAAGACACTGAAAATTTGTGGAATAATATTCTGATAAAAGTCTTGTCCATGTTCACGAACGCAGGTTTTTTCTTAAGATGCTCCGAAATTTGTTGCATTTACAAACGGCTAAAATATTGAAGAGGCCAGATTTAAAGGGTTCTTTCAGACTCTCTGAATAACTTAATTTTTCATATACAGCCCTAAAGTTTAGGTTTTATTTTATTCACTTTTATTCCAGTAATTTTCTTGTAATTTATGTCTAGCTTTTATTTCGTCTAGTATTGGATTTTATATCTTTGGTTATTTGATATATATACTTTGTAATGCTACACTGAGTAATTTTGTGCAATGTTCAGCTGCTTAACGGTATGTTCGCAAAATGAAAGAACACTAAAAGAAAAAAGAAAAAAAGAAAAAAAAATTCAAAGATGTGTTTCTGACCATAGACATATATAAGAAAGGCTTAGATGACTCGAGGCGGAGTCACCGGCGGCCATGTTACTCCAGTATACCATTCCGGTACGCTCTATGGCGGCTGACGGGAGGTGAGCAATCTGCATGATCAAAAATGCCCTTAACTCGCTGAATTCTGGACAGATTTACAAATGGTTTTCTTTATTACAGACCTTAATAACGTGGCTATGAGTCGGGATGCTTCGACATATTGAGATGGCAGATTTTCTTTGAGAAAAAAAAGACTTCATCGTGCAGCACAGTTGTGTCACGGTTAAGTGCAAATTTTGACTGGTGGAGGCAGACCACAATCGAGATTTTAATTTCTTGTATGACGGCGTGTTTTTTTTTTTTTTTTTTTTTGTCTAAGTGGCGGTCTTTGTGTTCATCAGCTGTCTAACTTTGCTAACTGACTCGCTGTGAGTGAGACTAGTACATATTACAATGTTGACCCAGCAATTTTACATTTTATAATTTTACACCCAGTTAGAAAGGCAGAAATGCTCTTTCGTTTTAACATAATTTAAGTTGCACATGATTTCCAAACTGTTTGGTTTGTTAAAAACATCTAAAATGGCAACATGAGGCAGATATTTATTTTGAAAATAAATGTATATGTTTTATTATTATGTTATTATAGTTATTCCTTAAATCGATATATGACTAGTATAACATACATGGAATGATTAAATGTTTTATATGTAAATGATTTAATATAACTGCCTTGTGTGTGCAGGCCTATAGCTTTTGCTCTAACTATCTGCATAATGTTTATTTATCAAAATCCATGGTTAAAATTATTCTTGAGTATGCAGGAACAGAACTGAAACTCTGAGGTTTGTTATAAATCAAACCGTTCGAAAATCGGTTTAAAATTAAGCAAACTATGGTTATTTAAATGCTACATGCATCGTAGACTGTAATGTTATGATTAGGCGAGCTGCCTGCAGAAAGATGGCCGCCATGCGCGGACGTCGGTCTCCATTGGCTAACAGCGTGCGTAAGACATCTAGCGTTTATATGTATATCTATGTTCCTGACGTTTGGCTGCTCGTCTACTTCCGGAAGTTGAAGCTTTGTTTTCCGCTGTGTCACAGTTCACCACAGTCAGAGCAAAGATGGCGTCGCTGAGTGACAAATCAGTTTGGGATGAAGTGGAGGATGGAATCGGTGAAGAAGTGTTAAAAATGTCCACAGAGGAGATAGTCCAGCGGACTCGTCTCCTCGACAGTGAGATAAAGATAATGAAGAGCGAGGTGCTGAGAGTGACCCACGAGCTCCAGGCTATGAAAGATAAGATCAAAGAAAACACGGAGAAGATCAAAGTGAACAAAACCCTGCCGTACCTGGTCTCCAATGTGATCGAGCTGCTGGATGTGGACCCCAACGACCAGGAGGAGGACGGGGCGAACGTGGATCTGGACTCTCAGAGAAAAGGAAAGTGCGCTGTCATTAAGACGTCCACCCGGCAGACCTACTTCCTCCCGGTGATCGGGCTGGTGGACGCGGAGAAGCTGAAGCCCGGGGACCTGGTGGGTGTCAACAAAGACTCCTACCTGATCCTCGAGACCCTACCCACCGAGTACGACTCCAGAGTCAAGGCCATGGAGGTGGATGAGCGACCCACAGAGCAGTACAGCGACATAGGAGGACTGGACAAGCAGATCCAGGAGCTGGTGGAGGCCATCGTGCTGCCCATGAACCACAAGGAGAAGTTTGAAAACCTGGGTATCCAGCCACCCAAAGGGGTCCTGATGTATGGACCACCTGGCACAGGGAAGACTCTCCTGGCCAGAGCCTGCGCTGCTCAGACCAAAGCTACCTTCCTGAAGCTGGCTGGTCCTCAGCTGGTCCAGATGTTCATCGGGGATGGAGCCAAGCTGGTGAGAGACGCCTTCGCCCTGGCCAAAGAGAAGGCCCCATCCATCATCTTCATTGATGAGCTGGACGCCATCGGAACCAAGAGGTTTGACAGCGAGAAGGCAGGAGACAGAGAGGTGCAGAGGACCATGCTGGAGCTGCTCAACCAGCTGGATGGATTTCAGCCCAACATGCAGGTCAAGGTAAAGTTGCAACCACCATAACCATCCTAGAATCAGTTTCCATTGATATATCATATGTGCAGTGTATGAATCCATTTAACAAGATTGTGTATAAATCCTTTATCTTATGGTGATGCAGCTTATCTAAGTCTAGAAAAGCTAAAATACAAGACAAATTAAGGTGTATCTGTAACTCCAATCAGTTAGATTTACTGGATCCTACAGTCCAGTATTAGCTCTACATTGTCATGTCAACAAAATCTGGAAGTCAAGACGCTATCCTGAAAGTAGAATTTGTGGAAGAGCTGTTTTATTGGGTTGAATTAATTTGACCAGGTGTTTATTATGTTATACAAATATCAAAATACAACTACAAAATCTTTTGTGAAAACAGTGGCACAAACAACAATGCGTAAAATATAGTAAACCTTTGTTATGGTGCAAGATCCAGATTTATCAAAGGAATAATTCATTAAAAACAAATATGAATTGAAAATGAATATTGAATTTCCCTTAGGGGGTCAATATAGTTTTTGTTTTTCAAAAATATTGAAGTTTGGATATCATAGAACTTCTCTTTTTTTTTTATGGAAGGGACGAGACTTCAGTTTTTGTAAAGTGCTACTCTAAAAGTTATAGGCACAGATTCCCAACTTGGGGAATTATGTTTGAAAAAAGTTTGGAGCTAATCTGTGTTTGTCCACCTTGGCACCACTAATTAGTATAAAGACTGCAGTTTAACTACATATATTTCATGTTTTAGGTAATCGCTGCCACCAACAGAGTGGACATCTTGGACCCTGCTCTGCTCCGTTCAGGCCGTCTGGACAGGAAGATTGAGTTCCCCATGCCAAATGAAGAGGCCAGAGCCCGCATCATGCAGATTCACTCCCGCAAGATGAATGTCAGTCCTGACGTCAACTACGAAGAGCTGGCTCGATGCACCGATGACTTCAATGGGGCTCAGTGTAAGGCTGTGTGTGTGGAGGCTGGTATGATCGCGCTGCGTCGTGGGGCCACAGAGCTGAACCATGAAGACTACATGGAGGGAATCCTGGAAGTCCAGGCCAAGAAAAAGGCTAACCTGCAGTACTACGCCTGAGGACACTACATGTGTCTGAGTTTGAGTGTGAGAGAGTCTTTGATTATTATTAAGTAGTTGTTAAGTGAATACTTGTAACAGTTACTGGTTAATTTGGGTTAATAAAATGAGAGAAAACATCACAATAGAGTTTTGTGTTCATTCTTACAACTTTTTCAGATAGTGCAGAATGCTATTAAAAACTTGAAAATATGAAACAGAAAAGTTTAATCCATGATATTATGAAGCCCAGTGCTGGTTTGATCACACCTAGCTTCCTACTTGGATTGGAAGCTTGTTATGCGTGTGTCATGTTGGGAAAACAAAACATATATTCTCAAAATCCACTTCTGTGCTCAAATGCACATTGTTTTAGCAACTACAAACCTGCTTACAATCTGTACCCTGGATGTGAGCTACAGTATTTTATTATTGGAAAAGAGAGATGAATAGGTGAGACTCGTTTAACCATCAGTAGCTTATTTACAATGATCTCCCACCACTCCGTAACTGTGGTAATATAGCTGTCTGATATGGGTCTGCTAGTGTTTTGTTTCAATCACAGCAAAAGTCCAGGTTGATACCAGTCCTATAAATCGTATAAAAATCAGGCACATCTGGATAGAAAAACGTAGAGCAACATCCAAAAGTTCTATATCAGGTGATCTTGCTACATGGGCCAGAGTGAGTCACCTGTATAAAATCAAATGTCGAACAGTATAGATGGTTAGACACATTGTCCAGTAGAGCGCACACCTTTGTTTTATTCAAATATACACTCAGGAGCGTCAACGACATCCATGTAAAAAGGAAAGCAATGCAGATGACCAGTTCATAACAAAAGGGAATGCTCTTTAACAAAGTTGTATTGGAAAACAGCCCCTGGCATATCTCTACATTGTTATGATACTTTAAGTTCATAAACTAATAGTTCATTTTGAAATGGCCTAAAACTTCACCTTTCTAGCAACTGTAAGAATATGGGTTTTGAACTAACAGCTGTACTATCACAAGAATCTCACACCATACAAGCTTTCAAATCTTTTACATTTTGCTGTGATTCTAGCCTATTTAAGACATATAAAGGTCACACCTCTATCATATCTATCACATTATTTTGTAGTTTTTCTTTAATACGCCACATTACATGGACTCTCTCTCCTTTCAGTCCCCAAAAATTAGGAAACCACCCACTGGGATACGGAGCTCAGATGGCAAGCATAATCTATGTAAGCTTATATGAGAAGGACACATAAAAATACGACAATTTTTTTTATAATTCTTTACATTTATTAAGAATGTAAAAAGAACAGAGGAATATGTCCTTCAAAAAAAAAAAAAAAAAAAACTATGGAAATTCCCAACAGAGGAAGCGTACATCCAGAGTTGAGCCAGGAGAAGTTTTCGCCTCTTTGAACAGAAGTGCTGCTCTCATTCAAGATATTTAACTGCAAAAAAGAGGTTGTAATTTATGCAGAATTTATAGAGGATGAGCAGGAAAAGCTAGAGAAAAGTGTTGGTTCCACTGTGACTGGATATACAAAATTTGAAAATTACCTCCCCAGTTAGAGAAGCTGACAGAAATTACTTTTGCATCAGCACTTTTATTTTCAGAAACTTGATGTTTAAGGGCAGAAACAACTGGGTGCATGTGGACAAGAAAAACGAGGAGAAAAGTGGGAAGGACACATTTCCCTCCTCAGTCTTTCCTCAGTGGTACTGTTTGCTCATCAATGCCCTCCTTTGTGACGACGCAGATCCGAAGTGCATCTCCAGTATAGACGTCTCTCTCTGCAGCGGAGATGAAGACATCCTTCACCAACTGAACCGCCTTGTCCTTGGTCAGAGGAACATGCTGCACACCCTCCATGTTCTTGAAACCAATCTGTGGAAACAGAGATGGAAATGGACCTCAGGACACCTGCCCATCAAAGTGACTTCATTTTAATTGGCATAAACACACAGCGCACGTGACTTACTTGGTTGTCTAGGAGTGGCTGTAACATGGCACTTGCTGATCCTCCAGCTTTGTAAGTGTCTCTCTGGTAAGATCCAACAGGGTCAAAGCTGTACACTGCTCCCTTGCCTGTAATACAAACATGGATTAAAAAACAAACATTGGTATGTGGCACAAAATATAAGCATTAAACTGAGAAATATTACATGCCTCCTGCTGTCTTGATGCACAATAAACACCACAAAAGAATATGTCGGCAGCTATTGTAAATTTAATGCATATGCACAGGTAGTACTAGTGTTTATAATCACAACGTATCTCCATAACAGCAGTACCTACCCTCCTCATCAAGTCCCCCAATGATGTTGTAGACATAGTAGGGGAAAAATCTCCTGCCATACAGAATGGTGGACAACATGGCAGCAATGGCTCCACTGGTCATTGTTTTGTTGTTTGAGTGCTTGTACATCTGAGATGGGCAGAGAAGTAAATACAGGGGTTAGGAGTAAACCAAAACCTGTGGAGAACTTGCACAGGAACAAGGATGTCTTGACACTCAGAATCCCATTATTTCATGAATTTTTGCACTCGTCACAAGAATTTTGAAAGATATTTTAAGATTTTTGTCACAGATTATTTGAACTGGAACATCTGAGAACATCAGCCTCATGTCAGCTCTGGTGGAGATAACTTAACCAGCCTGACACAGGAAATTTGACATGACTCAGCAGCATTTGATAGAGCTGGTGGTTAAATGCTAATGCTCCTACTTACCTTTAACCTGGCATCAATGATTTTCGTCAGAGTCAGGCAGTCGCCATGGAAACCGCTGCAGCCAATGACAGTGGTGTCTGTCCTGAAATTAGAAGGACAACATTCAGTAATACTCAGAGCAACTTGGTTTTCAACTGTTTTAAAGTAGTATTGACAATAGTTTCAGGCCACAGGCGTTTACTGAGGCTTTACTTTGGTGTTTTTTTTCAATGATAGTTACTAAGCACACAGCAGGAGGAAAACACGCCACGGCCACTGTGCATTCGTGACACACTTACAGCTTGTAACACTTTGGTGAATCCCGGCTGTGGATGGAGTAGCCTTCACTCAGTCTGGTGTCTGAGGCTACGATGGCAAAGTCTTCTCCGGCAACAGCTAGCACAGTTCTGAAAATAAAATTCATACATTAATTCGAGTCATGAGCAATCTTTCAAACACTAATGGTGTTTCTACCCACACTGCTGCTGCTAAGGTAAACCAGGCTACAGACTCGAAAATGAAACTACAAATGGAGAGGTTTTAAAAAGCGTTAACTGCGATGTAAACTTCCACTCTGAGATGGGATTAAACTGTTTTATCATCTACTGAGATAAACTAATCTCTTAATAGAAACTTTTCATCCACTTAATCTTTGTTTTCAGTCATTTCCTGAGCAGGTTAGCTTCCCAGCATTATCCATTTACATGTAAGCGTTAGCTAGCGCGCTAACCGGTTCAGAGAGAAATAATCACTCACCCTCCGTTGAAAGCGTACGGTGAGAAGCGGTGCTCTGCTGGGCCAGTGTAATGATAATCTTTCATCTTTCCAGGATCTCCAAAAGTATGTGTGGAGAGCATTTTTATTTGTAAGTAAGACACAGCTCAAGAGACAATCCTGTAAAGTCGCTGTATCACCGCAATATGGCAGCCTCTTCTTTTACTCCCAACAACACCCGCGCATCCAGGTGAAGTATGCACAAGTGCGCCCCCAACTGGCTGGATGTTTGTGGTGGAATAGCAGAAAACAGGTGAAGAGGACAAGGATGGCCTAACTAACAGGTGTCAAACTCGAGGCGCGGGGGCCAAATCTGTCCCGGAAAACAATTATATCTGGCCCACAAGATCATATCAAATCTGTATTATCATTGGCCCACCAGTATGAGGTCTGCAGATTTCCTCCAGGATGATAATGTAAAGTTTAGCACCATTATTTAAAATATCCTCAATAAACTACAAAGTTATGATTCAAACATAGTTTGACTTTTTATTTTGTGCTTTGATTTTATTTCAACTCAGTATTTAGATTTCTGTCATTTTAATCCTTTAGATTCCGATTTTAAATTTTATGTCACATTTTGACTTTAAACTCTTGATTTCAAAATGATCTCATTTTTTGACATTTCAAACTTGTGATTTCAACTTTCTCCTAATGTATTTCCTCCTTAAAAGCATTATTTTTCTATTTTAAATATCATGTTCTGATCTTCTGAACTAATTTATTGTTTTTTTTTTTATACCAGGTTGCCTTTAAATTTATCTTTTTCACTTTTTGAATTTCCAAGTGGTTTGTAATCATTGCTGATTTTGTTATGTATATTTTGAAAAGGAGGCTGACAATTTGGGTTAAATGTTGACCCTGTTGGGCCCCCAGGTTAGACTTCAATCCAGATTATGGCCCTTGCGGTGGTTGAGTTTGACACCCCTGTCTTAACTGAAACACCTGATCAAAAGTATTGTTCATAATACAGTCAGTAAAGAGAGGTTACTTCATTGCTTATATAAAATGTTTGATGTAGGTAATAAGACAGGCAGCAATAGGCTGGCAAATCTTCTCTGTCAGGGTTACAAACACAAAAAAGACAAAAAGCTAGATCATGCTGTTACTGTCTCCACAGATTCATATCTAATTTAGAGAAAATAACAAACACAGTCACATGAACAGAAGCTGAAAATTTATCACATCCAAATGTCACTTACGTTTGATGGCGGCAGAAAACAATATTATGTAGTGCTTTTGATTCCAGGCAGCCATTTTATGACATTCAGAGGCTAGAGAATATTACAAAGCAACTGAACTATAATGGGTTGAACTGCAAGTAGTAAACATACTGTTTAAAAATGGTACAATTGCAGCAGCAGCTATTATATTGTCGTATTAATGGTAGTTAATCTAATCTGTCTAATCTAAATGCATAAGAACTAAGTAACATTGTATGGTGGCCGACAACGGTCACTGCTGTAAATAAAAAAGAATGTCACAACGGAAGTTACTGATACAAAAAAAGAAACCAAAGCCCACTGCAAATGCCCGTAAAGCTACCGAACTTGATTCTCCTCTCGTGGGTGGTCTTTCGGGGCGTAGTGGGTTTCCCGTGTTAGCTGAAGCTAACACTACACTGGCATCCTCCAGTTCAACTTCATATTGACTCAGGCACAACATGGTCTAACCAAATGACACACTAATTAGCACACAAAGCGAAATTAATCAATAACCTTTCCACGTACTTCTTTGCTTGTCTTCTCGACGTCGTCTTCTGTGGCTGGATTGTAAAAAAAAAGGTGCATCATCATTATTGGTCCCTAGCAGCTCACTTCCGCTGTTTTGTTGTTTTTTTATTTGCATCCTTTTATTTTTGCAGTAAGTGACTTTTTTTTTTCTTTTGCAACGTCACTTTTTTGTGTGTGTCATTAACTTCAGATGTGGCTTTTTTTTTTTAATCTGCACCTTTTTTTTTATCTGCAGTGGGCTCCAGTTTCTTTTTGTTTGCATCAGTAACTTCCGTTGTGGCTTTTTTTTCTTTTTTTGCATTCTTTTTTATTTGCAGCAGTGGCGGTTCTCGGCCACCGTAACATTGAGTCTTTGTTGGCAAAATGTTAAAAAAAAAAAAAAAAGCTGCAGTTGTATTCATTATGCATTCACTTTTCTGCTCAATGAATATTTTGTTCCAAATAATACGGCATCCAAAATGTAATGGAGAATGAGTCTTTTTTTTTTTTTTAAGTAGCTTTTATTAAAAAAGAAAGCACAATTTCATTCAGTGGCTGACATTTTTAGATTCAAACATTTCTCAAAAAACCTGCATACCAAAACAAAATTCAAAACAAACTAAAGTCACAAAATTCATGAGACTCTTATTTCCAATCAACTGCAAAAACACCAGCGGACACAGTGGCTACACATCTGATTATTGATAGTCAAGGGGTGACAACAACGTTAACACAAATATTGGTTCCAGTACTGAAAACTCACACATAAATACCTGATGACTGGTGTCTACCAGTCAGTGTCTATTACACAACATCAATAGCACCGTGTCGTCATTTAAGACTTTGGATAACAGTACTCCTCACTGGCCTGGATTATTACGCATTAATCAAAAATATAAAAACTTAAGTTTATGAGATACAAGAAAATTAACCTACATAGAAAGTATTTTGAAAAGAGTCGATTTAAACCAGTAACCGCTTGTCAACATTTTTCAGTAGTTTTGGATCAAAAGCACCATGTTCAAATGAAACAGCTCATCACTGTAGACATGTTAGAATACACCATGACTCTTCAGTCTAATGAAAAAGGAATGCACTTGTTTTGTTAGTGGTAAAAATAACAGGAATTACTGCATTACACTTGGATGAATTTCCTACCCGACTGTTAAAATAATCTACTAAATGGTGGTTGAGGTTGCACAGTTAATGCAACACAGTTAATGTTTTTATTAATTAAATTTGGTCTCAAAGATTTTAAATACAAATTCTGCATTTCTACACTGATTGCGATTCGAGAAAATAAGTAAAATACGTTCATTTTCACCTGACACAGAGTAACAGCAGGTTAAGATCTTACTTTTGGATTTTTCCATTTGGAAGATGGGCCACACATTTATTTTTGTTTATTTCACAACGATAGCATACCTAACAATTAAATAACTTGAAAATAGCTGGACAAGAGACAGTGCATGAGTGTAGAGTTTGGTCAGGGTACTGTGGTCGGAAACAAAAGCTATTTTTTAGCAGATTTAGCTTTTTTAGGTGTTTTGGCTTCTCCCTTTTTCTTGGGTGTGTTAAAATTTTTGTCACAAACTTCACACACCCAAAGACCTGAGGAGACAAAGGAAATGAATTAAAAGTAGACATGGTGTTTTCTTGCTGCAGACTATGCTATAAATACTCTCAAGTATCTACAACAGCTTACCGTTGGGTATGGAGTCCATGCCCACACAGAATGTGTGATACCCTCGGTCACATTTGTCACAGAACATCATTTCGTCCTCATGGTGGGGCTGTTGGCACACGGTGCAGGTTTTACACTCCATACACTGCCAGCGATACGTCTGAATGACACGCACAAGCTCCTCGCTCATATCCAGGCAGGACGGGTGCCCTGAAGTTTGTGGACATAGCGACAAATGCACATTGGCAAACGACACACAGAGAAACAGACATTTGCAAAGGCTATGTGGAAAAGGATAGTTTTATGTGTCATGATTTTCCAATGTTGTTCATGTTATATTTGCAGACATACTGGAGGCCACATTCACATAAATCTCTGCACCGCCTTTCTTCAGTCTTTAAGTGAATTTTATACACCACTTCAGATGATACTTTCCTTATCAAATGTTAAATCTCAAAGCAATCAAACAATATAATTAATTCATATATTAAACCAAGCATGTCCTTTCATTGATTATAGTATGGATGCATTTGCATAAAAATTAAACATTTTGATTATTACTCGGTTTTATGTATCATTAAAATCAAATGTGATATTCAGTTATAGGCACTGCTCAAATAAATAACAGCTATATTCAGAGGATAGATGGATGTAATTAAGTTGGCACTAGGAGTTGCTGAGTTACGCTCTAATTGCAAAAACAAGAAAGTGTCCATAGAAATCAACAGTGTGAACTTACCGCTGTTATCACATTGGGAGCAGTGAATGAGAGCCTCCGGCTTGCCCTTCTTGTTGGCCTCTTTACCCTTCTGGCAAATGCCACATATAGCATTGGGAATGACCTTAGGCTGCAAGGGCAGAATAATGCTATAAAACCACAATATTCCTAAAGTCATGGACACAAAAGTAGTTCAACAAACGTTTCACGATTGGAGAAAACACAGAAACTAATTTAGATCTCTGACCCTCTCTCGAATATGTGGCACCTACTTTCTATTTCGTTCTTTGTTTATCTTTTAAGACTATTGAATTTGACAGTGATAAGACTTCTGGAGAGTTGCTATCACTATGCACAGCATCTCTTAGTTCAACTGAGACAGAGGACAGGACCAGAGGAAAGGGATAAGAGGAGTTAGGGACATTCAAATCAGGATGTTACACTTTTAAACCTTAAACGCTTCTTTACAAGCCCAACTTACTAAAAGGATGCCATACAAGACTCTAAACTTAAACTTCAACAAAACTTTATAAATGTTCAGCAATGATCTTGAGAACATGAAATATGAATGTAAGTAGAGTTTGTTTCAGCAGTCCACTTAATAACCCTAAAAACACAAACCTGTACTCAGGTAGGAGATTTATTTGAATTTGGTTGGAGAACTTGGGTTTGTTTTTCAGTCTACAAGTCCAGCTTTACATATTAAGTTAGTGTCATCCTTCATCAAAATGTCCCCTCACAAGACGACAGCAGGTCAGAGTCAGTTTAACAGCAATGGGTACAAAACTATGAGTCAATAAGCACATGGTTTGATAATGATGAAAATCACAGACCAGACACAAAACAGAGGGCTAATCTAACAGATAGACAGCAGCAGAAGAAGGAAACAGGAAAAAAGAGGAGCTGAATGCCATATTTCTACTACTGCTTGATGAGTCAATACATTTACTCAATAGGACTATCCAAACAAAGTTATACTCGGCTGGTTTGTTCATGTTTACATGACAAAATTAGCTTGATATGAAAACTGTAATATGGGAACTGGGAGAATTAAATCTCTCAAACTCTTCACTTTGAAGCACGTTTACATTCAATAGAAATGTTGTTAAGCTCTCAGCACCTTGTATCCCTTAGAGGCAGACACACAGAGACAGACTGACTGCACTGATTTAAGAGCAGAGGCTCATTGAGGTGAAACATCTTGTCTTTTTCTTTAGCTCTCTTCTGTAAATGCTGACCTACTAGCCATGCCTCATAACTGGAGTTGCTCTGGTACTAACACCAGTATCAGAAACATCTCTTGTTCTGCCAAAATGCAGTAACATCCAAAACTTTTTTCACCAGAATTAAAAGGTCAAACAATTGCTCCAACATTGATGATTCATAATGTCTTTTTTGGGACACAGTGATAAATTTCTGCAACCATTACACTGAAATAAACATCACATTGATGGTTTAACATGTATGGAACATGCAACACGTATCACAAAATAAAGAAAATACTTCTGCAGACACATTTAGTCAGTCTAATTCAACCTTTGTTGTTCATAATTGGTTTTTATTTATGAGCTGTTTGTAAAATAGCACATCACTCATCAGGAGGTCATCATAAACCACTATATATAAACAGTTCATGGTAGCAGACCAGAGCGGAGTAACGTTAATCAGCTGTAACATGTGCTGTCTAGAAGAAACATGGGAGTCCGTAGAAATCATTTAACTTTTCTTTTTTCTTTTCTTTTCTTTCTGCCAATATGTCAGCAAATTAAAAAGGAGGAGTGACACATTTCGTGACACAAGGAGTGACACTAAGAGCCAAGTCTTCAGTTAGAAAACTATAGATGATAGCTCAAGACTTGACCCAAAGCTGTTCCTTCTCTTGGTGCTTTCGTCATCATAAGCGCTAAAACAGACGGGGTTTTATAGTACTGACTTGTAAAGCCCGCTGAACGGTCTGATAAATGCACAAAAAAGGTTTGAACTAAAGTAAAATCAAACTTAGTCCCTCGAAAACTGGGAACTATTCTAAACAGACTATAGATGAGGACCATGCCCACACCTCAAAGCTGAGCTGAACTTAGTTGGACCAAGCAAAGCTCGTCATACTCTTATTAATGGAAATACACCAGTATAGTCTATGTGATGGAAATGGGTTTTTCATATCAATGTTAAGTGTAGGTGAAATACAAGAGAAAGCAGAGGAGAGAATGGTTCACTTATCTGCCCCCCCTAAACTGCAGATGTCTACTTAAAGTGACAACCAGAGACGAGCCATGGGCTGGGTGTTTGAGAGACGTACACTCATGTGAGGCTCTGAACCCAGACAGCTACTGAGACAACTGGTCGCTCAGCTCAGCAACAGTGGGAGCACGGTCAACAAGTCCTCACCTCTTACACTTGACAATATAGGGACAAGTATGTTCCCAGTCAAAGAGCTGTTTGACGCTGATTAACAGATTAACAGTACATCACATGGTGTATGAACAAAGGATATCATCAAACCAGAACATACTTCAAACATTAGGGTTAAGTGTCTTCAACACTTCAGATATAAAAGGTTCTCTAGTGTTTAACAATAACTATCTTTAAAAGCAACCACAAACGGTTCGTGGTTTATATTTTCTATATCAGTGTAACAAAAAAGACTTTGTTATTTTTAATTGAAAAAAAGGAAAACTAGCAGCCAAACATCCACTTACTTGTCTCAGATGTATCTTTTTTTGACAAGTGAGGACAGACAAGAGGTATTTTGGAGACATTCAAAAAGAAGAAAAAAACTTTTAAAAGATCAAACTCGTCTTTTCTGAAAACACAAAAAGTGAAAGTGCAGTGAAGAAGAAACAAGCAAGCTGTTCCTTTAAAATGTTCTTATTGCTCACAGTCTGATAAAAAGATGGGGGAAAGTCTCATGGTAATAAAAAAAAAAGGTTTTAAAAAAACTGAAGACAGCCCCCTCTGTGTGAGTGTGTTTGTGTTTGTGTGGACCACATTGTCCCAGCCAAAAAGCTGACAAACTGTAGAAGCTGGAGAACAAAGTGAAGAAAGCTAGGGAGGGGTGGCAGGATGGATGGATTAAGGGAGTGGTAGTAGTAGAAAGAGGAGGAGGGGGTAGAAAAAGTGCTGCTGCTGTTGTTGGAGAAGAGTTCAGGTGGTTTTGTCCTCTACCTTGTACCCTGCGGAGGCTTTGTGGCTTGCTGAATGTCGGTGGCTGCCATCTTTTCCTGGAGTGGATGTCCTATCTTTGGCCTTGGACTTGCTGCCTGGTCCGCTTCCGCCCTCCTGACTCTCCAAGTCTGATGCGTTTCCTGAAGAACTGTCCTGGAGAGCACAGAGGATTGGAAAAAAACAGGGCAAACTAAAATTTATAACCACGTATTTCTACGGTAAGTGTGAACAAGGGATCTAGCACAGATTCAGACTCCTTACAGATGAATTCTTGTTCTTTTTCTCATCCTTGCCATCCTCAGCATCATCTGAATCAGGCTCTGAGTCCAGGGCGGGCAGCTCTGGATCCAGTGGAGGCTCAAACAGTGCTGTGTTCAGTGGCAAGTATCGTAGCTCATTGGGAGAGTACCTGTCATGCACAGCACAACCATGCATCAGAAATAAAACTGTAGCTCAGCATTACATGGAGTCGACTGTCCAAAAAACATCATCTTAATTTCATTCAAAAGCCGCTTAATAATTTGAATAGAAATGAGTGTACATAAGGAAAAGGTTCTGGCATGTACCTTTTGTAATAATCTTGGAACTGTCCTGGTATGAGAGCCACAGGGTAAGGCCCCGTCCTTGTCAGCTCTGGAGCCAGCACTTTGAACCTGCCCTGGGGTACCTGGATAATCTAAGACAAAACACGGCAAATGTAAAAAATTCGGAAGCCAACAAAACAAGTTTGTTTGTTTTTTTTCTAAAAAGATGGAGAATTTTAATTACATGATTAAATAAACACTAAAAAAGCCAGAAGGACAGCTTGAATAGTGACACACGTGTAAAGAAGAGGAAAAAATATTCGAGATGATCAATGTTTTCTGTCATCTTTTTTCTGTTCATTTGGATTCAAATCAAAATTATTTTCATCATCTTCAATTCCAGGTTGGACTCACATGTGTCTGGAGGTCAAAGTACGCTCTCCTCTCTTCCATACGCTCTCTGTTGAAGTTACTGTTGAACTCTGCAGCTTTTTTCGCTGCTTTCTTAATGTACTCAGGAACCTTACTGGCCTCCACCTTCTGAGGGTTCTGCTGCTGCATTTGCTACAAAAGACAAAAACACTGTGAGTGGGATGACTCCCTGCATTACTGTCAGATAAAAAGACTAATAATCACAAGCCCCTGGATGTTTCTTTTATTGCTGTACTTACAGAATACTCTTTTGCTATTCTCTGCCGTTCTCTCTCCTGCAGTATGACTGAATACTCTGAGTGTTTGACGGGATACTCCTTTATCATCAGATCTATCACCTCATCACTCCGAAGAGCTGTCAAGCCTGAATATACAAAAAACACACAAGGATTATCTTCTCAAAACAATAAGAGACTCTATCCTGAAAGAATTTAAAAGATTTTAATGTAGTGCAGTAACTTTAAATGATCTGAAAGGTTACGTTCTTACCCAGAGTGCACTGTGTCTCAGTTATGACATTCTGTTCTCTCAGGTAAAGCTTCTCTTTGTGAGACAAGTCTCTTCTCTCCATATCTGCAAACAACAATGTTTCAGATTAAAGAAAGACCTCATTCTATACATCAGCTAAATCAGAAAAGAGGTCACCCCTAAATCCTTTAACAGCGATATAACTATTCCGGTTTTGTTACTTTAGTCTTACCAGGGTATTTCCTCTTGAAGGATGTGACTCCCAGATATTCGCTGACCTGCTCCTGTAACATGTAATACTCTCCTGTGTCATCTGGGGGCCACTTGTACTCTGTCAAGTTTTCTGCAGGGAAATAAGTGGGGCTGGGAGGGAGTCGCGGAGGAAAATATAAAGCATCAAAGGTAAGATCTTAGTGTTTTTTCAGCCCCTTTGGCATGAAGTGCCATTCAAAGCAAACCTACCCGAGCTCTTGACTAGAGGTGTCACAGCTGCGAGAGCTGTCCCCTGACCCCATCCTCCTCCTTTTGGGAGGCTGGCTACCATCATTAGACACCTCTTCTATAACATCCTCCTGTCAATCAAAACAGAAATGACACCATTTCTATCCTGTTCATTCAACAACATTATGATTACACCAGCAAATTCTACACTGTGTGACTGAGGGGACCTAAAAAAATTATGAGTGAGAAACTGACCATCACCACTCATCACTGAGTTCTCCTGTGTTAGCTGTTACTACGCACCCACTATGTTAAGGGTCGGTTTGACCTGTGTCTTCAATCAGCTGTTAAAACAATTCTCTATCATCCAATTTGGTTCTCATCTCTAGGTTACCTTGTTAGGCTTCATTATCCATGAAAATATTGCTGATAATATTTTTTGTTGTGGTCCTCTGGGTCTTTCTTTGTCAGTATACCCCTCATACAGACATCTATACTGAATTGATCTCACATGTCTGGACGTGCCCAATGTTGTTTTTTTGTGCAGGGAAAAACATGGAAAAATGAGAATTTCCTAAATGTCACATGATTGGTGCCTGACAGTGCATTTAGGATTTCAGTTTTTGCTCTAATTATAAGATATTGATTTAACCGAGTCAACAGCGACCCTAACGCGACAAGTGCCATAATTTTTAGAGGAGCATTTTATAATTTCATTCATTTATGGAAAAGGCCCAGGCTGTTTTAATACCCCAAGCAGACCCTCTAAGTCTGCTTAAAAGTGATGTTTCATCTAAATAGCAAACAGTGTATTGTGATTATTTATAAAACACCATTCATACACAGAGCAGTATAAAGCACTTTAAAGTTAAAAATCAACAATAAAATAAAGGTTACAGTATAGAAAGTTGTTATTTTCAGACCAGAAGAAGAATAAGAAATTAAAATGTCAAATTAAAATGGATGTCCTAAAATTGGGTGATGACTGTTACATAATTCCCTCTCCCAGTGTCAAAGTGTCCTGTTCTGATGGACACTGATCCACCTGCTGGTCTTGCTTCAATCGGAATACACTGTAAAACAATCATCATCTAACATCTCCTAATAGAGGCCTAATCGTTCAACGCACAATTAAACTAATCATCAGAATTACTTACAATAAGAAACTGCAGTTCTTACAAAAAAAAAAACTACACAGCTCATAACGACTGCAAATGTTTGTGTTAAATGAAATAAAAACTGAGTTTACATCTGCTAGAGGACACAGTGAGCAGAAGATATTTTACATTTGTCTGTTTACTGCAAGTGATGGAGCCATGTTTAACAGCAGTATCATCAGCCACAACAACTATTTAACAGGACAAACAACGAGGATTTCTTATTGATCCGTCCGAGTGAAACAAAGTGCGAGTTTGCTGAGTTTGTTGACAAAGTTACGACTCGGGGAAAATTAAGCTTACACTGTCGATGTTAAACCACCCTTAATCAAATAATGTGAACAGATATCTCTGATATGATATCTTGCTTCAGTGTGAATAAAATCCGTGTTTGTGTGCACGGCTCGTTAAAGGTTATAATCAGTGTCATAAAAACAAAGAGAGGACGCTGAAGACGCTGATGCTCATTCATGGCTCGATAGCTAACTAGCGGTTAGCAGAGCTCGCCAAGGTTTGGGGCTATCCGCGCAAAGCATACGGTTGTCCGTGTTTTTATTAAATGTGAATTTTACCTTAATGGATTGTGCTCCAGGGGTAGCGGGGTTGCTATCACAGGGAGGTCTGACGGGGAGCACAGTTGCCATATTACTCAGAATTCAATCTACAGTCAGGCTAGCTCACTAGCCTCGGCTTCGTTTTCTTCTTTGTGTGATACTTTGTGGCTGTTCACGAACGTTACTGTAAATGTGCGCCCCCTGTCTGCTATTCTGGGACATTAAAGCACAATAACAGAATAAAAAAGAGATTGACAGCAAAAATAAATGATTCAAGACAAAAATAGAAAAAAATAAGAATACAATCACAACGATGTTTTTTAATACAAATACAAATATTTTGATTGTACTTATAAATGTGTATTGTGTGCATTTTATCTACATAACGAGATAAACTGTGAAAGTGATTCTTTGTAGAGAGACACAAATGGTTTGACAATCTGGTACAACGTGGTTCTCTTTCCTATTAGTTTTTATTTCTAAAAAGAAAATAGAATATTGCACAAGACCATAGACTGTATAATTGGCACAGACCAGCTGCTGCCTGGCACTGATGTTACCTGCTCTCTTCCAGCTCTGCAGTCAGTCGTCTGTCCTGTGTACCTTGTGTTCCTTGTGAAATCAAATAACCAGTCATTTTAGTGTTTTTGATATCTGTTTCCAAACATTATATCCAATTACCAAAGGATATACAGATGGGTGCCCTTTGCTTGTTCTAACTCTTAAAAATAACTCTAATTTGTTCTCTTATAGATACTACACCCAGTCACAGACACATTGAAGTATACATTCAAGTCAGTGTTGTATTCAAAAAGCATACATGTAAAAGTAAATCAACCTCCCTCCAAAAAAAAAAGTTACGTTGACATGTCCTAATAATTGATATTTGAGATCAACATTTACAGTATGCACATTATATAGATATATATTTCTAAAATTCATTATTGAATCAATATGCATGACGCTGCTTAACAATAAAATGCATTTCAAGAATGATTTCATACATTATTTTGAGATGTTCTGAAGTTGGAAAATGCCCCTATTTGATTTTCCATTTTTATGGGAAAGCCAACAATCATCTTTATTTGTCAATTTCAGATAATGTGTCTGACATGAAAACAATATAGTCAATAGATTTAAATTTTATTGACAGACTGTGTTTGAATGCTGAATTTACTTTGATTGGCAAACAGCGCCACCCCTCGGCTTTTCATAGCACTGCTACACTTTTGAACGTTAGGGTGACTTTTATTTTGAAAGCGAACAAACATGTACGGGAAGTCGGATGGAAAAATCAGCTGGACTCCGCGGAAACCACCAACAGGGATATTTTCCTTTAAACGCTAGCGATCCTTCTGTCATATTGTTGTCTTCTGTTTCCTCCCGCTGAGTGTCAGAGCGCCAGGCTGGTGATGTCGGAGTCATACGGTAAGTAGGCTGCCTTTTTAAAGGTGTTTACGTTTTCTATCATCGTTCAGAAACACAGAAAAGATGGGACAGGTGTGCCGACAGAGATTTGTCCCATCGTAAACAGATAGCTGGCAGGCTAACCGAGCCTTTTAGTAAAGGCTGTGGCCTTAGATAATGCCGTGTCAGCATTAGTAAAACCACAGAGTTCATGTAATCTAGAAAATATGAACCAAATCTGTTGAGTTTGTCGGGTTCTGAATCCAGCCTGAGGTTAGTGGAGTTGACAGGAGAGGGTGACACCTGGGACCAGACTACTGTGGGTGATAGAGCTGACATGTAGACCTGCCTGTGTGTCTGTGTAAGTGTATCTGATTCAAGCATGGGCATCATCACAGTGGGGTATAACTTGGGTAGACTGCTGAGAGACCCAGAGGTGGTATGAGGGCATCGACAGGCCTGAAGTAAAACGGTTTTGTTTTCATTTTTCTTTCCGTCAAACATTAAAGCACTCAAAACCATGGGAACTTTTACACCCTAGACCTTTTCAAAACATTAGTTAAACATATGAAGGGCTTCAATATTATTCAAGTGGTTGAAAATGTTTATAATATTGTTGAATTTGAGCTGCAGTAGTTTCGTTGTTTACCATTATATATAATATATATATTTTCCGTGATATTCCAAAGACCTGAGAGTGTCAAGCAAAGTGTTTATTTTAATGCAGCTTAACTTTTCAGTAATTTGCTGTACATCGGCCGATGTGTCAAATTTTTGCTTGTTGTTCGGTTAAATATGATATCAGATGTTGCCAAGGAACCATCACTGTTATACTTTGTGATTATTGATCTTTAATCTACATGTGTAACTCCAAGATAGTTATGATAAGCTTTTCATGGGTCATGGGCGAAATAGAGGTGAAGTTTGCACAGTTGTGAAAGGTTGACTGGGCTGTGGTGGTGAGGCTGAATTAGGGCTGGGTAATAAAACGATAACAATATATATATCAAAATATCCTGGCGGAAATGCAGATGAAGGCTCAAAAGATGATGACATCAAGGTTTTTGAGGTCAAATATTTTTCACCACCTGAAGCAGTGCCACGCGGCAGAGCACGCACAATACAAAAGGTTACAAACCCAGAGCGGAGCAAGGGTCCCATGGCGCCTGTGCAGCCGACCATTCAGTCCGCTTTCTGTAATGCAACGCCTTACGAGAAAACATTGAAGACACACAAAGACCTCACAGATGCAGTAGCTTATTCTATTGCAGAAGACGTGCTACCAATAAGCACTGTTAAATGTCATTTTTCATATCCTGATATATATCGATAACAACTGATATAAAAAAATATATTGAGATAAACTTTAACCCATATCGCCCAGCCCTAGACTGAATGTGATATCTTGTCATAGAGTCTATAATACCATGCTACACCTCTGCTCACAGGACACATTAAAGTCATTGTTAACTACACTAGCACTTGGTTGATAAGAGTTTGTACACAAGCTTCATGATCATGGTACACAGTGGTCGGTTCCACCAGCATCCACACACACTGTGTGTCAGTATTAAGTGTGTGTAAAAAGTCACATGACACATTCTGGGAGTTGTTTATATCGCCATATCTGATGATGACTATGGATCAACATCTGTTTGTAGGTATCAAATAAATCAGACTACTGAAGATGGTAGAGCTGAATAATGAGTTTCTGATCAGTATTTTGGAGTTATCAAACTCATTGTAAGTGTAAATAAACTGTTATAATGTTATGTCATAAGATGAATATTTTACAGTTGAAACTGTGGAGGTAGTCCTTCAAGATGAAGATATTCTTTGCAATTCTGCATTTTCTTGATTCCTGTCAGCTATAAATGATACAGCGATCTTAATAACCTAATACCGATTGATCAGATATGACCTGCTCATGTCTTGGCCCAGCTCTAGCTATAAAAATCCTGATGAATGTAACAGTGGATAAACCTTTTGCTCTGTCTTGCACGTATTTATCGTTGGTTTTATATTCCTCTTTCAGATTTCCTGTTTAAATTCCTGGTGATTGGGAATGCTGGAACAGGCAAATCCTGTCTGCTGCACCAGTTCATAGAGAAAAGATGTAAGTCAGAGAGATGAAACACACATTTCATTATTTTCAGTTAAAAGGCATGCTCTGATCTCTAATGCAGTGTTGTCAAAAAGTCTTAGAATAAGAAAAGGTCTTCATTGCTCTCCAGATAAATGTCTGCATTCTGTCAATGTGTTAGGAGCTATGCATAGAGTGCTTATGTGTAATCAACCTGAGGGTGTGAAACACATTAGGTATTTGAATGTAGTTTTGAGACAGCAGACGTCTCCAGAGATGTATTCACTGTCTTATTTGATGTGATCTCTTCAATAAAGGATGCCCGGCAGGACAGGACTCTGATATATACGGCAGTTATTTGAAAAAAGCAATATGTGCCTTATCTTGTTTTCCAGTTAAAGATGAATCCAACCACACGATTGGAGTGGAGTTTGGCTCTAAGATTATTAACGTGGTCAACAAGATGGTCAAACTGCAGATTTGGGACACTGCAGGACAAGAGCGGTTCAGGTAGAGAAAAGTCCATGTTGGTTTGTGTATGAAATGCTCCTGAACAACGCTTCAGTCCTTTTCTACGGCATTGATACTGTAAACAAAGCTATTTTACAACACCTGATAATGAGTTCAAGGTAAAGAGGCTTTTGTATAAAACAGCATTACTGAGTGAGTTAGAGAGAGCTAATGAAATCGAAGTATTGCAAACAGTTCAACTTGTCAAATTCATACATATATCTGCTTTGATGTGGAGTCGAAGTGGTCAGAAAAAAATATCCAGACAGGAAAAACTTTTGTGAAGGGTCTGTTGACTTCAATATCAATAGGCAGGAGAACATTTAGGTACAACGGGGTCATATCACAAAGAATTGGTGAACCACAGTCAAGTTTGAATTAGATATCAGCAATTCATATTTTGCATGTAGACTTTTTTGCTCAGAGTGAACCATCTGTTATTTTCACAGCACAACATCAAAATTTGTGAACATGTTTGGCTTTTATGTGTGTGTCTGCAACCAAACTGTCTTAAGCATTATTTGTTAAAGTGAGCTCTGTCTTCGTAGATGACTAAATGTAGGTGACTAGATGTAAATTTTGAATGCTGAATGAGATGATAAGGAAGAAAAGAAGAAAAGGGACATTATTCAAATGACTACAAGCTCATTTTGATGAATTTATCTGCATATCTGTGGGTTTGTGTCAGGTCTGTGACTAGGAGTTACTACAGAGGAGCAGCGGGGGCCCTGCTGGTCTATGACATCACCAGGTACCTCAGCCAATCATGGATCATGTTTTCCACTTTTAATCTCTTGTTTGTCATGAAGCTCTCCTCTCTTTTCTAAACTGTAACCCGGGTTTCTCTCTGTCTCCTCTCTCTGCAGCAGAGAGACGTACAATGCTCTGACCACATGGCTGAGCGATGCCCGAATGCTCGCCAGTCAGAACATCGTCATCATCCTGTGTGGAAACAAGAAGGACCTGGACGCTGACAGGGAGGTCACCTTTTTGGAGGCGTCACGCTTTGCCCAGGAGAATGGTGAGACTGGACGTGTTTGTTTTTCTGAAGTGGTTGCCTCATACTTCAAAGAGTCGTACTGCTCAGAGTAAACTGATGTGTCAGGTTTGAAAGGAGTGTTCGTGTGTGTTTGTTAGAGCTGATGTTCCTGGAGACCAGCGCTTTGACAGGGGAAAACGTTGAAGAGGCTTTTGTGCAGTGTGCCCGCAAAATTCTCAACAAGATAGAGTCAGGTAGGAAACATGATCCTCACCTATGAGCCGAACCCCTGACACTGCTGGAGCTCTCACTGTTATTGTTCCTGGAGAGTCTCAGCAAGAAAACCAGAAATGACAGACAGTTTTGTTTTATCGACTGCTTTCTTAATAGCAATATTTTTGAAACGAATATTCCCATAATCCTACCTCCTCATTTTTGTTTCTCCTCCTCTCTGATTTCAGGTGAGCTGGATCCTGAGAGGATGGGTTCAGGTATCCAGTATGGTGATGCTGCGTTACGACAGCTTCGCTCTCCTCGCCGCGCTCAGCCACAGGGCGCACAGGAGTGTGGCTGCTAGTGGAGGCGCTCACAAACATACACGGACAAGGTAAAAGGAGCTATGGGTTCACACTAGCATGTTTTTGTGCTGTGTGCATGGCATGGAATTGATTTTGCACTTCCTGTTTTCTTCACCAAATAAGTATTTCTATACATTTCTTTTATACACTCAGCATGTCAGAGCTTTCAGACAAGCCTGCAGAGCCACTTCTGAGTATGATGGTTTAAAAATCATTCAAATCATTTCTAAAATTGAAAAATTTGATAACATTTCAAAAATTGAGAGTCACTTAATCCACAAATGCAGGTTAGAACTGCACAAATCTGTGTATATGGTCCAAATATACCACAACTTCTCTGGGTCCAAGCTTATCTAAAAGGGGCTAAGAGGAGGTGGACTTTACTTTCTCGGGGTCACACAAATCAAACCTTGACATTCATTTTGAAAATACTCTGTCCTTTACTCTTAGGAGGAGAGACACTACCCTGTTTATTATCAGCGCTCATTTCAAAAGCTAGCCTTTGTGCTCTGTTATTGTTGCAGATCTTTTACCCTTTTTCATTTTCCCTTTTTGTGTACATGGTATATGGGTCAATGACATATAAGGTTTTTTAACATGCCAATTTTAAAATACCAAAAATAAGAATATCTTTTGCAACAGTTCAAACACTAAGGATGTTGTGAATACAAAAATTAATGATAAATTTTTAATGAGGCAATTTTAGTGTTTTTTCATGTAGATGAATTGCCCACGGCCTCAAAAAATGTCATGTGGTTCGACCATAATTTATCTCAAAATGATTACATTTTCTTAACATACTTCATAGTTTGTTTGTTTGTTTGTTTTTTATTGTCAGTGATATCAAGTACATGATCTCTTATTTTAGCTCTATAATGTCACAGTCTCTAATATTAAATGTAGTTAACAGACTCATTTTTTCTTTAAATTGCATAACACTGATAAAAATGTTTTAAAACGACCTTTCACTTAAGCATATTGCATCAGGTATCAATGTTTCAGTTATAGAAATTAGATACTTTAGTTTGTATTTGATACAATTAATGTTATTATTGGTCACACCACGTGATGGCTGGTTGCGCCAAATGACCTGAAGACCTTGTATCATTAAAAATCAATTTAAAGAGACCAATAAATACACATTAGTTCAATGCAAATTTTATATTCAAACCAAGTTTTATTAACATTTCAATCATGAACACAAACATTTTATTTCATTTTTTTTTTATTTTATTTAACTGTGTGTGTTTGTGTGTGTGTGTGTTTGCGATCAGTGTGTTTCAGACAGGTTGATGAAGACCAGAAGAGGGTCAGCCTCAGGGGACCCAAACAATCATGGGTTCAGGATGCTGTGCTGGTGACTCCTTTCTGACCCTTCAGCCCCAAATCTTCAGAATCTTCAGAACCTTTTGAACCTTTGTTGTCACGGCTACACCTTCTGCAGAGAGCCAAAACGACTTCATAGCCACGTCCCCTCCTCAGAACTCAGAGCAACTCCATGGTAATCTTTGTCCACCCTACCCTTCATGATTCTGCAATATGTGTGGACCAAACCTCCTACAAGCCCCCCCCCAATCAGAGTGTGGATAGCTAACCTGTTTGTCACCTTTTCTTCATCTAAATCCTTTTTTTTAAGAGTAACTTCTTTGTTTTTATTTCACATGTTACTATATCTTACCAGAAGTAGACTAAAGTTTGAGAAAGTTTGGCTTCCTGACTTTTTTTTTAATGAAACATACAAGTGACATCTTGCATTTCCAGAAAATGTTAATCTTAGAAATGTTATTTGGGATCTGGAATTAAACAGGGACCTTTCTCCTTTACCAAAATAGCTTTTATCAAATAGGTCTTGTGCTGACTGCCACCTATTCTTGGTATCTAATGAAGTAGTGTAGTATTATAGTATGTATCGATGAAGAATACGTTGTTTTTTAGTGATGTTAAAGATATAGGTGACCTTGTCGTTTCCTAAAAATGAAAAAAAGGTTGTTGACTCTTCCTGCACTCAGAGGTTTGACCTAAAATGCCCAGTGAAAGTATCTCTGACATTTTTACAGCACTCTCACATGAGCACAGACCAGGAAAGCTAGAAAGCAGCTCCCCTGACCCTGACCCACATTGAGTGCTAGTGTTTACATCAGTCAATATCCATGAAACGTTCCTCTCCAGGTTTTTAAAGTGAACACATTCATGTGGAGAATCAGACAGCACTCAGTGGGTGATCTCATGGGAGCTTTGAGCTTTAGCTCAGCTAAAAGCCTTTGGACCTAAAGTTAAAACCTGGCACACAGAAAGTCTTGATTTTTCTCGTTATAACCTGGGCAAGAATATAATTTCTTCAAACTGTTGGACTGTCCCTTTGACTGCTATGTTACAACAGTCTGATACATTTCTCACTTCCTTGTATCACTTCTTTTTGACACTGTATCACTTAGTATGCCATGTTACACTTCCTACTCTTTTTATCTCCACATCCGAGCATTCTCTCTGTCACCTGCCTGCCCCTCTGCACACCTCTTCACCTGCTTGTGGATTTGCTCAGCCCCCTACTTCCTCACCCTCCTCTCCAGTATCTTACACACTGTACAGTGTTTTTCTGTATATAGAGACTGACGCATGTTTTCTCAAACAGAATATCAGAGTATTTCATTATGAAGAGCTATTATATGTATATTAACATAGAAAAAAGTCATATCCAGAATCTCTTTCATGCTCCGCTGTATTATTATCATGTGAAGCTACAATACACTGGTGATGTGTGAGCAGTGTGGATGAGCGGTGCTGTTTTCAGCTGTTATGTTCATGATCTTGACTAACACGTTTATGTGAGAAAATGCTGTTCAATCATATTTCAAGCTCATAGATTAAAAAGATAAACAGAAAAGGCAACCTAAAACATTCAGAGCTCACTCTGCTCTCTGTTACAGTTATCCATAACCACTGGGAGTGTGAGTTACACATCATCCTTTAATTTACACACTTATAATTTGGTCAAAGGATGAATCTGAGAGTTGTGTATCAGAGAGACTCTGATCTTAGTCATTTCTAAATGTTGCCTGTTTACATGAGTACCTTGGTGACTGCTGCCAGCTGTAAGGTAATATTAACTGAATGCATTTCAAGTTTTAACAACCATATGAAGCTATCCGATGTGTGTTTGATTTTACTTTTGTCTTCAAAGATCCTCAACGTCCACTGTTTCAAAATGATGCATTCATCCTTTAAATCAAGCAGATCTGATGGCGGCTCTAGACGATTAATATCAGGTTGCTGTCTTGATTTTATGAAGTTTTTTGTTTGTATTTATGTACATCTGGTTTTCTTTTGTCATTATGAATATCATGGATTTTTAATTTATTGTGTATGATAAAAGCATATGTTTTTAGAATAAAAAAACTACTACAGATACAAGATTGTTTGAAAGGCCTTTATTATTGATGAAGTCTTGAGGAGATCCGATGTCTAAAACTTTTCAGAATAATTTGATTAAAGGCGCTATGAGAAGTTTTAATTGTTTGAGAAACAGACTGAAACTGATATTGATGCCTCTTTATGACTTTTCAAAGCAAAAAAAAAGACCTTCAGCAACAAGACTGATCCTTTCTGTTGTGATTTTCACCACCTGAAACTGCTGTAAAGGGGTAAGTGTCACACCAGATGACTAACAAACACTTGTTACGAGTGATACATTACATAGTAAAAAAGCAACAAGATGAGGTTCTTGTCTGACAACAAAACTTAAACATGTCCAGGACAAGTGATAAAGGGTATGGCTTTGTCCAAAGGAGGCACCAAAATCAACGAAAATGAAAAAGTTCCCTATTGAGGCTTTTATCTGTGAGAGAGAGAACAACAAACCAAAAAACTCTCAAGTGATTTATTGACAGCTTTACATTAACCTTATTTTCTTCCAAAACATAGCAAACATTTACACACACTTCGTAAAGCCTAAAACATGAATATACAAAATATTGAACAATTGAACCAATCAGTCACATAATTAGTGGATTTAATTTGTCATTTCCTCAAATACCCCTGATCAAAGCAGAGAAAAACAATCATCTGAGTTGTCATTCCGATCAAAATAGATATAAAGATTCTTAACTCTCTGCTTTACATCATTACATGTACAGGCCATAAAGAAAATAACACATCTTCTCTACAGTACAATTTGGTCTAAGCAACTTCAAAATAATCATAATAATAACAACAGTGAAAATGAGCATGAATATTATAGCTTGTTTCCCTTCTGCTCTCAGAGATTGTCATATTTCACCAAGTGTGAGACAACACACACTGGCAGATATTCAAAAAATCTAATATTGCACAAATTCACGACTGTCATCAAAACTATATTGCAGTAAAAAACTAAACACTGAAAAACCAAACTAACCCAAAAGCCAGTTATGTAATACTGAACCAAGAGCAACTTGAACAGAAGAAAAATATTAAACATGTCAAATGTAAAGCACAGGCCTCCACTCCGCATCTCTTTTCTGTACAATATTCATGGCAATAAGATATCATGTGTTGACAGGAGGAAAGTTTTTATGGCACAGCTGAGTTTGTCATTTTGACTGAAACAAAGAAACCAAGATAAATCTGATTTTCCACCTTTCTGGTGATGAAAAACAGTGTCATGAAGAAAGATTTATTGCATCTATGTTTGACCTCTTGAGTCTGATGTCCAACACATCTAATAAAAAGTTTCAACGGATCAATTCCATGAATGTCTGAAGGCTAAAAAGGTATTCCTTACAAATATTAATACCATAGAACTGACTCTCTATCAAAGTGCTCTTTCATTTGATCAAACTCAGAGAATGAAGAATATGTTTTCATCTCTTTAGTGATAAAGGTAACAACCTTCCCATGCATTATTGTCAAGATTCCACTTTTTGGTCATAAGCACGTTCGGTAAATTTGGCTTACATATCCGACCCATTGAAAGCTGTACTTAGAAGAGAACCTTCGTGAACATATTATTTTTAACATTTACATTCAGGTGATAAAAATCAATAACCATAACCACTGGATGAGGAATTAGTACCAGAAACCTGCTGTTCACAGTCACCCAGTCACTTAAAATCCCACACCACCTCTATTTTAGACTGACGCCAGAAAGATAGTTACACACCAAAACAATTTTGCAAAAGTTTTTTAAACCAATTCATTAGCAATAAAACGCAAAAAGCCAGTGAAAGATTGTGGATATAAGGTTGACTTCTTCAGTACAATGTGAATCACCGTCTATCTAAACCAACGCAGTGAGCACTGATACAAAAACCATAGCGAAATCCACTAGAGCCACTTCACAGCACAAAGTGATCTGAGCAAATCAAAGGCTTTGAAACTCTTAAACAGACGTCTCTATTTGTCAATCAATACTGAGCACGAGGCACAAACAAGGAAGCAACTACCAAAACCAAAAGCTGCAAGTATACCAACCATTTGATTGTTTGTGTACATATCTGTATACATTAAGTGTTTGTACATTCTTCATGTTTATGGGTTCACATTTCTCTCAGAGGTGTTTTAATGAAGATAGTGAAGTCTTCATTACCCCTGAATGGGGGCACTGTGCTCTTAAATCCCTGTATAAAACATATTTGACACACTGTATAGACTGTGTTTAAAGGGAATGCATTTAAGTATGGCTGTAAAATACACTGTTTTCTCATTGCAATAAAACATCATTTATACTTTAACTTTCAAAAAATTTCTCTCAGGGGGTCTCCTGCCCTGTATCCCGATATATAATATTCAAATTTTGTATAGAAAAACACCATAACCCTCACATTTCAATATTTTGTCAGTTCACATCCCCAATATGCGCACACATTTAAGACTTTTTGTGAGTATTTATCTTTCTCACACTCTAGAGTCCATCTCTGGGTATTTTAACTTCTGAAGTGATAGGCAGTTATGGCTTTATTTTAGCATTTTTTGTCTGTAACCACACTGATGCAGCTAATCCTGCCAGATGGGTGTGTGAATCCATGTGTAGGAGTGTGTGTCCTATCGAGAGCGAGCAGAGAAGCAGCGCATGTATTCAGTAAGCCAGGGGTTGTATTCTGGTTGAACCAACTTTCTGGCCTTGTTCACATCAGCAGACTTGGCTCTCCGTCGCTCACCCCTCTGGGTCTGGATCTGCCGTTCCACTTCCCGTCTGGTCTTGGCGCGTAGGGCGGAGTCATGGATCTACCACGATGGAAAAAAAAAACACTATTAAGTGCTGTAACAACACAGCCTGTCATGCACAGATCTAAAGAAGGTGAGAGACATTACCTCGTTCGTGGAGGCTGCAGGGCCGACGTTGTGGGTCTTCCTACTTGCCATGTCTGCGTCCTTCTCGCCTGAACCGTACAGAGCAAAAGGATGTCTGGACTCCTTACCGTCCTCTTCAGCCTGCCGGGTTGGTGCAGGCCTCACACGCTCTACACGCCATGTTTGCTTTAAGGGTTTGGAGGATTTACTCTGCTGTCGTCCTTCCTTGTCTCTCACTACAAATACAAAAGATAAACATATTGAAGGTCTCTTCATATCAAAACAAAGTAGGACCTGTTTTAACTGCCACAAAATCAACTCTAATAACTGAGAAAAATAAACACTTACGAACACTAAAGGAGACAAGACAGAGTACAGACAACGCTGTTGATATCATTTACATCACTATAAATGCTGCTCTGGCAAAAAACACTCAATGTTGTTAAAAGTAGGTACAGGTTTGCAAAAATACTAAAATGTTATACTCAGGTTAAAGTACAGTTGCCACTTTACTTAAGTCAAAGTAAAACTTCCAGTCTTTTAAGCTGTTCAAATAAATGTATTTTATTTAAAATGCACTCAATAGTATTGAATATTGGGTATTTACTATAATGACATGGCAGTATGGGTTAGAGATAGGGTTAGTGGAAGTAAGACTTGCCATCAGATTATGCAAAAGTATGTTGTTCCAAACTAACTGTTGTCAAATAACCATCATCTTAATGTGTACTCTGACTATAATTCTGCGTCTATCCAAGGGAAAGTAATTGAATATTTTTGCAACATCTTTTTCCAGTTGTAGAGTTTGTAGATGATCCCAGCACGCTAACGTCATGGCAGATTGTTAATGCAAAACAAAAATAAGGACTTCATGGAAATGAGTGAAAATCACTTGATAAATGGTAAGATTTATTTTGTAACGTTTATCTCCTTAAGATAAGATTTATGTTTGGACCTGTCATATCAGTGTTGCTTTTACTGAGTGTAATGAGATATTTTGACTGGAGATGAGACATATTCACTGCACAGGATCAAATTTTTTTACATTGTGATGGAAAGCCTGGATGTTTTTTTACTAAGTAACTGAGACTAGATAAAAATGTAGAGAAGTTCAATACTTTCCACAGAAACACTTGAGTGAAAGCACTGATTTTAAAATCTTCTAAAATAATTCAACAGAGGCAATCCAATGACAGTAGCATGAGCGAATGCAAACAGACTCCTGACTGCATCTTTGCTGTTGCTCTGAACATTGAAAGGGCCCACACATGACACCACCTTGTGTTTAAATGTGCAAGGTACAGAAGAGTTCACACAGTAGGAACTTTTCTATTTTGAATTACCTCTGCCAAGTCTCACATGAGGAGGTGTTTTCTGTTTACCCGCTTTGCTGCTGGCTCTCTCCTCTTCTGCTCCTCCCGTCTCTTCTGCAGCTTGAAGCTGTGAGCCTACAGTAAAGTGAAAGGATCACACGGATTGCAAACTCGCAGTAGAGCAGCATGCATTCATTTTAATTTTGGATTGGATGTTTTTATACCAGGGTCTGCAGCCTCCTCCTCTCCCTCCTCTTGAAGGGGTAGTCTGGGCACCTGTTCTGTGGTCCTGTTCTGCTCCTGCTCTCTGTCCTTCCTCGACCCCTCACACTCCTCCAGCTCTGCCCCCGCCTGCTCCCTGCTGGTCTCAGCCTGGACCTGGTTCTTGCTGGTTTGAGGAGGAGGAAGAGGACTCCTTCCTCCGGAGTCCGAGTCACTTTCAGAACCAGCCCAGAACCAGGGGTTATGTGTGTGCTCCAGCAGTCTCCGGGTCAGCCTGTACTTCAGCATCTCCTCGTAACACTTGTTGAAGGTCTCCCATTTAGGGTCTTTGAATTTCTTCATGTACTCCGAGCGGATTCTCTTCGTCACCATCCTGTCTTCTCGAAAGCTCTCGAAACTGAGACCAAAAGACGGATTTTTTACAACATCGAAGAAAACATTATGACTGAGTGAAGTCGATAGAAAACTGAATCTTTTTGGGTCGCAGGCATTTGCCGTTTGGTATCGCCGCCTGACATTTAAACCTAAATAAAGCCACAGTCATAGCCAATGGCAGAACAGTTTACCGTGCTGAATGGCCCGCCTACTTCCTACTTCCGGTGTTGTGCCGTACAATGCGTCCCTGCTGTAGAATGCACCCCTGACGAAAGCACAGTTGAAAGTACAGAACAAGGCGAAATAATCCCAGTTTTCCTCATCGTTGGATGGATTCAAAAGCGTGTGCCTTTAATGATTTCATTCAGCCAATCCAGATAAACCGAAAACAATAGCCCACTGATTCAGAATATTTGCTGTCTCGAAAAATATAATGTTCTTTAACTTGACAGTTTACATACCCAAGTACACCTCTATATCAGACACATAAAAACAGAACAAAAGTTTGCAGCTCCATTTGACATGTTGTCGCGATCCACTACTCGTGTTTTTTTTTTAAATATGAGATCATTTTCTTCCACTTTAAGAAGCTAATGAGCGGATGGGACGCAGGGGTGCATTCTACGGCATGGGGTGCAATCTACGCCATAACACCTGTAAGGAGTCGCTCTCTCTGAGCCGAGGTGGAGCATAAAAATACGAACTTAACGAAACTACAACAGACAAAATTGGCTCCAAAAACCCAATCAGTGTTTTAATATTATATTATATGTAGATAATCAAAGCTAAAACTGCGCTAATAGATAGTAACGGGTAATTATGATGACGTATTAGTTGTCTTCGCCTCTGATTGGTCCTCGCGATCTGAACGTCTGTAGAGTACTACAAATTAAAGGTCAGGTCTGATCACTGTATGTAAACACTCACAATCATCGTAAATCATCGTGACCTTACAACCACATCGTTAAAACATATAGGATTTTGGACCCGAGCTCATTCGGAATAGGCTGATATCAAACCCTCATTTTGGCCTGATCGTTAGCTTTTACACGGTAACAGCGAGTACTCATTAATCTTGGATGATTAATAAGTAATTTTTATCACAAGTTTTCACGCTAATGAGAGATGTGTTAGTGTTGTTAATGCAAAGCAGTCAATCATAAGGTATTATGAGGTGCAGATAATCGCCTGTCATCGGACGCACAAATAGCCTGAGCCTAAAACCTCAGTGACAATGAATCGCCTCTCGTCTAAGATTCAGCAGTGCAATGTTTGACAGCAGCAGTGATTCAGGGCTGCAAGAGTCTAATTTTGCATACAGTAAATATACTTACACTGGGGTCGGATTTCACGGAAGCAGAGAAGAACAGATGGCGTTCACGCCGCTGTTGGATGTAATAACAGGCTGCGTCTCTTAGCTCCGCCTGCCGGAGGACGTTTTTAAAAAGCCAAACACACCCGCAACAGGTGGCCCGGGCAGGAATGCGGTCAGGGTGGTCATACATGTGGCTGATAATGGTTTCTATCAGATGGTCAAAGAGGATGAAAAGATAATTTAATTATTTGTAGACTCTTAAAGACGAAAAACCTTAACTGAGTGATTCGTTTCATGGTCAAGTGTGTGCGTATGACTCAACGAGAAGCTGAATATTCCTGCGCTATTAAGTCTAGGCGAGAGATGAAAGTGGGCGTCATAGAATAATTTAAATGTTGTCTTATTATAGTCGACAATGCAGGTCCACTGGGTGATGAGGTGACTCGCGCTCCAGACGTGCCCGACACATTTCTTTGCGCTTAAAGCCTACACCCGCCTAACCTGACGGGCTATCTATGCATATAAGGTAAGAGCCACTGTACACACAGGGGTCCGTTTTTGTCTAAAGATGGTGCGGGGACCGGAGACGCGCGTAAAGACGCACAGGGCAGGCGGCCTAACAGGATTCATACCCGGGTGTCAGGTGTCCTATATGCCACTGATCCGCCCGGTCTAAAGCGGAGCTGCTGCTGCCCAGGCACATTCCTGGCAAGTCAAACCCCGACTGTCGGAGACTGGCTGGAGGCGTGCCTGTCTTTACCTCTGTCACCCACGAGCCCCCCAACCAGAGCAACACCCTGTCTCCCTCCCTCGTACCCGCCCTATTGTGCCGTGCCAAGACGACCCCTTTGAACTTCCTTGCTGTTGAGCCAGGATTGTTGGGGTGTGTGTCATACAGTAGCTTGAGTGAGAGTCAGTCAAGCATTTTTTTAAGTGGTGATGATTTCAGTGTTTTGACCAATACTTCCCCAAATTGTTGTTTGATTTTCATGCATTAAATTATTTTAATTGTATAGGGAACTTTTTAAGTAGCACCCTTTTACTGACTGAAACCATCTTCCTATAATTTTTTGTTGTTGTTTTTCACCCTGTCCTGCTACCTCCATCTGTGAGAAGAACAAGGCCGGGGTCCAAAATACCAAATAATGGACTTTAATAAATTATCAATATGTATATACACTTACATTCACATGTGTTGGGCAACATGTTGTTCTTATTTTTTTATTAAAGTTTTTTGGATGGATGCATGGTTCAGTGGTCACAGCCTCTCTCCGTGCAACACAGACAACAGACAGCTTTTGAAATATGCACAATTTAAAAGGATGAAAAATGCATATTAATGTCAATAGCGCAGACAGAAAGTCCATTGACAGCAAAGTGTTGCTGTGCCGCAGAGGTCGATCCTCCTTCTCGCATAATCTCCAGATAGCTGGTGGTGTAAAGGATGGAGATGATGGAGAAGCTGGAGAAGATGGAGGATTTAGAAGCACTTCCTGTGGACAATGCTGGGGCCAGCCTCGTCGTACTCCTGCTTGGAGATCCACATCTGCTGGAAGGTGGACAGGGAAGCCAGGATGGAGCCACCGATCCAGACGGAGTACTTCCTCTCGGGGGGAGCAATGATCTGTAGAGGAGGGAGGAGAGGAGAGAAATGATCAGTCAAGTGTCAGCCAAAGTTCCTGTGCGTAATTTGTGCGCAAGCATCTCAATCAGGGAGGAGTAGAAGTGTTTTTGTTGTCATTATATTCACCTTGATCTTCATGGTGCTGGGGGCCAGGGCAGTGATCTCCTTCTGCATACGGTCAGCAATACCAGGGTACATGGTGGTACCACCGGAGAGCACATTGTTGGCGTACAGATCCTTACGGATGTCAATGTCGCACTTCATGATGCTGTTGTAGGCAGTCTCATGAATACCAGCAGACTCCATGCCTAGTTAGGTGAGAAGGACAAGTATTCAGATGAGGATAACAAGTATTTCAAGAGATGCGCATAATCAGAGGACATAAATGATAATGTGACTCACCGATGAAGGAAGGCTGGAAGAGGGTCTCGGGGCAACGGAACCTCTCGTTACCGATGGTGATGACCTGACCGTCGGGAAGCTCGTAGCTCTTCTCCAGGGAAGAGGAGGAGGCAGCGGTGGCCATCTCGTTCTCGAAGTCCAGAGCCACATAGCACAGCTTCTCCTTGATGTCGCGCACGATCTCACGCTCGGCTGTAGGGAGACAAGTTGATGAATTGTTACTCGGAGTGATAAACAGCGGAGACAGCAGACACAGCATGCGTAATGGCAGACTGATTAAGTGGTCTAAACAGTAGCCTACAATTTAGGTAACAGAAATGTCTTGTTCCAGAATACAGTTTTTATCCATCTTTAACCCACAGTTACATTAGGTTTTTACGGTGGGTGTCATTACATTTACATATTTTGGTCCAAGGCCTCTATTACTCAGAGTGATAATACTGTATGGTAAAAAAAAAAAAGAGCATTAAACTGGGTCAGGTAATCAAGATCCACATATGTACTACTAATTTATGCAAACTGCAAGTAGAATCTATATTATAATATTTTGATGCCTATTTGTGAATTCTATTTTTCTTTTTGCTTCTTTCTCTTATGTATGTATGTTGTTGTTGTTGTTTGGGTGGGCTGAAGTCCTCACCGGTGGTCACGAAGGAGTAGCCACGCTCAGTCAGGATCTTCATCAGGTAGTCGGTCAGATCGCGACCAGCCAGGTCCAGACGCATGATGGCGTGGGGCAGGGCGTAACCCTCATAGACTGGGACGTTGTGGGTCACACCATCACCAGCATCCAGCACAATACCTAAAGAGAGGCAAAGTGAGAGTTTAGTAAAGTCCGGGCGACAAAAGACCTGAAACGTTACACTCTTGTGCGTAAAAGTGAGGCTAAAGTGAGCACTTGGATAAGTGTTAACAAACTGAGGTGAATGTGTCTGTAACACGGGTCACAAATGAGCATAAACAGTCCCAGAGAGGCTGGTAGGCTGTGCGTAAAAGTTGTGCGTAAAATGGATAAAAGGGAAATGTTGAACTATGTGAAGCAACTTTTTAAGAGTGTCATCAGTTACATCTGTTTGAAGTATTATTTTCCTCTATTTAAATCCTCTATGTGTGTGTTTAATTATTGTTTAGGTAGTTGTGTTTGTGTTTCTGTTGGTGGGTGGCAGCTGTTTGTTGTCATCATTTCTTACCAGTGGTACGGCCGGAAGCGTACAGGGACAGCACAGCCTGGATGGCCACATACATGGCGGGGACGTTGAAGGTCTCAAACATGATCTGGGTCATCTTCTCTCTGTTGGCCTTGGGGTTCAGGGGGGCCTCAGTGAGCAGGGTGGGGTGCTCCTCGGGGGCAACTCTCAGCTCATTGTAGAAGGTGTGATGCCAGATCTTCTCCATGTCGTCCCAGTTAGTGATGATGCCGTGCTCGATGGGGTACTTCAGAGTCAGGATACCTCTCTTGCTCTGAGCCTCATCGCCGACGTAGGAGTCCTTCTGACCCATACCGACCATGACACCCTGAAAGTGGGAGAGAAAGAGAAATAATAGAAAGGTTACTTTAAGTAAACAACTATAGGTATGAACTTTCCCTGACTGACAGTGCGGGACAAAAGGCACGCTGGCCAATGCGCAGACGTGCCAAGTGACTGCATGGAGCACAGAGACAGACACAGCGCAACTGTCAGTTCATCTGTGACTAATTTAGGCTCAAAAGGTCAAAGGCCACGCTTCTGGTAAAGCAGAGGGAGCCAAAGAGACATGGCTCCAAATAATGCCTCGCTATTGTTGCTCAAAATGTACGAATTTTGTTTTAAAAAGACTGAAATATGACACTCAGACAGGAGAATCTTAGTCACTCCAGCTGGTCATATCTGTAAAAATGGATCAGGTCCCATCTTGTAAGATGGGCCACTTTTCGTTAGTTTGCGTAATTAGCTTTTAAAAAATGTGAAAATAATTTGGCAGTGATTCAGGTCATTAGGCTATATAGATTTTGATTTCTTTCAAATCCAAATTTAAGGCTTTCAATTAGTCTCTCAATGTTTTCTATTGGTATTTTCTCTGCTGTTTACCTGGTGACGGGGACGGCCAACGATGGAGGGGAACACGGCCCTGGGGGCATCGTCTCCGGCGAAGCCAGCCTTCACAAGGCCGGAGCCGTTGTCGCACACAAGGGCGGTAGTCTCATCGTCGTCACACATGTTGGCTTCTGTCAGAGAAGAGAGGGAGGAGAAAACAAGGTGAGATCCACATGGAGGCACAAAACTGTATGTGACAGAAATGACTTGTAGGAAGAAAATTGCTTCATTTGTTAGTTTCTCCTGAGGTCTCACCAGGTGTAATAATTCGATTGACTAAAAATAATGGTTAACCTACACTTACTGAAGATGATGCTTTGCGCTAAATGTAACCCTGGCACACTGACACTGGATTATGACACCATTACGCATTACGCACAGGCCTGTATAAACCCTGTGAATTCACAGCTGTAAATGATACGAAACTAAACTACTTTTTTGTCATTTCTATCTTAACAGTTAAGTTAAAAAAACAACTTATTCTTCTTTTCAATCAAATTAGTTCAGACCTGCAAATTCTCAAGCCACTCAGATTATTGTCAAGATCAGGTAAATTTGAGGAAAATCCTCCAGCATTCTGATCATCACCTCTCTCAAAGACATCATTCTGTCCTCAATAGTTCTGAAGGCGCACTGCATCCTGCTGCTTTAGTATCTTTTCTTCTTGTTTTACTCCTTTTAACAAGAGCTAAACTCTTTGAATAAAACCTCTCTGTCTGATGAATCAATCTATCCTCAATTTTAGGACACAGTGGTACAGATGTAACACTGCAACCCAGTATTCTAGTATTAGTAGTTCTTTTCTCTGGGTCTCCAGCCTCTTCTACGATCTGCTCTATCCTCAAGAGAAGCTGCCCATGTGGCCTGCTGTAGTATCTGGTCCTGGGCGTCCTGTTCCTACCAGTCCCCTCTAACTTCTGCTCCAGTAGATGCCCCGGTGTGGCACTACCTAAGGCCTATAGTCTGGTGTCCGGACCTGGGTGTGAGTCCTCAGGAGTAGCAGGTCCTTGCAGGGTCTTACCTTAGGAGTGTGTCTGCGGCTCGGAGAGAAAGACCCAACCAGTGCTGCTGCTGAACCAGCTACGGTCCTCTGCTCTGCCTGTGCCCATTATATACCCGACCTCCACCATTCACAAACCTCAGCACTGGCCCCCATCCCGGCCCTCTGCCATATTAGGACGCTGACAGGCCGAGGAGGAGGAGTGGAAGAGTGGAGGAGGGGGGCGCATCAAGGAGGCGCGCCTTGCGGAGGTACGCAGGGAGATCCATCCATCCATCAGGCTTCAGGAAGGGATCAGGAGTGACGTTGCGCGCCCCCGACCAGGAGAGAGCGCGCGCCATATATGGAACTGTCGCTTTGACCTCCCATCGAGCCACGCGGTCCCACCTAGAGGTCCGTATAAGGAGCGCGCGGGCCACTGGGGTTTTCTAGGGGAGACGCCAGTTGCTACCAACCAGGGTTATAGATTTGCTGCTAGTAGGCCTCATCCAGCCTTAAAATGGGAAAATGCTGCCCTCATCTGAACAGATTTAGCCCACTGAGAGAGCCAGGGACCAAACTTCTTTCTGTAGGTCAACCAGGAAACAAACTGCAGCCGGAGAGGGTCAATTAAGAGTTCAATTAATGATCCCAGTGATACAAATGAGAGAAGACTGAGCTCTTTGGATGAAGCTGAGGAGGAGAACTCTGTGAGGGATGGATACACATGTGGGCTTCATCATTCCACTCATCAGTCTTTCACATCAATATCAATAAATTAAACTAATCACAAGTGATCCAGTACATACTGTAGACCAGCTGCATGAAGCTGGGCCTAATATGGAATTATGAGTAGGAAACTGGAGGCCTTCTTTCACCCAAACCTGGGTGCTTGACAGCTTATATTAGTAAAAACTGTGCACAGATGATCCTGTTCATTGGAGTTCCTATTTCTGATTTCTATTTCTGATTTTACACTAAATAACTTGTCATACATGGATAGTTTCATTCAAAATCTGCTGCTCTGTAGACCACATGGCCCTGCAGTCAGACACCTCTGAGGCAGACATATTGAATAAAAAAAAGGAGAGCAGCTCTGAAGCTGAAACTCAATCTGGAGGAGCTCCTCTGCTCAGTCACTAGAGCAGTTGGATTAATTATAACTCCAATGGAGGGGGGGACCGAGTGCACGTGTGCACATAGGAGTGAGAACACCTCAGTGTGTACATGCATGCACTCATGTTTGAATATTATGACATGAAGGATCACAAGTTGGGGAAAAGGAGGTACCAAGAAGTTTATGATAAACTGAAAAGGAAGTCTGAGATTAACAGAGGAGTGTCTGAAGAAGACAGGCCACTAGGACAAAATGAACTGGATTTAGTGAGTTTTAGAAGCAGAGGCACAAAAGAGAGGAAAAAACAGAACTGGCATCTCCAATGACACCTGGGGACAGCTGGACACCTGTTCAAAGCACTAAAGTTGAATGAGCATCAAAAAAATGAGTCAAATCTGTTTGGGCTTTGAATCTGAAAATTCATGAATGTGCACAACAAAAATTATGGGGGAAAAATGGCTCCAGATCCAAAGATCCAAATGGAGGAAGGCTTTTGAAGAGATAATGCAAAAAAAAAAAAAAAAAGAGTGTTGAAAAACTGCCTTATTACATACAGCTAGACTCATGAGCACATACTGTCTGTCAACATAGATACCCTTTAATGACCGGGATTCTCATTATAGCAGCTACTGAAAGCTTCATATGGATTTCAGGCGGTTGAAAACAAGCCACTGCTGGTTATGTAAACACTTGTTTGAAATGTGTACATCTCCTATGAACTGAATTTTAAAAAAATGAAAGAAAGGGCGACTTTATGCCATGATGTGACCTGACAGGCTTTAGAAAATATACATGATTTCTGCTCTTGAAACACAGATTTGAGGAAATGCAACCAGATTAATCATTTGTTAACACAAATAGGGTGGGGAGAAAAAAGAGAAGAAAAATCTTGAATATCTGCGGCTGTAGTCCAGGCTGTGTGTGAATGTCTGTATATGTGTGTGTATGTGTGTGTATGTGTGTGTGCTGGGGGGAGGAGGTTCAGGGGGTGGAGGGGCTGCACAGAAAGGTAGAGCTACTTTTATGCACTTGTTGTGAGCCGTTCTGGATCCGAGGGGTCTGTGAAACGCCTAAAATGTAAAGGAGCTGGCAGTTGTCGGGAGGGGAGGGGAGGTCAGAGGGGCCGAGGGGGGTAGGAGAGTGACGGGAGTCTCCTGGAGAGACTGCTTAGGGAAGGGGAGGAGAATGAGGGAGGTGAAAGAGCGTGTGGGCAGCAGGTGGCAGAAAGAATGAGTTCAGTTTGTCAGAAGAAATGTCAGCGAGCCAGCTGAAGGAGACCCTTTGGATAAGGAGAGGATTCTGTCAGGGTTTTGTTTACCGTAGAGCCTTGAAGTCTTCTTAACAAGTCAAATAATCAGGAAGAACGTAGCTGGGTAGAAAAAGTAGGATGTGATTTTTCTTTTAATTTTTTTTTTCAGAGCATGCTCGGTTTTTTTCTTTTCAGTCAGATTTGTATTTCAGTCCTTACATCTCTCCCTCTCTCTTTCTCTCTCTCCTGAGAGCACAGAGGGTGAGAGTGTCAGCATGAAAGAGTAAGAATAGCAACAAGCCTCGGCATTCAATCGCTGGAACCAATACACTGGCTGTACATGAGGGTCCTACCTTTTTAAGTGTGGCTGTGGGCTGCATGTACAGAGACAGAGAGAACACACAGGGGGCTCATTAGACTGAGCTTATTTTTCTCCCTGAAGTGTAACAAGTGAAGGAATATGCAGAATAATGTTCATGTAGTGGTAAAAGTGCTCTGAAGGACAGTCACATTGTCTTATATTTGTATAAAAAAAGTCTGGTGATCTTACACAGGCAGTGTCTCTAATTTAAGAAAGACTTGTTAAAGGTGTAAATGTGTCCTTCATATGTTGACATGGCTGGGAGCTGAGTGGGTGAAATGTTGACTTTTTATTGTCTTAAAAAGCTTCAGATATGCTGGGTTATGTATGCTAGGTGTTTTAGAGTCCAGCTTAAAGTCAGAGGGGTGAGCCATCGTTAGCATTTGGCACCTTAGCTTTAGAAAAGAAACATTTTCCATCTTAAGAAATGTTTTTTTTTCTGTTTTATGTGCTTGTATTTTTCTCTTCCTCTCACTCTCTCTCTCCCTTTTTGCGTATTTGTGACTATATGCAACTCTACGCTTGAAAAAAGGCTGCTGAATAAAACTTGTATCATAATGTGTTGGTATAAACTGTGATTTGACTCAAAGTCTCAGGTCACATTACTTGCCCTGTTTGGCCTCATCTTGCCTGCCATGTGCTGCACAATTCAGTTCCTAGCTGTGTGCTTTCTAATACTGCTTTCCAATGATCCTAAAACAGGACCTGTGCTTTTAAGTTGATTAAAGATACTGATGAGAGAAAACCACTGACCCATCGACTAAATGACATTTTATTTGTTACACACAGGGTGGGAAAAGGGTTGGCAGTACTTCACCATAGTGAGACGTAAGTGGGGAGATGACCCCAGATCAGTGACAGCAGCAGATTCCTCTCTTTTACGACATACAAACACAAGTTACTATTCTGTGTGTATGCGTGTGGGCATATTCAACACAGGTGTGATGCCTAATATCATCAGTATTTGTTTTGCCTAATGACTCTAAATCGTCTTTCTACTAATTAACCACAGCATAATTGAGTTTTTGTCTTTTAAACTTGTACACTGTGAACCCGAATCATTGATCATGATCATTACTCCTCTCTAATGAACAAATAAGGCTGTGTTTTCCTCAGTCAGTGTGTTGCATAAGGCCTAAAAAGGGTCAGAACCTCAGTTCCTCTGGTTCCTCAAATAGCCCGGGGGTCGATACAGAGAAAAGCGTGGGGAGCTGCAGCACATGGAGCCGCAATTAGAAACCCTCACAGGGCTGAGTAGCACCTGGTCAGAGCCAGCTGAGCCGTCCTCGGCAGGACAGGAACACAAGTGCTGCCCCTGTAGGGGGGCCTTGACCCACTGCTAAGACATGAGTTAACAATCACAGAGGAGCTTTGAGACTGTCTGAGGTAATACGGAGAACAGAGTCTGGAGTAAAAGGTTTGATTTTAGAGTTCATTCTTTATGTACTGCTATAAAATACCATGAGGAAACTGGACAATTTGTTGTATTTGATAATATCAAATACAGAGACGGTGAAAGATGATAACTTTAAATAGCCACAATTCTAGATATAGATCAATGAGTGCACTCAGGAGGAAGGATAAATCAACTAGCTGTATTGGCTTGCTACAGTGCCATGACCTGAGTGTGTGTGAGTGTACGTTTGTGTGACCTGGTGAGACAATGAGCAGAGTCTATTTGCATGAGGAGCTCAGTACACTGTCAACACCAGCTGCCAACAGCTGCAAACACATTACTCATGTCATTACCACAAGGTTTTATTTAGATATGATGGATTCAAAGAGCATTGATCCCACCAACCTGCAGAGTGAGAAGTGAACACCTTCGAGCCTGCCCACTGAGCGAACGACAGAGCAATAGCACCACCTTCTGACCACCACATTCTCTGAAAGGAAACACAAACTGACACCAGACAGCATCAAAGTTCAAGCAGTACAAGAAAAATCATATAGGGAAGTCCGCCCATTAAAACACTTCCTGCAAAAATATTCAATTTTAAAATATTGCATTTTATTTTTTATTTTTTCTTTTGACCAAGAATCATAACTTAACAAACACAAAAATCCTCTTTATCTATTGTACAAAATAAAGATCATATTCATTATTCATAGAAAGAGAAAAAACAAGCCTTCTGTGCGACCTTCAAGTTCATTTACTGGAGGGAGTGCTGAGATGACGTCTAATCAAACACACATTTTTCATTCATGAGCTGTAAATGTCTGAGCAACAGGACACGACAAGACAGGCCTGAATGTGTCAGAGGTGCTAATGTTCAAGGCAACTATTTAGTAAAGACTAACAAATTGTGGGACATGTAATCCTGCAGTGAATCATGAGGAAAACAAAAAATCGTGTCTTCATGGTGAAACGAAAACAAGCAGGCATTCAGGACAACATAACACTGTGATGAATCATCTTGTTTTATTACATTCATTCAAACATCGATCAGAGCTTCACTTCTGCTGCTTTACAGTTTATACACTGTAATATACTTGTATAAAACCCCTATACACATTAAGTATAAATGTGCTGTGTTTTTTTCCATATAATGTATATCCCTTTTTTTATAATATCACAATGTAGTTTCAATCTTTGAGTCACTGTTGTAGTCTCCACCGAGTCTCTGATGTCAAAATGTGAACGAAAAGTTACCTTCATCAACATTTGAGTCTACCGCCACTCAAACATGTATTATCAGCACAAATGACATTCAGATGTACAAAAGCTGTTCAAAACGTAAAGGATGCTGTGTAAAATTATGAATTAACGGATTTTGATGGTTTGCAAGTCATTTGGATACGGGTTTTGATTGAGATTAGTGCATAGACAACATACCAAGTGTTGGTTTTTAAGAGTTTGGACAGGGGAATGTTTAACACTGTGTTGCATCATCTTCTCTTATAACAACACCAGGTAAAGGTTCAGGTACCAAGAGGGTCAGCTTCTGGAGTTTTCAGCCACAGTTAAACAACGAGGAAGAGATTACAGAACAGATTGTTCTCCCTTGAGTAAATTTTTCCCCCATCTGTGATTATACAGGACTGCAGGCAGGTCCATTTAGCACCTTTTAATACCTAAAACCTGTCATGAACATTTATCAAAGTTGGGAGATGTTTCTCCAGAAACGTTTTTTAGTGTTAGAAAACTTCTTCTTTTCGTTTACAACAATTGATATGTTGTTTTTGCACTATTTTAAATGATATATAAATTACGTATTTAGTGAATGCAAACAATCAAAACCCGCTTTTATCAATATTTGAAAAGCACCCAGACTTTTTAGGGGATTGGGGATGTACTTGATGTAAAGGACAGCTCCGCCAAACCTCCCCTTCAGAACTATACAGTGGTATAGAGGATTGAATTTTGTGAATAGATGTATTTATGTGCTGTATGATCTTTTATAAAGATCTAGTGCTGTGTCACCAGCGCTGTATTAAAAACAGAAAACATTGTTCAGGTTTTTCCAGCCACATTTACATGTGGATGTAAATTGGAGTAATTTTTTAACCAACAGGAGATATTATTCCTTTCATAAACTGGTGTATAGCCAAAACTGTGCAAGTTTGGTTTAATTGTAACAACTCAGAAACAAGCCAGCAAATCAAGTTAAGTGGTTTTCATGTGTGGCACAACACGACTCAGAAATCCTCTGAATCAGTCTGGCCTGAACTCCTCCTGAGCAGTGAAGTGGGCATTTAACATCCAAATATTTACAGAGGAGAATGATTACCTCTTAGCCAGCCTCTCTGAGCCAGCTACAATATTTAGCCAGCTCAACAGTTCTGTATGGAGCGTGTGCATGGTTTTAGAGCTGTTTATGTAGGATTTAGTGCTGGCCAAGTGCACATCCTGTAAACACACATCACTGGAGGGTACAACTGAGAAGACAAACAGACACTGAAGTAAGCAGCATACAGTCAGAGATGTTTAACGACTTTTATGATGCTTTCTATTTTTCCACCAGGTCGAGATGACCTCGGTTATGTTTTGATTTACACTGTGCAGCTCTTAATAACCATGATTAAACAAAAGAGGACCAGATTACAGATTATAGACAATAAAATGATCGTTGAAAGAAGGACAATTACACAAACCATCTCTAACAGTCAACACCAATGTATTCATACTCCTCCAAGAGCAGCAGGACATGGAGCAGAAGACTGTTTAGATCTCTGATCCAAGTTCTCAAATAACTGTGAGCATTTCTCTCTGTTTGACTCAGGAAGATGAAAAGGTTTAGCAGTGTCAGGGCTAAGCAGGAGAAGCTTTAGAGTGAATCTAAACATCAACATATATTAACTGGATTAGTAGCACCTCAGCTGTGATTTAAAGCGCGATCACTGATACATGTTTCCTAATGTTAAACCCTGTCCTACAAGAGTGTAGACAACATACTCTCTTCATTTGGCTTGTTAAAACTCCCAAAACATCTATAAAAGTCTCTGCATGTCAGCGTCAAGTTTTAGAAGATAAAAATACCATGATAAATAAACAAATACATGTTTTCTTCACTGTTTATATCACTCTGGACTGTTTTTGGTCTCATCTATAAAATCAACAAAGAGTAAAACATTTCCTCCCTTATACACAAACTGTTGGTAACAGGATTTTGAGCTTTTCCCTAAAATGATGGTAATTTAAAAAATAAAGTTTCCCCCAGTGAGAACTTTTAGCCTCTTGTTCTATCTTCATCTCCCAGTGTAGGATTTAATGATTTCAAAATTAAGCATTATAGGAAGTCTCTGATTTACTTTCAGTTAACCACCTCCACCCATAACAGGCAGCAGGTTTGATTTCCTCTGTCCTCGCCCCATCTGAAGAAAAGCCAGTTTTTCTCCATGACCTCACCTCTTTGATTTCCCTCTTCTTCCTCGTCCACTCATCTGAACTCTGTCTCCCCTCAGTTCAGCGCTCGTTTCTGTTCTTCTTGTAGAAACGCCTGTTTCTCCATCAGTTTTCTGAACAGTCCGTTCCTGTTACTGAGCAGCTCTGTGTGCTGGCCACACTCTGCTATACGCTGCTGATCTAGTACAGCTACAGCGTTGGCATTCTGGATGGTTGACAGGCGATGAGCTATGATTATAACTGTCCTCCCTGTTGATAATGTGGAAAAGAAATAATAAATACAGAGAAGCAAAAAGAAAGATCACTGAACTTGAGGTGTATTCTTTATAAAGCAGGTGATGTTCACCTTTCATCAGACGCTCCAAAGCCTCCTGGACTGCGAACTCGTTCTCAGCATCTAATGCGCTGTGGAAACATGATTGTTCAGTATTTTCCTCTTCAAATAAAAATGAGTTGAAACATATCTCTCAAGTGAATCTCAAAGTGAAGTAAATAAAGAAAAACTAGATGTAGGTCGCAAAAGCATGGGAAAGGTACAACGCTAAATCTTACTATATTATAGTCCCTCTCACCTGGTAGCTTCATCCAAAAGCAGGATCTTTGGATTCTACAGAAGAAGGAAAAAAGGATTTTAACACAATTATTTAGAGTGAAATAGGGGGTAATAAAAAAACTAATAAAACAAACACATTTATCGGCCATGGTGTTGAACTTACCTTGAGCAGGGCTCTGGCTATGGCTATCCTCTGCTTCTGACCACCTGACAAACCAACACAGGAGTCATTCAGTGACAAACACAGACAACAACTGACTATTACTCTGCTATATGACCAAAATTATGACACGCTTTTTTATTTTTAGCCTTCTACTGTGCCTCTAAGACGTTATCTACAATGTTTGTTACTCTGACAATTAGCTGAGTAAGCAAATCATTTCTGTAGCATAAAAACAAGTGAAGCACAACATTTTAACACACAGAAGGAGCTCTACATATGTACGTGCACACCACACACACGCCCTGATGGAAAACATCCCAATCACCCCTCAGAACACAGAGCCAGATGTGGTTTTCTACACCATTATGCCTCAGTGTTTTTTACCCTGCAGAGTAGATGCAGATATTGATATGAAAGTAACAAGTCTGACTTCATGTCTGACCTGAGAGGAGCATTCCTTTCTCTCCCACCAGGGTGTCAAAGCCTTGAGGAAAATCCTGGACAAAGGTATAGGCGTTAGCAACTCTGGCAGCCCTGTAGATGTCCTCTGTGGTCACACTGTCTGGGTCCACTGCCCCGTATGCTATATTGTCTCTGATAGAGCAGGAAAACAGCACTGGCTCCTGTGAGAGAGGGGTTAAAAAAAAGAGACATCCTCATTAAGGACAGAGAGTCTTAAGACAAAGGCCTACAATTTGTACAGTTATAGCCCTCAGGAGGGAATTTCAGTTTGCCTAGATTTACGAGCTCCTCCGTGGACACAGTGGTTCCTCCTATCACTTTGCTGACTTTGTTGAGTTCATGTCTTGGGCACAATCCTAGTACACCCGTTGTTCCTACCATTTAACCTTACCCCTGTGTTTTGTGATACCTGTGTATCATGAAAGGGTTGACCCAACATTATCCGACTAAATCAGTAGAAATCAGTGTAGCATGATGTGTAGTGACACTAACCACAAAATAACTGAATTTCAGTTATTTTCATATCCGACAGAAATAGAGATGATGTTATTCTTTGGCTGCTCAGTTTATGTGTTTCATGAGGAAGAAAAGATTCACTTGTTACCTGGCTGACAGTTCCAATATGACTCCTAAGCCAATGAGGATTTAGATCTCTGATATCATGGCCGTCTACAGTGATGACACCTGTAGGAAAGAGGTTTTTCTCAGAGGTTTAACAACTCCTTTATGAGTAAATTCTTGGATATCTTATTCAGCAGCTGATTTAACTCAGAAAGGAAGAGTAAAAACTAGCTAGCACTCACCAGCATCTGGGTCATATAGTCTGAGTAGCAGTGACACTAGGCTTGACTTTCCAGACCCACTGGGTCCTACGACAGCCATGATGGAACCAGCTGGGACCTCTAGACTGAGGTTCTGGAAAATAGGAGCTTCCTTACGAGTCGGGTAAGCAAAGGACACATCGCAGAAATCCAGCTGACCCTTAAACTGGTCTACAGGAAGTACCAGGCCCTCTGTAGAGGAGCAGAGCAGGAGGGACAAGGAGACAGAAAAGTCAATAAGTTGGTCTTTGGATGGACTTGATTCTGGAATAAGATTTGGGAATCAGCAGAAACTTTAAATGAATGAGGAAGAAGGTAAAGCATAGCAATTCTCAGGGTTGTGATTGTCAAAGGAAAAATCAGGAAAATATACAAAGCACATGAAGTTAGGCAAGTTGAAGAGAGGCAGAAAATGTGAAAGAAATGTGTGATGTGTGAAAGAGAAGAGTCATAGCGTGAAGATGAACTAGTGACGCTGCTGATCTAACTGCACCCCACAAGATATGATAAAGTGTAGCATCTGCATCTTAAGCTTCTTCTTCTTCTCTTTCATAAATGCCAATCAATAACTGGTTTTAGTTTAATGATGGCCCACTGGGTGAGAAGACATAATGAATGAGGGTCTGAAGGTCCTTCCTGAGGACATTTTGAACATAAAATCTTTTCATGCTATTTTATGAATTCATCTTCACCAGTGTCTTTTCAGAATTAGCTTCTGGTGTGTTTATTTCTACATCTGTCAACGTTTCACTCCAAGGGGGAGTTCATCTTCATTTATCACTGAACTGCTGACTGTTTTTAGCACATTTTGAGTTTGATGCAGTGCATTTGTAGCTTTCTATCATCAACCTCTTTGCAAATAAGAGAGAGGCTGTTCCGCTGACAAATTTTTATACTTTCATCATTTAGTACAAAAATAAACAGCAGTAGCATGATGTAGCCAACTTTTAATAAGGAAATATAAAGCAATGTGAATAAATATATATCCTGTGGACTGTGGTGCCATTACAGTTGCAGTCACCTTTGTAACTGAAACATATTGAAACACAGCACCCACTGAAATATACTCATATTTTCAACACCTTTACCTGTCAGCTTAACAACACAAAAGGGAGTACAAGTGAAAGGGTTTGCACTCACCATTAAGAGGAAAATCAGGCTTTCTGTCCAGCAGCTCCCACAGCCTGGATCCTGCTCCAAATCCCTTCATCAGCTCTGAGTAGAATGAGCTTATACCTGCACATCAAGCAGAGAAACCATGACCCATCTCACACAGAGCGCACAGTGATACAGAGAATACGGATAAGGAAATGAGGAAAGCACGTGTTACCTGAGACACTCATGCCCACCCAGAAGGCGTACATGAGGAAGGACGAGAGCTCTCCGGCAGTCATGTGCTGACTGGCCATCATGAGACCTCCGTTGTACAACACTGACAGGATCATTATGTTTCCACCGAGGCCAGTCTGAAACACACACAGACACACACCACCCAATAATTAGATTAAAACTAACATCTGACATGACTTCCTCCTGACGCAGCTCTGGTAATTACAGTCTCTTTGGTAGCTGCTAGAAATGCCAACTGCAACAAACCCCTCTCTTTGTGCAGTGGACAGTTTGAACATTATTTACGTGTTATCACTTTCACACTTTCAGTTTCTTTGTTCACACCCAGTTTCCAGTTTATTAGAGACTTTTATTCTAAAATTTTATTCAATACAGCATCTTCACAATGATATATTTGATAAATTTATCTACAATTCCATACCATGAGGGGTATTCACTTTTGCTGGCACTGTTGATAGCATTTAATGGTCAAATTTAAGTCTGAAGGTTGCTGTTGAATTAAAACTTTAGATTTTTGTTATCAAAAACAACATAAAGCAGAGGAAGTGCAAACACTTATTCAAACTGTGTCACCGATATGAAGAGGCTAATCCATTTAAAAGCTGTTACACTTGAAAAGTTCTGTCGTTCAATCACTGAAGCACCTTCATAGCCGTTTTCAGCATACATATTAGTTCATTTATTCTCTGACCTGATGAGGGATTTAGTAATACTTTCATTCAGTGAGAAAACATCCTTTATGAATAGAATGACAGCATCTGTAGTACTGACCTGAAACAAACCAGCTTAAAATTACAGCTGCATGAAAGCAGAAGTCTTGGTGTAACGCTTTCTTAACAGCGGTTTTCATTTGCATCACTGACATGACACACACTCACTCTCTCTCACACACACCCACACACACACACACACACACACACACACACACACACACACACACACACACACACACACACACACACACACACACAACAAGACACACTTACCAATCCGTAGAACCCGGCTCGTAGAAAAGCCTCCCTTCTGCCCAGGTTAAAAACTTTGTCTGTCTTCTGTGTGTATAAGTTGACCTCAGACAGCTCTTTACCGAACGCTCTGACCGTACGTAAGTTGCTTATGCGCTCCTCTGCAAACTGCACCAACACACAAACCATTTTATTGTTAATTCATCTGTTGGAAACATGTTATCAGTGCAGCTAGTTTACTCCATCTAAAAATTTTATTGAGCCTTGACAGGCGCTACTGCAGATCAAAGTATCACCAAAGGAATAAACAGTTTACTGCACCTGTGTGGCTTGTGCAAGAGCATCCTGCGTGCGCTTTGAGACTGAGCGAAGGTATCTGCCGTAGACAACAGCAAGTGCAGCCAGTGGAGGAACAATCAGCAACACAAACTTCGCCAGACTGGGCGAGATGTAGAACTAGAAAAGAACAGGGAGAAAAACAGTAATCAGCTGAAATAACAGACAAGAGAAGAGAGAAGCAGGAGGTAGACAACAATAAAACATGGGCAGTTAACACCAAATCTCTCTTAACTGTAATTACACTAATTATCTTCATTTGTTTCCTTCAACACCCACTACACCAGGAAATCGCTTCACTTTCTTGTAAAGACTTAGACTGCTTATGTAAGAATGAGTTGTGTTTTATGATTTACTGATCCATGAAAGATGTAATCAGGAAAAAGAAAAAGGTAGAATTGCCTAGTTTATGAAACTGCTTGGCGAAAAATCTGTAATGCATGAATATTGGAACATTACAGGGTCAATAAAACAGTGAAGAACAATGTCAGCAAGCAGCTAGATAAGTTTTTTGGAGATAATAAGCTCAGCACACAACTATCAGTTTAGAGACGTGTTGGTCAAAGCTGATTATGAGTGACCTTTTCCTCACATAAATTGTGTTTTGCTCACAGTGTTTACAAGAGATTGGTTAGGGTGGAGCAACCCAATCTTCCCTTTTCTTTGAATTGATCTGAGGTACTTGAGTAAACCTGTTTTCCAACTTCCTGGATTCTGCGAACAGTCACAAGCAAGGAAACGGCATACCAACAGAATTACTTCCTTGTGCAAACCAATACATGCAGACTCTTCACCCTGTTGGTAAATGACTGAGGTGGTTTTTGAAAAACAGACGTCATTCAAGCAATGAAAGGATGTCATTTAACGTGCGCCTCAAAAGTATTTTAGATCCATGAATAACCTAATACCTACACATATTTATCTCATGTCAGTGCAAAATTACTGTACCTGTTTTTTCTTTTTTAAAACAAACCACTCTAAAAGACATCGTACCATCATACTGACACCAGCAACCCCCTGGGCTACAGCCCGCAGACCGTCCGACAGATTGTTCGTGACGGAGTCTCCCACCACAGCCGTGTCAGCAGAGAGGCGGTTGATGAGCTCTCCCGTCCTATTCCCGTCAAAAAACGCCACCTCCTGTTTGAGGATGGAGGAGAAGACGGAGGCACGGAGATCACGAACAATCTGCTGGCCTGGAGAGTGAAAAGATATAGGGAAACCATTATAATAAAGGGAAGAATCTGTGGAGACTGTAAGAACAGGGCTGTGCCGTCAGCTGCAACGCTTGGACCTACCCCCTTGAATAAAGTTAGAGTTTTAAAAATCCTCAGTCTTGTTACTGCTGGTCTTATTTGCTGTTGTAAATTATTAAACAGCATGAAAATAAATTTTATTCTATGTCATTTAAGTAAAAAACTATGTTACGTGGGCTTTCAAGTTAATGATGCATTAAGTAATTCAAAAATGACAGTAAGTGGGTAAATTTCTAAATGTTCAAAGACCTTCTTTTAAGTAAGACAGAAGTATGAAATCAAAAACCTTGCTTCACTTTACCCAAGGTTGAACAGCATATTCATAAAGCCAACTTACAATAAAATTTGCTTGCCAAGTTTAATAATCTGGTCCAAAACAGAAAAGTCCCTGTTGTAAGGTTACCAGGAAGTCACTGCACCTGTCTGCTGGCTACTAAAGACATTATAAAAGCCTTAAAATGTTTGCACTCCTCTGCATGTGAACAGATTAAACAAACAAGATGATTCTTAAGCGTATAAAGAAAGACCAGCTGTTGTCTCCTCTCACTAAAACTATGCTGGACTAAAGCAGCCACATCCAGGCTTTTACTTTGGATTAATCATCCTTAAGTGTTCAAGAAGGCCAAAACGTTTCCAAACTTTCTGCTTTCTGCCGTATGCTTTCTTTAACAGAGAAAACAGAGGTATGAAAAGGTCCCTCGTAAATGCAGACATGAGCATGTCGGTGCCTGTGTGTCTGTATGTGTGGAGAGTTCATTTATGCACTTTTCTAACCTGAGATCTGCATGAGGTAGATTCGAGCAGCATTGGCTGCGCCGCCACACAAGAACACTCCTGTGAGCATGATGCATAATGATGTCAAGGACGCTGTCATGGTCTCTGTGTCTGTCCCGGTGGTGCAGATGGTGTCAATCACTTTACCCAGGAAAAACGGAGCAGACATGGTTACAGCACTGGAGACAGCGAGGAAGCCAACAGCAGCTGGGGAAACAAAAACAAAGAAACATCAGATCAAAACAAATGATACACTTAAAATACATTACAGGTTGAAGTTAAACCTGGGCTAAACCTTTCAAAAACACTGAATGAGAACAGACTAATGGAGAAAAATGGAGTTATTGTGCTTGCAGTATTTTTTCTGCCATTTTTAAAATTTTCTTTTTTATTGATTTCACATATCAACATTCCATCAACATTTTACAGATATTGAACAAATTTCCAACTGTATATAATATTTCTCCACTGCAGAGCAGAGTCATATTTAGACATAAACTTCTTAAATAAAGTTACAGTAGAATAACCGTGTAGTAAAATTAAACACTTCTTTCCTCAAGTCCTTATTTTCATACCTCTCTTGCATTGTCTCTTTTCTTCTGTTGGAGGGTAAACATAATAAACATATGAACAATGAACAAGTTTGTCGCCTGAACCAAGGGTATCAATAGTCTATAATACACAATGCCTTTGCTGCACAAAGTTTGCTCTCAATTGAGACAAAAAATCAACCCAGTTTTTCCGGTAATTTTTGAAAGTATCTGTTTTTAGTCTTGACGAGGAAGTCAGCTTCTCCATTCCTGTATATTGATCATTACCTCTACCTAATTCTCTATTTTTGGTGCATCTGTTTTTAGCCAATTTCTGGTGATTTCTGGCCGCCACCAACATTATTCGAAATATGTATTTTTCTCCTGACCTTGTTATCTCCTGGTTCTCTTTTCCCAAATATAAGACTTCAAATGTAAGTGGAAGTTGCACTTTCAAATTTTTTTTCCATAGTCTTCTTTATCTCCTTCCAATAAGGTATAACACCAGAGCATCCTCAATATAAAAATGATTGGCCTTATTCTCCCTACATAGTCTCCAATATGGTGTGTCTCGAGATTTCTGTTGTATTGGTGTAATAAAGTATCTCACAATATTCTTTTGTAGTGTTTTTTTTTTTTCAAAACTGAAGTCAAAATGTCTGCACTGGACTACTCATTATCACTAAGTATTTGCTTGTTTCAAAACAAGCTCAAATCAGGTCACAATCATACTTAATAAACACATCTAAAAACAGCACAAATAGGCCCATGTAGTGGAAGACGCGGGTTTCAAACACTAAGCTGTCCTCAAATGACACAGTAGAGAGTATGTAGAGGGTAGGAGATCCACTATCAGGAAACACAAAACAAATGCAAGATATGATTACCTGCCAGTCTCCATCTCTCCGGATAAGCAAGCTGTAAAATCCTTTTAACATCTTTAAAAGAGACGGTGGTGGGTGACTGATCTCTCTCTGCGTCCGTCTGGATCTTGAGTGTCGTGGTGGCTGGTGTAGGTTTGGAGGTCGCTGCTGAAGAGCTGGCAAAGGCAACAGGTGTGTGAGCGATTGTCCGTGCTCGGCCACTCTGAGTGCGTGGACAGAAAATAGAGAGACCTTTGCAGGGCAAGACGGACATGAAGGGCCGAGGAGAGAAGGCGGGGGTCGGATGGACGAACGACTTTGCCCCGGTGGACTGTCTCCTCCTCCGGTAGACGGTGGCAAAGGTGAGCCGGTGTTCCAGCCACAGCATCCTCGGGTGTGTGAGTTTAAGTGGGGTTAAATGCCCCCCGTGTGTGCACCTTGACATGCGAAATAACAGCCCCATTGTCCCAGCTAGAAAGTCTCTAAGTATGAGGAGAAAAGGTGAGTGTGTTTCCCTGTTGTCAGTCAGTTTCAGTGATTCATGGTGTCGACAGGGTTGAGTCCACTTTCAGGACCATGGTACTCCTTAAGCCGTTTGGTCAAAACATCACGCGCACAGACGAGCAGTCGACGTACGTCTAACCGTTACTTGGTCGGGTTCTGACCGTTATTTGACGTTTTATCTGCGCGTGACAGCCGCGCTGCCCCCGTTTATCTCTTATCAATGAGCAGCTCCCCTCACCCCGCCTGTCACTCTCATCTGTCGCCGAATATCTGGTTGTTGAGGAGGCGAAGCGGAAACACGAGCGACCGACACCCGTCTGACACCGACTCCACTCCGTACAATGATCCGAATTTACCCGGAAGAGTGTAAAACAGGTAGAATAAGGAAAGGTGACCCCGGTTCGGTTCAAAGACGGAATTACACACGATCCTCCTCCTCCTTCTCCTCGACACGCAATTCACCCGCTGATGATATAAGCAAACTTTCCCAGACCCGACGAGTCGAACCCAGATGGGTGCAAAAGGTGGTCCATTTTCAGCCAAATTTATTTTGTATTGTTATCTATCTAGTTATTAACTGCTTTTATTTATCCCATGTACAGCACTTTGTTTGACTGCTGTCTTTTAAAGGTGCTTTATGAATAAACTTTGACTTGACTTGACTATGGTATTGTAGAAATGTTTCAAAACCTATTTTGGATATATGTTTATAAAAAATTTCCAGAAACAAACAAACAAAAAAAACCCCACACGATTGAAGAAAAAAAACAAACAAACAAACAATTTCTCTCTCTCTCTCTCTCTCTCTCTCTCACACACACACACACACACACACACACACACACACACACACACACACACACACACACATTATGTTCAAATTTACACAGGCGAGAGATTGAGGAGTCATCTTATACAAATAAAAAAGTCAAGTAAAATAAAAGTTTAAAAAAATTAAGTGCACATTACCGTGCACAATAGGTTCATATTTTCAAAGAAAGGTAAATAGAGGCAAGAACATTAATTAAATAAGACGTCATTTTTTAAAGGCAGCATATTCAAAGCCTATTTCAGTTAATAATATTTATATTCATATTTAAATCGCTTTTCAACTGTTTATCACATTCGTTGCAATTCGGTGATTTTATTTTTTTCGTAGCTATATGTGGGCTTACAATTAAAACAAATCGCCCTATCAACATCTGATTCTTTTAGTAAATGTAAATAAAAAATAAAAATAAAAAACTCATGACCCGTGCAAACGATTCGAAAAGCATTTTGAGCGTTGGCGAAATCGACACTCGTTTGCTTCTCCCTGGCTGGTGGGGTGAAAGTTGAAAGTTCGCCCTCCTCTGAAAACAGCAGACACGTGCGGGTTGAGCAGTGGTGAGTTTGATAAATAATTGTGACTCTGGTGCATGAGAAAGCTGTTATATGTGTAATATTAAGATTCAGCGTGGATTTGTTCACGTTCAGTGGAGGAGAAGCCCGAGGACGAGTTTACTGCGACTATGAGCATATATACCATTAGCAGCCGTGGTGAAGCATGCTGGCATCTCAAAATCTATGTGTAAAGGACAGGTTTGAACAGGTCGTAATGAAATTAATGATGATTATTGATCAGTCTGAAAACACGTATTTTTTCTTACGTGTGTTTGGAAGATTCTGTCCTCACTGTCAAGCTCAGGACACAGAAGCAGAGATTATATTAATCGCCACCTAAATTCAGAGATTATTGTCATGGTTTTAGGAATGTTTATAGGAATGTGTCAAAGAGATCAGATTTGGTTCGAGGCTTTGAACTGATTTAGTTCGCAGAGTAACTGCCTGATGACCTGAGATCTCTCACATATTTGGCAGATTTGATTTCTAGGGGATGCAGAAATCTCAACCCACAGTCTTGTGTGTTATCCTCGTTGACTTTTGCTGTTAAATGAAATCATGCCCAGCATCCTTCAGTTTATTCATGTTTCAGTGCATCACTGTGGCCCCGACTGTTTGTTTCCCTGCCCTCTCTTCCTGTTCAGCAGAAGCACCACTTGCAGCAATGGCTGCCATCTACTCAGGTATCCACCTGAAACTGAAGAGTCCTCAGACTCCATGGGAGGATAAGTTGAAGCTCGCTCGTTTTGCCTGGATCTCCACTCAGTGCCTTTTGCCCAACAAGGAACAGGTAACAGCTGGGGACATGTCAGAAGACAATGCCACATGTGTTTTTGTCAGGAAAAATAATACTGCATCTGACTTACAACCAGTTGAGAATAACGACAGAGATAGTGGTCTTCTTTTTCTTCAATATCTTTTACTTGCGAGGAGTCAGCAGCTTACAACAAAGGCAGCTTCCTCTGACTGAGGAATTCAGATTTTTGCACATCCTGTATGCAGTCAATAAACAGACACATTCGCCCACTAACATCATCTCACAAGTGGCATGACATTACAACAGTATCCAAATAGGGTAAAGGTTGCAGCTGTGGTCTGTACTGGGAAGACAAAGACAGCTTAGTTCATCATCAGGTTCCTGCTTATCAGGTCAATATCACACTGTTGGGAAAACAACCTGTGAGTGAAATTATAGCATTCATCTAGTTGCATGACTTCAGCGGAAACGTATCAGTCCCAACTCAAAGGCCATACTCCTCCTTTCCCATGCTCATTAAAAAGAAACAGATATAATCCTGCGAGCATTCACACCAAGTGATTTTCAGTAAATGATGATTAACATACATATATAATGATAAAATACACGTGATAGCATACACATACAATTTTTCTTTCAGTTTTTATACTGTTAAATATTTTCATAGATAAGGATAAGATAAGATAAGATACTCCTTTATTAATCCCACAAGGGGAAATTCCCATTTAGAGTTCATCCTTTCCAAGAAACACACAGTAGACAGATGCATACAGGGTGACAGGAACAGGAGAACTGTGGTGGCATAGTTCTGATATTTGGCACCAAAAATTGTTGCAGACATTTGTTAGGGAGTGCTATTTTCCCCCCAAGTTTTATCTTATAATTTGGGATGAAAGATATTATCATCATGCTATTGGTATCTGTAGATAATAGCTTAAAATGTTCATTACCGGTAACTGCAGATCTGAACATTTCTGCAGACACCAATAATCAACTTTTATCTGTTGCTTTGTCACATGCACAAAATTGATGCATGACCGTTTTGGCTGATAAAAGTCATGTGCTCTCGATGACAGCTGACCCATTTTGGTTGGACAGAATTGTCTGGGAGTGTTGGAAACAGCCAGCAGATGCAATATTGAATGTCTATATTGAAACTATGTAGTATCTTTATGTTTATCATCTGTGGTAGAATCAAATAATGTTTGTCCTGATTTATTTGTGGTTCTAAGACAGACTGTCACAATAAGAGAAACGGGTCAACTCTATTGTAGGAGAGACTCTGTGTTCTCTATGATGAAGAAAAATATGTATCTATCTGTACTAATATCAGTAATAGCCAAAATGAGTTTGGAAATTTCAGCATATTGGATGTCTGCAAAAATTCATGATTGTGCATCCCTATTTATAACTTGTATTACCAATAGAATTTGATATAATTGGTCATTTTTTATCACTTGTCGATAAATGTTTTCAACATTTTCTTCTCTGTAAAGATGTGTTTTTATTTTATTTATTTTTTTTAAATCAAAGGGATCAAAACTTTATTTGGGAATTCACCAGGGGCCGTATGCACGTTGCTTGGCAAAACGCGTTTAGCGGGCTAAACACGTTTAACTCCTAAACGCCAAAAATGTCGGTATGCACGTCACTTCGTATAGCCGTTCCCAGAGCAGTAGATTAAAACATTGTTGTTTAAATTGTTTTAATCTACTGCTCTGGCCGTTCCTATACGGATTTTCGCGTTTAAAGTTATCGCACCTCTGGGGGTCCAATAGCGGGTCTAAACGCGTTTAAATATGGCGGCACTCTTGTTGTTCCAAGGAAGACAGCAGCGACAACTGCGTCGAAACAGGATTTTTCGTGACAGAAAACACCCCTTCGACACGTATGACGACCACGAAGTGTTCCGTAAGTTTAGATTTCGACGGCACCATATTCTCGACCTCACACAGGAGATTTCCGCTGAAATTGAACTTTCAAACCAAGGATTCACCCTCACTCCACTACAACAAGTCCTCGTAACCTTACGGGGCCGTTCTCAACCGAAAGTACACAACACTTAAAACAGACCGGTTGACCCAATTCTATGAATATCTTTACCGTTTAAGACACAGTAAACGCGGTTAGCTATACGGTTCCGTTTACAGCATTGTGCATACCAAAATCGTATAGGAACTAAACGCGTTTAAGGCCCGTATAACTAAACGCGTTTAAGCCCTAATCGCGTTTACGCTAAACGCTTTCAACGTGCATACGGGCCCAGGACTCTTTCAGGTTGCTTGTCATTCATTTATGTTTCTGTTTTGCTTTTGTCTCGTCTCTTTTCTACTGTAGGTGCTGGTTGACTGGTGCACACATGCTCTGACAGGATGGTACAATAAGAAGGTGGAGTTTCCTGAGAAGGTTCTGGAGGGACTTTGGTGTTACCTCGATGATCTGCTTCACAGCCGCAAGCTCCACTCTCTTCTCAAGCAGGGCAAGACCATCAGCCTGAGGCTCAACATGGCACAGGTGAGCTGCCAATACCAACCACCTTTGATGTTTTACAGTATAGTCATGTGTCAGATTCGTGGTTTAGTTCTAGAAAGTGGCTAATATGGACGTTTATCAGTTTTTTAAAATGTCTTTGGTCTATCTTCTCCAGTTGCTGCTTGACCGTCTTCAAGAGTGTGCACGTGTTGGCTCCACGTCACCAGTGTGTGTCTCCACCATCCTGAGTGTGTATCGGGGTCTTCTCTCTGCTCCTGCACTCTCAGCTGTTTTCACCACAAAGTATGAACTCATGGTCGATCTCTTGGCCAAGTTTTGCTCTTTAGCCTGTCGTGAGCTGCAGCAGCCATCGCCCACTGAACCTCTAAAAACTGAGTCTGTCACATGCCAGGATGAGGTGATGGATGAAGGTCTTCAAACTCAATCTTCAAGTAATTTGGAGAGTTCTCAGGTTGGATTGATCACAGAGAACTCCTCAGACCAGAAAGAGTTCGATTCAAACAAACCTGCTTCCAAGTCAAAGAAAGCAGCTGATCTGTTTGAAGTGTTGCTTCAGGTCCTGTCTTGTTATTTGTCAGTTCAGCGGCAACAAGCCAATCCTAACAGAGTCTTTACCATGGTAACCAACCAACTGATCCAGCCGCTGGTCCTGCTGAGGCACCTTCTGACCTCAGGGGAGTTTTCACCTTCTCACACACAACTGGGTCTCCGTCAGCAGCTGTGCAGGGACCTACGCATCAAGATAGACTCCATCCTCCAGTTTTCTCTTTTCCCCTCTGAGCACCTGACCTCCTACAAGGAGGAGCTCCTTCCAGCCAAAGAGGATTCTGGGAAACGTGGTGGAGTAAAAGGTCCTTTGAAGCCTGTCACTGCCATGCTTTCCAAACTCAGCAGCCAGGGTTACTGTGAGATATCGCTACACTACGCTGTAAAGTCAAACACACTGCCGCTGCTGTTTAAATTCTTCCTGGAAGGCTACGGAAAAGGAAGAGGGGACAGTGAGGAAGCACAAAAGATGCTTTGTTTCTATTTCCTCACCAGGCTGGTTCCAGTCTTGGATGTAAATCTTGATGAACACTTACTATCTCCTGCCAAAGCACAGCAGTCGGTGTCTGTGTCTCCTGGGCAGGAATCTCCCCCAGCATCCCCCTGTTCCCCAGAGAGCTGGGGTCTGACTCTGCTGGCTGTGGAGTCCCTGCTGAGCCAGGCTCTCTCAGCAGATATTTACAATGTAGCAGCAGACAGGATCAGACATGGAGAGGTACAGCTGAACTTTTATAGAGCTGTGGGACAAATGCTCTACAACCAGGCCCAGCCAAGGTACATAAAAACCTCCTCTGTAAATAGTTTAAGTGACTTTTGAAGGTGCTTAATGTTTAACCGATGATTGAACGCTGAGCTCTGGATGATGTTATTTTTTTGGTCTTGTGCTCAAGTTTTTCTTCTTCTTTTTAGCATCCCAGCCTGGTATCGTTGTTTGAAGGTGCTGCTGGGTCTTAATCATCTGATTCTGGAGCCGGAGCTGGACCAGCTGTTATCTTCAGCCTGGGTTAACTCTGAATGCATGGAAACACGAGTACAAAAGGCCAGACAGGTCAGGTTTGATTGTTATTTTCATTTCTTCTTTAAGCCACTCCATGGATCCCTGATCCCTCTCAGTTATCAAGGAGGAGGGTGTTGCGTGTGGTTGTTATAACTGATTTTGTTTTGTACGGTTTGTGATTTGGCTGATCCACTTATTATAAAATAGAAACTGCAAGTCATTAAAAAGACCAAGGGCTGGCCATGCCAACAAAACATGTGGCTAACAGATTAAATCAAAATAAAAAACAGAAGATGGAAAAAAATAAAGACAAGCATGCGGAGAAAGACTTCAAGCTAACATGAGACAGTTTTATGAACCTTTTACACGATAAAACATTATCCCAAAAGAAAAGATGAAGATGGAGAATGTTGTCCACAGAGCCCCACAGAGCCATTAAGATAATTGTATATTTTGTCACACTTGTTGAACATTCCAGGAACTTGTTAAAGGGACTACAAACACATAGCTTAAAAACTGTTTGGGGACTGGATTGAACGGTTTCATTAGAATCAGTCGATACTTTAAGCTACTGAGATGCTTGACCCAGAGTAACCTGGTTGATGCGCCGCTCCTGAGTTTTACCATGAGTTGTGATGATCATTGAAAGTCCGGACGCTGTTCCTCAGATTTAACAAACCAAAAATTTATTGCAAAGAACATAACCAAATCCATTTTGCAATTGATATCCAACACTGAACAAACAAGGAAAACGCTGGCACTTAGCGCCACAACGGTCAAGAACCTTTTGCCCTTACGGGTTAAACACCTGCCCACAACAGTGACGTAGCTACCTTTATCCCTGAGCCCCTGGATAACAGGACAGCGACACCCAAGGCACACAAAGTGATCTGCAACTCATAAGATGTATCACAGCAACATATTTGGCTCCTACAGGCACATTACCAAGCGCTGTGGATTTCACCCCTGATAGTGATGTTTTCATTATTCAAGGGTTTTTTTGACTGAGAGAAAATGTTTTTTCCCCAACAGCTCTTGGTATGCAGCCTCCTCGAGACTTTCACAAAGCTCCGTCAGCTGCCTCGCCTCTTCTGTGAGCTGCTCTCTGTCATCTGTCAGCCCGCCCTGGATGCTCTTCGCCCTCCCCTGCTCTCTGACGGTGTCTCTGCCTCCCTCAAGACTTGCCTTTTAGACACTCCCCCTTCACAGAGCCTTGAGATCTGCTCATCAGTGCTGGAGAGCATCAGGAGACACGTACTCTGTGACCTTGAGAAGGGGGACAGTGAGGCAGAGAGGATGGAGGTGGATGGAGGAGCTGATGGTGACAAGATCAACCAGGAAAAAGAGGATGCCTCTCTGAAGCTGTTCTCCCTCAGCCAGCTGCTTCATGTGGTCATGTTCAGTCTGAGGACTCTTGATAATACCTCTCCTCTTCCCATTGTGAAGAAGAGTCAGGGGCTGATGGAGGAGATGCAACAAATAGTGAAAGAGCTGCTAAATCTTTTGTCTAGAGAAGTGAAGGCTGTAAAAATCAACAGAAAGTCGGCTCAGAAGACTCCAAAGAAAAGCAAAAAGAGTTTGGATCAAAATGTGCCTGAGAAAGTGTTAGAGTCTAAAATAGAGGCACCATGGGAACAGAGGACCCAGGAGGCTGCTCTCCTCCTCAGATACACTTGGGTGGAAGTGGACACACTCTTCTTCATCCATTGTAGCAAATACACAACTCTTGACTCAGCTCAAACAGCTGCTCCAGGTGAGACTGAAGCTCTCGCTCCAGCCTTGAGACAAATTGAGGGTCTTCTATGCGGTGAGATTTCTCCTGCACGTCTTCAGCCATCCTGCAGCCCCATGAGCCGTCTGCTGCTCAAACTCCTTACTTTGCAACAGATAAAGAAAGTCCTCCTAGACTCCTCCTTACTGTCTGAACCTGGCACTGCTGCTCTACTAAACAAAGCGGCCCACTTTATTCTGGCTAAATCAGAATTGGAGACAGGTCAGGGTGGAGAGCAGGTGTGGGACGGGGAAATAGGGAGTGTGAACTCCTGCTCCTATCCTGCTGCTCACTGGTATGTAGTCACGTCTAATTTGCCTCTAATAGCCCCCTACCTGAGTGGAGAAGATGTGGGCAGCATGGTGGAAGTGCTATTCAGTTCTGTCCTGAGCAGAGAGACATGTGGAGGGAAGGACCCGCCACCCGGCTGTTATACTGTCTCCCTTGTTTCTTCTCAGCTTCTCCAGAGCCCTGTCCTCGCAGAGTTACCGTCATTGTTCTCTGCTGCAGTCACATCCCTCACACAGAGAATTACGGTAGTTCTCAAGGCAGGACATGCACCCAAGATCTGTCCAAGGTTCCTGAAGTTGCAGGAGAAAGAAGCTTGCTCCACACTTGTGAACAAAGAGACTTTAGTCGGGGATATTTTGGCTTCCTCAGAGACTGGAGAGGTGTCTATTTTACTGACTGACACACAGGTGAAAGAGCTGGTAAAATCACTCCAAATCTTGACTAAACTAAACCCAGATGGAATGAGCTCTGAGGATCTCCCCTCTGTTTTCCTCCTCCTCCTCTTCATGCTCACCTCCACCTCTCAGCAGTCAGACCAGGATGCTGTGGACCCTCCTGAACCTCGAGATGGTGCTGTTTATCCAGTAAAACTGCTCAGGATTCTGACCTGTCTCTTGGAAGGGAGAAATTTCTCAAGTGTGTTGAAAATAATCCACGGCGGCACCCTGCTGCAGGCTGCTGTGTCGTCTTTTCTCGCGCAAAGCAAAGATGGAAGATTTCGAGCCTTTAGCAGCACTGATTGGTTGGAACTGATTAAAGCAGTGCAGAGCTTTGTTAGGTGCTTGGTCCAGTTGATAATAAGCAGAAACAGCAGCGTGAGGCTAAACTTGGACCAGTTTGCCACCTATCTTACCCAAGTTTCAAGCAAGCAGATTGCTGCTTCGTGTTCAGGAGCTGTTCATCTCTTGCTGGCATCGCTCTCCTCTTTCTGCCAGGTGATGAATTCTAACCTTGGCAGGAGTAAACCGATGGATCAGACTTTGACCCAGATGCTGACAAGAATGACCACTGCACTGGGGCCTGCTGTCGAGTCTGTGCTGAAGCCTCAGACTGTCAGTCAGTCAGCCCTGCAGCCGACCAGCGCCCTCAGTCAGGCATTCATAGTAGAGGTTGTTACTGTGATGCTGCAGAGTGAGCTGTCCGCTCTGTCAGTGGAGGATGAAAAGCAGCCCACCCTCAGCCACATGTGTCTCTATCAGAGCTTCTGCCAGCAGATCCTCAAAGAGATAAGTTCTGCCCACAGGCCCATGGACTTCTTGGTTTCCTCTCTCCATTTCCTGTCAGTTTTCTACACAGCAGTGAGGAAAACAGGAGGAGAGGGCGAGCAGGAGGAGGAAGGAGAGGAGAAGAAGAGACGAAAGGATGAGCTGTACATGCAGACGCTGCAAACTCTTCACAGGCTGCTAACAGGTACCTGGACCTACATGACAAACATCATCTGTGCAACCACCAGTCAGTGTTTTCAGTTTGTACAAAAAGCAAAAATGACTCATGAAGGACACAGGTTTGCGAAGGTGGTTTGGTTTATTCCATCCCAGCTGCTTCAAATTTTTTTATTGAAATGGCAGAAATATTAAAAATGGTACAAGCATCATCTCATCAATTCTGGTATTTAGTATTTGACCCTCAGTATACTGTTTTCCAGTACAACACTGTAAGCTGCAGCCTTGTGTATTTTAATGATTACCCCTTTGAAACTGTTCATTGAAATTAAACAAACTCAGAAGCAAAGCCATTACCAAAAATGAATATCTCTGGAACATATGAGTCATGTCGAAAGACAAAAAAGGGACTTGTTTTTCAATCTGACCTTCAGCCCTTTGTCCTTGACAAGCATCTGATTTCTTTTTACAATTTCTTTGAACCTGTTTATTATTTTATTTTTTTATTTCAACATGAGTCTTTTTTTTTGAGGGCCAAAACACTTTGCATTGTACCTTTTTATAAATGAAGAGCAAATTATTTATGTTTAAGAAGCCAGGAGGTGTTTTTTTTATGATTCTGTTATATACATAAGCTGCAGCTGTTTTGATAGAAGAGATCTAACCCCTTAAACAGATTTAGCCGGCTAATTAGAAGGTCCAAGTTTGTTTACTGCAGTAATATGTAATGTCAATATTGATTAAACCACTCTATCTATTAAATCCTTTGTTGTATGTATGTTATGTAAGGAATTGTTGTTACAGTGAATATAACATGTTTTTCTTTGCCTCCAGCTTCTTGGCTGTCCTCCAATGATGTTTCTGAGCTGGAGCCAGCTGTGCAGGAGCTACTGCGCCACCTGCTGGAAAAGAGCACCACAGGCCAGCTGAACCTGCTGCTGCTGCTGATCAAAGAGGGACTGGACATCAGCAAACTGAGGGCAGGAAACTACAAGGTAAGGGTTTCCTCTTTTTTATCTTTTGTATTAAGGTATAATATCTTATCTGTTTCATGTGATAAACCCCACATTTAAATGAGAGATTGGCTTTTAATTCACAGTGAATCACACTTTCTGTGGCTCTATATAGTACACCTTAAAATGAGCTGTTCTCACTTTGCTCTGCTGCTGTTTTCCAGGAGGTGTTATCTGCTGTCATCATCACTAAGCTGCTGTCCTGTTGTCAGTTACCTGAGCCCTGCTCTAAAGCTCTGTGGCTCATTACACCACAGATAATATCTGCTATGGTGGTGAGGAAAATATACACACACACACACTCAAAAGAAACACATACACTCACACTTATTCCTAGTCACATCATTGTGAGGGAATGCATGAAATGATCTCCTTCAGAAAGCACACAAACACATATGTTTTAAAATTTGTTTAGCTTGAACAGCACTCGAACAAATGTTTTGATTTTGTTGGACGGTGTTAGGATCTCTTGATTTTTTTTGTCTTTTGATTTGTTTTAGTCATATTAGATCCTAGACTTTTTGAAAACTGTGTGAAAAATGTCCAGATCTGAGAACCCCATCTTTGATTGTAGTTTCTTTTCAAAACTGGCAGGTGGAGCTGCTGAAGTTTTTGTTATGAATCCAAATGTCCTTTTTACAAAGTCACCTCTTTACATACTCAGTTTTATATCAAAAGAGTGAGAACATACTCACTCTTCCTACATGCTTTAAGTAGGAGTACTTGTTAAACCGAAGTATTCCGTTAAGACGCTGATAGGGTTTTTATTACATTGTATGAATGTCTTTATCATAAGAAATACATGTGCAGGTAAGGGGAAATTATAAGGCGTGGTCTCCTAGAGGGAAATGTTAAGACAAGCTAAGAGCAGAACCCTTTTGAGTTTTTTTTTACAGTCTACTCTTAAGCCACACATTAGTAACAATTTAAGTGACAGTTTGCTGGACGTGCATGTGACAGCCGTCCAGAGTGACTCAGCAGCCAAAATGACAATCACAGTCTGCTGATTTCCGTTGGAGTGCCTGTTCATTGTAATTTCCTCTTTAAGTCAATGTGTTTTCCATCAGGCCTGCTGGGTGGAGCAGACAGGCAACATGGCAATCTGCTTAAGCATACTGCTCTAAACACACACACACAGGCACACACACACACACAGCACTGCACTTGAATATGCTAACCATGCTGTTTGTCTCTCTTAGCCGCTCTCACTGACTCCATATGTCTGTCATCTGTCTGATCTTTATTGCTCATATTTTCTCCAGCGTTTTATCTTTATCAAGTGTCAGAGGAGGAAGCCCTAAATCATCTAAATTTAATGCCTTTCAAATATTAATGTGTAAGAGCAGTAGGAAATTTGTCATGTTTTTGTTGCAACAAGCGCATGTTTTCAGTGGATATGGAGTTTGATAGTTAGATAGCTCTGTTATAGTTTGTTCCATCACGAAGCTTCAGGAAAAACACAATAACAGATGAGAAATATACCTGCCTTGTATTCATGGCTCTGATCTGCTGTATTACTGTCATAGTTATATCATAATGTTTTTCCTCTGTGCAAATCTCTCTCTGTTCCAGTTCTTGGTGAGATCGTCCAGTCAGGACATCTCTCTGACCCACCCCTTTACTGTTCCCACGGTGACGTCTATGACATCGCTGCTGCGTCAGGGTGAGGGGCATATCACAAATCCTCATCATGTCATCCTGGTCCTGGAGGCTCTTCAGGCCGTACCCCTGGACCACTTAGCCCCACCCGTTTACCAGTCTGCATTCCTGGCTGTCCACGAGGCGCTGTTTGCCATCATCCAGTGTCACCCTCAGGTAGGGGGTTGGGGTGGAGGGTCCCTGTTGATTCTGTGAACGGTAGTTGTGATTTGTTTTAATGCAAATAAAATTTAGCAAATAGACTTGCAGTGATTTATCTCTCTGCCTTTGGTTGGCAGACATTAAACGTTATATCAATCTGATCTGGAAGATGATAAACAAAACAATATCACCAGTGTAGTTGTTTTTATGTTGTTTTTTTTTTTCTTTTTACTCCATTGTGTTCCCCACCTTTTTAGTCCAAACTATACCACCATTTAATGGTTAAAGATGCAAGTTTGAATCCATGATCTTCAAAAACTTGTAATATTTGTCTTGATCCCTGCCCGTGAATCTACAGGATGCCCCTGAGGACAGTCTTGCTCACTTTGAACAAAAGGATATTGCGGCTCACAGAGTCCCACTGCAGCTGCTTGAAAACCACACAGTATCTAAATTATCTGTTTTTCCTGAGAGAGCCTGCTCTGCCCCTTAAGTGTGAAAAAGTGCAAAAAAACCTCACATATATATATAACCTTCAGATTAGAAATCCATATTCCAGCTTGAACGCTGGTGATTTTGGTGTTAGGTTTAACCGTCTTATTGTCATCATTTTTTAGTTTCTCGCCTTCTTTCTGATTTATTTTAAGTTTTTCTGTCATAAAGAGAGACAAAGGGTGACTAAGTCAGCAGCTGCACTGAATTAAACAGAGCAAGGACCAGCAAACTGACATCAGATGTTTTCAGCGACAAAACGGACTTGTAAAGGCGACCAGCTGAGAGGGGAGGAAGGGGTAAGGTGACGTTAAGAGGAGAACAGAGGAAAGGGAGAGAATATTTATTGAGGAAGAGAAAGAAATCAAAAGAGAAGTGATAAAGACAGCAGGGAGGAAGCAGCTGACAGAAAATAAAAGCCTCTGATGTGATTTGTATGTGATGCTGAGAGGAAAATTTTGGGAAAGAGGGGAATGAGCTGGGAGAAAGAGGCGTAATTAGGCAGAGGGAAAAGGAGGTGGTGAGGAGAGGTAGGGGAGCTGGCAGGCTGGGTCCGTTGGCACTGGGTGAGTTTAAGCCGCTGGAAACCATTACCGAGCCCCAACTTGAGCTGGTGACATCACCTCCCTTCCTTTCTCTCCTGTCTCGTTGTACTTACTCAGTCCTCCAGGCCTTGAAAAGAGAACAGAGAGAAAGCACAGGCAGAAACACAAGTGTATCACTTGTGGAGATCCAACTTTTAGCTCAGAAAAGTAATTGGACAGTAAGTTTATGAGCTGCTCTGTTATGACTCAAAAAGTGAAAATGATGTGATGGATATTACAGGACTGTTCTGTCCCAATTTAGAATGGTCTTTTTGTTCATCTCCTAATGTCCTAAAACTCTTTAGATTCCCCTTCCCTCAGTTAATTTAGATAAACAAAACATTTAACCACTCTCAGTAACAGTGCCACATGCACACAAAGACATTCAGATAAAGGATTTCCCACTTTGCGGCAGCTGTGAGATGGTCCTGTGCCTGTTAAAGTCTGCATGAATGTGTTAGAAATCGTGGCTCATTGGTTATATCCATCTCTTATTCTGACAACTAAATGACTGTATAAAGGATTTTTAAGACCATAATCTTGTTGTGTGTCCAGGTGATGTTGAAAGCAGCTCCATCCTTTTTAAACGTCTTCCATCGCCTGCTGGCATCCATCATGCAGGAGGGTCGACAGAGAGGAGACAGTGGCACAGGTAACACGCATGTACCTCTTGTAAGAACTTTTTGGGACATTTATGAAATAGACTTAAACTCCTATTGATGCCTTTTTATGATATCCAAAAGCAAGGAAAAAACACCTGCAACAAGACTGAAATGCCTGAAATTGCTACATGGGTTGGTGAAGAAACAGCCCCGTTTTTATAGATTTCTCTTAAAATATTCAGAATATTTGACTGTAAAAAGCAGGATAAGATTTTTATTGGTTAAAGACACGATTCAAGCATGTAGAGGATAAGATAAGCTAAGACCAATTTGCCCACAGGGGCACTGAAGTTGACACAAACTGAAACTTCCCCACAGAGCTTTAAGTGAAGTATAATGTTTTGGTGTGCAGGGTACTGTTTGTGTAATATTTGTTGAATTTAAGTCCGTTGTAAAAGCATGGAGAGGAGTTGTTAATTGAAAGTACACATGTAAGGGGTGGGCAGGTCTTGCCTAATTCATGTAGATTTCAGTTTGGATCACCACCTGCTCTCTATATGTTACCCTGCTTATTACCAGCTAAAAACTAATGTAATAAACAAATTGACAAAAATATTGATTCAGAGATCATTTTAGTGATTTAAAAGTGAGTTATGTGACCTGTTAAAAAGAAATAATCTCTGATTTCCCCTTTGTAAATGCTGCCTTAGATTCTGATCAGCCTTCATGCAGCACAAAATAACATTGAAATTAACATTTCATGTTAGACAAGGTGAACAGGATTTTTACTGGAATATTTGTATCGACATTTCTGTCCTCTTTCGGCTCTCCTTCTTCCCAAGGTTTCACTTTCAAACATATATGAGTTACATGTCACGACTTTTAACATTGTGGCCATCTTGCTTTTATTGTTTAAGTCACTCATAGCAATTAAAAACTTAGAGCTGAACTCTGCCGTCATTGTCTAATGGGGTTAACTTGCTCTTCAGACTGCTCTCACACCTGTCACCAGTAATTGTCATTATTTCCCAGCTTCCTTGACCAGCCTGAGTCAAGAAACTGATGTTTTTGCCACAGTGTCAACAGGCAGAGGTGTATGTGTCAGACTCCTCTATAGGGATTGATTTTGTGAGATGTGGATGATCAGGTTGCTCCTGGCGTTGAGAGTTAGTAACCATTATTATGGGGTTTTGACCAATCAGGATCAAGTATTTAACACAGTCAAGTAATGAATGAGTTATGATGGAGTAGTTTCATGTTAAGTGGTATGTAGTCTTTTTTTGTGGCTTAATTTTCTGTCCTTGTAAGGGAAGGATAACTAAAGCAGACAGGTAAAAATTTGAACTGCATGAATTAAGTCGGATTAACCTGACAGTCAGTTTGACGCTGTGTTTAATTTAGAGAAGGAGATTCGTCTTTCTAGACATTTTCTGTTTAAAGAAGCAGCTGGATCTGGCAGTGACTTTCACACGCTTTCACAGTCCATTACATTTAAACAGCCCTTCAGATAGAGAGAAACGCTTCACAGCCTGGATGCTTTTTCAATCTAATTTACGTGTACTCTGTAAAAATCTGTTGCAAACCCTTGGCTTAGTAAACATTGAAGTAATTATTTACACGCCAGTGAATCTGCTCTTTTAGTTGAAGTATCTGTAACTTCTTTTTGCCCTTTTTTTAGCGTGTGCACCTCTTTTTCTACTCCTCTAAGAACATCATTTATTCATTTGACAAACAGTTAATGCCTTATAAGTGTGAACCAAATGAGAAAAACTGTCACACACAACAAAAATTTTCCAAAGGGAAACGACCCAAACCACTAAGACTTGGATTTCTTGCCCTCTGTGTGTATTGACATGGTGTCAAAGTCGACTTAACCTCGGAATGAATGAACATAAACCTTTTTTTTTCTTTTCAGGACCAGACAGTGACGTGTATCTGCAGTGCTCCAGACTGATAGAGAGGATGTACTCTCACGTCGCAGCCACGGCTGAGAGCTTCACCACACTGTCAGCCTTCATGGTGGCTCAGTATGTCACAGAACTGCAGAAGGTACACACACACACTCACATAAACACACAAGGCATTCTGAGTTGTGGTATCTCACAAAGTCAACAAGATTCCTCATCTAAACCCATCTGTCATTCCTGGTGATTTTCTACAGCTGTTTTTGACACAGTTTTACACACATACACACAAACACACACATTAACACACACTCACACATACGAGGTAGTAGGATCTCAGCTGATCCCTTGATCCAGACTAGTTTGTCATTGAGCTGGCACGATTCAGCCGAGTGGAGTGATGGGATGCTGACGCTCAGGAGCAGAGATGGGGTGGGGGGGAATGTTGCTATTGGCCGGGTGTTGGATGTTCACAGATCTGGGCGAGCAGGTCCAGGATTACTGTAACTCAGCTTGGAGGGAACATCCAGCCTGAAGCCCCATCCAGCACGCGGTGAGTCATGTCTGGCTGGTGAACGCAGCTCCTTTCTTGCTACCAGACTGTATTTATCTTGGCGCCAACCTGACTCAGCAGTTTCCAGCAGGGTGGCACATTGGGAGAGAGAGACAGGCAGGCAGACAGAGAGACAGAGGCAGTGAGAAAAAAAAGGCCTCTGTGATACTTATGAGCTCCATGTGAGTCATCCAATAATCCTGAAATTGGATTTAAATTGTGATTTAATAGGTCTTTTCAGAGAGATGGACCTCTTTGTAACTCAGAGGTCATTGAGCCGTCTCCGTGTCAGAACTGTTCCTAATGAGCTGTCGCCTGGACTTTCCCTGCAGCAGACAGGTGTTAGAAGAAGAGTACAGTTTTTAAGCCAGCTTAGTCAGTGAATCTAAGCACTTATCTTTCTCTTTAGTATGCTTAAATTGTTTTTGAATTGGAAACTTTATTGGAAAACTTTAGTACTCTTTAACACTAACGTTTTGAGAGTGTTTTTAAGTGTTCGCTTAATGAATGTGTGAGCGAATGAATGATGTATCCAATGTAAAGCGCTTTGAGGGTCTTTGATAAAGTGCTATATGAAATCTGATGCATTATTGCATTATTATTATTATACAGTCAGAGCCCATGTCAAAACATCAATTTTTACAGCAGAATTAAACATGTGAATGTTATGTATTATACGTTGTGAGTGACAAGGCAAGGTGTGCCAGGCAGCGAGGGCTTTTGCCTCACTTCTTCTGCTTAGCCTATTTTTAGATGGCCCATAAGTTTGTTTGAGTCAGCATTTCATATATGGTGACAACCACCCGTAGACTTTAAAACTTCCCCAGAAACCAGCGGCTGACATCAATGAAACCATAACCTTTATTTTATAGAGGTTTTATACAGGTTTTTATGTACTCACACGTGCACAGACGCAGTAACATAGAGTTTAAACAGACCTAAGATCCGGGGACAGTTTGTTCCAGTAAGTGACAGCATTGCGGTTAACCTTAACCTTTGGTACGTGCTGGCAGATGTCTAGTTTGCTTTCATATGGGGATAAACCAATTATTTACATGAAAAGAAATCAGGGTAGTTTCATTTTTTTCTTCATTATCTTAATCTAACACTTGACTTAATGAACTGACATTAATGTCAATGTCTTATAGAATGAGTTGCCACTTTCGTAACAGCTCTACAAATGTGTCACATGTGTAGTAAGACTGCAAACAAACCCAGACTGGAAATTTAACTAACTTTGTTTAAACATGCTGTAAACACACGTCACAAGTTCACAGGAGGTTTCAATTCGACAAGGCAGCAGCAGATGTGATCTCAGCTCCAGGAAGAAAATCCTCCAATTAACTGTAGACAGTGTTAAGTATTAGGAGAACTCATCTGAAGAGTTTGTTAATCGAACCACAAAGGCTTTGTAAGCTATCGATATCTTTCAAAATGTCAACTTTGTTTCAGCAAGCATCAGAGTCTATAAAGTGCTGACACTTTCTACAACATCATGGAGTGTAATGACAGCCTGAGCCCCTCTTACTCTCAGTTATGAAGAGCGCCGTTCCACACCACATCTTCTTAATGATTTCTTTGGAGAAAATCCATAAAAGGCTGTTCCCTCTGTATTGTGACTCCTGTAATCAGGGGAGCGAGGTTTTATCTCATTATTTACAACGTACAATGACACTCACATGCTGTCTGTGATGGTGTGTGCGTGCGTGTGCGTGTGTGTGTAGGGTCTGAGCACTCCAGTTCAGCTAACTGTACAGAGTCATGGTGTGTGGCAGGTGTATGTACCTGTGGGGTATAATGTGACAGGGATGAATAGCCAAACACTGTTGAATGGGTTTGTCATGCAGGGTTCACTGAGCTCAAGAGGAACTGTTTGTTTTTCCTGGTTTTTGTGTTTGCACATGCATGCTGATGAATACGAAGTGTTTATCTTTTTGGTTACAGTATGACGGCTTACAGAGTCACTGCGGTCCAAGTAACCTGCCTTTTTTAAATAACTGAGACGGACAAGAGTAACAAAGGGAAATGAAGCAAGAGAGTGACAGTGACACACCTTTGTAATTAACATTTTACCAGGATGTGACATGCTGTCTGCCCTTTGACGCTGCTCATATTTGTAGAGTATGATAGATAAAATGTTGTACAGAATGATTTATTCTGGCACATAAAGTACAGCCTGATTTTTCTCCAGGGCTGTTGGTCCATCTATCTAGAGCCCTGTAGATATTGATTGACAAAAGATCCATCAGTATCTATAGATATTAAAAATTCATCCTCTGTTTGACCTTTAACTCCTCTTTCTGTTTGACATATTGCTGGTTCTGCTCACGTCTCTGTGGTCTCTGCTGCTTTCTCCTTTTTATTCATAGGTGTTGTTGTTTGTCTCTCCAGGTTACTCTGCGGCCTGACATCAAGCAGCATCTGACAGAGGGGATCTATCGGATACTGGACCTGTGTATGGAGCAGGATATCAAGTTTCTGACGGCCGGGTTGCAGATGGGAGTGAGGGAGGTGTTCAATGAGCTGTACAGCAGCTACACACACTACCACAAAGCTCAGAGACAGGGAGAGGACAAGTACACTGTTTGAACCACCATGACAAGCACTGTCCTCCTTTGCTTTGATTTACAATAATAGACAATATACAATAGAAGATGATATTTTTCTGCAGGGAGTCTGTTTATATGCCTTTCCTCATCTAGGAAGGGGCAGAAGGGGCAGTTCTGTGGACACACAGCAGCAGCCTGCGTGCTGCATTGCTATTTTGCATTTTTGATACATCAAGCTGTACATTGTTAAAAGAAAAGAAGGCAAAACGGCTTGGAGAGGCTTGTAACCTCACCTACAGGAAGGTAAAATGAAATTGCAATGTCTGATTAATGTTTATATAAAAATTCATGTACCGTAACTGTTAAAAATTTGTTGTCAGTGACTGTGTATATAAAAACCTGTACAATAAACTTTCAGCTACCTGGCTGTTTGTTAGGAGGCACAAAGTCTTTAAGGACCTGCACACTGTGATGGAAAAATCAAATAAGAATCGAAGAGACGTTTCCCACAACCGCGGAGAAAAATAAGTCTGTAAAAAGCTTTTATTTGAATTAAAAATTTGTGGTTTCACAAATATAACTGAATTGCTGGAGGAAATGTAAGTATTCTCTTTGTGTGATCATTTCTTTGTTGAAGTTGAAGTGTTTTATGTTTTAGCACTTAATGACTGATCACAGTTTAGTTAGATCTAAGAATGATGTCTTCAAATTTCTATCAAGTAAAACTTTTTTATTTTAAAAAATCATTCTTGTTGGTGTTTCAGACTTTTTTTAATGAAGTTCAAATTGCTGTTCTACTTGATCCTTTTTTTTCAAGGTTGACAAATCAGTAAAACTGACTTTTTAAGACCAAGTGGGACACAAATAAGTGAAAATGATACTGTAGAGATGTGAATGTGGTGAAACAGGATATAAGGACATCACTAAAACTAAATGGGCTTTTCCACTATTAAAACATCCCCTGAGGGTATAGTGAAAAAATAGACTGTTTTTCTCATAACTTATCTGAGCTCATTAATCTTAAGAAAAGTTTTAACATCTCTGTGACTGTTTTGTGTTTTCACTGCAATAGGACAATGAATGTTTACAATACATCTTTGAATTTACTGCACATGCTTTGTTTGATATAAAAATACACTCAAACCTTTAGGTCAAGCTCTGTCATGTAAAGAAAATATCTCCTTAATAAGTGAAGGTCTACCTTTTTCAAAGTAAGCTCTGTTAAATCTACAGTATTTGCTTTGTTGTGCATGTTGTTTTCTTTATGCTTGAGATAAATCAAACTGACAGTTGTCTCTTGTCTCAACCATGGACAGAGCTTGGCGACTTGAAAGACTGCAGTCGATGACAGCTCAGGGTTTTCATATCACAAACTGATGATTTAAATTGACAGTGTTGGTAAACATTAATATAACAATCATAAAAAGCCACAGAGTTCTTCAAGGATCCTCAGAGATTTCTGTCGATGCCACCTTTAATAAAAGAACTCACGATCAGAACTCTGAAGTATTTGAGGCGTGAAAGATCAAAGTCCTCCTTAAACACTTTTATACTGTTTTCAAGAGCAGAAATTCACAGGTTTATGTAAATATCTGATAATAGAAAAATGGTATTCACAAACAGACTATAAAGCAAAGCCCAAGAAAAATTACTATTGTACCTTCAGGATTCTCTTTTAGCTGAGTAAAGCTTCATAAATAAAGCCTACTATAAGGATAAAGTGGATACTACAACTCCACAATACTTCAAAGCACACATAACTAATATTTTATACCACAGAGCTCATTATACTCTAACAAAGACAGTTCGTGTGAAATAACTGATTTGAGACCGGGTAGTGAAGCCTCCATATGTTTCTAGTTATCTAGGTGAGCCATTTAAGTGGTGGTCGGTGCCTCTGTTGGAGATTTGTGCTGTAGGAGCCATGTTGATCCTGCTAGCAGAGTAGCAGCGTCAAACATTCATGACAGCTTGAAAAATGCACCTCTGCTGGCAGCGGTTCTTCCAGTTAAGCGAGTTTTACGCAACCCTTCCTGCTCAGCTGATGTTGAAACTTCTGTACAGTAACTGGATTGGGTTGGATTTATCTGACACATCATCACAGGTTTACAAACTGGGATGATTCATTCTTCGAATCTGAATTTGGACAACTTCCAGAGCAGGACAGAGTCAATTTTCAATGTTCCTTTCCTTTAATGAATAACATATGTGTGTGTGTCTATATGTTCCATATTTGTACTGATAATCGTCCAACAGATGTTCAGTGTAACTTACAAAAGGAAGAGTTACGTAAAGAAATCCTCAATGTGCAGAACACAGGAGGGTGTTTTCCTATTTTTATGTTTAAATAAGCCTTTACTAAATCAGGTATTTTTTTCTGACTCTGCTTTGGCAGATACAAACTAAACCAAACTTTCCCTCAGATTTCTGTAATATAAGCAGTTTCTCTTGCCCTGCTGGTATATGTTATCTTTCATGTTGTTTTAAATTGACCAGTAAGGTCTCTGAGACTTCTTGGAGATGTTGAAATGTTCCCTCCTCACAGCTTGGCTGATGTTTCAAATACTTTCCTTAAAATGTAAAAGGTTTCTGTTCAAATCTTAAGCCTGCACTCTCCAGCAGATCTATTATACAGTGGAAGAAAATAAAAGAGATAAAGTTGACCTTACTTGGCTAAACTCTTCACATGAGTTAAGATGTTTAACAGCAACAGTAAAGAAACTTGTTGCCTCTCCACTCGATTTCTGTCAGGGGTCCCGAAAGCCAAACTAAACCACTTCAGGGGTAATTTGAGACCCTCCTAATAGTTCTTCAGGACATCCGCGGCAAGGGTCGAAAGATAAAACCCTCTTTTACCTCTGTGCAGCTAAATTTGCACATCTGTTTCTCTGCTTCTTCTCCTCCACCTCCCCCCATCTCTCTGCCCTCTCTCTCTCTCAGACTGCAGTTTGACTCTCATCCATCCGTGCTCCAGCACAACTGTAGGTAACACAAACACACTCTTCAGACCACCGTAGCGAGAGCAGCGATGAATAAATGTGTGTGTGTAATACTTCTGGGGCACACTTTAAAGGCACTGCACAAAGTGTGTATTGAGAGCATTTTTTAGCAGGACTGTGGGGCATTTAGCTTGCCACTTAAATCACATTTTGTCACAGTTGAAATGAGAAATGTCAGAGGCACTGGACATGAACTAAACCTTTTAGTTTAGCCAAAGGTGTTATGGCTGAGCTCTTTTTAGGAGAGTTTATCTGAACGCCACAGACCATCAAATATTCTATTTGAGCTGTCACTTCAACCACCATTTTCATCTAAAGTGTTAAAATTCTCTCTTTAACGACAAGATGGGGTGACATCCAATGCATCTTTTTATCTAAAAGTTTACTGATTTAATTGAAGCATTTCTGTTGCTCTCACTGCCAGAATCATCTTTTTCTCTGCAAGCAACTCAGTCCAACAAAACACTATTTTCCACCGCAGCTGGAATACTTTTAGATGCCGTTATTCATGAGACCTTTTCCGTTTTTTTGATGGGGCCGAATATGCCGTTGTAAATTCTTTTAGCACCACTTTGGGAGTCAGTGGCATTTGAATGTTGAGTTTTTAATTGTTTGCTCTTGTTGCCTGGTTATTTAAAAAACTGTCAAAACATGTAATTGGCTTAAAAAGTTAGTCTTCAGATGCCTCTGCCTCCCAGCCTTTCATAGTTCTATAATGTATGCGTCATCAGTTTTTTGAGAGGGTCTTTACTGTCACACTCTGAATAATAACACTACTTTAGGGGCTGAAGTTTCACTAATAAGCTTTATTAGATCAAAAACATGCACATATCTAAGTTTAAATGTACTGTAAGGGATTTTTAGCTGGAAAAAAAGAAAATGAAATTAATGCTGATGCATCATTATAAGCTACAAAAGCAAATGAGGCCATTAGTCGCCAAACTGATTCCCCCCAATTTGTTACTCTGAGTGTCTGAAACATAGACTGTATATACTAAGGACAACTTGTATACAGATTTGAAGCCGAAAAGCTCTCAGTAATTCTGCGTTTTCTCTTCATTTCCTGAAACCAACGTTGCGCAGTAGCATTGTACACACTCCACCGCTTGTGCAGTAGCATTGTGCGCATTCGGTGGGAGATTCGCTGAGAGTTGCTGTGATGACGCTTGGCTCAAACAGCGTATCCCCCAGGAGAGCTACCCAATCCTTGTACGCCCATAGGCTGTATCAGTGTCAATCATAGAAAACATGAATCCCCTAATAACTTTTAAAAACAGAGCTGTACAGAAAAAAGAGGACTTGAGCACAAACCAGTCCCACAGTAACTACATTTCAACATGACAACCAGGGGGGAAAAAACTTATGTTCTGTGTAATAAATTTCTAAAGTTTGTCCACAACAAAGTTTTGCTGGCGGAGGCGGGGTTTATGACCTACACTGCCGCCTGTAACCAGAGGGTGCTGTTCGTGGAGTGGCTTCACCCAGCGAGGAGGCAGACTGCGTCCATTCTATATACAGTCTCTGGTCGGAAACTACTGTCACAGTGTGTGTCAAAGTGAGGGTAACATGATAGACACACAAAAAAAGGCTTTTGAAAAATATCTTACATGTCAAAGGTTCTCAAAAACTGATGCATTGTCAGAATATACAAGACAAACATGTACACGACAACATCAGCATAGATGCTGGACACCTTTTTGTCCACAGGGGGTGCCAAAAACGACACAAACAAAGAAATTCTTCCTCAGTACCTTGTTTCATTATCTTTTACATGAATGTTTCAGTCTATAAATTGATTTTTGGAAAATGGAAAAAATAAAGGAATTCATTGTGCAAGAATAAAAAAAGATAATGGAGGAATAAAGGTGGAGCAGCAAACAAAGTTGAGTCATGAAGACAAACTGAAAGGAAAACAAGTTATGATACAAGCATCTTAATCCAGTGACTGTGTCTGAGCTGGCTCTGAACCAGCTCTGAACCGTCAAAAATGCACTTTCTCTTTTCTTGGTTTAACCCGGGTTTCAGTGACTCTAGCGCCCCTGGCGTCTCTTCAGAGCCCGTGCAGTTCTCAGCAGACAGACTGTGAAATCGTGTGGCATGATGATGATAACAGATCCTCTCTCACACAGCTCCCACAGCTACACGACTGATATTTAACAACAATCGTTTGCCACAGCGACTGACCCCACCCCCTGAGCTCGGCTTTAGCACAGAACCGCACGGCACGGATCGCCTCGCTGCCAGTACCGGCCCTCCTCCAGGGCTGCCTGAGCCGGTGTTTGATTGGATTAGAGTATGCTAGCCTTTGCCCTCTAACCCCGTTGATGTTGGCTGGCTGTTTCCTGCTCCCACCGCTCCCCCTGACCGACTGACGAATCCTGCAGAAGCCGCACGGAGAAGCGCCCAGCTCGGACACAGCCGACCGGGACGAGCCGCTGCTACAGCCAGAGCGGAGCGGAGCCACGAAACGCGCAGGCAGGCAGGCAGGCAGGAGGACGAAAAAACGGGGCAGCAGCCATGCGGAGGAAATCGAGGATATTATTGTGTTTTGCGGTGCTGTGGGTGCTGGGGATAGCCTACTACTTCTACTCGGGAACAGCGTTGAGTCGAAAGGTAGGATTTCCGTTCCTCGACTGCTTTTTTTTGGCCACTCGGTCGGTCGCGGGTCTGTGTGGATGTTTTCTTCCAGGACAAAGCGAAGATGGAGCGCCGTGATTTGACGCTCGCCTGCTTTTCAGGGCTCGGTTTTGCAGTTTTTGATGCTGTGACGGTCGGGATAAAAGGCCTGCTAGTATCAGTGGCCAAGCATTGATTTGTTAGAGATGAGTGTGGACAAGGGCAGTGGGGTAGTCGGGCTGGCCGGTCGGCGTGCGCGGACCTCCCGCTGTGCCGGTGATTGCCTTCTCGTGGCAGCGGGAGCGGAGCACGTCCACACCGGGCAGCCTGTTAACCACTTCACCGCGGCGGTGCCGGTAAATGTCAGAGCGGCATAGAGGTGGGAGCATGCTGGGGGATATTGGTTAATATAGGGCTGCTGGCCTGGCTCACAGGGCCGGGGGTGGTGGTGGTGGAGTTGGTGGGTGGGGGGGTGAGCCTATAGAGCACGTCAGCACAAGTTGTTACTGCTTCGAGAAACGAGCAGAGATGAGGAAGTGTGCTCTCAAAGAACGAGTTAAAACACCGATCAAACATGCTTCTAGGACAGGATCTCACTGCAGACACTTTTTATCTGTTATTTTCCACCGTAGAGACAGCACACACTTCACCTTCACTTCAAGTGTGCCTCCTTTTGTAAGGGGTTTACATTTTAATCATCTAATCAAGGTCTACTTCTTGTAGATATAATTTTAGTTTACACAAAGGCATTGACAAAAGACAACCAGAGCAATAACTGAAAGTCATTAGTTAACTCAAATGTACCATTATTTTATAGTAGGCCTACTTAATGTGAAATGTTGAGAATTTGCTTTTTTTTACTGCACCACAAATGATTGACTGACAAGTAATAAAACTGCAGCATTTTTTAGTTCAATTTCACCTTTTTTTATTTGATGAACCAGCCAGACTGATTAATCAGAAATGACCTGTTGGATCTATCAGTATTGACAATAGTGACAATTAGTAACACCTATCAGCATTCAGCAACACAAACCGCAGCATCACAAATTACCATAAAGCTGAATGGACGATGTGAAAAAGGATTTCTTACGAGACTTCTATATTGGGCTGCATGAGCCGGTGAGTGTTATTTGTGTATGTGGATGCAGGGATTCCATTCATAATATCCCAGGCCTGTACATGCAGTAGTATGTCATGCATGGATTTCAAGTCAAATCTCCTCCAGGTGTATAGGAAGACAACCCACCATTGTACATATGTCTTTATTCAGTGTGTGTGTGTGTGTGTGTTTAAGAGACATAGAGTGAAGGAGAGGAACTGAGCACAGTCACTTTATTGTGTTGGGAACATCCAGCTTGGGCAAACTTTGTGTGTGTGTGCCTGCCAATGCTTGTGTGTATCCTCCAGCTGTGTGTGTATGTGTGTCTTAGGTGCACTGCGTGGGTGGTTGTGTGTACTGTACACTGCCTCTATTACCCCTTAAGACATGTGTGTATGTGTGTGTGTGAACACCCTGTGTGTATTCCACCTGCCTCTTGTCTTGTCCTATCTGTCTCCCTGTGTTTGCTTTGCTCCAGTCAACCAGAGCAACCCCTTTTACTTTTCCATTAGGCTGATAGCTCCCTCTCTCTCTATGTGTGTGTGTGTGTGTGTTTGTATTTGCGGTTGTCAGGGGGGGTCAAAGTGGCACTCCGTGATAAGCAACTTTCTCCTGGTTTGGATTGCAGGCAGCATTAATATGGAGCCAGGATGATGGGCTACACCTGGCTCCTGTCTTTACACAGAGGCAGATTTAATCTCATCAAACAAAGGCGATGCTGCGTAGGGAAAATTGCTGTTTTCCACCATATCATCCCCCACTTTGAAAGAGTTGAGGCATTTAATAACTCACACCGTCATGAGAAAAACTTTGTTGCTATAGATTTGTGAGTCTTTCACACACACACACACACACACACACAGAGCAAAAGAAACTTTTTTAGAGGCAAGTTTTGTTGCACTAATTTAGATTCTCTTTATGGCTCAGAAGTAATTGATTGGTTCAGATACTTAAAAATCCTGCTCTCTTTTACTCACACTTTTTGAAACTGTTTAAAAATATATAACTAAAACTGCAATTGAAACAATATCTGGTCACTGATTCATCCTTCAAACATGATGACAATTCAGAACTTTGAATGTAGCTGGTTATAAAGATGCTCCTCAGAATGGTGTGGTTGCAAAGTTCAATGTCAGGTCTAAAATCGCACATTTTGTTTTGATGTAAGACACATATTTGAAATACAATCTTAAATACAGTGTAGTATTTAGAAGCTTAAACTCTGAGGGTTAATAGTATTTTTTTCAATAAATAACAAATTATGATAAGTCAATTGCTATGGAAATGTAAATTCTATGGGATTAATTTTCTTTAAATCGACTAATCCCCTCTGTTCTTGTGCCCATGCCAGTAGCTCCTATTAAAGCTATGAAAAGTTCCAGACTGTTTCTTTACCTTTTAGTCCTTTTGTCTTCTCTTGGCAACAGACAGGTTAAATTGAAAGGCTGGGCGTAGAGAAAGCAACAGTGCTGAGAGGTTTCCAAACATGCACAAAAGCTTCTCCTTGGTAGTTATGTGCAAGGTGTGAATCATGAGTCTGTTATTTAGTTTATTCAGCCGTTAGTCACACTCCAGATTAGGTGGACTCGCAGGATGTCTGATTCACAAGAAAGAAGAAAATCTCAAAACGTCCAAACACTTCATTTAAAGGGAAAAAATAGAGGTGACTTCTCTTCACAAGTTTTAGCAAATTGCTTGTATCTAACATTCCTGGGCACAGATCTTGATGTTTCTGTGTCATTGCTGCTTGTAAGCAGCTGTGTTAAATTCAGAGTTTTGCAAGCCTGAGCAGGACTTGGTTTAAAACCCACCGCTGAATAATCCGAAGTGTCTCTGTTATGGGAATTTGTCAAACTTGCTTCTCTGCTCCCATGAGACATGGCTGCTCCACTCAGAGAGCTCACCCAGCAGTATTTCCACTACTGTCACTTCAATAGGACTCTATTTGGGAAGGTGTCATCTTGTTGGAGCCTTTGTTACAATGTGAAGACTCTCTGAACATGGTGTCAGTGCTGCTCAGGTATAATTATGTCCTGAGTATGAATGAACATTCAGTTCGTGATAAATTACCTGCAACCCTTTTCTCAAATTCTTTAATAATCAAAAGCAAAATCCCTTGTGTGTTTCTTATATTTCTCTTCATTATTTTAGAGCTGTGTCACTGGGAGAGTTTGTCTTTTATCAGTGCACACTCTGATAGGGATTGATGTGGAGACTTTCTCAGCTTTCCTGGCCTGAATGATGAGCCTTTACACTGTAAAATGAGATGACATGAGTTGAAATTGAGGCTTATGTTCCCTTGGTTTGTGTAGCCTTGTTTTAGTGGTTCTAAACTGTAGTGTGAATCGCATCAATCACTGTCATCTATGTAAATTTATAGGCCTAACATTTTCCATGTTGTATGAAACCCCTCATATCGTCTGCCACTTGGTATTTTAGTGGTTTTTAATGATCCGTGATAGTCCTGTTGTGTAGTTTATGGATCGAAAGTGAGTTTCACTTTCTTTCCTCTGCCATAAAGACTGACAGGAAACTGTGAGAGAAGCCCAGCAGAGCCACTTTGTACAAACCTGTATGCGCATTGTTGTACATAGAGGGGACAATGCTGCAGACATGCTGCCCCTCCAGGATGCTTCTTTAAAGTTTTTCTTGTTGGACCGGCCTCTGAGAGTTTTTTTATAGACACAAACATCCTGCTGTTGAGTCTACTTTCCTGCTAATCAGCAGAGTGAGATGGGAACTAAATGGCAGATAGAGGAGAGTGGCACTGCACCACGGGAAAAACCAGCAATAATGCAGACTACTTAACTTAAGTTGCTGGCTACAATTGGATTAATCACAAGCGCAAATGATATGTTATCCATAAATAAACATGTCTCAAATATCTCTTTAAACAACGTGTACATCAGTCCATGTTTGACTTAATACAAGCCCAAATAATAACACTCATATATGCCTAAATAAACAGTTGGTCTAGAGAGACGAGTGGAGCAGAATGTGCATGAACAAATCACAGACACATGGCGCACACAGTCCAGCCATATTAGCTCACACAAACACATTGTCCTCTGTTGAAATGAAGCTCAGCTCTCACCCAAAGGTGGATCACTGCAACTATTTCTCAGTGTGTTGTGATTTTAGCCAGGGGATTGGATTAGCTTGTAGTTGGTGGCAGAGGATTCAAGTGCTTTTCTTCCAGGAAACTGTGGAGAGAGAAGCACATATAAATTGGCTCAGCAGCAGGGATCCCGGGAGCTTTTAAGGCCGACTGTGGAAGAAATCTTGTGGGAAGGCTCCGTCCGCCGTTATCTGCAGCTGAAGGCGTTCAGATTTAGCCTGCCTGTGCATGCCTTTAACATTGGCTTTATCAATGCATCTGTCTATCGTAGCAGACAGCAGGGTTTCACTGGCACTGTTCTGCAGAAAATAATTGAGTCAGTTGTCCGCCAATCTCAATGACAGTGAAGGTGATGAATTTGCATTATTGATGCCCGTTATAATGCCTGTCATTTGGTGGATCGCCTGCGGAATGGGGAAGATTATTGCCTTTGCTCCACATAGTTTCTTCCATTGCCTATTGTGGTAAGACACGTTCAATTCCAGCAGCGTATCTGTAATCTTAAAGGTCTCTTCTATACTGTTTACGCAGGCTTTTTGCACACACACACATCGTTTTAACTTGTTAGCCCAGTCACACGCTAGTACTCCTTCTGTTGTATAACCACAGCCGTCATAGCAGCTCACACACCTGTGGCTTCAAAACCTCTTGGGGCCACAGCAGCTTGATTTGTTTATTGCAAGAAAACAGTGTAATTCAACCAGAAAGCACATCCATTATTTCTAACTAACTGAATGTACTTCCATAGAGCAGACACTCAATCAATAAAAGGCTTGAATTAAGCTGTGGGCACCCAGTCCTTCTCAAATATACAGTTTTTATTTGATGTATTGATTATGTGTGTGTTTCTTTTAAGTAATGATCATTTCTGACAGATGCCGGCATGTTTTAGAGGGTAAACAGAGACACAAAGCAGCCCCAGTTGTGTCGCTGTTGTTTTTAAAGGAATTATTCTGTTAGGGGATGGTGAAATGAAAACAGTCTTTGAACCAAAAACCTGCGTCATGGTCACATTAGAGTTACACAACTTCTTTGCTTGGAGTCCCAGGAGACATATGTTGTTATTTTGTTAAAGGAGCTTCACTGTTGTGTGTTGGTGTGTGTTAATGTGTGTCCCTGTCAGAGTGTGGGGGAGGGGATGCCTTGCTCAAGTGAAATATGACAGTAGACTGCTCACAGGAGGGGAGAAGTTGTTAGGTTTCTTCTGCCCCCCTCCAGAATTATCTCTTTGAGGCCTGGAATCAACAATTAGCTAAATCCCACCCCCAAACAGAGACTGTCCAATCATAGCCTAGCAACCGTAACGAGGCACAGCAGTGTGGCAAGCTTTTGAATGTAACACATTATGAAGGGTTGGCCTGTTTTAGGATGAAGTATGTGCAATGCTCTGCATTTTAAAGAATGAGGAGGGTTGTTTTTTTCTTGATTTTTCTTTGTTAGCCTTTTCAAAACAAGCACAAGGAAAAATGAGATGGAGGGGCATGAGAAATGTTTTTTTCCCATTTAATTGACAACATAATTGTGAGCTTATTTTTTATAACTAGCTGCCATTGTGCAAGATCACCCTGAACATGAGTTAGCTTAAAGTGTTAGTTGTGTGACGGCCTCCTGCCTCCAGGGCCTGCTAGTGTTTTGCGTGTCTTCCCCTTTTTGGTGTCTTGTCTTTCCTGCAGGTTAGGAGGCGGGGTTTGCCACACTTTGGTGGACGTGGCCAGTCCACCAGGTGTTTATAAGCTGGCCACCAGTGTTTCTCCTCGGGGGCCGCTGCTGTTTGGCTGCTGCTCAGCTCTGTCCTGAGACTCCTCGACTCCTCGTTGCACTATGGTTTAGTTAGTTAAATCCTGTTAGTTTGTCATTAATTTGAGTTGTTATTAACCCTTTAAATCACCTTTTGTAATAAAATCATTCATTATTTTAGTTAAAACTGTAAGACTCCTCGTTTGTTGCCATGGCTCTGAGCCGGGTCATGACAGTTGACACAGATCAAAGTGAATCAGTTCACATTTATGGTTCAGTTTTTAAAGGCTGGCCTTATCAGCACTGCTACACGATCTGAATTTCTAGGAGAATTGAAGCAGTAGTCGTTCTAAATCCATGCTGGTTGCCGTCATACTGACAGCAGCTCTGGATAAGTCTTAATGCAATGTGAGCTGTTGATTACCGTCTCCAGAGTGAGATATCTTCACGTTACCGTTCCTTCCAAATTGAGCCATTCAAATCACCGTTCAGCACAGTATGAGGGGAGTTGGATGCACGGCGCTCCTAATGGCTGTCATTTTGCCGCAGTGGAGCATTTTATTCTACATTATTATGTTGGGTTTTAGATCTTTTTTCAAAGGCAGCCCTGATAAAAAACAGCCTATGAATTTTATGTTGTCCTAAATGCTAAATCAGAGCGTTGCCAATATTACCTGCTTGCAAATTTCCCCTCCATAAGATCAATAAAGGTTTATCTTAAACTAAACAGGCAAACACGGTTATAGAGCTAAAAACAGGCTGAGCTCAGGGTTAAAGCTTTTCCTGATTTCACTGACTCAGCTGTCCAACAAGCACTAGACAGCGTCAGAGTGCATCACAAGATCAGTACTGTTTCTTTATGTTCAGGCCTGGTGAAGACTGAATTCCAGGGACAGCCTCTCACTGATAAAGCCATCAGGTGCACATTTAGACCCCTTTTAAAGGAGTCTTGTGCAGAGCAAGTCAGCTGGAAACATGAAAAAGTCAGCCAAAGACTGGGGTTTCAGCCAGGTCTCGGAGCTGACATTAGCTCTATTAACCTGCACAGTGCTGCTGATAGATTCTGTGACAGTCTCACAATTGTGTGATGGCTGTATATGCCATTAAAGAATGAAGCTTAACAAACAATAGAGACTAAGGAGACGGGATTAAGCAAATGGCAAGATTAAGCACTTACTGTGATTCAGCAGTAAAAGAGAACAAAGATGGGGTTTTCTGGTGGAAGGATGAGGAATGAAGGATGAGAAAAAAGGGGAAATGGGTAGAAAAATGTGACTGGGTCTAAAAAACGAAGGTTGTGCCAGGTTTGTTTCTGCTAATCAGATGGATCTGGTTTTGATCTTACAGCACTGAGTGATATAAAAATGTTTCACAGAGGAAAACCATTTAGTGAATAGCTCTGCAAAGGTGGGCGTTTAGGGGACTAGTTTATGTATGTCATATTCATCCATCATCTTCTAGCAGATAGCTTCACTTTGGCTTAAAAACTCCAGCTTTTATTGTACAGGATGTATTCTTCCTTTGTGTCCTCCCTCTGGATCACTGGTAGGTTCCTGGTGGTTAAACAAAACAGCATGTTGCATCCGTGAGTGTGCTCCAAACTGGATTATTTTCCTCTTGCCTTGATTTCTTCCCTGGCAGACGACTGAGCGTTCATGGAAAAGTTGAAAGAGATGAGGGTATCTATTGTTCATGAGACCAGCGCTGAGGCGAGAGCTTTTCAAAGATCTGTTTTTTATTCAGACAGCAGGAGAAAACAGAGCAAACCTCTTTTATTCAATTTGTCACTCAGAGGCAAACTGTTGTAGCTGTGTGACAACATTGATGTCTCAAGAAACCCACAAGGAAGCAGAGAACGGTCGGGTCAGCTCAAACCTGTGCTCCTGTTATCACGTTAAACTATTCAAATAGACCTGATATGGAGTGCAGGTGGCCGTGATGTTTTGCCTATGTGCTGTTTGTGGAGAGGTTTCTCAAACCACAGAATAAATCACGAGAATTATACACGTCTAGTCGCAAAAACCATCCATAAAATTGAATTGGTGCACTTCCTGTCACTGCTACTGGACTGGCTGATGTTTTAATTGAAATGATGGAGTCTGTTTTGTGTGACTGGAGTTTTTGAAAGGATGGGTTTAATGTTTGAGAATAATTATTAGAAGATTATACAAAATGGACTCGCTAATGCAGCCGGTTTGCTCTTTTTCTTGGCTTTGAGCTGCGATTGAAAACCAGCTGAAATGGATTTATAATTTGGATATTTTAGTCTTTGTCCACCTGGAAGAATAGAATGCCACATTACCATGGAGGTGTCGGACTAAAATAAAAGGCTAAAAAATTGATGTCTGACTTGCCATGCAGAGGTGGTATTTACTGTTTGTGATCTGGGGCTGAAATGACCTCATCTTTATATCTTTACTGTGTATAAATATAAAGTCTGAGTCAAATAGAAAACGGTCTTTATTGTTTGTGTCAGAATATTTTGGCTGCCTTTTTTAACGGTTTCCAAATCTGACTTTGGATTTCCCATCTGCATCGCTCGAAGCTGTTTGCCTCTGCAGACTTTCAGGATGAATTTCACGCAGAGTGGATTGAGGTACACAAAAATTGTCATCCTCCCTCTCCGCCCTCCCACTCCATTCCCAAACATTCATGTGGATCTGTCCCATTTGGGTCACAGAATCCTGGTGTTAAGACTGAGCACCAGTTTCAACCTTGATGAGATAAAGACCTATTTATTTTTGCTCTCTTTCAAAAATACTTCATTCTTGTTTACAACAATATTCAGCGAATAAAAACCACGGTAATCATCCGAAGCCATTCACTGACTGGGCGACTAAACCACAGAGAAAAATCTGCTCTTTAATCCAAACCAGTCTAATTTTTCTTGTCAATTTTAACCGTCTTATAGAGGTTTTAAGTACCATCTCACCACAATATTTATCACAGATACCCCCCATAATTCACTCGCTTTGAAACATTACAGGCAGAGAGGATATACAAGCATTTGTGTCTCTCCAGGTCTCTCTTTATGTGTTGAAACTCTGCAGCTGGAAGAAGTTATTTTTTAAAGAATTGTCCAAATATTGTGCGGCCATCTGCCAAAGAGGTGGTGGGTAGAAAGATTCTTCAACTGTGGCCTGGTGGGAGGTGTTAATGTCTCACCCTGCATTACATCATGTTTTTTTTTTTTATAATGAAACAGGGTTTGCTTTCAGATGCTTAGTAAAAATGTCATCATGTTAGGAAATTACACCAAAAACACTTTCATTTACTACCACACTCACACTCGCCTCAGAACAAATCCAGCTATGAGAGCACCACTTTGTCTCTCAGATGTTTTACTGATTAATGCTCAGGCTTTAATTGGGCTTTTTGTGATTTTATTGTCTCATTACTTTTCATCCTGGTTCAACTGTGCAGAGAGACCACTCTGCCTCTCAATGTTTGCTGAAGATTGAATTTCAAGCCACACAAACCTGATGAAGTGTTTTCTGCATCGATGATAGCGCAGGACATAAGGTTTCAGGGTCGTTCTTATATCTGTTTGTATGTTTCTTTATCTTATCCATTCTTGTACACATAATTACATTGAGGTTATCGAGGTGTGGTATCACAGTGTGTATGTGCATGACTAAATGTGTGTATGTGGAGCTTCCAATGTGTTTCAGCAAGCAGTCAGTATCTTTACATGTTGTCTGGTAAATCTAATTGTTGAGTTGATCCGACTGAAACTAGACTTTTAACATACAGATTAACCATAACTGGACTTCCATGCTAGATGTTGCAGTTGAGGGTCGGGTTTCTCTTGTATGTATACACACCATCAGACTGAAACTGGCCAGAGCGCTCTGCACTCGTCCCAAAGTTCGCACCCCTGGCTTTGACCCAGAGGTTGAATAACATTTAATCATAGAAATGAAAGGAAGCCTGGTAGTTTCTAGGTAGTCAATAATAGTAAATAAACACCATAATGGAATATGAAACGACATGGAAAAAAAGGGGACAAGGATGTCATAATCATATAAATTGACGATCAATCATTGATTTGATTGTTTTTTTTTATGTGAATGACAGGAAATACACAAAAAATCGTGTGTATCCTCATTGAAATACATCCCTCCTGATCAGCAGAGGTTGATCTTTGCTGGAAACCAGCACGCTGTCAGCCCTTTTTTAATAACCTTAGATGGATCAGAATTTTGCGTGATCGACCTAATTCTTAACGATCAATTAACCGATCATTAATAATCATGCCCATTCCTAGTGTCATCAGCTCTCTATCTCTGTTTATTCTGAAAACATTTTGTCATCCATAACTTGATAATTAATTCATCAATTATGACAAAAAAAATGTAATGAAGAGGTGCCTCTTCCAGCTGCTGTGGTGCTTCATCTTTCTTTCAATGGACTATGATTTGACCCCTCCTTGTGAGTGTTAGCTTATTTTCAATTAACAACTACAGTGTCATTCCATGGGTAACAACAATAGGTTGAAACTGCAATAGTGGAGATATTAAAGTGGTTATTCCACTCTTATTCTGTGGTGGCATAAATATTAGACCTCTGGCTCTGGTATCAGCATTTGAAAACAGATGAGTAAGGCTCTATTTTTCTCCAATGCTCTGATTGTCAGTGACTGCATAGGTGTAAAAACATGACTGACAGGAGCCTCCAGAGAGTAACAAGTAAAGCAGTAATGGAAAGACATATGTTTTGTGTGAGTGCAAACCACAGCTTTCCTCCAGATAAACAGCTGTCACCATCACTGCTGCTGATAGATTCTCAGGGTCTGCTCTCTGGAGGGTCTGGACTGTGGGAGATGTGAGAAGTAAGTGACTTCAGGTGATGTGGAAACACAGGCTGATGTTAAATTGGGACAACGAAAGACAACGCATTGAAAACGTGTAATTGTGATGTGTTTTAAAAATGACTGATGTGTTGGTTTGGCTGGAAAAGACTGAGTGCAACATGTACCGTATTTGAGTTGGATAAACTTTATGACTCTCCCCTCCTGCGCTGCTTCTCATGACCCCACATGCTGCCTTAGCACTCGAGATGAACACCCATAAAATATAGTCCAAAGTCCACAGTAAAGTTTGTGGTGCTATTGGAAATACTGTAAAGAAGAGGAAGCTTGTAAAGGGTCTTTACAGTTTGTTGAAATGAGTTTCAGGAAGCTGAGCTGCTGACTCAGCTCTACTGACTTCTGCTTTAACAAAGTGGAAGGATCAGAGTAAAAACCAGACTTAAAGATGTTTCTTTAAAACTTCTCGAGGCACTAACTTCTTTTTAAAGTCAAGTTTGTATCTCGAACCTGAAAAATCGCTTTAGTCTGTCAGCGTTTCAGATGATAGTGTATGAAGACTAAAGTCACAGTGAATGAATCTGGCTGAAACTCATCCTGAGTGAATGTGTGTACATGTGTCACCTTGCCCACACACTCCTCTGGGCTGGTCTCTCCTCTCGGGGACACGTCAGCAGACTCAAGACTTTTGCGTCTCAAGCTATTCTGAGTTTATTTACCAACCTATTACACAATTTCACACAGCATTAACCTTTTCCCGCTCCTTCCTTGAAGTTAAATTTGCTGTGTCTGTGCTGGATGGCTCAAAAAAGCTCTGAGGAGGTAGCCTGAATGCAGCTCGAAAAGGAGTCATCTTACAGAGTGGTTGAAATTCAGAGGGGGAAAAGCCTGAAAATCCATCATTCCCCAAAAAAGACTCTTGAGACTGCAAAGCTACAGTGGTATTTGAAACAGACTGCTACTGTATGGCATGCTTCCCCTGTGACAGAAGGAGAGGTATGCCTTACAGGATGGTGGTTCTGTAAAAACAGACGGGTGCATTTATGCTTTGAGCGTTATTATAAAGTACGCCTCTGTTTGAACATAAACCTTCAATTTAAACAGAAACTGAACCCCACATTTCTATCAGCTGAGGCTTATGTGTAACGTGTCTCCTCAGTGTCAGTCTGGTTCTGCTGTTTCAGGACTCCTCAGCCTGTGCCAGTCCTAATTGTATGAGTTCATGTACGATGATTTATGGGAGGAAAGTCTGTGTTTCTCAGAATAAGCTGCAGCACCCATCAGTTCCAGTCAAGGGGACCAGTGCTGCCAGAAACAGATTTAAGGCTTATTTCCTGCTGTAGTGGCATTATTTAGGAAAACAGACTTGTGCTTATAGGCCAGCTGTACAATAATGAATTGCCCATTCAGTAATCCCTCATCACCACAAGAATGTGTATGAATGCTGTGCGATTGTCTGATTCTGCTCGTGTATCGAACTAAATTGCTACAGTAGAAACTAAGAACTATTTCACCATCTTTGGATGTGCTTCTTTAATTTCATGGAGTTACCATGTGATATTCAAGAGGAAGTTTGTTCACAGTCACACATCAACTGAAATAATTGCAAAACTGTGTGTGAGCTGCTCCTGCCTAAATGAGAGTTTAGGCTCATGTTGGGCCAGTTGTCTGGGCCAGTTGTTGGCATTTTATTTTAAGGATGGCCAATAAAGTTTGATCAATAATCGTCACCTAATGTCCTGCTCATAATACTATCTAATTGGCTATTTATCATGTGATGGTACTACACAAGTGCACTGTTGGTCTCACTGGTAAACTGTCAACTCCGGTGTATGAGGTTGTAAGTCTCAGTTTTAATTAAATATTTGCTTAAGGTGTTTTTGAGGCGGTTTCTGTTAATGTTGATTTTGGCACCCTCTGTGGAATGATGTCCTGGCTGATATCATTATGGTGATGGTGTTTGAACGTGGTTAAAAGCACCCAAAATTACTACATAGAAACACTAATTCTTGTTGATGGTCGTCTGATTTGCTTTTCTGAATCATGGAGACATTAATATTGGTTTCAGTCTGTGTCATTGACATCTGAAAACTCATCGCAGTGGCTTTAAACAAAGTTTTGTTTTAGATTATGATATTACAAATTCATATTTTTGACAGAAAGTTCCTCATTTTTAAAGTCAGTACAAATGCAAATATAGTTATAGATATTATCTCCAAAAACAAAGACCTGTCGACTCCTGATCTGAAGTAGTGTAGTTAGTAGTTCTATTGTACCTAAAAGAAATTACATAATAGACCAATTAATTGGTCAGGCCAATCAATCAAGCCGATTTATGGCATTTTGAGATAATTGGCATCAGCTGATATCAAGGCTCAAAACCCTGATCAAAAAAATGAATGAATTATGTCTACAGGCACTGCAGGCAGGCTCCTCATTCAACAACTCAGGGATAGACAAGACGGCAGATCAAATTTAACTGTTAATGACAGGTGTTTGTTATTCTACTGCTAAAAATTAAAGTGGAATGTTAATAAGAGTTGAGAAAAAGCCCAAATTACAGTTTTTCAGTCAGTCTTACAGCCACTGGACGGACTGGCTTTATAATGTAGGCAAGTTTGATGCTTTTTTCCATGTCAGCCATGACCTATTAACATGAAACACTTGCTGCTTTAATTGTATTTAATTTAATTGTATTGGTTATAACAAGATTCTTATTCACATATAAGGCAACTGTAAAATTCATAAGCATGGCTAACTTGTAATTTGTAATTAAATACAACTCTAATTTACCCTCCAAGTTCTGGATAGTGTAACGGCAACAGTTATCTTTTAGTGAACAAAACAAGATCGTTTTTCTGCCAAAATTGAGCTTTTGTTTCTTCTCAGCCTAAAATTCAATGATTCAGATATTTTACAACACTCAAAGCTGCAATTCTACAACAGTGTGAGAGAGATGCATGATAAATAAAGGGTTTAAGTTATTCAAAGGGAATAAACGAAGTAAGTTTTAATTCTTACTAAGTGTGTGTGTGTGTGTGTGTGTGCATATTTGTGTGTTGCTTGTTTAGCAGAGCTTGCCCCCCTGACTCCTTAGGTTATATTTCAGCGTGCAATGATAAACTCTTCCGTTTCTCTCCAGCAGACCATATGGTAATGCACTCACTTTACTCTGTGGTCTCTCTCCCCCCTTGGTTATTTGCTGTCTTTGCTTTTTTGTCTTACATAAATATACTTTCTCTGCACTTATGCATGCCTGCCTCCTCATCGCAGTTTTCTTCTTTTTCATTATTTAGTTTGTTTGCTCTCCTGAAATAAAACAGAACTCAGTCAGTCATCCAAAGGGAAAAATCATCAAAACACCGTCGTAATGTACCTACCACCTGAAGCAGGCTTGTGACCCACTTCAGGCCCTTTTCCACAGCTTTACAAACCACCTACATACGGGGAGTAACAGAATATCCTGCGCTTTGGGCCAGCAGGCCTCCTGCCATGTTTTCTGTGTGAGTCTGTGCGTTTCTGCCTTAAAAGGTAGCTTTAATTTATCTGTGCTCTCAGCACGGTGGGGGTGGAACAGATGTGATTGTGTCAGACCCCATCAAGACGGGCTAAGAATAGCTAGAATAATCTAACACCTTAGCTTGTTTAAAATGGGTTTCTTCACACCTTTCATGCTTCATGTTATGGTACCGTGGAGTGGAGCGTCATGTTGGGGAGGGGATGATGTGTGCTTACAGCTTACAGACACTGGGAGTATCAGCTGAGGATAGAAATAGAGAAGTCCTTGTTAGATATAGTTAGGCTAGATGTTTATGTCTCCTTTCCTTACTGCGCTCAGCCTCTTCGTCCAGCTGCCATTCATTAACAACATGGCAGCTTCAGACCATGTGATGTCTTTACTGGTCAGAGATCACTCTCCTCACAGCCTGTGAATGATTGATCAAGTAGATTTGAACTCCAGCAGCACAATGATCCCTAGCAGTAAACAGGGAGGAGCACGGATCTATCATGTCAGCTGTTTTAATTAATGTGTGTAAAGTACCCAGCTAAACGAGTTGTACTATTTAAACTATAGTAGCAGGAGTAATCTGGATTAAACAACAGATCATCTGTATCATGGGTAGACTGGTGGATTTCTTATTTCTGCTGTTGGCAAACTACTGAGCTCTCATCTCATAGTTTCTTCATCAGGAGCAAAAGAACATCTGAATGGACTTCTGAAGTTATCATTCAGAAGTTTGAAGATTGTCCTCCTGATCAAAGGTTTGTTCTCTCTGTCTGAGCACCATTTGTAGTTCGACTCCAAGAAACTTTCTTCCTGTCAAGTCGCAGTTTCAAATCCTTTTTTCAAAGCTTCAGTCAGTCAAAATCGATTCATCCTCCACACGAGCAAAGGTATAAAAACAGTGAGCCAACAAGGGAAATAAACCACAAACCTGCAGCTCAAAAGACACATCCATAAAACACACAGGTCACAGGAGCATGCTAGGATGTGTTGGGGTGAAGAGAAAACCTCTTTTAAATATTTAATGTGTTCATCTGCTGAATTAGTGTACGCTGTAGTGACAGCAGCCACAGCAATGCGTCTTGCCTCTAAGGTCATGTCCAGAAAGTAGGAGTTTTAACAGTCAAAACCACTGTTGAGGTTGTGTAGCATTGTGAGTAAGAAAATAAAGTTCTGAAAAAAAAAACAAGATTTACCCACAACAGAATGCTTTAGTATTAATAAAATAATATATTATCATTGTAGATAAAAAACAAAGTAGTTACAGTTGTAGTTGAGGACAATATATGAACAATAAGGTCAATTATTACGGTAAACAACTGAGTGAGATCCAATACTTTCATAATGGTTAAAGGCTACAGACACGTGTCTAACAAAGCCAATGGGCAAGAGAAATCCAAATGATAGTAATGAGTTTTCAGAAGAGATTTACAGGAGGACACTGAGTTTGCCTGTTTGACATCCTCCACAGCTGTGGAGCACGAACTACAAATGCTCAGTCACCTCTTGTGACCGGCGGAGATTTAGGAGGGCCTTGATAGAAGACCTCAGGCTGCTCATGAGGAGATAGCAGTTCACAGATATAGGGTGGAGCCATTTAAGGCTTTAAAAATAAGCAGTAAAATCTTAAGATCAGCTCTAAAACTCACAGGGAGCCAGTGAATGAAAGCAAGGACTTGGATTGTAGTCTTTGTATGTTGTGGTTACTTATGCCAGAATGAAGTGCATGACACAGAAATAAATGCACAAATGACTTTCCTTAAGTCAGGAGGAGAAAGAAAAGAGCTGATTTCAGTCATCTGTCAATCAGAGGTGCCAGGTTTTAATGGGACATGCAGCTGAGTGTCATCTGCATTGCAGTGGAAGTCCAAACCATGTTTACAAAGGATCTGCCAGGGGAACTCCAAATGAGAGAGAGGCACAGCACACGAGGAGGAAGCATTTCCAAGCACTACAAAAAAAGACCGGTTCCAGAGTATTTCAGATGCTACTTGTCTGCAACAAAGGCTGAATTAGGTCAGAGGCCAGAGTCGGCTACAAGCGTTGTATGTATCAGTGGTGGCAACGCACCTCCTCATATAGTTTCATATGATTTCACGTGAACTCACTGGAGGCAGATGCAAACAAAACAAGACACTGTCTATAATCTGCTGCAAGGCTTTACACTGAGAGGAAATAAAGAGACGAAAAATGCCAAACAGTTCTCCATTGCTCTTATCTCTCTGTTACATAGAGATACTGCACTAAAGCTCTGCTGTTACACTGCCTTTGTACTTAGAAGTACTAGACACCCCCTCATATTTCTGTTCTAGCACGTGAATTTCTGTGATCTTATGTTGCAGGAGCAAAAAAAGGCATATTGCGTGACAGCTGTTTCTGTTAAATACAGGGCTGTTCTGTCCAGGACCCCGTTACTCTTCCATTACTACCTTGTGCCAGATGGACAACTCTGCCCCACTGTCACATCTCTGTACCTTTCACACAGGCGGTGAGGCGCAGCATCACACTGTGTAAGATGGAGGACAGGAGTCGGGGCTTGGTCTCTGTGGCCTGTGTATTGGTAAAATCTGTGGTAGAGTGTTGTCTGTTTGGTTTCCAGCAGCCCCCTTTATTATCTTTTGGGGCTAAAATATTAAGAGGTTCCTTGGAAACAGCATCAGATGCTCCTTTTCTCTCTTTGTAATTGTGTAATGTCTGACCTGATGAATTCTCTCAGACTTTAAATCCTGAAAACCAAACTCATTTGAATGAGAACTGGACTGCCTCTTTGACTATGTGAGCCACTCAGGAGGTAAAAGATAAGAGCTTTGAAGCCCCCACATCTCAAGAAAATCTGGTTTGGATGTCCAAACAGACAATTTCTGCTGATTGTCTGAAGAGCAGAATCTCTGAGCCCAGAACTTCAATAGCCGGAGGCTGGAGCTTAAAAAAGCTGGTATGTCATGATGAACAAGCTGATCTTCCTTTTTTCAAGTAAATTGCTCTTTTTATTTGCTGTGACAGATTGTGGCGTTAGCTCAGTAATGTCGGATTGATTTCTGGGTGACTTTCCAGCTCAAACTTTTTGTTGATATAAAGGGGAAAAAAGCATGAATGAGAAATCATGCACCAAAGAAATAAAGTGTTAACAAACCCATGTGCAACAAAAGCCACTTGAACCCATTGTTGAATTTTTGGGGCTATGTCACATATAACATAATGAGAAGGACTCTTTCAGTAGCCTTTCAAATGGTGACAACACACCCAAAAGTGCTCCCACACAGTCAGACAGACAGTCAGTCAATCAGACAGTCAGAGGATATATGATAAAAACAGCTTGACTGAAGTCTGTAATATATCACCGCCTGGTTAGTGAAACTTGAGGTCATAACTCAAAATGAGATGTATTCTTTTCCCCTGGGAGAGCAGCCTGATGAGAGTAGCAATTTGTTTCAAAGAGCCTGTATCCCATTACAGAGGAAATTCTCCTTTGTGTGCCAGAAACGTAACAGAGCCGCAGTTAGTGTGTAATTATTCTTTGTTAAAAGTCTCACATCTGTTTTCCCTCTGTAGTTCAGCCCACTGAACATGCTTGTGAATTTTAAGATTATACAATACGCTGTTCTGTTCGTGGCTTGTTTACGACCTAAATCCTGAGTGTGTGTGTGTGTGTTTGTGTGTGTTTGTTTTCTCAGTGTCCTAGCATACACTCAGACAACCACAGACATGCATGACTCATGAGGATCCAACGAGACCAGATGAAAAATGCACAGAAAGTTCCTGGGCCACTTGATGCATTAAAAAAAAAGAAACTGGTACTGATGAGTTAAAAATATGTGAGATGTGAGATCCTCTTTGGAGCCATAGCTTTGCAGATGTTAAAGGGACAGTCTGTCAAACATTACTTAAAATGAAGGATCGGTTAACTTCTCACTGTTGGCCTGGGAAAATGGTTTTGACAAGTTTTCTGGCACCGGGGGTGTGATGATGTCATGGTAATGTCATCTGAGATCCAATCATGACAGATATGTAGCAGAGAGCTGAAGATAAAGCAACAAACTGCGGGTGTGTGTCTCTAAAGAGTTGGAAGAAAGATGTAGTAGTTGAAGGATCTGGTATTTTTGTCGCTGTGACACACAAATCTTGGCCCCTTTAGTTCGGAGTTAAACCACTTCCTTTTTGAATTCTCTCTCCCATTTGTAAGGAATGGACAGATCCAAGTTTTAAGTCCTGATCTGAAACCAATTCCCAGGCTTAGTGGATCACTGATACTGAGTACAGTAGTTTAAGTACTTAAACAAGCTGCAGAATCCCTTTTTTTCAAAAACTTGCAGTAGTTGCTTGTCTCAGAAAATAACTGTAAGAATTTTCTGCCAACTATTTCAAACTATCCCTGTGGAGTTTTATTTGTTTCTGCAACTGTGAAAGTTTACTCCTTTGTTTGTTAGCTTTGCGGTTTGAACTTTTTTTTCATTGGCAGAATGCTTGGTAAAGTGAGCTGTACTGTGTTTATGCTATTTCACCACCACCCCCCCAAAACAATAACTTTCCAGATAAAGCACATAGTTGTAGAAGTTGCTGGAATAACAATCGTCAGATACATCCAGACTGCTAGTTATTACATGTTAATATTAGATGAAGAAACAGCTAACTGTAATGGATGAAAAAAAAAAAAAGATTTGTATCTACTGCTTTAGGTTGCTTGTTGGCAACACTTATTCATTTTTGACACAGGTGTTGCTCTAAGTTACTGTCACTTTAAGGAAGCACTCAGTCGTGTATTCCTGACAGAGATTATTATCAAAAGCATTGAAGAGGCCTGACAGGCTTGGGGTCACCTGTTTTTGCTTTACTTTGCCCTTGTCCAGTTTTCCAGCACCATCTTGTAGATGTCTTCTCCATGATACTGTTGGAATAAAAGTTGTTTGCGTTTCATACTTTGCAACAAGCTTGAATTTAATGATTGCATTGGATACAGTAGGGAGTAGCGTGATACAATATTGATATCGCATATTGGTCCGATATCAGCCAAAAACAAATATCAGATTATATCGGCCTGCATCGAAAGCACTCCGATTCAAGCAGTCAATTCCAGACTCCACCCCGGCACCTCTAGCTAGCAGCGCCCTGATCCAGCATGCAGAGCCCACGTGATCACAACAACAGTGTGTACTAAGGCAGTAGTTCTCAACTGGTCTCACTCTGGGACCCACATTTTCCCATGGTCCTTATGTTGTGACCCACTTTTATAGGATTCAAATCAAGCAAATTTATTTAAGTTTGTGCCAATATCAGATCAATATCGGTATCAGCTGATACTGAAGTCTACAATATCAGTATCGTATCGGAAGTAAAAAAGTTGTATCGGGACACCCCTAGCAGGGAGACACTTGTATGCCAGCAAGCTAGTCTGCAATTTTGTCAGTTACACCCAACTTAGCTCTTTGAGTCAGTATCTGATAACTGGATCTGAGAATCCCCAGTATTAGCCCTCTATATTGATCAAGTACCTCAACCCTTTTTAAACACTTGATTTCTCAGGACCTCAAACAACAGGTTCCACTCATGAAACCTTTCACATCAGTTAATGTTTAAGGTACAGACATGGTATTTTGCCCTGTTGATGTCATCTGAGGCTCAATCTATAGCATGCTGTAATGTTTATGTGTATAGGCTGATTAAGGGAAGTTATTGGTACCAGGCCAAAGACTCTGGTTTATGTTTGAACAGGGGTGTCAACTTCCATTAATGCCTAACAGTTGGAGTGGAGTCAGCTCTTGCTCGTGTGCTTCAGGTTATCACAGATTTGTCTGCAAAACAAGGAGCAGTACTGCATATAGACCGTTTTTTTTTTTCATTGACATGTATGTTTGTATTATGTGTAATGTTTAATCTACACACGAGAGGTATGCCGCACACACATGTATATGACATGATAGGCAGCTGACTGTAGAAATCTTGGCTTTGGTTCAGCCTAAACACACACTGAGAAACATACACACACATGACCCACCTCCACCGCTACAGCTGCTCACATCCACACATGACACCCATTCACTAAAACACACTTTCCCTCCTCCTGCTGACTTACAGAAAAGTTTTCTCCTTGTATGGAAAAGGCTTAAAGCTCTTCTCTGCAAACACACACACACATACCTTCCTGTGGTATGAGGTAACATGTGCCGTGTTGGGAGTTCATAGTCTATCAGATCTGAACAGAGATGACCTCAGCATCATCCTAAAGCCTCTCTCCGCTGTAACTTCATCCCACTGAGGCTTCTTGTAGCTTTGATCTTTTTTGCAGTGAAACCCCTCATTATATTCTCCATGATATTCTCTTTAAAGAGCACCAGGAGCTGTAATTTCCACAAATCACAATCATTCTCCTGCAATAAACAATGTAATGAGAGCACTTTACAGCACACTGATTCGTCTTAAAGCAAGAGGGAACGTTTTTGGTTTTAGTAATCACAGGCCACCGCTGTGAGCAAGGAGGGGACAGTCTTTTTCTGTTAGCAGGGAGGAAGAGGAGGAGGGAGGGGGCATCAAAGAAAGCCTGGAGGAAGAGGGGGTGAGGGGTGAGAGAAAAGAGAGGAAGCAAGTGGCTGATGAAAGAGTTTCTACAACTCGACCATCCCCACCCTCTGCACCCCTCCGCCCTGGCCTACTTTTTTCCCCTCTGCTGACACACTCAGATGATTCAGCACTTCACTCCGTCTCCCCCTCAGCTTCATCTCTACCCTCACGCTCCAAACCTTCCCTGCTCCCTCTCCCGCTCCCTCTTGCCTTGTCTTGTTTTGCATTTCCCTCATTCGGCATCTCCTGCAGCGCCTTCCCTCTCCCCTGAAAATTGACTCAGAACTCGCCCATTATCTGGAGTCATTTGCTCGAATTAATTCTCAGACTCCCATCGACTCACAGTGGGGAATAAGCAGCTTTCCCCAGTGCTGAATAATCGCTACCAGCATGTGAAATCATGACATTTCTAAAAGAATTTAGAGATTTGAAATTTAACATTCAGTGTTCAGGCTGGTGAACGCCGGTTTTTAACCCCTTTGCGTTCCTCCAGGTTGCGGCTTTGAACTCCTCTGTGTTGTACTCAGTCAGCACTTAAAACTTCATATTTGATTTCAGGTGAAAACACAAAGTTCTGCTTGTTGACAGACTCAACCTGGGCTGGGTGTCTTGCCTCATCACCTTTCTTTTCCTCTTCATCTCTCTGCCTTCTTGTTCCTTCTCCTCACAGGTCATTTCCCTGCTTCTGTCATCATCAGTGAATCATCTCTCCACATTTCTTTTCTGCATTCTTCCTCACTTTTTATCGCCTGCTTTTTGACCCTCTTTCATGTCTCTCTGCAGTCCTGGGTGGAAACACAGAGAGTCTTGTCCCTGACCCCTATCACTCAACATGAGAAGACTTCTCAGTGTGAGTGTGTGTACTAGTGTGTGCGTGTTTCAAAAGCCATCCGTACAGTACTACAACAAAAGATGTAACGTACACCGTGACAGCATGAACCGGAGCCCTGTTAATTATTGCTGCTGAGCCGCCACTGACAGGCTGATGAACAGATGGTTGTTTGTAAAAGAATACACAAAGTGTGGCATTCATGTTTAATGAAAGGATGTACAGTACCATGTATCGATCCAGGGAATCATCTCCTGAATCACCATGTTGAGCATTGTATAACCGAGTCTGCTGCTACTCTACACCCAACACACCTCTCCTCATTTTGTCTGATTCACAATGGTGAATTATACATTGTCTCTGAACAAAAGCCCTTTGGAATCTGGAAGATGATGATACAATCAGATAGAGAAAGTCTTGTGATATTAAAATAATCAAGAGATTTGTTAAAGATAAAGACAATAATCTGTGCCCCAAGCAGATGAATGATTAATTTACCGCTGCGACAAAAATTAAGTTAATTAGTAATGAATGGAGCCATGTGATGATAACGCACATGCTCCACAGACCCTCCAGTTATAACCATCCTAAGCTGGCCTCTCAACCAGCTGTCCACACCTAAGGCTATGTTAGCCGTCTTTTTAAGGCGTCTTTTATTGGTTGTTTTCTGTCTGTAAGTGGGGGAAAGGACAGTGGACGGGAGACAAGAGCCACAGGCCAGGATAACCTCTGTACATGGGACACACACACCTGGTCAGCTGTGTGTGAATGCAAATACCCCATGACGTTAATTAAGCCTTGTAAAGTCTGATATGTGAAAAGAGGCAAATTAAGAAGATTTTATTAGGGCCCGAGTGATATGGATTTTTTGGGGCTGATGCCAAAACCGATTATTAGGGGGGAGGGGAATCCAATTACCAATTAATTGGCCAATTTTTTAAATTTTTTTATGAAGTTATAAAAAAAATATATAGTATACTGTAGATATCTACGTGGTACCAGGCATCATCGTCATCCAGTTCATCTAAGTGGATGAACATTTTCAGGAGGTCGCTGCGCCATCTACAGGATAAGTCCGGGGATCTTTTCAAATGGCAGAACATTTTCGAAGTGAAACCGAATCTTATTCTACACATATTATTTCTGAAAATATCTGCGAAAATCGGCGAGCTTCGGCCGATTACCGATTAGTCTCAAACGGGCTAAAATTGGCCGATTTAATCGGCTCACCGATAAATCGGTCGGGCCCTAGATTTTATACTCTTTCCTGCTGACCTCAGTTGTCAGTATATTGTTTTCTCACCCTTGTGGATGTACAAAAGAAAACAGCTCCTCCTTGTCTGTCTGTAAGTGATCATGACTGCCCCACCTTAAACTGTGAGAGCACTCCCAATAAAGAATCTCTGGCTGTGAGATCCGTGTGTGAACAGCAAGTTCCTGACATAATCAGGGCTTGGTGTCCTGAAGTTATCCAGAGATAGTAGAAAGTAAAACAAAAATCTGATATAGTTTCCATGGAGTGGATCAGTAGCCGGTGGTCCTCCCACTCTCCTCGAGTGTCACTGAGCTGCAGCTGTGGAGCATCGCTGCAGCAAGGAGCTCAAATACCTACATTTAGATCGTACCTTTGGGAAATATTTCACGGGGTGGATGATTCCTGTTCAGACAGCACATTCATCTCTCTCACTGTTAAAGATTTTGAGACAGCAGGGTAAGATGCAGGAGTGTGTGTCCGTCCCACTGTGTGCTCTTGTGTGTGTGTGTGTGTGTGTGTGTGTGTGTGTGTGTGTGTGTGTGTGTGTGTGTGTGTGTGTGTGTGTGTGTGTGTGTGTGCGTGTGTGTGTGAACAACAGACAGAGCTGAGAATAAACAGACTTATCTTCATTTGGACAGATTCAGATGTTTCACCAGCTCAACTCTCATTAAACAAAAACCCACAAACTGGAGATAATTAGTTTGATCTTTAGTGTGTGTGTGTGTGTGTGTGTGTGTGTGTGTGTGTGTGTGTGTGTGTGTGTGTGTGTGTGTGTGTGTGTGTGTGTGGTCTCACTTCAGACTAGAGATTGTCTGAGCATGGGAATGTGTGTGTGTGTGAGTGTGTGAGCATCAGTCTTTGTGTGTGTGTAGGATGCAGATGGGGTTTTGGGAAAGAGGCCAGCAGACACAATTGCTCCATTGAGCTAGCTCACATCCCCAAAGTCTCTCTCTCCCTCTCCCTCTCTTCTTTCTCTCTCTTCTTCACTCACTGGCATACACACTAATTCACTCACACACACACACACAAACACACACCCTGGTGAGACTTCTCTCAGTTTGCTCAGTGAAGTCTGAATTCTCGACCGTGAAGTCAGAGGGGCTTCAGGGTTGAAGTCTTGGGGATTTTACTAACATCCCCCACCCCTTTAGTTGCTCTCTCTCTCTCTCTCTCCCTCTTCCTCTTATTTTTCTCGCTTTGTTTGAGTTTGCATTACTATGAAACATTATTTTCAAGTCACACACCTCCTAATGAGCACCTACATGTGTTTGAAGCAGTGCTGGGACTTTTTCTTACAGCTGTGAATCAGCAGGGGTGGTTGTGTTTGTGTGTTTGTGTGTGAGTTTCTTACACACCTCTGACACTACTGTGATGTTTTGGATAACTTTCCCCCCTTTGTCACACCTTATTAAACATCAGACACACACACACACTGGGGAATGGCTGACTGAACAACTTGGAGCATGACTATGTGTATAGATCATACTTTTACTTTCTCCGTGTCCCTTCCGGCTGCTTTTGGTATTTTGTAGAGATTGATTTTGGAGCGAATATTTTCTAAAATGTGGTTTGTCAAATTCATATTTACATAGTTTATTTAGTTGATCAGTTTATTCAGGAATCTTATTTTCATCGTTTGAAAGTATGAAGAGAAATCTGCCCCAAGATTTATTGTCCAGGGATGTGATTCCTCCATGTTTATCAAGAATTCAGGATTTCCTGTTCCAAAGGGATGATCCTTGAATTTTGTTTGTTTCTTTGAAGTTAGTGTCAGAAGAGCTGTCAGAGAAGACAATGAGCTTTTTAAAAGGCATTTGATTGAATTAAAAACAAGATAATTACAGGGTAGAGAAAAGAGCAAGAACAAAGATTGTGTGATTGTAAAGTGCCTGCGTTTGTATCATGTTTGATGATTTGGAAAAGACGTGTGACATTGTTTTTTTCTGTAAGTGCTTTGTGATGAAGTAGAAATATTCATTGAAGTTTCTTGAAATAAGACAGGAAAGAAGGTAAAGTATTTTATTCTTACATGGATATGAAACGTTGAAAGAGAAGGATGTGGTTTATTGAGACATTTCTAATTTCTCCTTCGGAAAAAAAAGGTTAAAAAGTCTAATTTAAATGTTAGAGAAAGCTTATCACAGCCTTTAAAGATAACTGACTAATAAAAATTCTCCTCAAAGTCTCTGGAGAACAAGCAGGTCCAAATTAAGTCTGAAAAAGTCTGAAGTATAATCTGGTTAAGTTGAAGCGCATAGTTTCCGAATGTCTTCCTAGCTTTATGTTTTTGATGTGCAGAGTTTCATAGATATGTCAAAGACTTCTCAGTTTGTTCTTTCTCTCTTGTTTCTCTTTGAAATCAAGCTGTTATTGTGTTAACACAGGCTGAAGGCCTGGGAACTGACACTGCATTACCAGACAGTTTAATTACAGCTCACTGTGACAGGTGTCATGCATTGTTTTGTTGTATTGGAGCAGCTTCCATTTGCATAAGTACAAATGTGCCAGTTTATCAGCCAAAAGAGGAGAAGATAATGAAGAGACAGCCGATTCATTTTTCTGCTAAAAGGTTCTTTGGCTCCCGCAGACCTCAATTATGATTGTAAGGCCTAAAAACAAACCTGACAGTTATCCCGCTTGATGCTGTTTGAGAGGTTGTTTTCTGTAGTGAAATCAGTTTAAACAGAGAGGACGACTCTGGGTGAAATGTTTGATTTTATATTTACAGTATAAACATAAACAGAATGGAAGAAAAATTGGACCCACCTGTCGCACCTTGAAACATTGAATTATACAAGTCTTTGTGGTTTAAAGGAGTGACCCATGAATACGCTATATTTGAATTAAGCAGGAAATTAGGAGATTTAAGGAGTTTGGGATGACACGTTAAATCTTCAGCTTGAACGTAACCTGTTTTGAACAGACAGCAGAGAGCCATGTTAGCTGTTTGTGCTCATCAGCAGGCTCTATACTTAAACGATGATACTAGGTAACTGCAAAGATGGTGGTTGTGCTTTATGACTCAGCTTTTGAAGTCCATGTTTCTTTATAACATTTGCTCACATTTGTCAGCAGAGCCTGACTCTCAGGGAGCCGCCCATGAGATCATGGAGTCTGTGGTGTTAGCATGCAGCAGGTATAACTACAGAAAAAGAAGCATAAGCCTGTGTGTGTGTGAGAATGTGTCTGTACTGTAGAGTAAGATATATCTGGGCCAGTGTTCACTTTATCCAATGATGTTTTATTCTCATGCTGGAGATTCAAGAACAAACCAGATTACAATGTTGGATCAGATATCAGAGGGTCCTCAAATGCTGCAGTATCATCGAACAGTTGTGAATTTACTCCCTGTCGACGTACAACTGCCTTCTTATGCTTTGCTGTTTTATCTCTGGAGTCTTTTGTTTAATTTCCCCCTGTTGTGCTCTTCTTCTGGGATGTGCTGTGTTTGTGTTATCAGCCGTGCTTTAAATAATTCACTCTAATATCTCCCTACATCAATGTTTCCCAAGATGAACTTAAAAAAATCCAAGTTGGGGCCTCAAACAGAGATCCTGAATAGCTGGTGTGCAGAGGCATTTACCCCAAAGCATCATGGTCTCAATTAAAGTTCTCTGACCTTTGGGAAGATCATTTTAGATACACTTGACACCATGAGCAATCTTGTTTGCATTTTTTGCCACTACAAATACTATTCCAGACTTATTTTTTAGAATGTTACTGGAATTTTTGTTTTGCCACGACAGATTATGAGTAAGGGGTGATGCAGTATTGAGAAAATAACCACACTAAGATTCAAAATATTGAGTAATGAGTGCAGGATGAGGCGCTGATCAGAGAAGACAGGAGGAGACAGGATAAGAGATGCATTAAATTGGGAGGGGGGTGTCCGTGGGTGAGGAGTTTAGTCGTATGAAATTTGACAGTTTTATTCCACAGTTTACTGCTGCAAAGGCCAAAAACATTTAGTTTCAGCAGCTTGAACTTTAAAACAGTCATACCGGAAAGCTCTGCTGGGAGGCAAAACAAAATGACCGCAAATGTCAAAACCCTGGGTTTGCGTCCTCCCTCCTTATCTAACCCCCTCTCCTCTGTGTAATGACATCCAAGTTATGACTGTTTTTGAAGAGCTGCTCCCAGCGACGAGCTCCTTTCACTCCTTTCATGCTCAACTTCTGCCTGAAGACAATGTGCATGTGTGCGTGTGCACAAGTAAGTGTGTGTTGTCCTTGTGTGTGAGTGTATGTGTGCGTGCGTGTGTGTGTGTGTGTGTGTGTAGCCTGAGGACACAGGGCTGTGATTAGAGAGGTGATAGAAAAGTTTGACTTTTTCTGGATCTTTTTTCACTCCTTGATAAACAACTTTGAGTGTGTGGCGGGGGAAAGAGCATCGCTGCAGGGAGACTCCATCAGGAATATGAACACTCTGACAGTCTGAACTTTTGCAGTTTCACTGAGAGATGTCAATTTTTTCAACCCGTACCATAACCCCAAATTAGCCCCTATGATGGGATATAAAAGGGTAGAGACGGAGATGATGAGTTGAAATCTGATTTTGTTTTCCGGCTTGTGAGTTTTCTTATTGCAGACACAGAGCTTATTGTCTCCTCTCGTGGCTTTTATGACACTAACTTCAAAGAAACAGAAATGGTAAAAACCCTTTAGCTAGTTAGCTTTTTACCACTTTGCATGAACTGAAGATTAGACAAATTAGAAGAAATTAATTGGAAAAGTGGTGTCTGTGGTCCTTAAATTTTTCATAACCCTGTTTGATTTTCTTAAACGTCTTGGATGTTTCACTCTTCATGCTGCTCTTTAATTTTTTCCCCCATACTAGCGGCGAGCAGCAGAGCTCCTGTAATGACGGTTTTAATTGCCATTAACCATGGCACAGATAATAAACGCCTGACACGCTTTGACTTTAATGTGAAATTTACCATTTTAATGCATTCATATAACTGCAGCTAACCTGCTTATTACTGATTTCCCTGCACTCAGTGTTTAGTGCTGAAAGGCAAATCTTAGCATGCTAATGTGTTAAAACTGTCATGGTGCCCATAATAGCAGGATGAGGTTAGCATTTAACTAGTACAGCCAGAAGAGCTGCCAACAAAGCAGTAAGTGTTTCGAACTGAACCCAAAGGCTCTGTTATAAATTAGCCCTGAAAATAAGGCTATATAGGAGTGAAACATGTTCACACCACTTCATGATCAGTGGAAGTGAAGAGTTTCATTGTTCTTCATCCTCTCTTTTCCTCTCTTGTTACCACTGATTGACTCGTGTCTTTATTCACGGTTTTTTAGAAGTGGAGTACGCAGTTTGAGTTCACCTTCAGGTCAAGTCTGGAGATAATAGAAGCAGCCTTACACCTGGCTCCTTGTAAAGCCATCGTTTTCATTTATTATTATGTTTATCTGAGCAGACAGACCGGTTAACTTGACCTCCTCTCATCTCGAGTAATTCTGGACATCATCTTGTGTTTTGAAGAGCCTCTCATGTCCATCCAGAAAGAGTTCAGATTGTATTAACTCACAGACAGCTCAGCCACAGCTTCATATTTCCATCATAACCCTTTGAACCTCTGGGTACTTTTCTCTGTCCTCAGGCGGGTCAGAGGTCTCAGCTCCAGAGCAGCTGGCCTGGTGCTGAACTGCGTCCAGCGTCTTCCTTGAGGACACTTTAGATGGACAGATGCCGGCTGTCACAGGGACTTGAACCTTAGCTGTCTATTTGAAGGACATTTTCTCTAATCATGAACAGCACTTGCCGCCATATGACGCCCTCAGGGTGAAAGACTCAACCAAGCGGCATATGGTACACAGAGGGGCACACCAGCGCCACAGCTTTCTGTGAACACAGCTGTGTTTCTCTTTTGAAATAATTTGAAATTTACCAACATCAAACTGTAAACCAGACTAAAGCTGCGATTCTTCAGTGGGAACTCAAGGACTGTGAACCTTTAGAGATGCATGCTGTATTACAAGCAAGGTATCAGGCTCTACACAAAGTTTCAAAGATCCTTACCCAGAGGAGCACTTACTAAAGTCAGGGATACATGATACAGACTTTTTGAGTTGATACAGATAAGTGACAATAACTTTCTCTAAATACAGAGAGGATTACCAAAGTGCTTTATTTCAGTTTTGTATTTTGTATATGTAATTTATGCACATCTGAGGGCGAGAAATGCTAAGATTTAGTGAGCAAAGATGTATAAAGATGTAGACAATGTATGAATATTTTATACCTACTGATTCTTACTGAAACAATTTTCTTTGAACACATAAAAAACCAAGAACAGTTCAGACTCTTCAGCTGTCACTTAGTTTCTTTTACTGCAAGTGCAGCGCTCCATTTCATGCAGTAATATCTTTTATCATGGTAAAGTCTTTATACAATTACTGCGCCATAAAACTATGCATGATCAACTTGAGTCTGTGATAAAACTTGACTGTGTGTAGAGATTCCATCAAACAGGGAAGGAAGGGGGGTGTATGTGCTAAAAGTGACAGAAATATAAGATTATATGGTGACATCCTCAGTATTTAACCTCTTCAAAGGATGGCTCATTACATGCTGGTAATTCAGGATTTTTTTTCAACTTCTTGAGTTGCCTCAGGTAAACTTTCTGCAGTTCTGATATCTTCACGACCACATCCACCTTAATCTTGGTGCTGCTTCTCCATATGTCTTAGGTATACCTTAATTGTAATAATAATAGATAATGCATCGGATTTCATATAGCGCTTTATCAGAGACCCTCAAAGTGCTTTACATTGGATACATCATTCATTCGCTCACACAGTCACACCTTGGTGGTGGTAAACTACTGCAGTAGTTACAGCTGCCCTGGGACAGACTGACGGAAACGTGGCAGCCAGTTTGCACCTACAGCCTCCCCGACCACCACCACACAACACTCACAATTATGCACCAGTAGAGGACACACACTGGCAGCAAGGTGGGTTAAGTATCTTGCCCAAGGACACAACAGACAGACTCCGGATAGGGGGGAAGTGAACCGCCAACCTTCTGGTTATTGGACGACCGCTCTACCTCCTTAGCTACTGCCGCCTCAACAACTTTGTACTCTTAAAAGATTTGTTTTGCTAAAGAGCTCTTGAGGACTTTTTATCCCTTTAACATATCTTGAGGCACATTTTTGGTTGCACTAATATCTATATATAACTACATTTATATATAATGTGATACAGTTTGAGGCAGCTTTTCAGTGTTAAACATTTCTAATAATACAAATTCTCTCATTTTATTTGAAAATGAAAATCAACAGGACTTTTTTCCTGCATGAAATGACCAATCACTTTGTGTGTACTTAGATTGCTGTAAAAACACTGATTACAATGGACTAGAGCAGTGGTTCTCAAGTCCAGTGGTTCTCAAGTCCAGTCCTGGAGGCCCACTGTCCTGCATGTTTTAGATGTTTCCCTGCTCCAACACACCTGATTCAAATGATCAGCTCGTTATCATGCTCTGTAATGGCTTGATAACGAGCTGATCATTTGAGTCAGGTGTGTTGGAGCAGGGAAACACCCAAAACATGCAGGACAGTGGGCCTTAAGGAGTGGACTTGAGAACCACTGGACTAGAGGGACCTTTTAGTTCCCTACAAAGTAGCTCCTGAGGCGAAAAAACTTTGAATTTCTGGTGTCTGCCATACTGTGAAGTTTTAACCATTTAAGTCCCATTGTGATTTCTGTCTTCCTCTGACTTGTCATCTCGTGCCTGGATGAAATAAAAATTGTTGTTGTGATAAATTGCTAATTATCGTTTTAAGATAAATAATACAAGCTAGTCTTCCCGCAGAGCATCAACCTGATGACATTAAGTTGACTGCGGTGCATGCTGGGGACCCCGGCGCCAAAGAGTGGTCTTACAGAGCTAGCAGTCTTGTTTTGAAATAAATTAGTTTAATCTAGGAACTAATTAGATTTTGTTAAGCAGGGACCATTCACAGTTGAAAAACAGAGGTATTAGGCCTGATGCCAAGCTGTCTCTTGACATATAACTAAGTCAAGACAAGAAACAACAGTATAATAATAAAACAGAAGGAGAAAATAATTCAGGGTGGGTTCAGAGTAATCACAACCTTCAGCTTCCTCTTGGAGGGGTTTTTGTGACAAATGAGGGAAACGCAATCTTCTGCACTTCTTGTTGTAACAGAAAAATCTTTTAATCTGGATCCCAGTTTTGGCTGGAGGCTGATGTTATTACAGAGAGAAAAAATAAACATGTTACTTTGTGTTTTATTATATGGGGAGCCAAGGTTGTTGTTTTTGCACCGAGTTTATAGAAGATGTCAGTGAAGTTCAAGTAGCCTTAATGTGCTTCAATTTTCTCTGATTTTCATCCGTTTTTGGTTTTTTTTGGCTTCATGTTTGTTGCTGCGGTGTGTGTGTGTGTGTGTGTGTGTGTGTGTGTGTGTGTGTGTGTGTGTGTGTGTGTGTGTGTGTGTGTGTGCGTGTAAGTATGCGTGTGTGTAATCGCGACCTCTTGGCTCCTCTCTGAATTAATCTATCAGTGGATGTGATCAGATTACTCTGGATTATACTCAGACTATGAGAGGGATGACCAAGGTTAGATCAATCCCACACACATTGACTCAAAGACAGATCACCAGATTGAGGCTGTAATGCATTCAAGCTCTCAAACCCCCACATAAACAAACATGAGCTGTTAAGACACCCTCACGCAGACTTGGTCTTTTGGGGGCTTTAAGTCTATCCCATTAACAGAGAAGCAGGTGTAAGAGCTCTGTTGTACATCCTTCAGCTGAGAAGGATTATTTCGATGGTTAATTGCTCTTAAAAACATAATCATACCAATGAAGAGATTCAAAACGGACCAAAATGTTATTTTAAAGTCACATAAATTCTGTGTAATGAAAGCATACCTCTGCTTTTGTCATATATCTTGAATAAATCACAGTTTGTGTTTTTCTTCTTTACTGACAAAAATTTAAATGTCAACAAGTCAGTCTTTTGCAAGAGATGTAAAGTGGAGCAGTTCATTTAATTTCCTTTTTGTATTGGTATTATTTCAGCAAATGCACAGACTGCTGTTTATTAGTATCCATAGAGCAGATGTAGCCTCAAATTTTCCCATTTTCTAACATCTGACAGCCATTGACAACTTCAATTTATTCTAGCTGCTCTGGCGTTTGCTCTCATAATCTAGATGCAAGGGGTCTTTTTGATTTTCTGTCCCTGTCTCTGTGCAACTGCATCACACAGAAATCTTTCAAATATCCCTCGTTTCTCAAGAACAGGAAATATCTCCTCAAACTGTTTGCAGTTAGCTGCCTTATTCTGCCCTACATACACCAACAACAAAGCTCAGAGATAAACACACACCGCAGGGACACCAACACCCATGAGAGTTGTTAGGTGGCTCAAACCAGGAAAACAAACCAACTGCCAAAGGAAAAAATATCCTAAAAACACAGATTAAACACATCTTAAAGATGACAAAGCAACGCAAAAAAGGAGCTACACCCGGCAGATATTTAAAATCTGCTTTTTATATGCTTACAAAGAATGACAATTGGCAGTATAACCCATGCGGAGTGTTTTGTAATCGAATTTGATGCTATCCTCGGACTGACAAAAACAGCGGCAGACACAAATCAAATGTCATCTGCTGACTGTGATGTGTGTCAGTGCGTGTGTGTGCGTTATGTATTTTTAAATTTTTTGCCTCTATGTGTCATGACCATCTGTCAGATGGCAGACTTTGAAATCTGCAGTCAAATGACAGAAGAGGCAGAAGAGAGAGGGGAAAATGAGGTGAGAAGACAGAATGAGATATAGAGGGTTAGATTTTAAAGAAGAACAGTGCAGACATAAAAGGACCAAAAAGGAGGAAAATGTCAAAATTTAGGACAGAAAATGTAGAGCCCAGGAAGACCAAGTGTTTCTGTTCAATCGTTTATCTAATGACCACATAATTTCAGCTGTTAAATGGATTTTAACAGAAGAAACAACCCTTAGAAAGTCTCTGGAGGTATTTTTAAAGTAAACACATGTAGATCCTGTCGTAAGACTCGTCACCCTCTCACCTTTGACATTTTCGAAAAGGTTATTTATTTTCTATATGTGACACACCTGTGTGAAATTCTTGATTGTTATTGGTCATCACTTCCTTGTAACACCCTGTGGTTTCTTGACTGTACACCGTTGCCATGGATACAGGCACAGCTATAGTCAGTTGCAGACTCAAGGGAGGCCGACTGAAATCAAGTTTGAAGAAGCTTGGTAAATTTAAGGCCGGGCTGTTTGTGGTGGAAGGAAAGAGAAGAGTCAAAAACAGCGTAGAAAAGCCGAATACTTGAGAAATGTAAAAATATAGCAAGCTAGGAGTGGACGTTAAGGGATACATTTAAAATTTTCGTAAAGTACAATAAGATAAAACATAGGTTAGGGTTGTGGGGGGCTAGTTTTTAAGTTTTGTTTAGGTCTGGAGAGACTTGCTAGGTGGCCGACTTTGTTTGGTAAGTTCGGCTAAGTGCAGCCAGCTACTGACTGTGCAGTCCTGTGAGAGTGACATCCTCTATTCACCTTACTGAGTTAGGAAAAGAATAGTCAATTACAATGTTCAACTACTCATTTAAAGCTTTCTGATCTGCTGTGAGACTTTAGACAGACTGTTTGTTTTACTCCTGCTGGGGGATCCTGATTTTTGTCTGATTTGTTTTAAATAACACACAAGTCATCATTGAAGAAAAATTTGGCAGTATTCAGAAGTCTGCGTGTGTGTGCGTGCGTGTGTGTGCGTGCGAGGGATAAATCAATCATATTTTTGTGGGAGGAGAGGCAGAAAAAAAACTGCTGGGGCCATTTTCACTAAGAGGTTTTTAAAGCCATTTATGAGTGATATAAAAATAGCTCTGCAACATCTGCTCTCTACTTAGCCTTTAAATCATGTTGCAATCAGTGAAAAGTCATATTTATAGCAATCATTTGCTGATAAATCATGTGAAATGATCCCTAAACACTGCATTGTTCTCATTGTCTCCTAATGTCTTCTATCTTACTGTGTCTACGATGGACTGCAATTCTCATAAATCACAGGGATTTCTTTCCCATTGAGCACAGACGCAGCTGAAGTATTGTTACTGTTCTCCATCTCACTCTTACTTTGTCTAAATGTTCTTCTCTGTGTTTGTATCTACCTCTCTTTTGTTCCCTTTTGTCACTTTCTTCTCTTTAACGGTTGAGTGTTTTAAAAGAAAGGATAAATGTCTTCATATGAGTTTAAGTGGAACCTTGGCCTGCTGTCATAAAATCAATATTTGGCATGTATAAGCAGAATCTGCTTAAAGCACAAGTTCTTCTTTGAGCAGAGATATGATGCAGATTTATTTGACTTGAAGCTGATTTTGATTCTCAAATGAATTATGAATATAATTTGATTCTTTCCAATAATTGATGTTTGGGCGTTGTTTTCTGTGAGGTCATGATTAGCTGGAAAGAACATGAAATATTTACTGCAGGAAAACAGGACATGTCTGTATTTTAAAGTCATCCTCCTCAGAAGTACATGTTCAACATTTAGTTCTTGTGTTTTTAATTTTCAGTTGCTTGTACAGCCAGCTGTCTGTCATTGAAACAGTCTCTCGTGTTACTCGAGCACAGCTGTTAGACCATCATATCAGGAAACTTTTGGTCAACTCCCAGCAAGTCAGAATGAAACTGAATCACACTATTGGTGTAGATCTAGGTCTCGGTTTGAACTATTTATATATACCGATGCCTTGAACAGGATGTGCTGAATTTCAAATTTGCATTGAAACAAATGGCACCAATACAGGCTGCTTCCCACATAAGTGAGTTGGCTGCAGAGTTTCTGATACAGTCGTGCCCTACTTCTTCAAAGTTAGTCAGTGAAAGTTCAGGAGGAGTAAAACAGAAGCTAACTTTCATTTGGCTGCTTCCCTTTAATAATCCTTTTGTCTTTGTTATCCATATCATTCACATCATTCCAGCCGCTTCTGTTATATGAAATTAGAAATGCTGAGAAGTTTCTCAGGATGTGATGTGAACTTTGTTCCACAGAGTTAACAGCTGGATTGTAAATTTTATACAACTTTTGCGGTGTTGGTAAAGCTGATGATGAAAGTATGAATTTTTTAAGGCGCACTATTCATGACAGCCTGTTCCTCTGTCAGGGCTGCAGCCCTCGACTGTGAAGTGCTGCTTAAAAATGAGTCTGTGCAGCTTTTAAGGCATTATTTAATTACTTTTTTTTACTTAAAGAATAAAAAAATACATTATGTGAAGCATTTAGATTAGCTGTCATCTCAACTTTCCCAGATTAGAGAGATCCATCATTTTATGCAGTAATGATTCACTTTTCTGTCTTTTAGGGAAATATGACATCCAACAGATGATGTATTATGGCCTAATGTAATAAAAAAACATAAACTTTAAATATAATATAGCAAAGACTTTAGACCCCATGAATCCATGCCAGTCAAAGATGTACAGAAACTAAAAGTGCATTTTGACCAAAAGTACCAGGACCTCAGTTCTACTTGCCATGTTACTCTTGTTTCTCCGTCTCGTATTTTACACTGGTTGCCTCTTGCAGTGACATGTTCTACTGACCTTTTATATGTGTTGTTGCTCAAGAAAATTAAATCAATAAAAAGTTTTTCAAAAAGCACCAGGACCTCCGGGAAGAAAATTCAAATCAGGCTAAAGACATACAACCTGAGAGAACTAGTCCAGTACAGTTATTTGGTAAATGAAGTCACTTGCACAGCTCTTCATTTGACACTCTGCTGAACTTTTGGAATTAAAAGTTGTCACTGAGCACATGTGCAGGAGAAAAGGTTTATAAATTATTCAACAAGATCTGATCTTGGGAAATATTTGATCAAATTCAGCCTCTCTGTCATGGCTCTGCTTTTCTGTCTCTCTCTGCTCAGCTGGTGTCAGTGTGTAACTCAAGCACCCATATTTTATATGAATAAAATTGTCCTCTGAAAAGATAAACATCAAAAAACATCCTCTGGTTTGTAAAAAATGTCCATAAAAATACATAGTGTCACTGATCAGATATCATCAGGTTACACTGGATATATGTCAGAAGAAACTCTCCTGGTTGCTGCTATTAAAGCGCACACAGTTCCTGCAAAGCCTCCTAGTTCCAGGGGAGGGTTTTTGCAGTCTTAAAGCACCTTGAGCCACCAGTTGTTGAAATAACAGGGACCGCTTGAGCAGGGATTGTGCACTTCATGTTGAAGACTTAGATCCCCCAGCCTGTCATTGATGTTGTTGTGCACCTGCTCTAATCTACTTTCTGTGTTTGTTGTTGTTACACACCAGCACAGATGCATTGAAGGACTTTAATCCTGAGATGCAGGGTTTCTACGTGCTTTCTGCGTGTAGAGGTCCCTGAACTGTGGACCTCTGGGCAGTCTGCTCTTTATAGCGAAGCCTTGCATTTACTTGATGAGGCAGAGATAAGATAGAGAACATGACAGATATGATCTGCAAAACCTGCACAGATTAGCGCATGGCTTCATAACCTGCCTGTTTGTTCTTAGCCTCTTCAGAGAGAAAGAAGTTTTGGTTACACTTAATTTGATGCCTATCTCTATAACACATTATAAATATATGTATAATGCATTATAATCATGTTATAGCGCTGTATAACTATAGTTATAAACACTCATAAATGATCATAATGCTTTAAAGTAATAATCATAACACATTAAAAAGCATTTTATCATGACTTACAAGGTCAGGTATTATAATGTGTTATAACTGTTAACAACTCACTGACAATGCCCACATAGATAATGCAACTGTTGTTAACAGTTATAACACATTATAACACCTGACCTTGTAAGTCATGATAAAATGCTTTACAATGTGTTATGATTATTGCTATAAAACATTATGAACATTTCTAAGTGTTTATAACTATAGTTATACTATGCTATAACATGATTATAACGCATAATAAATATATTTATAATGTGTTATAGAGATTGGCGTCAAATAAAGTGTTACTGAAGTTTTTAATGGTAACTGTTTGCTCTCGATGAGGTTTAAAAGTGGAAGATTTTGTACAAGTTTGGATTAAAGACCTGTGAAACGATTTGGTTCAAAAAGTATAAATGTGAAATATCAGTGAAATAGAAAAGCCAAACAGAGCAAAAGAAAGAAGCCAATTTGAAGCCTTATTTCACCTGAGAGTGTCCTGCTTCTCCCATAGACGCTGTCAAACCGTATTTCTGTAGAGAGCACACTGTCAGCTTTGCTTTCATCCTACACTGAGCATTACACTTAGACTGTGAACACGCCAGGCTGTTGTGAACACTTATAGAAATTGATTTTCCATAGAATTTGTCATTGTAGTTGTGGGTGTTTGACAGTCTAATCTTCTTTCAGCCACTGTAAAATGGGAATAGTTTTTCGCACTTGTCCATAGCCAATGAGAGGAAAAGCTGGCACGGAGGGAAATGAGGGGCGAGAGTCTCAGAAAACAACAGCAGGTATTTTACTTCTAGAAATGCTAAGGCCTGAAACAACAAAATCATTGAGAAACAGAGTGAAATCCTTCTTGTACTCTTCACCTCTCCTTTTAGCAGTAGAAACAAACAATCAAACACAGTTTAAGATGGTCTGAAAAGTCACACCGCTGTTGGTCAACCTGAGGCAATAAAGAAAACAGATCAATAAAGCATTTTAGAGAGGCTGGAGGTGAAAGAGGGCTGCAGAACCACGAGGCAGCTGGATGACAGTTTTCTAAACTCAAGGACGAGAGGCCGGGACAGGGAATGAGGGCTGCTAATTGCTGAGCCTGTCGCTGTATTGATCCAGTGGGTTTTAATGGGAACACAGATGGACACAAGGAGGGACAGCTCAGCCCTCTGTCCATATGAGTGAATCTGGAGGGCATTAATAAGAGTTTTCTTTGATACAGTCAGCAGCTGTGGAAGTAACTAATCCAGGCAAAATAATGTATACAGGTCCATTATTTCTGTGAATGCAGATTTTTCGCCAATAAGTGCATGAATTAATGAATCACTGACATGTCATAGTGAACAGATTTATCATTAAACACTGAACCCCATACTTAGACTGCTTTTCCAGCCAACAGAATCACATTTGCTAGACATCCTGTTTCTAAATAGACTTAACCTGAGTGACCTGCTCAGTTCGATGCTGTGATAGACGGTTCAGAAATAACTTTTCTGGAGCTCTGTGTAGATTAAATCTCATTTCTTCCTATTGGATGAAAAACTCGCATTTGTTTTCTCTTGTGGGTTAGGAATCAAATGCAGGTCCAGTTTTATCCAGTGTGTCTAATCACATTAAAAAAAACATGCTGTTTGTATCATGGCAGGAGCTTTTCTATCAACCTATAATCCGCTTTGAACAGGTTCAAATTATAAACACAAGTTTCCCTCCTAACTTTGACATCTGTGCTAGCTGAGTGGCTTGAATGGTGGGTTTAAAGATGTTTCTTAAGTTGTGAAAATGTCAAATTGGCTGGAAGTAGTAAGATTTCCTATTTTACAATTAAAATGTTCATTTGTTATAGAGAAAGCACAGGGCAGTTGATTTAAATGGCATATTTCAGCAACAGGGCAACGCAAATGTCCTCAAATAAGACATTGGAGAAACATGACAAGGGTCTGAAATACAAACCAAAAAAAAAAAAAAAAGACATTTTCAAATTACAATAGAAATATTTAACACCAAACAAGAAAACAAATAAACAAAACAAAGAAAACAGTCAGCGAAAAAGGCAGGAAGCTCAAAAGACTCTATGAAAGCAATGCACTTGCCACAATACTGCAGTGTGCATAGTAGTAAAGATTGGCATTAACAATAACAAACGGTGTTTGCTGGATGTCAATCAGATTCCAGAGAATATTAGCTTCACATTAAGAAGACTCAGTGTTTTTTTATTATATTTTTTTGCATGCATAACAAGGTAATGATGAGTAAGATCAGTCATATCAAGACAAGATGGAGCATACATTTGCAGATAGATTTGACTTTTTTGATTTTCTGCATAAGCATTTTGTAGAGTTTCCTCTGTATTCATCAGTGATAAAGGTGTTTAATAGATCAAGTAGCAAATATAAAGGGTAACAATCTATCGTTTTAATTTTTTGTACTATCATCCACCAGAACTGCTGCATTTTTCTGTAAGACTAGAGACTCCCTGTTTCTATTTTGGCTCAGGACACTTTGGAGGATAAGTTAATGTGAAATTTATGGTGTGAGATGGGGATATGTGGGCTCCATGCAATATCACGAACTGAATTGCTTTCTCTCTATTCCAGACCCTCAGTGTTTAAACACTCCTCCAAATGACTTTAGATGTCAAGCTAAATCAAAACCAGCTGTTGTTTTACCAGTTTTGGTAACATTTTTATATTTTCCACGAAGAGCTTTGGCCTGTGGCTGAAATTAGGCTAAATTTGGAAGTCACAGTCTGTCCACATACATAAACAGACTGGACTGTCTCATGTGACCTTTTGAATCATAAGACTGAAAGGTTAGGGACCCAAATGGATGCCTAACTTAATTGCTGTTCATTAGAAAAGAAACAACAGACAGGTACTTGTCTTCAAAAAGAGAGTTCATTTCCTTCATGTTTTATTTTCAGATCATGGGAGTTGAACATACTTCCATAATTTTAATGACAGGAAACAATTTTCTGTATGTTTCTTGACAGTTTTTGTAATTTATCAAGCCTCTTCAGTCTTGCGGTCTTTTCAGTCGATACTCTTTTTATCCACATGCTCTCAGATTACCCTGTGTGTGTCATACCACTGTGCGTGCATGTTGTGAGTTTGACTGTTTGTTGTTGTGTGTTGCAGGATGATTGGGGCTCCAGTGACTCGTCCAGCAGGGGAAAAGCTCACAGCATCGATGACAAGTCACACAGCCTGGAAACTCTGCCGCCAGGTAGGAAACTTCACTCGCCAACATGCACTGCACCCTCACTGAGCCTTAAAAATATGATTATAAGATCGTGCTAAGGATCGATAAAATAAGCCTCACTGGGAATTGACTTTGAATATTTTGGAAGGAGAACTAATGTGTTTAGTTTTCTGTTTTAAAAGATGCAGTGGAACAGATCTCTCTTTATTGAACCCAAGTGTATTTGACAGGGTCACCCCCAGGACCTGGAGAGAGTTCAGTATCTCATTGTTTCAAATAAAAAGGCAGGACAAATGCTCTCCAGCTGTAAAACATGTGCATGACAGAAACTTCACACCGCAATCATGTTTCCAGAAACTTCACCACACAATGTTCCCACAACCAAACCCATTTCTCGAAGGAAATGTGGTAACACAGTGGCATATCTGAGGAGTGTTTTATTACCATCAAAACAACATCATCAGCATCTTTAACCTTCCCATGTGAGAAGAACCACAAAGGGAAAGGAGACAATTCAATTCAACCAGCAGCCTGATGCAGATGTGAAATGCCGGAGCCCCAAGATTATCCAAAATAATTCAAAGATCCTTTTTAATCTTGCTGCAAACCCTGCTTTGCATCTCAACCCAGGCTTTGGGAGACAATGTTTCCAGCAGCACCGGTGAAAAGCTTCAGTGGCAGCCAGAGCATCCGAGCAGAGATTTCTCATTCAGATCTCATCCTCAGCCCCTCCCCTCACAGGCTGTGACCCGCCAGAGCTGAACACACACTCTCTTATCTGATCCGCAAGTGGAAATGCAATCCAATTTAAATTTTGAAGTGAGGAGATTTCAACTTCAGGGTGACTTTATACGATAGCAGAGTGTCACAACATCCCTCACAAACACAAACATGAGAAGGGGGAAAAGGTAGAGGAATATGAAGGGGAGAAGAAGAAGATGGGAGGAGTAAAGAACGACAAGAAATGGAAGATGATAAAGGAGAAGTCATGAAATGAAGGATTGTTGAGAGATGTTAGGATATTATTGCTCAAAAACATGACAGTGCATCAAGTAAACATGGCTATATCAGATACTTAAGAAGAGTTTTCTCAAAGTGCTTTTGGTTGTCAAGTAAACTTTCTTTCTGTCTTGATTCAGGCCAAGTTGACTGAACATTTTGGTGAAATACGACTCTGCATGTTGAAACATTTCAGTTGACTCCTCTGTTTGATTTTTTTGACAGGATTTAAAACAGTCTCAGATTTTTAGATACTTTTTTATTGCTTTCCAAAGAAAACCAGATCAAACTGAAGAGAAAAGACTATTTCCAAATAGTTATTTTTGATGCCATCAGCACTTTCCTTGGGACTGATTCAACAGAAACCGTTTCCAGCATGCAGTGACTAAAGAGAAAACTGTTTACACTTGGCAAGTTTTTCAGTAAGTTTGCATCAGAGGTTTCAGAGATTTCTACAGAGGTTTCTCTGTAGAACTCACGGTGTACTGTTTTGTCTACAGGAGTCAGAGGAACAGAGCTTTTCTCAAAACAACCTCAAATAAATTAAATCTCAAACTCTAGAGGCCAGTTACTAATTTAATATGAATTCCTCTGACTGTTTTTGTTTGCTCTCCTATGACCAAATATCATAAAATGTTCCTTGTTTTCAGATATTGATTCACAGAATACAGAAATAAAAACATAATCGACCATAAGTAAAGACGTGATGCTAAAGCTCCTGTGAGGAGTTTTCAGCAGATGGAAATGTGTCTTTATGACCCACTAAAGCAAACCAGACTGTCAGTGTTAAATTTGGCTCTTTCTGTATATTTTTAACTGCAGCAGAGAAAGTGTTGGATGACTGAACTTAACGGCACGCTACTGAAACCGCTTTGCTTTGCTTTCTCCAAAAACCCTCACATTCACAATGAGTAACATGTTTGGCTGTTAAAAAAGAAGAGAAGTCAGAAAATCACTTCCTATTTACGATTGCTTCAACACTAAGTCCTGTTCCCTGAACCAAATGGTCCTTGGCTAAGACGCGTTTATTGAACTTATAACTTTTTTGGCAAGACCTGCTTCATTTTTGCCTCATTAGGCACACTTTCCAGATCTAATCCTCTCTCTGTGGGTAAAACTCTAAATACACTCTCACTTCCTAAAGCACACTTTGCACTGCGGTGAACTGATGCATGATGGTAACCACAGGTGGATGAAGTGAAACAGATACAGCAGAGGAGTCACAGTTTATACACAAAGTTTTAAAAACCGAAAGCACTCGTTCTTAATGATTCGATGAAAGCGAAATGAGCCAGTTCAGACGGCACACGTGAGTTGAATGAAGATATCTAAATGGACTGAGAGAGTCTGAGAGGCAGAGGGAGAGATATTAGAAGTGTTAGAAGAGTTAGGTTGCTTTCACATCTGACCAAGCGGACTCGGTTCGATTGGGGAGCTGAAAGTCACAACATTGTTGCATTTATCACTTGTTTCGGTTCTGCTTTCACACTGTGATTTCTAAAGCGCACCGAACTTTCCGAGCAGCATCATGTGGTTGAAAGTGGCGCTCGTCGATTGGACAAAGTAGGAGGGGTATGTAACCTCAGGGATTACAAACAGGGGTGGACTAGCCGTCTTGTATTGTGCTTCGTCACATTATTTTATGGAATGCTACAACGTTAGTGAACGCGACTGTTCCTACAATTCTATCGTAGCTTGTCAGGGATTGATCCTGTTATTTTTCTAACTTTGACGATCTAACATGTGACAACATATGAGCTCAGAGTTTAAGGACTGTGACTGTTGTTAGTTGTGATTTGATTTTGTTTAAATGTATGAAATTGTGAATTTATGGGTTATTGTTGTTCAGACAATTGAGCTAAGCTAGCTAGCAACCGCTAATGTCAGCGGTCACTTGTTGCCATAGCAAAAAGGGACGCCGTGCTTCCTCTACCCAAGATGCACTGTGTATGCACTGCGTATAGCATCATTACATACATTTGGTCCTGTGTTTGGTCCGGTAAGCTTTCACACTGCATACGAACCGAACCAGGGTTCACCTGCAAGCGAACCAAGACCCACGTTTTCTGGCGGACCAGAGTTCGCTTGTTTGGTCCGCACCAGAGTTTGGACGAGCTTTCGCACCTGCCCAAACGAAGCGGATTATCCAAGGAAACGAACTCTGGTCCGTTTAAAGCGGACCAAACAGCTCTGGTGTGAAAGCGACCCATGACCGTCTCGAGGTTTACCATCTTTGCAGTGCATCCTGTTTGTGTAATCTGACATTGAGAGACACAGTGTCCGCTGCTGTGATATTATTTTGATGAATCAACCCAGTGAAGGTTTGAATACGGCAATACTATGAAGAAATACAGTAAATCTTGAAATTCAAAGTGTATGCAAGACTCTCTTTAGTGTGAGGAAGAGGAGGAACACGTCTCAGTCTCACTAACTTAACAGCGATAAGTTTGAAATTTGTGACAGTAGCTTTACTGTGTGAATGTTGTATTGTTTGTTTCTTTACAGGGTAAAATCATTGCTAAAGTTGTTTCTCCTTGAGTGTGTGTTTTATCGCTGACTTGAAGACGAGTACTGCAGGTCAAAGCTTATTGAGAACAGAGCACTTTTCACTGTTGTTTCTTTCAGTCTGTTGTTAAGCAGCTCTTTCAGGATTTAGTTTTAGCCAGGAAAGAAATAAAACAGGTGTGTGTTCCTCTGAGTGTCAGCTTCGGGTTCATGGTTTATTTCAGATTAAGTGTGCGTCTTGCCGGTAACCATCAGCTGGAAAGTAGACAGCGTCAGAGGATTTCCCGAACAAACAAAAACAACTTGTCAGCAGCAGTGGGTGGAAGCAGCTAAGTAATGAGAGGTGAAGACTGTTTAGACCAACAGATTATCAACTGGGTGTGGATGAATACAAGCCGAACAGCAGAATGAGTCCAAGAGCACGTTGGAAAATGTTACTCTGCTTTGAAACAGGACTGAAAGAATAAAGGAGCTGAAATGCTCTTCAGTTAAACTTCATCACATTAATGACTCTGACACTAAACAGAGATATCAGCAAGGACATCACACACTCTGACACTCAGAGCAGAGTCTCTGATGTACTGTTTTACAGTTGCAGGCAGATAGATCATTGAGCGCTCCAGCTAATTAGTATGCCAGACACTTTCACATGCTGTCGGGCACACACACATGCATGCACTCTGCAGGCTCTGTCTCTCTCCCCCTTTCTCTCTTTGCATGTGTGTCTGTCTGTCTGTTTGTCATGCACACTTTCATCCATACTGAGCGACAGTGTAATCTCATGCTGCCATATGCTTAACACAAGTCATTAGCATAGCAGCTGCACCCCGCTAATTAGCTGCATTATTATTCGTGTGTGTCTGTGTCTCAGTAGTCAGTGGCAAACTGTGAATTAAACATGACAACTTTCTCTGTTTGGTATGCAATGATCTCTGTAATCTGGATGGACAGACGTGTGCGTGTGTGTGCGCGCGAGTGTGTGTATGCATGTGTGTGTTTAATATTCAAGCTCATATTTCAGGCTGCAGCAAATAGCTAAATTTAGTGTGATTGTTCTTTCCGTACTCAGTGCAGTGAATAATAAATGCTCCTTTGTGTGTTTTCTGGCTTTGCTGGAGTATTCTGGCCTTGCCTGCTTTATTCTGCTCTGCATATTTTCTAATATATACAGCAGCATAAATCTCATGTCAGCTCTCCTCCATGCCGTGTTGCTGCCTTGTCAAGCAGCGAGGTTTCTTTCCTGTCAGTAGTGAAGGATTCTTGCATCAGCCAGACTACAGCCTACATTTCACATTCCCACTGATGATTAATCCCACTCATTCCTCGGACACATTTTTAGCCTTTTTTAAGGTTTAAACTTTATCTTTAGCTCGTATTTTTGGAAATACCATGGGTTTATTTTCACACATATACCAGGGAGTTGCTTTAGAAATCTGTTGCATATGAAAATTTGAGCGAACAGTGTTTAAGTCTTATTTTTTTTCTTAAAGAAGGAACACAAAAGACCAAAAACAGGAAGCGATTTACATTTCACCTAGAACACGTAGCAGTGGGGGCTATGATACTTGTCAAGCTGAAAACACGGCACAGCAGGGAGAGCAGGCTGCTTTCCTCTTCCAGCAAATCTTTTTTTTTTGGTTATTAAGGCCAGAGTAGTTTAGGTTGGGAAATATCTGGAACGGAGAGATTTTTTTTTTCGCATTTTGAAAGCTTTCCTCTCACATCATTTCACCCTTCATCTCAGTGAAACCACAAATATGGTGACAAAAACACGACAAAACAGAAATCCCGAATCCCCTCAGCTAAGCGGACTTTATTTATGAGGCACTTTTTACAGACAAGTCACAAAGTGCTGTACATGAACAAATTCAGTATACTACAGAAACACAGTACATAAACAGATACGGCTACACAGTAGACAATAATTGTTTGTTTGTTTGTGTGTGTGTTCAGGTAAAGTCCGCTGGCAGGATTTCGACCAGGATCTGTATGTTGGAGCTACAGTCGTCCGGCCAGGTCAGGATCCATATGCCAGGAACAAGTTCAACCAAGTGGAGAGCGACAAACTGCGAATGGACAGAGCTGTGCCTGATACAAGACATGACCAGTATGTATAAAAACATGCAAACACACACACTGAGATTCAGCAAACTCGTGTCTCTTTAACTGTTATTACTGTTGCATGTATAATTGCCTGCATTGTATGGGTACATGTCGTCCTTTGCTGTCAGACTGTTTGACTAATTGGTACAAGCCGGATAAGATCTCTTGGAAACTCCCCCTATTGTGGTCTATCAGATGAAAGCAGGAAGTGGCAGCAGAGCAGACCGTTCATTGTCTGCTCCATTCAAAGCACAAATATCTGCTAATGGCTGCCCATTGTCTAGCCTGTTAATTGATGATGAGACAAAAATAAATCAGGCACAACATTGGCCAGTCTCATAGATACTGGCCAATACTTGATACTGACTAATAATTGTAAAGGATGTGGGTCTAAACGTAAAGTTAGGATGAAAGGGTTATGTGTAACACTCACAGGAAGAAACTGGGCTTGATTGGTGATCACTGTTGAAATTCTGGCCCTGCTTCATTGTTGGTGTGTTTAAGTGAGAGCTTGCTTTCTTACCTGTTAAACTCAAACGAACATCAGGAAACACACTGAACCTGGTCTCAGAGGATGTATCTATTTCATCCCTTTGTTGTAGTGAGCTTTCTTTCTGGCAGTGCTTCAAACAGCTCTGAGGAGAGACAGAAGATTATGGAGGTGTATCATCTCAGGGATCATTATCAGGGTGCTTAAATCAGTGAATAACACCAATAGATAAATGGTTGTTACTAAAAGCCAGAGAAAAGAGGTGGGCTTTGAGGTAAGACAGGAGTGAAAAAACATACTGTGCAAAATCAGCTCTTTGTACTTTTGGTTAAGATGTCAGCAAATGAAACAGGTCCAAACCCAAAGCTTAACAAAACAGGTCTTTCTGGGTCATTTTGATTTAGCTGATGATAAAATCTCACAGCACACCCCTCCTTCATGACCTGGAGATCTGAGAACTCATCACGCTGAAACAAGCAAGTTTTCCCCTGTTGAAAGAGTCTGATGCCTTGGAGCGGTCCTTGGAGCAAAACTCACTGAGGAAAGTTTCTGAAAGAGTTCCCACATCAAGCTACAAGTTAGTTTGGTAACTTTAGACTCAAAAGCAGGAAAAATCAGTCATCTTGTAAAAGCCTGTTATAGTCTCGTAGGTAGCAGTTTTACTCCTGCATTACTTGTGTGATTCAGACAGTGCTCTTTTTTAAAGGTGGTTTGGCCTCACTGTTATATTGACAGAACTTAGAAAGCTCGAGCCATTAGCCTACTAAAAGAGCGGAGATGTTTTCTCCTATTGATCTGCTGCTGGTGTGTCATTTGCACAGTATGCAGCAGCCCCGACTATAAAAGCCGTTCAGAAAAATACGAGTATGTTTTTTTAGAAAGAGCCGTCTCATCTGTGCTCTATGAACAAGATCAAAAGAACTTGTGGATGTGTAGCTTCAAAACACACACACAATTATACGCACACGCACGTGCACATACATTTACACAGACCTGGAAATGTACAAGATTTCACTTCAAGATTGATGCAGCTGCATATTGATGTTTCCAGGGGATGCTGCTCTGACAGGGACAAAAAGACCACACAAATCAGACACAAAGGCACTTCAAAGATTGTGCGGTCTGTCCATTTATATACCGTGTGATTGCACTTCTGTCACACTTTGTGCATCTCATGCCTGTTTGACCTTCTTACTTAAAAAAAGCCTTTTAATTTGCAGGAAATGTAATGTCTATGACGGATGCAAGTCATTTGATTGTATACACATAGAGACTATTAATGCACATGTACAGTACATAGACAGGGTTTATTATACATACTTTACATCCATGTGATGTGTACTGAGAGTTTTAAAACATAGCATTAAAAGGATGGTCAAGAAGCTGCCCTACATTGATGAATGTCCTATTTCCTCTTCCTCATCTTCCATTCGGCTCTTCGTCTCGTATCGTGTCCTATCATGTGTGTTCCTCACACATAAATTGGGGTCAGGGATTGTCTCTTTTGGACACACACACGTACACAACCTGCCTTTTTCTTTTTTTCTTTGGCCCCGTGGTCTGGAAAACCTACTGTGAATTTAAATTCCAGCAGAGCATTGCACATGAAGTGTATGTGTAGTGTGTGTATAAGTCTGCGCAGAATGGTAATTTATTGTGTTTATGTATTCAGATTCAGTTCAGAGAGCGGTTCCAGCTCACATATTCAGCTGTGCGTTTATGTGAGTAGAAGTGTTTGAGCATGTGTGCGCTCGTACACATGAGGGCACTAGTAATTTCTCTTTTTGCGCTTTTCTGTGGTCTCTGTGTTTTTAATATCTGCTCTTTTTGTGTGTGTAGTTGCAGACATAAACAGTGGAAGTCAGAGCTGCCAGCCTCCAGTGTCGTCATCACCTTCCACAATGAAGCTCGCTCGGCTCTGCTGAGGACTGTGGTCAGGTAAGTCAATGGTGTGTGGGCACTTAACCTCAAAATTCTTTTATTGATATGACGGCTCACAGTCTGTTCTGAAAATAGTATTAATCATGACGTTGTTCCTCCTTTTTTTTCCCCCTTTTTTAGTGTCCTGAAGAAAAGTCCTGCTCATTTGGTCAAAGAGATCATTCTGGTGGACGACTACAGTGACAACCGTAAGTAAAGATTAATGACCCATGTGTAAATTCTTATGAAATGTGTGTTTCATCTTTGTGACGTCTGCTTTGTGTGTGTGTTTCAGCTGAGGATGGAGCTCTGCTTGGGAAGATAGAAAAAATCCGTGTGTTGAGAAACGACCGCAGGGAAGGTGATAACAAGAAGAAATTAAAATTTCAGACACATATGTAGATACTGTGCAGGCTGTTTTATATCAATTTGAAGTTTAATGATGTGTCTTTTCTACTTCTCTCAGGACTGATGCGCTCAAGGGTGCGAGGTGCAGACGCTGCCACAGCACCGGTCCTCACCTTCCTGGACTCTCACTGTGAATGTAATGAACACTGGCTGGAGCCGCTACTAGAGAGGGTGGCAGAGGTAAACACACCTTTATAGATAGTGTATTAACATATTTGTTTACAATCTAATAAAAACACAAAAACCACAAGAAAAAAAGTTCAACCACGAAAAAAAATCCCAATACAGTCAAAGAATTTAGTAAGTGCAAGTTAAAGACACTGCAAGCTGAGGAGCTTGAAAAAATCATTGTGGTTTGGCATCAAACACTTTGAGATGAAGTTCTCCAACTTGTTTTGACAGTGACAGTGGTCAGACTATTTTTGTCATTCTTGTTTTATTGTCTTAATCCATGAGAAAAAAATGAAATATGTGCTTGAATTTCCCCCTTGAGGTTACAGAAACATGAAGACCCCAAAGTTTGGCATTGTAAGAAAGGCTAAAAGGAAATATAAATAAATGAGTTAAATATAAAAGAGGAAAAACAGAAACTAGAGCACTAAATAGAATTATATTAGGGAAAAAGGAAATATTTACACAAAGTAGCAGAAAGATGAAATATCATGATTTTCCCCAATTGTGAAGAATCCATTTTTCTGACCTCAACTAAGTTTATTTTTTACCATCAACCTAAAATGATATACACCTGATCCATCCGTTCATCTCCATTTTGTGGCTAAGAACTGATAGTGTATCAGTGATCAGTCTCTATTTTTTATATCTTCACAGGAGAGTCGGTAAAATAATTTGATGTTTTTATAGAAATAAACATGAGGATCTGAAATCTGAAATTTCAAAGTGAAGATTTTGGTCAGACATGGCTACCAGTGTTTTTTCTCCATGGTATGTGGGGAAGTTTCAGTAACTAACCTATGTCCTCCATAAAGAGGTTAAAGGTCAGCCACAAAACACTCCAGAAACACTACAGGAGTCAATGGTGACTGTAAAAATGATGTAAAAACAGCACGTGGACAGTATAAGCCGCTCAAACAGTATATTTTTACAGGAGCAGTCTTTTACATTTGTTTTTCTGGTCTAAAAAGCTTAAATGGTTACTTTCTTTTATTTAAAGAAAATTTGCTGCTGAGGTTAAAAAAAAGTGAAGAGTCCATCAGAAGTTTCCTGAATAAAGTTCAACTTTCCCCCTTTCTAACCACAGTAAGCCCTCAGACCATCCCTAAACATGAAGTAAACCTCATGACAGATGAAGTGTGTGTTGATATTTACAGTGAGGTCTGTTTGCATAGAGAGAGAACTTCTTGATTCAATTCAATGTCAGTATGAAGTGCTGTTTGTAAAATGGAGGTCATCCTTTAAATATTTATTCGATAACTTCTCATTCTGCGTTTGATCCTCCCAAATGTGGCATTTTGTCATTCCCCAGTGAATAAACGCCTGGAGCCAAATCTGAAACATTTTTCTGTCACGGTAATTGACTTAGCGTTTCTTACTTTGCTTCAGAACATTTCTAAATAATAAATCACTCAGTGAGAGAAAGATGAATGCAGTCTGTGTGGGTGAAATCTCATGTTTCATATCAAGTTGTTTCAGCACAAAACAAATAAACACAGTCAGTACCGCGGGGGCTTGTTTCTGTCATTGTCATTCTGGCCACTTGAGTAATCCTCTCTCTAAACTACAGTATGACACCACTTTGAGGGTTTCAGCTCTGCTTTTGATCCACGAATTGATTTACTTTCAGCTCTGCTTTATAAATACAAAGAAAGTAAAAACTGATCGTATGAATCACTGCTCTGAAAGTTGTATGTTCTTAACAACAAGCAAGATTTCCTGTTTTTCCCTTTACCAGCATGACAGGAGCTAAAAAGTTCTCACTGGTTGTTTTGCTTCCTCCTTCTTCCTCAGGATAAAACCAGAGTAGTTTCTCCAATCATCGATGTCATCAACATGGACAACTTCCAGTACGTGGGAGCCTCAGCCGATCTGAAAGGAGGTATGGTCAACATGTAGGCCGCTGTTTGGTTACCAGCAGTATTGGATACTGTTGTTCTGTTCTGCCACCAAGCTCTCTTGTTTCTTTCCTGTTTTCACTTAAGGAAGCTCTTGTTGTTTCTCATCCAATCAAGCTCTCTGCCAAGTATAAACCCAGCATGTTTAGTTTTATTGGGCACAAACTGTGTTTTGCTCACTCTGTACTTATTTCTAAATGGATTATAGATATGTCGTGCATTCATACTGATACATTAGGTATGCATAGATACATTTATAATATAAAATTAAAAGTTTGTTGGGCATGGTTTTGACTGACATCTGTTCACATGCCTAGTATCCTTACTTTTAAATACAGAACATTTCAATGTTCAGTCTATATTAGTTAATAGTTTAAAATAGAGGAACCTTCATCAACCATTAGAAAATTGAATTTCTATTCGTATGTTGCAGTGTTATTGAAGTTGTCATTTCCCTTTAGTCCTCTCTCATTTCAATGAATTCATGTCTGTTAAAATATTAAAACTGTTGGATATATAATATAGGTTTAGGCTGATTTAAAAACTGTGAAAGCTGCCATGAGCAGTCATGAAAATTACTGTATCATTAGTGTCATTCTATGAGCTACAGAAACGAAGACGCCCATAAGAAACAGTTTTTTTAGTGACCAGAACTGCAAGTAAAGGAAAGGTGTCCACAGGAGGCGCCAAAACCAACACGAACTTGAAAATCCTCACAGCAGTTTTAACATATTGAAATAAAAACAATAATTTGAATGTTATCTTTCTGTTTGTGAGTGAATCTGTGTGTTTTTGACCCACACTTAAAAAACGAACATCCTTATGTCCTCTGCGGTTTCCTGGGTCGGTGTGTAGCGTAAATTTGCACACCTACACACGTCATTTCAGGTTTCAGGGGTGACCTCTCTGAACACAGACAAACAAGTGAAAGCAGACAGCTGCTGATGTGTCCAGACACCTAATGTGAACCTGCCAAATCTAATTACGTAACCAGTCTGCTACTTAATCCCAAATTATGGTCCTGATGATGGTGTTGTTTGTCCCCTGTCTGCTTATTTCGGCAGGTTTCGACTGGAATTTGGTGTTCAAATGGGACTACATGACCTTGGACCAGAGACGAGCTAGACAAGGCAATCCCATCGCCCCCATAAAGTGAGACAGATTAACCCCCACATCCACTCAAATGATCACACACATATGCAACACCCTTTTGTTTGCCAGTTTGCCTCCAAGTACTAATCTAATTCTTTCTCCCTGCCTCCCTGCAGGACTCCAATGATAGCAGGAGGTCTGTTCGTCATGGATAAAGAGTACTTTGAGCAGCTGGGGAAGTACGACATGATGATGGATGTGTGGGGAGGAGAGAATCTGGGTGAGTGCTGCACAGATTCACAAGAGTCATGGTTGAGCTCAAAAGTTTTACAACAAAAGAAACTTGACACTCAACTTTACAATGTTATTTATCTTAAAACACGCTACTGCTTTCCCTTCACCTGGTTATCTGCCTCTTGAAGCTTCTTTGGTTAAATGGTGGTATAAGGCTCGAGGTAGCTTGGCATTGTACAAAGATGGGAATCGAGAGGAAATAGTTGACCTTCCTTTAAAAAAAAAAAATCCCTCCCTGCATGTGTCTCTAGAGCTCACTCATCTTGTTTGTTTTATCTGATCAAAACAGACATAAAAATACCAACTTGTGATTTTAAATTGGGCTGTTTACCTCATTATTTCCCAGTCCAGGGCTGCCGGGTGGTGTTTGTTACCTTTGGACAAAGTCATTCGTCCTTTCATTTGAGGCCTCTGTGCTCACAAAGCTTCGCTGTCTGTTGCCTCATCTTTAAAGACATCCAGATGTCTGTAGAATGATTGCCTCATCTAATTCTCCAAATAAAATGCAAAATGTAGAACTCCTTATTCCAGACTGTGTATATAAAGTGGATGTAGCCACCATGTCTGGGCTTCACATTTTGACTGAATCATTTTTAGAAGCCTTGAGTTCAGTTTTTGGCTGTTGGCTGCATGTGTTGTGAAATCAGTAACCATATTTAATTAAGAAAAAAACAGGGTGGTTACTTCTGATGATGTCTCTTTGACTCTTGTTGACTGGAAGTTGTGGTGGTAGCTTGTCAATCATTAGAGGCCATGCCACAAAGCATTAAACATCATCACCTGTGTTTCTCTAAATGGGATCGTGGTTTACTGAATAAATGTCAAACAGTGTTTCAGTAGAAGAGCAATGTTCACTGAGGTTTTAAATCAACCAAGAGTTTCTTTTCTGATTTTACACAGTTTGTCTTCTTGGAGGCATTGTCACTGCCCCCCACTGGCCATTACAAAAACTGGAAGTTCAAAGGTCATGTGAAGGGTTTTTAACTGAGGTTTCACTTTACATTCAGATGTTTCCAAAATCAAGACAATCCAGAAATTCCTCACAGCAGCTTTAAGACACTTTCACGCTGATTCCAATTTTGCGCAAGAGGCCATTTCCTCTTCTCATATAAAAGTCAATTGTCTTGAACCTGTAAACATATGTAGTTCCCTTTTTTTCCATCATGTGTTTGCTGAAGTGCAAAATACAAGATTTCTGCTCACTCACCAAATCTTAAATCTCTTATACTTGAGTGAGCACAGATGATGTGTTTCATGCTTTGTTCAGCTCATGATCTCATTCAGAGTTTCGGTGCCAAGAACAGAAGATCCAGCGGTGGTCGTTTCTGAATCAAAGAGTCTCTTAGATGACAGTTGATCTCAGAAAATTACTGTGATAATGTGATAATGATCACAGTCAGTGTTGAGTGAAGATAACTGTAGTGTACACAATGGAGATCATTTGCAAACAGTACAATGATATAATAACAGCTGTGCCTCCCTGATGCTTTTGTCTGAATTCACTTGGGAAGTCTTTTGAGAATAAACAGTGATTCACGCCTCTCTGAAGACAACACAGCGATTCAGAACTGGATCAACAATTCAGACTCAGAGTCATAAGTGTTCTCATATAGAAAATACTAAAATCCAGGCATCACCAGAGTGGGGGCTTAACAAAAAACCAACACTCTGAAATCATTCATGAGACAGATCGCATCTCAGATGATCGTGAAAAACAACTGTGGCATTTTTTACACCAAGAGCTTGTTGGATCTGACCTGTGTGTGTGTGTGTGTGTGTGTGTGTGTGTGTGTGTGTGTGTGTGTGTGTGTTTGTTTATTGCAGAGATCTCATTTCGTGTGTGGCAGTGTGGTGGAAGTCTGGAGATCATCCCCTGCAGCAGAGTTGGCCACGTCTTCAGAAAACAACATCCATACACCTTCCCAGGGGGCAGTGGGACTGTGTTTGCAAGGTAACACACACACACACACACACACACACACACACACACACACACACACACACACACACACAAACATATATATATTTATAAACTTGCACCAAAAAAAGTTTAGCCCCAAACCTCACATTCATTTCTCTTTCTGGACCCGTTCCTTGTTCCCACTAATTGCGTTGTCTCCAGCAGTTATCTCTTCCGTATGTGTTAATTACAGGCTCTGCTCAAGGGGCATTAAATATTGACACTTTGGCATACACTGTATCTATGTTGGCTTATTATTTTGACCCAAAACAAGTTTTCTCACCACTGCCAAGTAGCTTTGGTGCCAAACATAACAAACTGTGACTTACTGTAATTACCTCCTGTCATAGTTTGTTTTTGCATGTTTTTGGACCTTCCCATTAGAGTTATCTTTATTGCTAACCCTGGCTCAGCTGTTTGTGTTGTGCATGGTTGCTGTAAAATAAACTAATAAACTTAACTAAACTAGGAGGCCTTCTGGCATTAGAAAATGAAAATTCAGTTTGGTGCTTTCTGTGTCTGTGTGGGAGGCTGACAAACCATGCAAACGGCTGGTTGACAAAGACAAAAACAAGTCAACAGTTGGTCAAGTTAGTTTTCTGCATAGTGTTGTTTTTGTGGTTTTATCCAGGTCTTTTTGTTAAGGATTATATGAGAATTTAACAGAATATCAGAATAGTTCTTTGAGGTAAAATTCATCTTAAACTTCTTAAACTAGACAAGCTTCTGTAAGGATCTTCTCCTCACCTTTAAAGCTGTACAGTCTTACTGCTGATCACTGTAACCTTAGCGGATATCTCACGTAACATTTTGTTCATATATTTTACATCTATTCCGACAGTTCCTGCTTCTGTGGGACTTATTGTAATTATGATTGTCTGGTAATGTTTTTCATTTGGGCCAATTACCTCCTTTCAAAGCTTTCCTTTAATGTCGAAATTATTCATCATTTTGTATCAAACACAGTTGCAAACACTGTAAATATAAATTATTAAGTTTAACTACAGTTTTGGGAAATAAAGTGGGGCTGGATAATTAAAAGTGAGCGCAGACTATTAAAAGATAATAAGACCATAATCTCAGGGTTTAACAGGCTTCAGATTTAGAGAGAAAACTCCTTTTATAAATGGAAGATCTGTCAGCTGATATATGTAACCACATAATCACTGAGTGAACATCAACAATGGGAAACATGATATATGGAAAGATATGGATCTCGGCTCTGAAACAGTCTCCAACCACAAGAATCCAACCCTGGAAAAGAGCCTGACAAACCCTCAAAGACCTGATTAACAACTTGAACAAACACATGGCTGTGGTTTCTCTGGACAAAGACAGAAATAAAGGACATGTTCAACCATCCTTTGGAGTATTTGTGGAATCAGCCCATCGTTTTTAGATGCTATTGTCTGTCAGTGTCATTCTGGGTCGCTGAGTGGTATTTGTGATGCCTCTTCAAAGACAGATCCAGTCTGCCAGCTGCAGATGACAAAACACAAAAGTAAACGCTCCAACAGGAATGTGGAAAATAAAAGAGATTCAAGTCCCATGAATCTCAATTAAAATCAGAAACTTACTTAGCTTTCATAAATAGTGAACATTAGGTTGCATAATGTTAGCTGTAGATGTGATGTGAGAGTAGCAAAGAGGGAATATGGTGTACAGAACGTGTCTGTCAGTTACATAAAAATTTCAACAGTCTCAAAGTACTAGTTGCATAATCCTCTCTAACAATTCAAGATATCATTTATTAATTTAAAGTCGAGGAAGTATTCTCATGGATCAGCTTCAAATATAGAGACTCAGCTTAATTTGTACGTGGAGGTTCAGAGACTCGGTACATCATCCTGCCCTTCAGTCTGAGTAAAGTCCCAGATACCCTTTCAGTGCCTGCTGCCTGTGACCCTGGGGAGAAACCAGAGAGTACTTGTTTTGTCTGCTCGGATGACTTTATAATTGTTCAGGGAGCAGCAGTCCCCAAATATCTAACTTGCATAAACTAGCCATGTCTGAACGTACTATTAATGTTAACAAAAGCCTCTTTGGCCCACATTTGGAGCTCCTTACAGTGCTTTGTCTCTGCTGCTGCTGCTGCTGGGGTGCACATGCATCAAGATGAAACACAGAGAGGTTAGCAGAGGCCAAGCTGTAAAATGTAGTAACAATAAATGATATGATAGTTCTGAAAGATATGTAATGTGGCCTCCAAACTCTGAATTTGTGTTCCGTGACCTTTATATTTCACTGTTGTTGGGCTTCAGTTTAATAAATAAAAGTGTTGCAATCTGACAAGTCCAGGAATACTTAAGCAGAGTCCTATTTTAAGAGGAACTACTCATTGTGGTTTAAAAACTGGGGCCTGTTCTGCTCATTTCGAAAGAATAAATGTGAAACTTCAGTCAGTAATTTATCCAGTATATCCGTACACACTGCAATGAGATAGCACTACCCTGCAAAAGACTCTATAAAAGTGAACATGACCCCTTTAAATGTCAGCAGGTGGTTTGTGCCATTTTGAAGCCTTTGGTTTGACTGGTAATTCACTCCTATAGTTACGGAAAAGTGACCATATTTAGACATTAGTGTGAAGCTGGGGAGGAATCAAAGTTGCCCAGCATGTGCTGATGGTGTATTAGCCACTTAAATACTATGTTTCTCACAGAATTACATTTCACTTGTGGTGGTAGATATTGGGTAGAGTTTGAGGCTCATGACAGAGTCTCCACTTGCTCACAGACTGTATGTCACTGGTGGTAGAGTAAGTAGCGGGTTAGATGGTCTTTCAAATTCGTATATGTGTGCCCCAAAGTCCCACTGCTGAGACCCACCAAAAGGTCAACACAAAAAAATCAATGTACGGCGCACACTGTACAAGCTCACAACCCACAGCATGATGTTGAAATGTTAATCCTTATTCACTCATGTAAAAGCTGGTGCACACACTTCCTGTGGATATGTTAATGCAATTAACTGCAAAGACAGCCACATGTATGAGTGATGATTTTTTTTTTTTCGATGTTAATGGTCCAAAAGGGTACCAACACCACAAACATAATTGAGATGTCAAGTGCAGTGATTGGATTTCACTGAGGTGACACCCAGCAGTCAGCAAGTGGAACCCAGCTGTCACTCAAAGCAGTCATCCTCCTGGTTATGCACAGCTTTCTTCTAATACAACAGGACTGGTCTTAAAAGAATCCACCCCCTATGAAGAGAAGATGGTTTTTGAATCAGGCTGTTTACATTTGTGCTAAATTCTAACATGTTGAGTCTTGGCTATGGCTCATTTGAGTTGGTTGTTTCTCAGTCAGTCCTCAGCTCCTGCGGTCACATGCTATGGTGTCCTTAAGACACTGAACCCTTAATTGCTCCCAGTGGCTGAGTGTGATTGTGTGTGAATGGGATTAGTTAGAACTGATGGGGACTTAACATAGCAGCCTCAACCGTCGCTGTGAATGTGTGTCAGTGGCTGAATGTGACTGGTAGTGCTTTTAATGGTCTCAAGAAGACCAGAGAAAGACATTATTGAAGTGCAAGTCCATTTACAATGAAGAGAGGCATTTCCATATCAGGCCTGATGAGAACTGACTACATTCTCTGGAACTCCTGCATTTGGTTTGTTGTTGCTTTTCCAAATAAAGGTTTCATTGTACAGGAAGGCCATCAGGGTAGAAAGTACTTAGCTATATAAAACGAACTTTGTTTGACTTTGACGCCTGCAGACACAACATCAGACTAAATGAAAAAATGTTATTGACCATCATGTCAATACGCATGCACTCACTAACTCGTGCTCAGAGTGCAGTCGCTGTAAAGATGAACACAGTCACGCTAACCTGTTTAACCAGAAGAACTCTGCCCTCTACTGGTGGAACAGATACATGAACATCTCAGAGGTGAGAGCAGGAAAGAGTTTGTGCCTTTTTTTTTTTTGGTCTTTTAGCACCATGTCTTTGCCAACACACACGCACACACGCACACACACACGCACACACATACACACACATTTCAACTCTGAAAATCTGAAAATGGAAATGACTGGTTATGTCTGGGCACAGCTTGGATGAAACATTGGTACAGTCTGCCACATCTATAATCCTAAATCTGTCCCTGTGTCCCTTTTCCTCCGTCTCTCTGTCAATGTCTCACTCTGTTTGTCACTTCTCTCTCTCTTTTTCTCTTTCTATTTCTCTCTCTCTCTCTTTCTTTTTTTTGTTCACCTGCTCTTTTAAATAAATAATGTCTCCTCTCCTCTGTCTCCTACCACACCTCTCCTGCTTTAATATCTCCCTTTCCCTCAACCCTGACTCATTGTTTTTTTCTTTCTTTCACTTTTCATGCAGGAACACGAGGAGAGCGGCAGAGGTGTGGATGGATGAGTTTAAAAACTTCTACTATGCTGCTGTCCCCTCAGCCAGAAATGTCCCGTATGGAAAGTGAGTACCATGAAGCCCTGCGTAGGTCACACAGCATTAATGTAGCGAGATCATAAAGTTACAGAGGCAGCCAAATGAAGAGGCATATTAATTGGATTGTCAATTAGCAGCATGTCAGCTATACAGAAGTCAGTTACCCATTTTATATATGTGACATCAGGCAGTTAATGTGGCTTAAAAAAGGGCAAAAAGTCAGTGCCTGATTTGCACTGATCCAAAGGCTGCCATAATTTCTGACATGCGGAAGGGATTAGTGTTAGATTATGATGGCGTGCGTCAAAGTAGAGGAACACGATGAACCGAAATGTCATTTGTTTAGAGAAGAGGAGGGATCAGATGGCAAAGTGCCAAGAATGAGGGTGGAAATACAGGCAGGACTTTTCATAAATATTTGACACCTAAAATTGAGATCATAAGCTTTAGGTTTGTGCTTAAAGTCAAAATACAGAAAAATTTAAAAGAGGAAATAAATTGCAGTGAAGCTTTTATAAGCCTTGTTTTTGTCTCATGCATTGCCTGTATATAAAGATAGACAACATATCTGATTCCTGCCATTTTGCAAAAGGAATGCATCCCTTGACGAGTCCTGCAATACTGTTACCTGTCTTCCTGCAGCACCCTTTTAACTAATCTGTTGCATTTAGCGCAGCAGGAGCTACATTTGTCAACAGTTTTCAGTCACAGCTGAATGACCACAACCTCAACTTCTCAGAAAGTTAAGATTTAAAAACATGAATAAGTTTGATAAGAACTTTTGAGAAAGATGCCGCATTTGAAAAAATATATTTGTGTGTTGTTTTTAGTTTGACCATGCCCCTCCTGTAAACATTGAGGAGGTGGGCTTTATGACTTATACTGCAGCTGATCAGAGAGAGCTCCAGATGTTTTGGTTTCACTTTATTAGAGCTGTCATGTCATCCATCTTTTGGTACTAATGAAGAAATGTTAACATGCTAACTAGCTAAAGAAACTGTTGCTTCCTGAGCCTAAACGCAGCATCTCAGAGCTGCTAGCATGACTGTTCTTTTGTGTTTATAAATGAAGATTGTTTTGATGAAAAGTTTAGTATTCAGGCGATCTTCATGTCTTCCATGTTTTTGTTCCTTTTTAACACAATATGAGCACTGCTTATAGCTTATTCATACTTTTCTACTATTCTGAGAATTGGCAATGCAGCAATCAGCTTTTTAACATTCATTCTGTGTCCTGACAAAATGCTTATTATGTGACCTTGTGGGAGCACTCTTGGCCTCCCTCTCCAGTGCCAGCCTAAGCATTTATTTTCCTCTAAGGATGCAGCCCTATGTCTCCACTGTCTGCCCTCACAGGCGGTCAGAGTATGAGGGCAGTGATTCAATCAATGTCAGGAAACGTTTCAGAACTACAACCATCCAATCCTCTAATACTCCTCCATCTCTCTCTGTCTCTCAGCATCCAGAGCCGACTGGAGATGAAGAAGAGATTAGGCTGCCATCCCTTCAAATGGTACCTGGAGAATGTCTACCCCGAACTACGGTGAGGAAATGAGGGTATTTCACATAATGTGTTAGGGTATATGGTAAGACACAATAATAGTACGTGATGAACTTTAACTACTCACAACTCCCACCTGAAGAGTTGCTGTTATAAAATCACTGCTCTGCTTGTAGAAACAGTGTGACTCTGATCTAGCTTGTACTTGGTTTATTGTTATGAACTTGTAGATTTCATACAACCATCATAGAGTGTAAAAAAAAAAACTTTTATAAAACTATGCCTTTGTTTTGTTAGAGTCCCAGATCACCAGGACATAGCGTTTGGAGCCCTGCAGCAGGGAGGAAACTGTTTGGACACCCTGGGTCACTTTGCTGACGGGGTAGTGGGAGTCTATGAATGCCACAACGCTGGGGGAAACCAGGTAGCGTTACCACGACGACACACACAGGTCAGCTAGTACAATCCGGCTAAATGTCACTGGAAATGTAAGGTGGTGGCACTGGTGGTGAGAGCACAGGGAATGTGCAAAAGAACTGAACTGAACGCCACAGCTAGTGTGAAACCATTTAGTGAGACTGGAATGACTAAGAAGAGAGTTTTTCTGAATCTATACGGTTATGGAATAAAGCCATCTGTTCGTAGAGCTGAAAACAAAACTTACACTCAGACATAATCCCACATAAAATCCTGCACAATCATTTATGTTTTGTCAGGGCACTTTATTGTACATATGTTTTGTGACTCGGTCGGCCAACCTCAATAACCCTCTACCTTTGTGTTAGTAACCTTAGTTCTGCCCCAAAGATAACATAAGTAAACGTGTGTGTGTGTGTGTGTGCGTGCGTGCGTGCGTGCGTGCGTGTGTGTGTGTGTGTGTGTGTGTGTGTGTGTGTGTGTGTGTGTGTGTGTGTGTGTGTGTGTGTGTGTGTGTTTGTGCTGGTGTGGTGATCTTTTTGGGTTCACTGGTGACACAAGGCCTGATTCACTAAGTATTTTTTGGCTTCTAGGCCTGCTTAAGCTGTGCACATGAACCAAAACAGACAACCTCTCATTCACAAAGCATGCTTGAGGGGTTAAATGCGTCATACACAGCACTGCAGCTCAACATATATATTGATTGAATGTAGTGTCGTCAGGATGAGAGCTGACAGCACAGCTCAGTGTAGCAGACAGCAGAGCAGCCGCTGTTCATTTGTATGAAATTCCCTTCAGAGTTTAGACTGATCACCTGCTGTATGCTCCAGTTAAACCCCACATCTTTCGCAATAACAAACCTTGTTACAAAACATTTTTGTGCTTTTACGTAATTTTCAATAGCTTAATTTCAGCAAAAGTAACTTTAAGCTGTTCTCTGCATTTAGGATAGACTTTGTATCACTGTACCTGGAACAGAAGGAACATGCTTTGGCTGCTGAATGTCAGTTGATGTTATCTAAGTAAAGATATATAGATCAGGTTCTTACATAAAGGTGAAATAAGGACATAATTTTAAATAGAAAGTTGTCCTTTTTTTTAGGCGTGTGTATGCATTAATCCTCATGTTGAATCTATTCTCTGTGAAGGAGTGGGCCCTGACGAAGGATAAGTCCGTCAAACACATGGACTTGTGTCTGACGGTGGTGGACAGAACAGCAGGTTCTCTCATCAAACTACAGGGCTGTCGAGAAAATGACAGCAGACAGGTAACCAACACTCACAAAGCTAAAGCAAGAGCAGCGGGTTAACATTGAAGACAGATCTGCGTGCTTTATTTAAGGTGTTTAATCATGTGAATGTCCTTTCTCTCCAGAAATGGGAGCAGATTGAGTCCAACTCGAAGCTCCGTCACGTGGGCAGTAACCTCTGTTTGGACAGCCGCAGTGCCAGGATGGGCGGACTCACTGTGGAAGTCTGCAGCCCCAGCCTCAACCAACAGTGGAAGTTCACTCTCAATTTACAATCATAGGGGGCGCTAGAGACCCTTGGGAAAGTTGGATATCTGATAGAGACACTAACAGACTCTGTGACAGGGATGAAGAGATGAGACTGGACCCGAGGAGACAGACAAACTTGATGGATTAATGGATCTCTCTCTCTCTCCTCTTCCTCCTCCTCCTCCTCCTCCTCTTCCTCAGAGGTGCAGCCAATCATGTCTATACCCCTCTCCCCCAGTTTACCCCCCCCTAAAAATGACAGAGCCACACCCGCTGGGGGAGGGGCTTGTAGACCGTGGCGGCGTAAACGAGAACAGGCTGTTTGGTGGATGGATGGTTGATGAGAGTGGTGAGGATGAAGGTGGTGATGAAGGGGCGTTCCATCCAAACAACATACCTCAGTGTTTTTTTCCATTGGTGGTTCCAGAGTCAGATGATGAGTGAAATTTTCTTTTCTTTTTATTTCTCGAATGCTGGTGAAAAGGAACTCACTGATGTTTTTACTTTGTAATTATTTTATTTCCTATTAATATTTTTTATTTCCTGCTGAAAATCTCCATGGAGGTCAGCAGGGGCTGTTTTGAGTTGTGTTCATGAAAAGAATCAGATGTTGGTATTTTTGCTCCTCTCTGGTGCTCTCTTTGTTTTTACCAGATCGAGCTTGAGCCTGTCACGACAGACGGAGGCTATGCGGTTTTGGATGCAGAGCGACGTGAAAAGAGGGAAATGGACTCAAATTCTTGAGCTTTTTCATCAATGTACTCTTTTTTTGGGTTACAGGATCAACATGCAAAAAAGTGGAGAGATAAATGCCGTGTGTGTTTAACTTTGGGTTGTGTGTGTTGGGGAGGGGGTTGGGGAGCACAGGTGGGAGCTTCTTCTCTGAGGAGGGGGGTCTGGCACCGGTTCAGGTCAAAGGTGAAGTTCCTGAAACCGGGAAGTGTCTTGAAGTCCTCTCCTCAGGATTGGCCGTTCATCTTCAGGCTGTAGCACTGGCTGCTGCAGCATCTTCACTTCTTTCACCATTATGTCTCTGAGAAAATCATGTATGCGTATTATTTTGTTTGTGTTGTCGAGAGAAAAAAATTGAACCAAATTTCAAACAGATGTTTTGTGTTAAAGGAATTCAGGGGAGCAATTAAAGAGTCTCTCTTCTCACACTCTCAGCGCTCTCTAACAGCTCTCAGTGGAGCTCATCGGTTTCTTTCTCTCTGCACAGATCATTTCCTCTGCCTGCAGCTTTGTTGGAAGTGTAGGAAGGTTACTGTCTTATAATCTCTTCCAAACTGGATTTTATGTTGCAGCTTTTCCCTGGAGCCAACAGGTGATCAGTGCAACAGGAGAATATTTTACAGCTTGCTGAACACAGGCTTCATTTAGACCTTAGTTTCTTTGCTCTCATTGTGCTCACCCTGATTTTGCACAGCTGTAGAAGAAAACACAAGTGCTTACATGTGGCTTACAGTATTTTGCACTAAACAACAGAAATCCCCTCTCTTTGCCAACAAACTAAAACCTGACAAAGGTACAAAGAGAACAGTTTTCAGAGTCATTGCAGCAGTCAAACACTTTAAATTTTGCACACGTTTCCTGAGAAGCTGTATGTCTCATCAACAAGCTCTTCCAGCTCCGCTCAGTCACAAATGTCTTCGATTAACTTCTTTTGTTTAGTTTTCTGCGCTGTGCAGCTCAGATGAGCCATCTGTTCAGGAGTTTGAAGCTGTGATAAACAAGGTTCAACTGTTTGTCCTCACTCTGGTTCTGCAGGAGGTGAGCAGATTTTTCTTTGATTGCACAAGCAGACTGGCTCAGTTTTTGCTGATGAGAAATTCAAATGAGAGCTCATCTTGTTTATTCTGGCAAGCTGCTTCAGTCTGTGGAAGAACGTTTCAGTGTCACCAAACAGAGCTATGCCACTTTAGTTACCTGATAGTGTTACTGCAGCCTCTGACAGTACATGTGTCCTCCTGGTCTGCAGCAGCAACTCATCTGAACTACTATGACCTCCCAGATGAGTAATGGTGATGCAGTTTTTCTGAGAATCTGGTCTTGATTGAACTCAGCTTGATGTGTCACTGAGCTGCTTCAAGGCATCTACACAAAAACAAATATCTTCAAACAGATACACTGTAACACGACATGACCTTAAAAAAAAGTCACTTGTCCGGGTTCTTAGTTTGTTCTTGAAGGAAGCTAGCCTCAAGTGTTGTTCAGTGTCAAATACTCAGATATCTCCTGTATACTCAGTTTCTCTCTCACACGCACAATCGTAAATGCTTCATAGTTTCTTTTTGTTACCTGAGCTACTAAAACTGACAAAAGACAGCTGTTTGTGTTTTCTCTGTTGTAAGATTCCTCCTTTGTTGCATCGCTTTGTTTATTTCCTGCCATTTTGTTTCTTGTTTTGATGTTTGCCTTGTCTTAAACATTCATCAGGACTGTTTGCAGATTGAGTGGAGAGGGTTCGGCAGAAGCTGAAGCTGTGTGCAAAGCCTATCCTGTGACTTGACAGGTCGCTGCATTGTAGGCTGCAGGAGAAGGCCAACATGAGGGCCAGCCTGAATGTGAGGAAAGTTGTGACTAGAATCTTGAGCCAACATCTGATTTGAGGGTTTAGATGGATTACATGCTACTCAGGAGGTGGACTAACTGATGAACACAGAAAATCAAACTCTGACTATTGTAAAAAGGAGAAGACAAATCATTTAAAGTTGTTTTTGTGAAAATGGAGAACGGATTGGTCTGTAATTTCCATTAGATTAAAGCATCAAAAAGTGTGTGCAGTAAAATAAGAATCAGGTACTGGACACTGACATATTTCCAAGCTTTCTACTCACGTCTTTCCACATGTAGTGTTTTGGATTTTGGGTTAATTTCGTAGCACATGACCGAAGTATAGGATTTTTTTTTTAGATGAACTAGCTTTAGGTACGAACATTTCTATTCCTTCACTTGTTTTTTCAAATGCATGCCAGGTGCTGATCTGGTCATATGATTTGATTTGAATGTTTCGGTCTCTTTCACCTTCAAAACCACAGACTGTTGACCTTGATTTATGATGTATTTGGCTTATAGCATGGTCCAATGTCTCACCACTGATGAGTAACATGTAGAAAGATAGAAAAAAAAAAGAAAAAGGGACTCATGATAGAATAAAAAGACAAGTAATTTCTGATGTAATGGCAGAGAGGTTCAAATAATTCTCCGAATCATATTATTCTGTCTTCACTTTTTCCTCTTGAACCTAAACCTCCATATATGTCCAGGCAGCAGAAACTGAAGGTGCAAACAGCACACACCTGAGTGACCATGGTAACACTGTCTGCTCCAGCGGTGCAGAGGTGTTGTCTAAAGCCTTTTCTTTTTGAACTAGTCTTACTCTTGTGAATGATAAAAAGATCATTATTTTATTTTTTATTGTTTTTATTACACATGCAGGAAAGTGACTGTATTAAATGAGTAGTCCAGCACCTCACTCTGATTGGATGATAACATGTTTACATCTTTAGCACATTGTGCCAAAGTTTCTTCTTTTTTTTCTCTGTTTTGGGGAAGAAATAGAGGGGACTGAAAGGTTTTGAAAATGAGCCGTAGGGATCTTGTTGAGGTTTTGGTGCAACTTTTGCCTCCAGTATGTTTTCATGTCATTCTTTCTTGTCTCTTTTTGGCCTGTAGCACGCATCAGAGGGGAAGACAGCTCATTGTGGCTGAGCGGCTATCAGTTTTTCAATGGAAAGGGGTTAAAATCAGGTTCATGTTTTCCTCAGTTGATGTTTTAATTTTTTTTATTTTCAAGCTTTGAAAAGAAAAACTTTACAGTGTTTCAAATAGAGGAAGAACATGATCTGTCTTTGTGACAAGCATCTTTGTTAGCATTAAAAATTAGGTTTTTGACTTAACAGTCAGTGAACAAGAGTGTCCTCCCCTCTGAGCCTGCAGGACTTCAATTATTCATTCATACTCACTGTGTTGTGAAGGGAAACGATAAACGGATAACGTGGTGGAGTTAAATCAGAGAGGATGGGTGAAGGTCAGGTTATCGCTCTTAAGCTGTGTCATGATTTGTCCTAACCTGAGGGGTGTCTTGTCCCTTCAGCCCACCTCTGACTCTCCTCTGAGGATTAAGAGGAGAACAGTCCCCCCCTCTTAATGTGAGAAGCCCCCATGGAGACATCCAGCTCAGGACTGCTTAAGCTTCTCCATCTTCTCCTCTGAGTGGCAGCAACAGTGTGTGTGTGTGTGTGAGTCAGGCCATAAGAGGGGCTTAACATGCACAGAAGACACTAAACTGTACATGTCTCAACAACCAGTACTGACTGATCATGAATTCATGAGATAATACTGTGTTTTCTAACAGGAATGTGGCTTCACTGAATGACAGCGGTGGGTGAAATGACGCAAGGGGGTCACACATGTAAAAGTGTATATTTTTGTATATACCTACATCAGTGTGTGTACAGTATGTACATAAATACACAGTGTACTCAGCTGCGGTTCCTAGTTTTGTTGTCTGACTGTACAGCGCTTCTAACTGTTCCCTGTTTTATAGATACTGCAGAAAATTCAACTTTGAATGAGGAGAAATGATTAACTTAAATAAATGCATTTATATATATAAACTGAACTGTGTTGAGTGTGTTGGTCTACTTTGTTGGTACAAGCTCAAGGAAGATACAAAACAACTCAAACATGCCTCACGGTATTGACTTTTGTTGCAGTTTTCACAGACAAACAGCAAATGATCTGAACCTCAACTACATAAATGTAAGCTGTTTTTGACATGCTCTCTGAAAGGTGAAAATATGAGTAAGAGCCTTATTTTAATCTATCAGTCTATCGTTTGATGAATGTTGGATTCCTCAGCCAATGGAAAACAAGTAAGGAGACACTACTGCATGTGTTTGAGCTAATTTACAAACCTGACATGAATGTCCTGCTGAAGTCAGGAGAGGAGCAGGTGAAATCAAGAATGGGATAGATCACAGAGATAAATTTGAAAGTGATTTTAGATGCAGGTAGCTGATACAAAATACCACTGGGATAGTTCATGCAGTTTAGGCAAGACAACACAAATCACTATTAATGTTTAGTAAGGTAAATTCATACAATCAACCAGATTTAACTCAGGACAGGATTAAAAATAAAGTCTAAAACTCAATTTAATTACAGTTCTTTCCAAAAAAAGGGAGAAATTACTCTGTTGAGCCTCATAGATGAATGATCAATCATCCATTCATTTAGACTCAATTTTACTTTTATTGCATATTTCACACATAAATGCATACATGCAGCCTAAAGTGCTTCACAAAAGAACATACAGATAGAAAATAAATAAAAACAAAATAAAAAGATTATAGAAATACTAGAATAGATGAATAAATAAATACATGATATATAGAATAGAGCAAAATAAATGGTATTAAGACAGTGGTAATAACCGCAATATTGCAGTCCAAGGCTAAAGAGAAGGAAGGAATTGATTTGAGTTAAAGTCAGATTAAGAAGGTAGTTTTTTTTTTTTTTTAAGTTTACCTTTAAAAACATATAGAGAGAGCTCACTGTTTAAATATCCAGAGGCGGAGAGTAGAAAGATTACGTAATTTTAAAAAAAACTGTAAAAAATAAAAAACATGGTAAAAATTGCCTATATCCTCAGCGGGCATAAATGCATACACATTAAACTTGTAACATAACCCTGTCTTTTTCTATTAAGACAAATATTTCATTTTCCACAGCTGAGTACTTTATTGCACTATTTTATGTGAGTGTTGTAGTCGCCCTCCGGCAGGGGGCGATGAGAGCCACACGCCACACACATGCAAAACCACAGAGGAAGAGTGCGCTCAGGGGAGGTAGAGGCTGATTACAGCAGCCAGCAGACACAGGTAGTGGTGGTTGACAGTACCTAACAGAAGAAACGAAACCTGAACACAGCATGAAGAACGAAGGCATAGAGGGTACGGAGAGGTTCCTGAGCCCGGACCAGGGCAGAGGCCTGCGGGCAGTGAGGCACTTCGCGGTGGGAGAGCTCGTTTTCGCGTGTCCATCTTACTCCTACGTGTTGACAGTGAATGAGAGAGGAGCGCACTGCGAGCACTGCTTCACCAGGTAACATTTCACCTACTCACGTTAAGCAGTGAGAGTAACTCTGCGACGCCCTAGTAGCAATTTTACGTAGTTTAAAATTAAATGGTTTGCCTTTTAACTTCAACTTCACCTCTCAACCTAGCTAGATTAGCTGGACAGTTACCTAGCTGGAGGTGTTTCGGTTAGACGAGTGACCCTGTCAAGTGGCGTCTCTCAGCCAAGTGTGTCAGTGGTTGTCGTAGTAACAACAGCTGTTGAAACATGGACAGAGTCCCAGCGAATGCCTCCTACTTTTATTTTTTATTATACAGTTATTAATTTTTCATTCGCTGTGTCGGGGACGAAACAATAAATCAACAAAGTGGCTTTCAAAGACGTTTTCCACAAATTGGTATAACTACGACAACCCCAACACGTTGGGCTGAAAGCGCCATTTGACATGGTCACACTTTAATCCGTAACACCGGTGCAGGCTTAAATGGGTCATTGCGGTGAGGAAGCTCACCTGACTGACACTGCAGCGTTTGTTAATAGCACTGCAGAGTCAGGAGAGCCTTAAACAAATCTTATTATCAAAGTATAAAGCAAGTTATTTCTTCAAACTTTTAGCACACTTTCACGTAACTATTCACTCTTAAAGATATCAGTTGAAGCTAGATGAACTCTTAACCTCTTCATTATTTAAAAATGGAGCTTTTCTGTAGATGAGAGTCGTCTTTGTTGCTTTAAGACAGCCTATGTCTATTTAAACACCCTGCAGCCTCCACCCCACACCTCCCTCAGGCTCTTAAACGTCAGGCAGTAGAAAAGGCAGCTGCAGGATATCAGACTTTTTAGACTTTCGGCTTTAAAATGACACCCACAAGTTAAAGAGAGGTACAACATAAATCCCAGGCATTTATTGAATTTCCCCTCAGGATCCATAAAGCTCTTCTTATTGGTCGGTTTAGCCCATGCTTGCACCAGTTATGGTGTAGGATGTGGAGTGGTATGAAAGGCTGGCCTACAGTGCTCATTGAGTATTGACATATGTGGGAGTGTGTGGGCATACTATGTGCAAACTTCTAGGAAGGTTAAACTGACACCTTGTTCAAGCTTTGGCTTGGTTGCTTACCTACTTGTCTTGTTGCAACCCGATGCAGATGTAACACTCTTGAGAGACATATTAGCATCAATGTGACGCCGTGTCTCTCTCTATCACCCTCTTACTTTCATGTCCTGCTCAATCTGCCCCTCAGGTTTGTAGAGCAGTAAAAGGTTAAGGTGCTAAATATAGCAGTCCATTTGTCCTGAGAGAGGAGGAGCCAAGAGATGAGAAGGCCAAGAGTGTGTGTTTGGAAATGGAAGGGTGGATGTGTGTTTCTGTGTGCATTTGATATCATACAATAAAAATGATTGGCTCTAATGTTTTCCTACAGTTACCAGATAGAAAAATGACCTTTCAATGAATAGATAGTGACTGAAAATATTTCTAGTATTGGCTTATAATGTCTATTTAAACTTTAAATTGCTGACACATCATAGATACAAATCAACATTTTTTGCAATTCACTAAACAGTGTAATGTTCAAGCTAGAAGGTGGAGCAGCTGTGTGTTGTACCAGTTGTCAGAGGGCTAAAAGAAAACAATGATATCTCTCATCTCATTCATTCAGTCATGTAGCATTACATACATCAAGTACCTAAATGAAGTGGTTGTAAACTATACCAGTTTAAAGTTTAATCCCACTGGAACTGAGTGAGTTCTACCTGAGTAAAGGTGAAAATTGTTGTATTGTGTGTAAAAGTTTATTCTGAATCTTGCAGATAACATGTGGCCTCAGCACACTGAACACAGCCGTCATGGAGTTAAATCTCGTTTTTCTGTCTCTACAGGAGAGAAGACCTTTTTAAATGCGGTAAATGTAAGCAGGCGTACTACTGCAACGTCGACTGTCAGGTGAGACTGCTTTCTCTTTGTTCTTTTGCTTTTTCATGTAGAGCTTTTAGTTTCTGGCTGAATATGTACCGGTAATCCAAAAATATCTCTTCATTTGGTTTCATCTTCATTGCTTTCAACTAGGTTGCGCCTTTTATCTGATTCACGTGCACTGACATGAGCACTTTTCTTCAAGGATACACTACAGAATAGAATTCAAAGAACTATTTATTGCTTTTTATTAGCTGCTCCTGTGACCCTCCCCGGGTTCTTGAACCACACATAGAGAATCACTTGAGCAAAGCTCTGCCTGAGCAGTACACGCTGGCTGACTACTGTTGCTATGACAATTCAGCCTTTCCTCCTTCTCTTGGCTTCTGTCTAGTTCAACAAACAAACTCGGCACCCAGCTGTAAAATTGAAGTTTATATATGTGTGTGTGTGCAAGAGAGAAAAAACATGCCACAAGTGCCTGGACTAATAATTTATAGATGATCTGCTGTCTGATAATAAAAACAGTATATAAAAATAGATAACATTTTATTGTTTTCATGTCTCCGCTCATGTCTCTCTGGATTAGTTTTGGGACTGTAAAGCCATATGTCGTGTTGCTGAAGAGGGTTTCTTCCAGGAATAATTCAGGATGACTAAGTGTTGATATTTCTGTCTTATTCTTTCTCTTCCTCTGTGAATAAATGCAGAGAGGGGATTGGCCCATGCATAAGCTGGAGTGTGTAGCTATGGTTGCCTATGGGGAGAACTGGTGTCCATCAGAGACTGTCAGACTGGTGGCCAGGATCATCATGAAACAGGTAAATGAATAAATGCGCGAGTAGATATCTTTTAGTAAATGTAATGGGTTTCTTTTTCTTCTTTTATAACTGTCGACAAATGTTTGAAGGAAAAAACACATGAACACTGAGGAAAGGGTTGCAAAGGGCAAGGAAGGAGTAAGGTGTGAGATGACAATACAGGGTATCTGTATGTTAAGAGATCTGGCTTTACTGTAAATGCAGCAAACAAAAAAAGCACGGTAGAGAATACCCATAAAGTGGACCAAAAAATTACATTTACATTTGTATTTAAATGAGTTGAATCAAGTCTGATATAAAAAAAAAAACTCTTATTTGAGAGAAAATATAAAGTTTAGGCAAGACAATTTCTTTGTCAACTTTCTTGTGTGTTAGCTAATTCTGATTCCAGGTGTCATGGATGCTGTTTTAGCCGTCTCACTGAAGCTCCTGCAGAGATAAGGGTATCCATTTTGATAGTAGTCAGGGCTGTAATGTTCCTGCCACCATAATTTAAAGGAAAACTCAAAATGACTCGACTGTCCTTGAATGCACCTGACCGAAAGGAGCCATGAGAATGGGATTTACATGTGCAAATATCAGAAGATAGAGAGTTAAATCAAATAAGTGACATGTCTGATGGTAATGTCGTTATATGAGCTAGATAATATTTTATGTAATAGAGCAGTTGCTGCAGCTGCGATGTAATAACTCAATCGACACGAGTTTTATGCCTTTATTTTTGCATGAGATCTAGATGGGAGTGTAAAGATTGTCCTGGCTTATTCATTTGTGGTAGTTCTGTAAGTTTGACCATGAACAGTGAACACTGACGATATGAAAATTAATAAATTCATGGCAACTCCACTCGAGTGCTTTTTAACATCAATGTTGTTTGAACTGTGTCTCAGAGGTTGAATCAGAGTGTTTCTCTTATTCAGTGATACATTTGTTCTCGTCTGTTGAGTGTTTGATCTTCTTATTCGGCCAGAAGGTCAAAACCACCCATGGCATTCACAAATGTAGAAACAGGAAAATCTGGTTCCATTTCATTTTATTCTGCGTGATTTTTACATTATTGTGACCAAAATAACCTCCTGTGTCTGTGCTGTTTCATGTCGCAGAGAGTCACAACAGAGCGCACCCCCTCAGAAAGGCTGCTGCTGCTCAAAGAGTTTGAATCACGTAAGCAGATGTGTCTGTGTGTGGTTACATTTGTGCACAGTTTTAGTTACATGCAGTGCGTGCGTGTGTGTGTGTGTGTGTTTGTGCATGTGTGTGTGTGCCTTTTGTGTTTGTGTAGTTGTAGCAGTGTGTCTATTAATATCCTCAGCTGTAGCCGGCAGTCCTGGTTCTGTCTCTTTTCATTCATTTTAAATGGTGCAGAGTGCTGGGACTTAAATCCCATGCTTCTTTGTGCTGTAATTTCATGTTCTCCTGTTTCCTTTTTTAACCACTGACACTATGCTCCTATAAACCCTCTCAGTCTCTCTCTCTCCTTTGTTTCTTTTTTTATGAATGTACTGAGAAGCTCTCCAGTCTTAACTGTACACAGGTCTGATTTATAGCAGTAGCAGTTTCTGTTTTGCTGATTGCTGACTCCACTTTAGGACCATAATGTAAATGAACTCAGTCGGTTATGAGAACAGAGTCAAAACAGCTCCCAAGGATCATGAGCACACACTGTAAAAGTAAATTAGGGTGAAAAAACAAGGAGATGCCCTCAAACTGTTTTTCTCTGCTCCATGTGGTAATATCGTTTAGTCTAAGCTGTTGTTGCAGGCTCAGATATGTCATCAGAGGATTGACACAGAATTAACCTTCACACCTGTTTCTCATGCACACAAAGCCAACCAGTGGCCAGCTGCTGCTTGGTGTCACCAGTGTGTGCGTGTGTGCGTGTGTGTGTGTGTGTGAGTGTGAGTGAGAGACTGAGTGACAATGACACATGGCTCAATGCATCAGCATATTCTGAACTTTCCTCGAACTGAGTCCTTCACTGGAAACCATCATGTGATTACAGAGAAAAAAATCTAGTAGGACCCCCCCCCCCCCCTTGTTTTTTTTTTGCAGTTTTATTGTTCATTTCCTAGTTTCTCTCACCTATTTAAAGAGCTTTGTTAATATTTGGATGTAATTATAACTGATTAAAACTAGAGTAAAAACAACTACATCAGTTGGTAATGGTCAATTCAGTCCTCTGGCCATGGAGTGATGAAAAACAAAGGAAGCCCAAATATGGACACTAATCAGTCTGACATGTCTGACCTTCAGGTTATAAGATGTTTTGCTTGTATAGTAGACATTTTTTAATGCCAGGAGTCAAGGACATGAGCACCCAGTACCAGCCATTTAAGCAAAGCTCCAAACTAGAGTTAATCAGAAGTGTTGCTTATACGACTGATATACTGCCTTACTTGTCCCTTTTCTTTTTAATTCTGCCTCCAGATTTAGATAAGATGGACAGTGAGAAGGACGAGATGAACCAGGCAGACATTGCGGCGCTTCACCACTTCTACTCCAAACATATCAGTGACATCCCTGACGACCAGGCTCTCACTGAGCTCTTTGCACAGGTAAATCTCTTAATCATATGTGCCTCCAAGAGACTCAGTCAATCATGAGGTGTTCCAGGATCCATTTGTTTTGTTATCTAAACTGTCTGGATTCACAAATCATCTCAGTCTCATGGGATCATCATTTTAACTGTTTTTAACTGTTTATAAACCTGAGCACCAAGGTGTCTGTGGCTGCACAAAAACAGTGCATCCTGTGATTGGTTCAGCACTGAGCATTGCAACAGACTTCATACAAATGAATCAATCATTCAGACCACCTCGGTAGAGCATGCTCATCTGTAGTTGTATTATTGGTTTGGAAAGCAGCGAAGGTTTTGGCCACATTCACAGACCGGTGACCGGTTTTAAATGACAGCACAGACACATTCACAGAAATATAAAACACCTCAGCCACATCGTATACAAATCCAGTCTTATTATACTGATATCCTCACCTGCCCTTCACATCACAGGGAAATACTACAGGGTCTGTATCACACACACCCACCCACCTGTTCTGTCTGTGTTACTTCACAGCATTAAGCTCTGTAGTCTGATCAGTGTGTCAGAGCTGCGGAGTGTTACAGCACAGGTGAGTACGGTGTGATACAGTTAGAATAATCATATGACTCGGTGCTCTTTTTCAGGTGAACTGTAATGGTTTCACTATAGAAGATGAGGAGCTTTCTCATCTGGGATCAGCTGTTTTTCCTGAGTAAGTACTCCATGTCAACACATAATCAACAAGCAAATAGTCCACCTGTTAACAAAGTTTTTAAATAAATATGGGTAAAGCAGATCCCTGTTCGTGTGTATACTCTGTCAATAATGTGTACAGATCTTAATCCACTGTGATCAAAGAATGATGGGGCACTACCTGCTGTGCACACAGATTTTCTTGTGAATATTTGCTGGCATTATTTGCAAGCAGCAAGTAGGTATTAGGATCTTTGTTTAGCTAGGCATGCGTCATTGAGGTTGAAAATCTCTTGTATAAGTATGTCCTCGTCAAGATCAGCAGCAGCAGCGGGTTCCAATAAAGTTGCAGACATGCCATCCTCACGTTCACAGTAGCTACAGTTCTGAGAGGCAAAGACAGATTTAGAGGTATTTCCAGTACTAGGACATAGTGCTTCGACAATTGTGATTTAATTATGTGCCATCTTGAGATTTTTAACTTGGCAAATAATAAAGACGTAAAGCAGGATCTTAAGAGTGTGGGAATAGGAACTGGCAGCTGGTGTTTGGCTACTCTCTGCATGTTTGTTTTTTCACCCATTTCCAATGGTTTCAAAAAATGCTGTGATGAGGCGGTCACTGAATGACTGTTTGGACGTCTATGGGGATTTGTTGTCTAAGCAAGTGGTGCTGCTTAGCTCATTTGAGCACTAAAATATTGCATTCAGTTGTGCATCTTTAGTGATTTATGGCAAAATCATATAAATCTCTCTGATTTGGATCTATTGAGGCTGCAAGCAGAGGCATTATTCATCTTTTTCTGTCATATTAAGTTTGCAGACGAGACAAATTACTTTGCTTTGGCCCTTCAGGATGAAAATAAAAATATGAAGTAGGAATAATTAGGACTCCCCCTTGTGAGAACCTCAAGCAGACCTCGTCTGCAGAGCACATACCATCACCAACTTCAAAAATAGAAAGAGGTCACTGGTTGTTGAACTGCATTTTTTAATTTGGAAGATTCTAACAAATGTGTCCAAACCTCATTATTTATCTGCCCCCGTGAAAGCCTAGCATGGAAAAGCTGCTTTTATCAGGACTTCATGGTGAAGATTTGTCTCTGAATTTCTGTGCTTCTCTCCTTCCTTCCAGTGTAGCACTGATGAACCACAGCTGTAGTCCTAATGTAATAGTGACGTATAAAGGCACAGTGGCTGAGGTCCGAGCTGTTAAAGAGATAAACCCTGGAGACGAGGTTAGTGAGCACTGGATTCATTTATCCCCAAAATATTTTTCACTGGCAACCATTTTCAGATCACAAACAGTCACCAAGATGCTGATTACATGCTCCTTTTTTTGAATTTCCCCCCAGGTATCAATAAAATTCTCCTTCTTCTTCTTCTTCTTCTTTTTTTGACTTGATTCCCCCCTCTCTCCCTCTGCAGATATTCAACAGTTACATAGATCTGCTCTATCCAACAGAGGACAGGAGAGAAAGGTTGTTAGATTCCTACTTCTTCACATGCCAGTGTACCGAGTGCACCACCAAATCTAAGGTATTGAACGATCCCCCTCTGAAGCCCAGTCTTCTGCATCAAGCCTTTAAAATCACACATTCGGTCTCTAGATTACAGGCATGTCCATGATATGAACCACAGTCTTACAGCCAGACCAATCAGGTGAATTTGGCAGATGAATGTGGAAAACAGCACGTGTTCATATGCAAGATGTGCAACAAATCTCAGATGTTGTCAAATGAGCTTTCTTCTTTTAGCATTTGAGAGTGTTATTTGTTTTACTTCAGTCTGCTACATTCAATGTGCCTCTGGCATCTTCTTTCCCAAAGTGTATTACATGGAGAAAAATAACTCATCCTGATCAAAGCTCAGTTGGTTTAACATGCTTTAATGTCTGATGTGTTTGAGCATTTCTGATACTGTAACTGTTCCATCCTGAACACCCTGTATGAGAGTGTGTAGTTTTATCCCATTGAAAAGTGACTGTTTATGTTTAAGCCTTGTTGATTTTTTAAAAAAAAATCTCTTGTGAATCTTGTGTATGTTATGTAACAACAGAGCTGTTTTCTTTGTAATGTCTTTGCACAGGACAAAGAAAAAATGGAGATCAGGAAGCTGAGTTCTCCGCCAGAGCCAGAGGAAATCCGATCCATGGTCCACTATGCCAAAAATGTCATAGAGGAGTTCAGGAGAGCCAAACACTACAAAAATATCCTCTTCCCCTGTTAAAGCAATATCCTCTCCCCCTGTTAAAGCAGATTTTTTTCTCTGCCATTTCTCTGTATCTGATCTCTCACTTTCAAACCTCCATTTTTGTTCTCTGCATTGTTTCCGTCCTTTTTCCTTGACTCTGTGGTACCTCCGAGTGAGCTGCTGGAGATGTGTGAGCTCAGCCAGGAGAAGATGGGAGCTATATTTGCAGACACAAACGTCTACATGCTGCACATGATGTATCAGGCCATGGGTGTGTGTCTCTACATGCAGGACTGGGATGGAGCCATGAGCTATGGAGAGAAGATCATTCACCCATACAGGTAAACAGAACAGCAGAGCGGCAGTAATAAGCCCTCAGTAGATTAGTTACTCAGTTGTACCACAGCCCGTCATGTATGAAGGAGGAGGAGTGTAAGAATTCACGGGTAAATGCAGCCATCTGTGTTTACATTTAAAGCCATCACAGTCTCATAGGGTTGTACTTGGATGCTCTCTAATGGTGAAGTGGGGATGGAGGCAGGGTGTTGTGGTGTCCATACTTCATTGAATGACTCTTTTGTGTCACACATGATTTTCTCCAGACTATTTCAATGTTTTAAGGCAAATTTCCTCCAAGGATGTAAAATTTGATTCTCTTTTAAAGATTATATACTTTTTTTCAACTGTATATATTCACACAAATTTGTAATTTGAAATACTGACTTGTTACTCAAACTGGTTTACATATATCTGATCTCTTTCTGCTCTGTCCAGCTTCAAATAAATGTTAATGTTTGCAAAACAACTGAAAGTTGAAAGCAACATTATTCATTGTTGATGTTGGGTTAATTTTACCTCTTTTTTTTGCATTCACCGCTTAGTTGGGTGTATCAATCTTTTCCATATCTTCTCTCTACAGTGTTCACTACCCAGCTTACTCTTTGAATGTGGCATCGATGTATCTGAAACTGGGACGCCTGTATTTGGGGCTGGAGAAGAAGACACAAGGTGTCAAAGCTCTAAAGAAGGTATGTGTCGAGCTGTCTGGTTGATAAAGATGAGGATCATTAGTTTTTATGAATATTAATCCCATTACCAAGCCTCTCGGAGAGTTGGAGTCCCGATGGAGCCCACTATTACTGTGCTTTCTATTATTGGGTGGAAAGACAGGATATTAGACTAGTACATTTTACCAGAGCTTTTATTACTGACATTTGACAGAATTTTCTGACCCAAAGATCGTGTAAGGCACCACATCTTAGTTTTATTTGATGCTCAGTGCTGATGTGCTCAGCCATGAAGGTTTTGCACAATAGAGTTAAAGAGTTGAAGGCTGCTGCAGTAGGAGTAATAACACGTTAAAAAATAGAGATATAAATTTAGTAGTTTCTTACAGCAGAGTGTGTTTTCAAATGAAACCCTGTTTTCTCTATCCTCAGGCACTTGCAATCATGGAAGTGGCTCATGGTAAAGATCACCATTATGTAGCTGAAGTGAAACGAGAGATCGAGGATCAGAAGTAAAGGAGGAGCAACAGGAGGAGCAGACCGAGTTATATGCAGAGGCCCTGGATTGAGGATCCTCTCAAAGCAACAACAAAAATAACATCACGACTGCATGCCATGCATCTTATACCTCTCCATTTCTTACCGCCTACAATGTTGTTTTCCTAACCTCTTCAGGCTGTGTTTCTCTTTATTCATGTCCATCAACAACCAACTATGGAAGACTGTGTTTCTGTCTGCAGCCAGCTACATCCCATCAGACCTTGAGACCTGAGGAGCTGAAAAATGTTTGGAGTGAAGCTCTCTCAACCTGGTCAGCATCCATACTGAAAATCCCAAAAGGCTCACATCAGCATTACACAGAAAAACTTCAAATACTGCCTTCAAAGCTGCTTTTTGGATGAAACAAAGTTTTCATTTGACAGCTACAAGACCTCTGTTTTTCAGACTTTGCCGTGCTATTTCCCCTCTCACTCTGTAATATTTCATTGTGTCCTATCCGACCGTCAGCAGATTGTGTTAAACAGTGTTTGTCTTTTGCAGCCCTGTCAGCTGCTCAGCACTGCTCCACAGCAGCTGTTTATAGATTTTTCTTTCAAACTTCTGTACTAACTTGTGTGTAGTTGTTACAGAGGGCATTACTTCTTACCCACAGCTAATGCATTTAAACTACCAAAAATTTAACAGCAGATTTTCTGGCTTCATTGGTTTTTGTTTCAACTGTGAAAAAAAGATAACTGACCATGGATCGGGTACTCTGTAGCATCGAAGAGGAGAATGCAAACAACTATTCCTGAAAGAATAAGCAGTGTTTGGATTAGCTTGTCTTACGGTTTAACTTGCCTGTTTTAAAGAAACAGAAAAACTGTTGCATGTTTTGTTGTTTCTGTTCTATTTGTATTTTATCATGAGGCTTATTGACCAAAAGGGCCACGGGTTAAACCAACAAGGAACCAGCTGCACTTCTCTCTATGTCATGTATCTTTATCCAATGGGGGCTGTTCTGAGACCAGTTTAAGTCACGGTGAAGACTTTGTGCTATGATCCTGGATCAGAGCCCCATTTGCTCTCAGGAAAAAAATGCTTAATTGTAGCTTTTGCAGCTTTTGGTCAAGAGATACATTATAAGCCCTTTTAGTGTTTGCTCAGCAGAACCATGAACCCAGATTATTACTCTGCAAAAACATCAGTTTGACAGGAGAAAAGACTCTTAACTTGCATATCATCTTCATTAGAAACCCTTGATTTTTCAAGATTAATGAGTGGAACATCCCTGATGAAGGGACATGCATCTTCCTTTAATACTCAAAAGTTCAAACCTCATTTTAGACCGCTGGGTTTTGCAGTATGACATATTACATGGAGATTAAAAATATGATATCTGACTAACTAAGCATTTACTGAAAAGCAGAAAGAAAATACTTAAAACTTTACAGGCAGTTATAGGGATACAGTTGGTTTTGGGTTGGAGATAAAATTCAGAAGTTTCCTAGATGCCCCTAACCTCTTAGTCATAATAGAGAGAAGATCTGTTACAGAACCTGTAATTAGGTTTGTGTCCCTGCCGCGGATTACACCATTAAGTACAGTTAGTGAAAGAGTTTACTGTGTTGAACTTCAAAGAAATAAAAAGTAAATGACAGGGGGTTCATATTGCACTCATATTTTGTACAGTTTTATGATAAAATGATGTCAAAATAGCAAACCTGTAAGCACATGTAGTTCATTTGTATCAGTTGCTGTCACTGGACAGTTTCTCTGCCCTCAGACTTCGTTCAGTGCTTGGTCAGAAGAACTAACGGCCCAGGTCTAATTCCTTTATTTTAATGCCTGTAGCCTCGTCTCATTTTTTTACTATGGATGCAACATATGAACCACATTAAACTGGGTCACTGAAGGTCAGAAAAAGCCCATTGGTGAGATTTGTCAGTGGTCACACTTTGTAGCAAATCCTGCTTGACTCTAGTCCCCTGAAAACATGCATCTACAGGGCACCTACCTTACAGCTCTTTGTATGTAACGAGCAACTCTGGTCCAAATCTTTGTTTCAGTGATTTTTTTAAACAATTAAAAGGTGGTTTGCATAAGCCAAAAAAAGATCTGAACCTCTGTTTACCAGGCCAAGCTCTCCATGTATTTTTTCTGACTTGACTCTTCAGCATGCATATGATCTGTTTCTTTTTCTGTGATATCAATAAAAATGACATTTGTGGCACAAGGAATTAACTGTAAAGACCACACTCATGCTGCACGTAAAATACAAAACAAAAGGCCACCTTTGTGACATTTTTCGTTCTCTTTTTGTAATTAACTGCAATTTTATCAGGCATGGACGTTACTCTTTTGGAATGCATAACTGAAATCTGAGCCTCTTAACTCAATAAATGACAGTATCACACTTGTTCTGCTGTACTCACTTTAATTCATCTGAACAGTCATTCTTTTGTCACATAATAATCTTCTATAAAACCACCTGTTTTATATTTTATTTTTATTTTATTTTACCTTTATTTTATCAGGCAGTCTCATTGAGATTAAGATCTCTTTTACAAGAGAGGCCTGAGAACAGGGAACATTCACAATCAACACACAACACAACAAACAAATAAGAGGTAAAAACGAAGGAATCAGTTAAAACAGTTAAAGCGATTATTGAAAACAGACAAGTATTTAAAATCTCCAAGATGAATGAAAGTCCAGTTTAAGAGCGGTTTGCAGCTCATTCCATTTAAAGAGAGCATAGTAGTTGAAACCAGTTCTGCCAATATTAGTACGGATATATGGAATATCTAAGGTGAGCTAGTTAGTGGATCGTGTTCTGTAACTTCTAGGTTTAAATGAAAGAAGAGATGTGAGGTAGCTGGGAAGCTTTAGTAGAAGGGCTGTACAGATGAAAAACAAGAGATGGATATTTCTTCTCGACTGTAAAGAGGTCCAGCCAACCTTTTGATACAGGGAACAGTGATGTGTGTGAAATGTGTCATTAGTGATGAAACGTAGTGCGCTATGATACACAGGATTTAACTGCTGAAGAGTTGATGGAGCTGCATGGCAATACAAGATGTCACCATAATCAAGAACAGACATTAAGGTGGATTGTACAATTATTATTCAGTTGGACGGTGACAGACAGCCTTTGATTCTGTACAGAAAGCCCAGTTTACGTTTTATCTATTGGGTTAATTTCTGAATATGAGTCTTGAAAGATAGATTACTAGCTAGCCAAATTCCTAAATATTTGTAAGAGTCAGTGAGGGCAATTTGTGAACCATTTAGGGTTGTGACTGTGGAAAGGTCACAGATTCTAAGGGTGGATGATGTGGAGAAGGTCATGCATTTAGTTTTTTCAGCATTTAAGAGTAGTCTGTGATTATGGAGGGATAATTGAAAAGAATCAAAGGCAGTCTGTAAATTGGAGAGAGCTTGGGCTGGGGTAGAACCGGGTGCATATAAAATACAGTCATCAGTGAAAAAATGGACGTCACAATATTGGATTGGTAGAATAATATTATTGATGTAAAGTATAAATAGCAGTGGACCAAGGATAGACCCCTGTGGCACCCCGTTTATGATAGTGAGTGGACTAGATTGAAAACCATCAAAACAAACAGTCTGAGTTCTGTCAGAGAGGTAAGAATGAAACCAGTTAAGTGAAGCGGTATCTAGACCTATGGACTATAATTTGTGAAGTAAGATTTTATGATCGACAGTATCAAATGCTTTGGAGAGGTCAATAAAAAGAGCAGCACAAAACTGTTTACTATCTAGAAAGGAGACAATGTCATTTAAGACCGAAACTGTGGCTGTGACTGTGCTATGACCAGGGTGAAAACCAGACTGTTGTGGCTGAAGTATGTTTGATGAATTGATAAAAAGATGTAGCTGAAGATTCCAGGATTTTAGCTAAAAAGGGAAGTTTGGAAATTGGACGGTAGTTATTGAGGTCAGAGGTGTCACCATTTTTATGTAGAGGAGTTACAGATATAATGGGGACTGCAATATGATTGCTACGCTAAAAAGAATAAGTTGTCAGATGATGGAACACTTTTATTCAAAAGAGAATAAATATGGTTATGACTGTTTCTGGTCCCTGTCAAAAATGCACAACAGTCAACATTTGCCTCTCTCCTAACAGAACAGAACCTCATTGATTTCCACAGGGAAATTCAATGATTTAACGATGTCTCCACTTTTTTTCACTTTTCTGTATTGTAATAAATGAATACATAAATGGATAAATACACACAAAATGTAAATAAATAAGGTGAATCATTCTATCCGTGGAATTACAGTCATAGCAGATCATCTCACCTAACACTTGGCGGCACTACTGAGACAGCAACAGAAGTCGACCAATCATGAGCGTTGTATGATTGACGTCAAACCTACTAGCCAATGGTATTGGAGCTGAGTGGATGCGGTTTCTCCTGCCTCAGTTTGAATTTTTCAACGGGAACAAACTCAACAGAGCGAGATAAAGAGACGCGTCGCGCCCAAAGTAAGAGCTGCTATATTCATTTGGTCATGGTTTTAATTTGATCTACATTTACAGCAAAGGTTAGCACTAATGCCATTTATTTTGATTTTTTCTCCCTTCCGGCCGTTAATGTTCGTTAGTTTCGGTTGAACGTTTAGATTAAGTTGTTAAAACCATGTTAAATGCAGCTAGTCAGATTATATCAGATATCTGTTGAATTCAGGTGCTTTGGAAGCGAAAATTTGTTTTGCTGATCATAACCTTCGTGGAAAAATATATAAATATATATGTTTCTGGTGTGTGTTTACTGGGGGTAGTTTCCAAAGGGAAATAGGACATTTGTATGAGTTTATGCTCGTTTGGCTACATCATAGCTTAACTAGCCTGTACTTGCTAACACCACTCTGCTAGTTGTTGTACGACATCGTAAAGCTGACTTGTTTAAGCCTGAATACTCAATTAATGTCATTCCAAGTTTGTAAACACTGGTGTTATTATCGTTATCTTGTGAACTATACTCTTCGAGGTTGTGCTATATGCACACACCTGCCACAACTCTATCCAATGCAACCCAATACTGCAGCTCTCTGATCAATTCAACTTTAAAGAAACTTCAGCATTTTCAGCTTTTGTTGACATGTTCAGGCAGGTGAGAAGTGTATCAGTTAATTGTTGGAGTTGTTGTGGGCGTTAGTGGTGTACTGGTGTGTGTTACATTAAACATCGTTTGCAATATTTTGCTCTCCTCGTGTTTGGAGGTGGTCAAAATATAAGGAACAATTGTAGTTTTACATCCTCCAGTGCACCACCCCTCACTATAGCTTCAATAATAAACATATATCACAGTTATCACCTGCCTTATCATGTACCTAATATTATGGAGGGTGAGAAGGGGACAGTGGGGTAAGTTGAGCCACCCCGTGTTGCTTGGAAATGGTAAAAGAAATTGATCATGTGACCAAATATTTAGGAGATGGGCATCAAGTCATGGAGTCTGTGAGGGTTAGAAGCACATGGGTGAAGGGATCAGAGATTTATTTACAATCTATGAATCAAACTATGAGCTACAACTTGAGGTCAAAAACCTAGCATAAAGTCCACCATTTTAGCTTAGAGGACTAATAAAGTCATAATAGTAGTTCTGGGGTAAGTTGAGCCAGTGTTTTAACTGAGAAAGTAAAGAAGTCTGATGAGAGGATCAGAGTTTCAGTTCAGATTGTCGAAATGTGTTACTTTTTCTTTTCAAAAATACAGCTGTGAATGTTCTGAATCACTTAAAGACATTCTCATGTTAAAATGGCTTTTTACTAAACAGCTTTTTAGCAGTTATATGCAATAATAATCAAAATAATTATTGTACCAGTTGAATAGTGTATAACAGATAAAAATACACATGAATGTGAATAAGTGACTGTTATTTAGGGAGAGAGAAGGTGAGGGAGGGCTGGGGTGGGGAGTGGGGGGGTAGTAGGGATACGGCCCAACTTACCCCATACATGAGGTAAGTTGACCACAGGAGACCACTTTTTTCTGACATGCTATATTATCAAGACAGTTATGTTTACACTAATTCTTTTGGTTTGCAGGGGTGAACAACATCTTGAAATATATGCAGATACACTAGTTAGAGACAAAACCATGATTGCCTTGATGAAGTGATCCGAAATATGAAAAATGGCTCATCGTACCCCATTTTCCCCTATAGTATGAAACATTTAAGTTACTTAGAAGTTTATTTGAGCTTGATTCAGCACTAACTTCTCTCCTCTCACCTTCCTTTTTTTTCCCTCACTAACTATTAACATCTCTCATAGATTATTTGGGGGTGATTGTCAAATGAAGTCCTATGTCTGTTCAGTCAGGTTTAGTCAACCATGAGCTGGGCGGTGGAAGAGTGGAAGGATGGACTTCCAGGGAAAGCCCTGCAGAAGATCCAGGAGATGGAGGTCCAGCTGGACAAACTGAAGAAGGAAAGGACCCAGAAACAGTTTCAGCTGGATTCTTTAGAGGCCGCCCTGCAGAAACAGAAACAAAAGGTCAGTGTCCAGGTGGATAAATATTTCACGATGCAGTGAGTGAGGTTCAAGAAAACGGTCTAACATCGCTGAGGTGAAAGACTGATATAGGTGTAATAGTATAAATGTATCTATTAATCTTTCATGTCCATCTTTCTTCAGGCCGACAATGAGCGCTCTGAAACCTCTGCTTTGAAAAGAGAGAACCAGTCTTTAGTAGAGTCATGTGACTCTCTAGAAAAAGCTCGTCAAAAGGCATGTCATGACCTCGGAGTCAAAGAGCAGCAGGTTAGTTTCTTCTTCTTCTTCATCAGTGTGTCACATATTATAGCTCTTTTTTTTACAAAAAACAACATCAACTGGTTTTCAATCAAGTAATCTTAAATCAAGAAATAAAAGATGTCAATATTCTACCACACAGAGCTTATTTAACTGAATCTACTCTTGACTGAATCATTTCTTAAATGTAGGTGAACTTCCTAGAAGGTCAGCTAAACTCCTGCAGGAAGACTATAGAGCAACTGGAGCAGGAGCTCAAGAAGTGAGTTCACTGTCTGTTGATTTATATTTTGTTGGCAACTTTTGTTGTAAATTGATTTTCTTGCAGAATCAACTTACCTCCATATTTTTGCAGAGGTCCAATTAATTAAAAAGATTGATTTTTAATTTTGTCTTTGCTGGTTTTCTCTTGGTTTAGGTACAAAAATGAACTTGATCGTTCTCAGCCTGCTGGCCCCTCCTCCTTGTCGTCTTCTTCCGCGGAGCTTCAACCTTACACTACTCCACAGAAAAGTTTTGCCACCCCAGCTCCAGTCCCGGCTTACAGACAGCAGGGTATTTCAGCTTTTTTAAGTCTCTGTGACTCAGTTCATGTCAGTAGATTTGATCCCTTGTTTTGTTTTGTCACCTCTGTTTTTTGGGGTTATGCTATCTTAGGCGTTTGTTTCACCGTTGCTCCTCATCTACTTTCAAATTCTAAGAGAGCTATCAGTATGTATCTGACTGACTCTGGGCAGCTTATAGGATCACTCTAACATTATATTTATGTGACTCAGACAATAGACTAGAGGAGCTTCGGGAGAAATACAGTCATGAGGTGGAAGAAAGAAAAAGACTGGAGACTGAGCTCAAAGTCCTACAGGTCAAGGTGAGTGGATTTCACATGTTTATTCTGCAGTGTTGTTGTTTTCTGGTTGCTCATATTAACTTTCCTTCTCTTTCAGATGTTAAATCAGTCCTCGGCAAGTGTTAGCCACAAGGATATTGCTGCCCGCCAAGCAGGATCTTCCATATTCCCATGGCAACAGCAGGAACAGGCCCACTGCCGCCTGTCCCAGGATGCAACAGAAACTCCTTTGAAAAGGAGGGGGACTTCCCTGTGGGATGCCCATGAGGAGACACCCATTAAATCCAGCCAGAGGATGAGCTGTTCCATCACAATGCAGAGTCCTGGTGGATCCTCCCAACAGATGGAGCAGCTGAGGACCCTCAACCAAGGTGAACTGTTTGTCATATGTATACAGTAATGGAGGGCGACTTATTTTGCATAATGGATACCTCCGATACATGTCATGGCTCTCTTTGTGTTACGTATCGATCATGGGCGGTAGCAGGGCTTTAGTTTCTTATACTGTGTCTTCCTTAGAGCTGCGTAACCGTGTGACAGAGTTGGAGAGGAATCTGTCCACTCAGGACAAGGAAATTCGTAGCCAGGCCTCCAAGTTACAGGACCTCCAAACCCAGGTGAACCAGGCCCGTAAGGAGCTGAGTGAGCGGGACAGAGACCTGGCCAAGACCAGTCATGAGCTGAGCCAGGCCACAGACAAACACCAACAGGCTGTTTCTAAGGTGGGCTCTCAGGGGTGGTAAACTGAGACTTTGTTTGTCTTTTTTTTCTGCTTGATATATATATTATTTTTTGTGCCCATGAATTTTTTTCTCAAATAAAGAAAAAAATCTAATGACTGACAAAAGTTCTTCATGTTCTCAGTGTTCATCGATCGAGCAGAAGCTGAAACAAGTCACAGAGGAGATGAACTGTCAGAGACACAACGCTGAGAGCTGCAAACGAGCCTTGGAGCAGAAACTCAAAGACCAGGAGAGAGACAGTCAAAAGGTTCCAGGAGCTGTTTCTTTAACTTTATACATATGTGCATGTATCAGTTTATACACTCTGTCTGTCAAACTTATGAACAAAATGCAGTTTTTTCTCATTTTAATCAAGAAGTCTCTGTACCCTGTGTAGGAGCTGGCTCAGCTGCAGAGTTCTCACCAGGCTTTAGACCAGCAGCTAAATCAGACCAGAACCAAGCTGACACAGGAGCTCCAGCAGGCTAAAAAAGAACATAATGTGCTGCAGGCAGACATGGAGAAGGTAACTGTCTATTTTCTGCTTTTACTCAGTGTACCTGAAGTTCTTTGCTCATGTCAATTTGATTCAATTTGCGAAGTGCTGCTATGTTATTTACTGTCCTTAAACTGCTGTTGAACACATTAACACATGATCAGATGACTAATATCTGAAGATTATCTAGTTCAGATCAGATAAATCTTTAAAAGTTGTGCACTTTTTGATGCCATAGTCTTGTTTTCTTGTGCAGTACTACATAAGAAACTTTCCCAACAATTTGCCAACAAAAGTACAAGCCCTGACTGTTGTCATGCAGATCTGATAAATGAAGCTGTACACCACCTCTGTGTAAACAGTTTAAGAGCACCTGTACGTGGAATTTGATCTAAAGCTCTAAATCTTTCTGTCTTTGTACATACCTCTCTCCTCTCCTCTCCTCTCCTTAACTTCTCTCTCCTCCTGCTCTCCCATAGATGAGCTCTCAGAAGAGTCAGATGGAGAGGACAGCGGAGGAGCAGAAACAGAAACTACTGAGATCAGAGCAGAGTCTTCAGGCTACCCAGACCAAAGAGCAGGACCTCCGCAAAAAGATGGAGGTGAGTTGATTCTAACAGTTTACAATATTTATTGCCATCAAAATATCTCGATTTTATTCTTTTTTTTTTGTTTGTTTGTTTTTTTGTTTTTTTTTTGAAGGCATGTCCTTTTTCATTTTTTTTTACGCAGCTGCACTTTATTTCTCTACATGGTCCATTTGTCTTTAAGAAATAGTCTTCGTTGTCACTCATGTCCATATCCTCTTCCCTCTAGGAGCTGCAGAAAGAGAAGAACAGTTTGACTGTCCAGTTAGACCAGAGCAGCAGGCGTCTGAGTCAGCTGGAGGACGAGAAGAAGAGCACAGACCAGAGCCTCAAACGCACTCAGGGGTTACTGGATGACTTAAAAGGTAACATTTCAATTTAGAAGTTGGATTGGTGAGAGAATTAAGTGAGGTTATTGAATTTTTTACGAGTTAATCTCTTTGCTTCTCAGCAAAATCAGAAGGGCAGGCAGAGGAGGTGAAGAAACTGCAGATTAAACTGGAGCAGCAGAGTCAGACTTCAGCCAGAGAGCTGGAAAACCTGAAGAAGACACTTTCTGACGCAGAGGCCAAAAATGACAGGTAAATAAGGCTTCATTTAAATTCACTCTGTCCTTTATATGTGATATATTTTGACTATCATTAATAATCATCCGTGTCACTGTAGATCTCAGAATGAAGTGCAGAAACAGAAGGAGGAGGCAGAGAGGCTCACCAACAGATTGACTGTCCTCGAGAAGGAAACTCAAGAGCTGAAATCTAATCTTGCTGCGAGTCAAGATGAGCGTCAGAACCTGAAACAAGAACATCAAGCTCTGCTGGAGTGGAAGAGAGAAAAAGAGACACTGATTAATGAAACTGAGGCTGTACAGAAAGACCTCACTGACAAAATTGGAAACTTGGAGAACAGCCTGACCTCACTGAACGAGGCTAACGAGGAACTGAAGGTAACATTGAAAATTTGTTGTTTTTTTAAGATATGCAGCACAATTCATCCAAATTGATAGATCTAAGCACTGATCTGATACTCTGGTATTTTAAAGCTACTGTGGGGCGTTTTCTGCCTCTTTATAAAATCTGAAAGATAATGAGAAAATCAGGGAGATATTTCTATGTGGTGACTTATAATGACTGAGATGGCTGCAAGGGTAGGTATCAAATAAGGTGATAAACAGAACAGTATAAAAATATATATTTTTTTTACAGTTTCCACAGCAGAGATCTTTAGTTAGTGATATGTTTGACAGCAGGAGTAGTCCTTAATTAGAAAAGACTGCTTTCACATGTACAGGACAAAATCCTCAGAAATATGAGGGATTGTTTCGACTAATGAGGGCGCCAAAACCAGCCCAAACTGGGGGATCCTATCAAGAATGAGACACATGCTAAAAGAACTTGTTTGTTTGGCTCTATATCTTTGTTTACAGGGTAACTTAAGTGGAATTAAATAGTTTTCAATGACAAAAGAGGCAAAGTTAAAGCCTCTGCAGCCTTATCTGACATCTTAATCAAACAATCTCCCTTTATTTAGGAGAGATTAAGTGGGATGCCCAAATTAATCAAGTCTTGTTTACATTTTAGATACTAACTTTTCTCCCTGTCATTTTTTAGTCCTAAAGTATTTTTTTTTTGTTGACGATTGCAGAAGCAGCTTGTGAGTATAGAAGGAGACAAAGCCCGTCTGTCGGCTCACATCGACTCTTTGAAGGGAGAACTCCTCAACAAGAGCACAGAGCTGGAGGAGAAGGAGCATCAGTACCAGGAGCTCCAGGGTAAATTCTCTGAAGCTGGACAGAAACACACCAAAGACCTGGAGAACGTTGCCACACAGGTGGCTCAGCTGGAAGCCCAGGTGAGTGATTTTGTGTATTTACTTTATATGTCTGGCTGAGCCGTTAGCCATGAACCAATATCCAGTTATTTAATGTATTGGCTGTGTGCTGCACCTTTCTTGTCTGAACAGGTCAAAGATCTGGAGTTACGTTTGCAGAAGGAGAGGACTCGAGCCGAGCAGGCAGAACGAACCAATACAGAGCTGCAGGATGAGCACCAGGCAGCCTGTGACCTGGCCCGCTCCAAAGACCAGCTACTCGAGCTGGGCCAGGCAGAAATCAACCAGCTGAGAGAGAGCCTGGCTCAAAGTACTGAACAGCAGGAGGAGAAAAATGCAAGGTGAAGCTTTACCTGTTTTATTAAGCTTGTAAAAACAATTTCCAAAGGTATGACAGCCCTGCAACTGAGTCTACCTTTTCATTAGATGTTGATTCCAGCCTGCTTCTCCCTGCTGTATGAGATTTGGAGGTTTAAGGGGTTCATGGATACACACACAACAAAGAAATCCTCCTCTTTTGATGTTATAATATCTCTCAGGTTGGCAGAAGAGAAAGCAGCTTTACTGAAGCAGTGCGAGGAAAGTGTTTCAGCCAAGACGGAGGAGTCCGAGCAGCTGAAGCTGAAGTTGGAGGAGGTTCAGCAAGAGCTACAGCTCACCAAAAATCAGGTCTGTTTGTTCTTTAGATAATTCGATGTTTAGTATGTTTCAAAATTCATCATTTCCTTTGGAAGTGATTCAACTATGTCCATACTTTACGTTGTATTAAGTGCTGCCTGAAACGAGTTTTCCTGCTTTCATGCATTGAACACATAACCTCCTTTTATGAAGATATCATGTTTTATGATTGTGTTGATAGCTAGCTATAAATTCCAGTGGCTAATGAAGTGTATTCCAGTGACATTTGATGATAATCGGCATATGTCTGAGCCAATTAAAGCCGTAGCTGAGACTTTGCTGTCCATGTTCCAGGTCAGTTCGATGGATCAGTTCCTGAAGGTCCAGGAGCAGCTTTTGGCTGAGCTGCAGAAAAAGATCCAGACACTGACAGAAAATGTTGAGGAACACAAGAAGATGAATGAGAACAAATCTGAAGAGCTTCTACAGTTAGAGGAGGAGCTGAAAGATCTGCAGAGCCAATCAGAGGAGACGCAGCAGCAGCTTAAAGAGGCTGACGCTCAGATTTTGTCTTTTGAGAAACTGAAGGCTGAGCTGGAAAACTCACTGCAGGAGACCAAGAGAGAGGCTGAGGTATACTACTGCACATGTTACCATATTTTCTCACATTTACCATTCACTGCACTTCTTAAAAATCTCAACTTCAATTTATTACTTTTAAGAACATCCAGCTGAGTCAGACTGAGAGGATCGACAACCTGCTGGAGCAGATATCATCGCTTGAAGAAGAAGTATCTGTAAGCAAAGCTGCAGCTGAGAAGCTCCCAGTCTTAGAGAATGACCTGAACGTGATCCACAAGTTCTTCGCTGACCTGAAGAAACAGTACGAGTCTCTTGAAAGGGATCACTTCTCTATCGTTGAAGTCAAATCCAACTTGGAGAATACCCTGACAGAGAAAAACAACCTCATCTCAAGTTTGGAGACAGAGGTCACAGAGCTCACAGAGAAGACGAAGAAAGAGTCTGAGAATCACGCTTTGGAGATCGCAAACGCTCTAAACAAAGAGAAATGCCTGAAAGAGAAACTGGAAGCAACTAAAAAATCTGTTGCTGCAGCCAAAACTGAGTCCAGTTCTCGTCGGGAGGAGATCAGGACCATGAAGGCGACTCTGTCTGCAGCTTCGACGGGTTTAGAAGAGAGGGATAACACGATCAAGAGTCTGAAAGAGAAGCTGAACAAAGCCGAGGCTGAGCAGAGCAAAACCTCTGAGCAGCTGAAGGAGAAGGTGGTCGCCATGAACAAAATCAAGGTTGGTTTCTCTTGAGTGCTTTCTTCGGTTTTGGGCTTTACTCGCCAACACTCTTTGGACACTGTTCTGAACTGACAGACTGACATTTAAAAAATGATCCATGTTTGTTTTTCACGTTAAGGTTCAGTTGGAGATGCTGCAAATGGACCTGGAGGACAATGAGACGGTCATGAACTCTTTTGACACTCAAGTAGAAGAGCTGAAGGGGACCATACAGTCACTGGAGGCTCAGCTGACTCAAAACCAGATCCAGATGTCTGACATGGAGGCTAAGCTAGAAGAAAGCAAAGCACAGGTAGACAATGGTGTTCATAAAATATCATCCATGTTATTGTGAAGATTCTTGTCCATCATTCTCCACCCATAAAGCCACGCTTTTTAAATTTATCTAATAAGTATTATCTCTATTTTTCAAGGTGTCTGTCTTGGAAATCCGGTTAGATGAGGTCCAGTCTCAAAACTCAGTGCTGGAGAGTCAGTACGTCACAGCGAGGGAGGAGCTAATGGAGAGAAGCTGTGAAATAACTCGTCTGGAGGAGGATGCTGTCAGGAAGAGCCAGCTGGAGGAGAGCATCGCAACCCTAGAGTCTAAACTTTGCCAGGCTGATGAAGAACGTGCAAAATTAGAGACAGCTCTCAGGCAGATCATTGAGGACAAAGACAACAATCTTAGCCAGTTACTACAAGAGAAAAACACGCTTGAGTTCAGTGTGAAAGAGTTAACAGAAGACAGAGAGAGAGTAGAAATGGAGGCTGTTCAAGTTAATGCAGAGAAGAAACAGCTACAGGCCAGTCTAGAGGAGCTGACTGAGCAGAACAAACAGCTTCAGAGCCACATTAAGGAGTCCGCTGAAGAGATACTCAAAGCAGAGGAGAAGCTCAGTGAGGAAAAAGCTCAGCTACACACGACCATTAACTCAATAAATGAGGAAAAAATCCAACTTGAGGCAAAGCTGAGAGAAATAACAGCTGAGAGAAATAACATGAAGGGTGTCGCTGATGAAAAGCTTGAGCTGGAAGTCAGCTTCAATCAGCTGACTGGGGAGAACCAACATCTACAATCCAGTCTGAATCAAGTTGTTGGAGAGAAGCTGCAGTTACAAGAAAGCCTGGAGAGGTTTGGAGATGAGGTGGCGTCTCTCAGAGAGGAGAATGAACGCATCCAGCGCTCCCTCCTGTCCTCAGAGCAGGAGCAGCGGAGACTGGAAGAGCAGCTGGAGATGAGAGACAAGAGGACTGAGGAGGAGGACAGGGAGAGGTAATGTTCATCTTTGTCGGCCTCAGTTTGAGTCCTTTTTCTATGTTTGATTTGTGTGTTCATACTGACTGAAAAGATAATGACATGACTTGCAATTTGTATTACAGGGAGCAACAGTTTGAGGCTGAGCAGGCAGCACTGCATCAGAAGTTGGGGGCCTTGCAGAAAGCCCTGCTGGACTTTAAGCAGAAGTACGACTCACTGCTGGAGCAAGTAGACCAACAACACAGCCTGATACTGCTGGCATCAGAACTGCAGGGGACTCAGAACCAGGGGGAGAAACCCATCCACGTGGAGTCTGAGGAGACGGAAACTGGAGGCGAGTGTTAAAAACAAAATCTAGACTCAGCGTTTCCATGTGACAACGCTGCTGCTTGAGATAAAATATTGAACCCTCTTCACTTTTTTTCAGGAGAAGCAGCAGCGAACATTGATCAAGAGCTGCCCAGTACACATGTCAGTACCACAACTGAGACCCCTGTGCTGTTGGAAGTGACTGAACTTTCAAACCAGTCAGAGGAGGCTTTAAGGTACAAACACACAGACAAGTGTGAAGCTTTTTGTGTCTTTGTGTGTTTGGTTACATGCTCAATAAATCCTTATCATCCTTAGCCCTTGTAGGGAGGCAGAGCTGGTCTTCATGGAGGACATCGTTGACAAAGAGTCAACAGAGGAACATCTGGATGAGGACATGACGCCATGTGTGGCCAATGAACAGGAAATGAGGGATGAAAAAGAGCAGCATCAACAGGAACCTTCAGAGCAGGTAGAAATCAGATCTGTGCAGATGTAACTTTTAATTGGAAAATACTTGAGCAATTTTTGATACTTTTTATTCCAGGAATGTGCAAGTTGTGGCTGATATTTCTGAATATGCAGGGTTCCTACGCAAGTATGGAAAGTATGGAAGTAGTTTTATCAATTTCCAGGTCTTAAAAAGTATGGTAAATGAAAAATAAAGTATAGGGAAATATTTAGGTTTTCAGACAGTTACCAAAGTAAAAAAAATACTGTTTTCTAAAATATAAAAGTAGGTATTTCCTAAAATAATTCTAAAAAGGAGGGTCTGGAAAAGTATGGAAATTCCAACTGTGTAGGAACCCTGAATATGCATCATTCAATGATTTCAGATGTTTTGTGATAAGTTTGTTTTAGAGGTTAAAGTTAATTGTAAGCATGTATCTAATATTATTATTCTTTTCTTTTCCAGGTTCCTGAAGACAGCAGCAGTCACAGGGTTGCCGCTGAAAATAACCTTGAGGTCTGTGAGCTTTCTCAGCCTTCTACAGTCAGTGAAATTGAGAAGTTAGAATCCTCAGGTGAGTAATCAAAGGGGTTTTTATGGCCTCCTTTTTACCTTCAACTAAGCTGCAAGTTTAAGCCTGTAATGTCTGCATATTTTGCAAAAATATTTAGTGCTTTATTTAGTATAATGATTGAAGGATTTTATTCATCAGACTAAAATTTCAAGATGTGAGAAATGAAGCAGCAGGCTTCTGCCTCAGCCAAAATAAACAAAACATCCCATCACAGACCTCCTTGGACTTAAAATGTGACTCTGATCCTGGCTTTGAACTGTTTCTTGAAATCCTATCAGCAATGTCTCTCTAACCTTGTTTTCAATCAACAGAGCCATCACTGGAGCAAGATGACTCCAACCACTTCAAGGATGAACTCACGAAACGAGAAGATGAACTCGAGTCTTTGCGCTCAGAATTTGACCAACTAAAATCTGACCTCGCTCTGAGGGTGGAGTTCAACTCAGAGCTGAAAGTCCAAGTTCAGAACTTAGAAAAGAAAGTTCATGCAGCAGAGGAGGAGGCACAGAGTGCAGCACAGAAGCTGAAAACCGCTCTGGAGGAGAAGAAAGGCATCTCTGACCAGGTAGAGAAAAGACACAGCATGATGATCGAGGCTCCTCCAGTCGTGAATGCTGCATCATGCTGCTACTTAACCTGGACTGTTTGCTTGTTCTCAGTTGGCCCGGCTGTCAGAAGAGAGGGAGACGCTTACTCTGCAGCTGCAAACTGCTAAATGTCAGCTGACAGATGTGATGGAGATGTTGGAAGGACTGGAGATGGCCAAAGGTAAATATCTGAATGCATAAGAGATTAACAGGAGCACAGTATATTTAGTGGAAGTTCACATGCTTTCAGGTTGGTTCTGTTGTCCAACGACACTGATTGGATATTTCCTTTGTTTCTGAAGGTGGCTGGGATGAAAAGTTCCTCCAGCAGGAGAGTGAACTGAAGAGGGTCCGCTCTGAGAAAGCTAACTTAGAGCAGCACATCCTAGGCATGGAGAGTGAACTGGAGACCCTGCAGGAGGACAGGACTAAACTGAAGGATGAGATTGAGACCCAGAAGAGGACATGTTCAGGCATGGAGCAGCAGGTGGAGACACTTATGACTGAGGTGAGCAGTGAGATGGTTTTAAGCTTGTATTAGATTGATCATCTGAAATAAAGTGCTTCTTTTCTGTGCTTCCCAATTAGTGCACTTGCTCAACAGTCCGTGTTGTGTAACAGCTGTACATGTCACTGTTTCTCCAGACGACCCAGCTGAGGTCTGAACTGGTGTCCTGCACTGAGGAGCGAGATGACCTGAACCAATCTTTGGGCCAGTGGAAAGAAAAAGCCCACGGTCTGGAGAGGACCAACTGTGACACCAGAAACCTGATTTCTATCCTGGAGGATGACATCAGAGCCGGAGGGAAGGAGTATGAAGCTCTGAAGAGCAGCATGGAGAAACTAAACACAGAGAGGCAACAGGTGTGTGGATAAAACTGAGAGGACAGGTCTAATGGGTTTTAAAAGAGCTTTCAGAGCTAGCAAGAAATGTGCACAGTTTTGCTCTTAAAGGGATATTCAGGCATAAAATTAATTTAGGGTCAAACACACTGTAACACCGAGTTAGACACCCTGTCAAGAGATGAATGTTGTCAGCTGCTTGTTTCTCTAGTTATACCAACTTTAATAACGACCGCACGATAGCAATACACAGCGGTCTACGGCTCCACACACAAACCTCAATCAAAACACCGCTCTATAGCCACAAATAATGCTCAGAACAGCACCTAACTTCAACAACAGTACATATAGGGTCCTAGCCATAGTACTAGCCACTAGGGCTGAAACGATTACTCGAGTAACTCGAGTAACTCGATTAATAAAATTCCTCGAGGCAAATTATATGCCTCGAGGAATCGTTTAAATCCGGAACCATGTGCAGCGCACGGTGTTTGACACGGACGGTTATTTCTGTTGCGCAGCAGCGTGCTCTTTCCGCTCCTTCCGCTGACGCGCATGTGGTTAAATCATGGAGGGAAACGAGGACAGACAGAGAGAGGAAGACAGAGGTGGCACGCAGAAGAAAAGGCAGAAAATGTCTAAAGTGTGGGACCATTACACATTGAGAAGAAAAGAAAACGCCGTGCAGTGCGTTCACTGCAAGGCGGAGTTGGCTTTTCACAATAGCACTTCGTCAATGCTGCAGCACCTCAAGAGAAAACACCCGGCGGTCCATGCATTAAGTCCGCAGAGCGGACTGGCCACAACAAGGTAATGTTCACGATACTAAGCAGTTGCAGTTAAAACAAATCAATGTGATCAATAATCAAGATTAAGTCCAGTACATAATGTAATTTAATTTATGGCGCTGTCTAAAGGCTGCTTCACAGTGTAAATAAAAATGTAACACTTTTATATATTGAATAAATATACATTTGCTTGTCAAATTATGTTAGTATCCAAGAATTATATTATTTCAGCCTATTAATTAAACAAGTAAAATTAGATCCAAAGCCTGGAAATAAACATTATGACAGCAGTAAAGGCATAAATACAGTAAAGAGAGATAACTATGAATACAAATACTACTACTTCTACTACTACTATTAATAATAATAATAATAATAATAATAATAATAATATAAAAATAACCAAAACTAAAGGCTTGCTAAAAAAAAAACTAGATATGACTCTGATAAAAAGAGAACTGCAAGAACAATATAAACAGAACTAACTAAAAGTTAAAAAAATATTTCCACCATCAAATAAATGTGCATGGGCTAGTTGAATTGTCTTAGTATATAAAAGTGTATATATATTTTTTAGAAATTAAACAAGATGAATTAGATCTGCAGTATGGAAATTAGCGTTTTCTTAGCAGCAAAGGCTGTGAATAGACATAAGAATGAACTCAATTAATATGAATACAATTAATACAAAAATAACCAAACTAAAAAAAACTTACTAAAAAGCAAGATATGGCCCAGAGAAAACAAAGAGAACTTAAGAAACAATATAAATAGAACAAACTTATAAAGTTCAAAACTATTTACACTATTGGATTAATGTGCATTAACTAGCTGACTTATTGTAGTATCTGAGTATGATATTATTTTTTTTAGTAATTTCGCAAGATAAGTAAAAGCCAAATAAAATAACCAAACTCAAAACTTTACTAAAAAAACAAGATAATGATCCAGAGAAAAAATAGAACTTCATAAACAATATAAACAGAACAAACTAAAAAAAAGTTATAAAATGTTTACACCATTAGACATATGTTAATATCAATATCAATTGGACTCTTTTTCAGTTCTTCAAAGAGCCAAACTCTGGACAGCTTTGTGCGGCGACCTCCACCGTGTTCAACCGAGCAAGCAGCTGAGTTCACCGACAGTATTCTAAATATGATTGTCTCAGACATGCGCCCGCTTTCCATGGTGGAGGATGAGGGATTTCAGAAGATGATTTCTACTTTCAATCCCAAGTACACACTTCCCTCAAGAACCTACTTTACAAAATTGATGGAGAAGAAGTATGAAGAAATCAAAGCCAAGTTGACGAACATTCTTAAAAAGTGTGACAGCATTGCTCTCACAGCTGACATTTGGACCAGTGTTGCTACAGAGGCTTATCTAGGGGTGACGGGTCACTTTCTTGGAGAGGATTGGGAAGTGAAGTCCCATAGCCTGACAACAATGCATCTGGAAGAGAGACACACAGCTGCAAATATTGCAGAGTGGCTTGAGGACGTCATTGCCAAATTTGACATTCCACCGAAGAAGATCAAAGCTGTTGTCCATGACAACGGTGCCAACATTGTCGCAGCGGTTAAGATTTTGACCGAAAAGCATGGATGGGCATCAGTGCGATGTGCAGGTCACACTATAAACTTGGTGGTGCAAAGTGCTCTGAAAAACAATCCAGCAATCTCCAAGTGCGTAGCTGCAGCAAGATCGCTTGTTGAACATTTTAAGAAGAGCGAACTGGCATGCACTAAGCTGAAGAACAAGCAGCAGCAAATGGGCACACCAGAGCACATGCTGGTTCAAGATGTAAGTACTCGCTGGAACAGTACTTTTTACATGCTGTCTAGGCTGCTGGAGCAGAGATGGCCAGTGACTGCTGCTTTGTCCGATCCTGCAGTGACACCAAGAGGTAAACACTACCTTGATCTCAAGCCTGAACAGTGGAACATGATTGAGGAGCTGAGCCAGGCTCTCAAGCCATTTGAAACAGCTTCAGTGTTTCTCAGTGGGCAAGAGTATGTAACCCTCTCTGCACTTCCACAGCTAGTGCTAAGCCTGAAGAAGTCGATTCAAAGTTTAGCTTTTGAGACGTCAGTAGTCCAGTCTTACCAGACCCATGCAACAGAACAGATCACAGAAAGATGGCAGGGGCTGTCTGTGTTTCAGCCTGAATCTCCAAACACTGTCCTCCTCGCTGCTGCCCTGGATCCAAGGTTTAGGAGACTTAAGTTCCTAGCCTCCGACGAAATATTCAAAGTTCAAAGCACAGTACAAAACATGGCAACTGCTATCAGCAGAGAAGCAGGACAGACAAATGCAAGTGAAAATGATGCCCTCAACACAGCACAGGACAACCTGGAAACATATCCCAAAGGTGGTGCATCATTCATTGAACACTTACTGGGATCATCAGACTCCAGCACCAGTGATGAGGAAGAGGAGGAGCAGAAGTTAACCCAAAATGTGCAGAAGGAAGTCTTGATGTACTTTGGAGAACATCCCCTTTCCAGGAAAGAGAATCCGCTGTTGTGGTGGAAAAGAAATGAAGTACGCTATCCACTTCTGTCAAAGCTGGCAAAGACCTTTCTGTGTATCCCGGCAACATCTACACCATCAGAGCGTCTGTTTTCAGCAGCAGGAAACATTGCATCAAAGCGCAGGGCAAGCCTCAGTTCTGAGCATGTTGACATGCTTACTTTTCTTCATTTCAACCACAGACTTCTTTAAAAACTTGGGAAAACACATGCAATCTTATTCATTTGCTTAATGACCAAGGAGCCTTCTAGGAGGGCAGTAAGGACTTATGTTACGCCCGAGACTTGCACAGCTTAAAGCAGTTCTTGTTCCTGTGCCTTTGTTTTAGGTTGCATTTATACCTTTATTGAAAAAGGTCATTTAAAATGTTTTTTTGCAAGTCAAAGTTTTCTCCTTTTAAAACCAATAAGTGTGTAACACTTGAATGCACTAAATGTGTTTTGTTATATAGACAACATGCCTTTGAATTTCAAAGTTGTTATTCTTCTGTAAAAGCTAGAATGTAAAATGCCAGTGGCACTTACTGCACTTTTATTTTATTTGAGATTTATTTTATGTTTAATAAGGGTGTGAAATACTATCTATTTGCTATCAATATAGGGTGATATCAGCCTAAAAGGTTGAGCATCTGTTTTTGGCCTATATTTAAACTTTTGCAGATATATATTTTTCAGATATATACAGCAGATTTATCTGCTATATATCAGTTGGAATATGGGCAAATTACACAAATGTTCAATATTGATGCACCTTCTCATCACTGCATGGGTACATTTAAAAACAGCGTTTCATTTTTCAACCGTTAAATGCTGTTTTTCTTGTTTTTACATCTGTTCCTGACAAAAATATACTGTAACACAATTTTTCAATGATGCCAATTCAGTTAGGACTAAGCTAGGCTTGTATCCTGTTTTTTTTGAGTGTTACAGATGGATCATTTTATTTGTTGTGACTATGCAGTAAAAATATTCATTTGAAAGACCTGGCCTATTTCAGTTTTGTGTGTTACTGATGGTTTTTAATGAGGCAAACGTGATTCAATGCAAAGTATTACAGTGAGAGCAAAACATTTCTTATCCGATTACTCGATTAATCGACAGATTAATCGATAGAGTACTCGATTACTAAAATAATCGATAGCTGCAGCCCTACTAGCCACCAAACATCTTTTTAACTTTGCCTGATTTCTTTAGCAAAGAGACTAAACACAACTCACCTACTCTCTTCCAGCAGCCACTTGTTTGTAGCGAGACCTCGGACGAGTCCAAACTGACTACAGCGGGGTGACGCAGCTCAAAGAAAAACATTCATGATAATTTCTTTATCTTTTCCTTCAAGTAATTATCACCATATTAAACATTTTGCACTGCAGACACAGTAGTACTTCTGCCTTAGCGTCTCAGTCTGATTGCATTTCCATGAAGAAATGATCATAAATATTCCTCCTTGAGCTGCGTCACCCCGTTGCAGTTGGTGATGGACAAGTTCAAGCTCTCCCTACAAACAAGCGGCTGCTGGAAGAGAGTGGGTAACGTACTGACAAAGGAAAAGAAGCATAACTCTTACCCTCTCTTCCTTCATTAAAGCTGGTAGCGCAGATTAAGACCCTGGAGCAGGCGATTTCTCAGCAGAGTGGAGAAAGAGAGGAGCTAATGGGGCAGATCGACAGAATCAAAGAAGACCACACCTCAGCCAATCAGAACACAGAATCCATGGTGGGAAAGATACAGGTACGAAAGGGTTTCTCAAAAGGGTCTGTTTCTTTGAACACGCATGCTCTAAACTGTGAAAACACCAGACAAACTTTAGTCTTTCAAAAAGCATTCAGCAAACTTTGACTGTAAAAACGGAAAATTCCACCTTTGATTGAAAATGTTACAGACCTTGTGATCCTGTCATAAAGCATTCATGAGGGACATTAAGTTTTTGACTCTCCTCCTCTTTCATTCATCCTCAAGGCTTTAGAGGGAGAAGTGTGTCTCCTTTCACAGTCTCTGGAGTCCTCTCTGCTTGAAAAGGGAGAGATTGCCTCCCGTCTGAACTCCACCCAGGACGAGGTCCGGCAAATGAGGACCGGTATTGAAAAGCTTCAGGTTCGCATTGAGTCGGACGAGAGGAAGAAAAAGAAGATGGGGGAGCTGCTCAAAGGTGACTCTTTGACAGCCTCTAAAATGGCATAACCTCTCCGTGTTTGAGAGTTCTACCTTCTTGATGTTTGATAGTTGATGTGGGCTTAAATGTGACTCTTTCACCTTTTGTAGCCGCACAGAGGAAGTCTGACTCACTGCAGGATCGTATTGATGCCCTGGAGCGAGAGAAGGAAGACGCAGAGCTCAGTCTGGAGGATGCTTTGCTTCAGGTTTAGATGCATGGATATTACTTTTTCACATCAGCGAAACTGTTTTGCAAAGGTCAACATCTCTCACATTGTATTAAAAAAATCTGATGTGCTCTTGCAGGCTGAATCAGCTAAAGCTCAGCTGGAGGAAGAAAGAACAATGGTATGTTCGCCTCTTTGGCCTTTTCGTGCGTGTCTAATCATTTTAACTTAATGGCTTCGTAGAAAACCTTCACTGCTGTTCATCCTAGCGATACATTAACCTGCTTTCTTTTATCCCTCCTCCTCTTATTCGTGGTTTCTTCCTCCTCTTCTTGCTCACAACCTCCTGACTCTCAGGTGGAGGAGCAGAAGAGAGACCTCGCTGGAAAGCTGCTGGAGCTCTCTGCCACGTTGGACAGCCTCAGATCTGAGAAAGAGCGCATGGAGAGAGAGCTTGAAATGAAAAACAAAGAGACAGACGAACTAAAAGCTGCAAAGGAGGAGCTGGAGAGAGGGCTGGAAAAGGCAGCGGTGGACAGAAGAGAAGAGGAGGAAAAACAGAGAAACAAGGTGGAAGAGGTGGAGAAAGGAATGAGGGAGGAAACGGAGAGGAAGACTCAACAGGTGCATGACCTCCTGGCACAACTGGAGGCCTCTCAGCAAAGAGAGATCTCTCTTGAACAGAACAGAGTGGAAACTGAAGGAGAAAAAGAGAGGATCCAGGCTCTTCTGCTGGAGATGGAGAAAGAGAAATCATGTTTGAAGTCTTCCCTGGAGGAGTGGCAGAGGAAAGGAGAGAGGTTGCTTTCTCAGGAAGAGGGGTGGGAGAAAGAGAAGAACAGCCTGAGGAGCTGTTTAGAGGCTCTGGAGGGAGAAATTCAGGAGCTTAAATCAGTCCTAAAGACGAGAGAGGAGGAAAAAGAAGTGTTAGAAAAGGAGAGAGAGAAGGAGGCAGAGCAGAGAGATACTTCTGTGAAAGAACAGATAGAAGAAAGAATCCGTCAGCTAGCGGAGGAAAAAGAGAAACTGCTCTCAACCCTGATCTCAGTGGAACAAGAAAGAGATAACCTGCACTCTGCCGTGGCAGCAGCAGAGGATGAGAAGAAAAGACTGGAGCAAGAGCGGGAGGTCTTAACTGAGGAGAAAGAGAGGCTTCAATCCTGCCTCTCCACAGCAGAAAAGGAGAAACTTGACATGCAACAAACCGTCTCTAGTTTAAAGCAGGAGAAAGAGACAACGGAGGAGGACAAACAGAAACTGGAGGCAGAAAGGGAAGAATTGCAGTCTTCTCTTTCTTTGATTGAAGCAGAGCGACAGCAGCTGTCTTCATCTCTTTCTTCAGCCAAAGAGGAGCAGCAAAGAGCTGAGGAGGAGAAGAGGAAACTCTCAGAAGAACAAGAGCAACTTCAGTCCACAATCAGTTCTTTGGAGAAGGAGCTGGAAACACACAAGCTGTCGGTGTCACAGCTCAGTGAGCAGGTACAAACAAATTTAGTGACTTTCAATCTAATGAAGACTTCAAAAAAGACCCAAGACTTAACTTCCATCATGTCTGTTTGGGAGACAGAGTAGTTTTGCATGATTTTCAGTTAAAAAAACAACAACAACAAAAACTTGTTTATCTAATATAAACAGTAAAAACCTTTATTTCAGCCTCTGTCTGATTAACTTAGTTTTGTTTGCTTTTCCACTGATATAAAATCAGACACAGTTTTTGGATGTTATTTTTTTTAGCTTTGTAGTTACTAAACAACCCCAGAGCCTTTTTAGAAATCATCTGAGACTAGCTGTTAGCTCCTCATTTTAACTATTAGCAGTGTGCTGTTGCTGTTTCCCCAGCTGTTCTAATGTTTCTTGTGGTTATGAGCCTTCATGGCTGTCTTAATAGATGAACAGCCCCAGGTTTCAGTAACAGTTGAGACTAAAATCCAGCTCAGATTGGCCTTTGTCTACCGAGGAGGAGTCATCAGTGAATTAGCGAGCACCAACAGCTCCATCCCAAAACATCAAAATATTCCTGGTGCTTTCGTCTTTAAGAGAAGAAAATATCTTAGAAACTTTGAAGTCTTTAAAGACACTGACATACAAGCAACTTGGATTTGTCCTTTAGCATTGTCCTGATGTGATGTTGTGGCCATGTCTCGAAACCATTCGGTCAGGCAGCTTGAAAAAAACAAATGAGGATTATGCCGCCGTCCGTGTATTTTGTTATGAAACATATGTATTTATAACGGCACAGATCAGTTTAATTTAGCTATATTAGAGTTAATCTGTCACGTACAAACATACTTTAAAAAAAATAAATAATGATTTCAAACTACTCATTCCGTGTGGAAAAATACAGATTTTTAGATCGTTGATCTTTCTTTCCCCTCATGACTTTATCTCGCTCTCTGTCCTCTCCGCAGACATCAGAACTCACATCACGTGTTGCTCGTCTGACTAAAGAGAGAGACTCAGCCCTGAGCAAGATGAACCTTTGGATGAAGACCTGCAAACAGCTGCAGCAGGAGAAGGAAGAGATGATAGGAATCTCAGGTATGAAAAAAACACATCTCTGCAAATGTTACAATGCCGATAAAGTCATTTGAGTTAGTCAGTATTTTAGATAAAAGGGGGAAGCCAACACTGTGAGGGGCCAGAGATCATTTTGTTTTTGTTTTTGTTGGATTTATCTGTGTTGCCTCCGATTATTTGAAAATGCAGCATGTTTTAAAGACTGAGGAGACACACATGTTTACTTTGCCTGTTGTTTGACATTTAAAGGGAAATGTTCTTGTCAACCTTTATCACAAATACTGACATGATCTACATTGTGCTTTAAAAACATTTCATCAAGTATGCAGCAAAATAATTTTGTCAACATTCATTTTTTAGATGACTGTAAGAGCAGTCAAGATGTGCACTCTGAGGTGAACAAGCTGAAGATGGAGGCAGAAGAAAACAAGAAGGAGCTGGAGGAATTCAAGGTCGTCCTCGGAGAAAAGGTGAAGGAAATAGAGGAGAAGAACAGAGAGCTGGAGGAGATGAAGAGCGAGCTGGATGAATTGAACACACTCGTGGAGGAGAAGAGCAGGGAGGCAGATGAGAGTGTGGACAAATACTGCAACCTGATGATTCAAGTCCACAAACTGGAAGAGTCCAATGATGCACTGACAACACGGCTGGAGCAGCTCACTGCTGGCAAACATGCAAACGAAGCGAGCGCCAACTCCAGCAGCACTGACGGTACTCGCCGCAGACGCTCGGCGAGAAAGTCTGCCTCTAAACCTCAGGAAGAAAAACTGGAAGACAACACAGAGAACGTGGCTCCAACAACTCCTCAGAGGTCTCCTCAGGGGGCGGGGAAACGAGGTCACCATGACGTCAGCAATAAAGACAGCGCACAAGAGGCTCTGCACAACCTGACCAAGAAGATCAAAGCCAACGCAGTGACAACACCGAAACCCAAACCCGGGACTGAGCAGGAGGATGAGGAATTCAGACCGGAGGGACTTCCTGAGCTGGTGCAGAGAGGTACGCACACCTGAAGTCTGTTTTTGTGTGGACAGAATCTAGTGTGAGTTCTAGGTGGGAAAAAAGAGTTAAGCTTGTAACTTACGAACCCAAGTTTTTGTTGATCCATTTTAACAAACACCGATAAACCCAAAGATTTCATCATATGTAAAATTCCTGGCTGAAATGATAGTTTGCAGAGCAACTTGCTACATTTTCTTCATATGGATTATGCTTTATTGTGGTCTTTGCTGTGCTCCCTCAGGGTTCGCTGATATTCCTCTGGGAGAGGCAAGTCCTTTCATCATGAGGAGGACCACTGTGAGGCGCTGCAGTCCTCGACTGGCAGCCAAACAGCCTGGTTCGACGTCTGCACCTGACGGCAAGGTGAGCAGCTGCATCTATCTTTTTCTCTGTCATCCACACAAAAACATAGGCTCGTGCATCGCTGCATTAGTTACCTCTGGATTTCCCAAGTAAAGATGAGCTCTTCAAAACTGTGAGATCTGTCCCTGTAACTCTGAGCAATAAAGTCTGATTTCAAGTGTGTGACAATAAAGGAGAACAGAGGGGAAAAGATGCCAATGTAAGCAGCCAGTGGAGTGCGTGTGTTAGTGTGTGCGTGTGTGTGTTCCTGGCTGTCAAGTAAAAAAGAAAAAAACAAGCTCCTCAGCTATTTCCCTTTGTCCAGTCTTTTCTTCTCAGTCGGTCTACTGTTTCTTTTGTTTGTCTGATAGGACTTTCACAGCTGCTTGTTTTTAAGAAATCTGACCCCTTACAGACACAGCAAGGGGTAAAAATTAAAGCTGGCTTTCATATTTCCCCAAGCTTTTATGTACAACATACAAAAGGATGAAACAGAGATGTGATGTTCTCTGCATTTACAGAGAACTGCTCCAAAAAGATGAATCAACAGCAGAGATATTATCTCCCTTTCAGGAGCGTCCAGACCTGATTGTCTCTAACACAGCTTATATTATACACAGGCATAGTCATGGCGAGGTCACCCGTTGGTTTCTGAAAAGGAGTTATGAGGTTCATTATTAGTAGTTCATGAGGCCAATAACTGATATTCAGGACCTGTATGTATTAACTGTAAGAGTCACAGTCTTCCTGTCAAAGTGTAGAATTTGGAAAATAAACAGCAACTCAGAACTTGGTTTAAACACATTCAGCAAATGTTTGATTAAAACTTGAACATCACACACAGGAGTTCATTAATCTCAGTGAGGTTACTCTTTAGTTTCTGAAGTTACTACAGTTTATACAGTGTGCACTGCAAAGGATCAAGCTGCTCAGACCAAAACTGATTTGAACCACGCTGTCAACACATTTAGTTCATTTTTAAAGGAAGGTTGAAGATCTACCTTTTTAATCAGGCTTTTAACTAGTATTTTAAATTCTTCTTATGTTCTTATGTGGTTTCTATTTTATTATTTTTATTGTTGTTATTATTTATTATTAATTGGTTCTATTTTATTTGTTATCTTATGTATTTTTATCTTTTTAAACTGTTCACTCTTTTTACTTATTTTTTCAGGTTTTTTTGAGCCTATCTTGTGCTTTTAGTGTTAGTTTTAACTCTATAAATAAAGTTTTTGATTTGATTAGTTTAGCTGTGAAGATGGCCTTTTTAAATGAGTGTGTGTAGTTTCCAGAGACTTTGCAGACAACCTACAGTGGGAACTTGAGGAGTTTTTTGCACCTCTGTATTTGCTCCAGTTCTTAAGACCTGAGGTTGCCACTTATTTCCAGCAAACTTTCTGCAAATCTAAAAAAAGGCGAAGACATGGACCATGAGGATTTTAAGAACAGAATGATTGATTTCACATCTTTAACCAGTTAATTTCTAACTTAACTTTTCTGTACTCAAAATGACATGTCCCCATAAGGATAGATCTTTTCTTTTAGGTAGTATGTTGTTTTCTGAATGAGCGGTAAAAGAGAATCAAAGAGTGAACTAGGTCAAGGTGCAAGAGCTCAGTTGGGATGATGCTGGGCCCCTGACTTGTCAACAGGACATCAGACCCCTGTCACCTCTTACTTAGTCCAGGTCAGCTGAAGTGAACCGCAGGTTTCAGGTCAGAGAGGTCAAGGGGAAAGAATGTCTCACAGTCAGCTGTTTATTCACACTCAACTGGCGCTGCAAGATGAAGCTTATTTCTTTAACTCCCGAACTGTGTACTGCTTACTTTGTCCTGTTTTTCTCTTTTTGACCTATTATTCATCTTGTTCTCTCTGCAGGTTTTGGAGCCAATCCCTTTCCCGAGTCCATCTGCAGACAGCTCCAACAGGAAGTGTCTGTCCCCCAGTGGAGAGGACAAAACGACCCACCGTCTTCTGATGACGGAACAGAAAGAGAAGCAGCAGTCACAAGGAGACAACTGTCACGTTCAGTAGATCATGTACAACCACAAAAACACACTTTCACTTTTGCACTTGTGATTTATTTGTAGAAACACCCATGAACACTCGACAGTCCACCTCTGAAAAAAGACACATTTTATCTTTATCTTTATCTCACATTTAAAACTTTCTCCATAGGATGCACTTTTCCTTTCTTTCCTCTTTGTGTTTGTATGTTTGTCTCTTGTTTTTATTTCCTTAAAAGTCTCTTTCCTCCAGGACTGCAAAAGACAAAACTACTCTAAACATTTTATTCTTTGGCTTCTTGCATCAAAAAACAAATCACTCACAGAAGTAAGAAGCTGAGGCAGGGAACTGGCTTACTTTGTCAAAGTCACATTTTTTTCCGAGCTTTATTTTTTACTGAGGACTCGTGATTCTACCTTATTTCTCCTTTTCTGTTGCTCTGTTCCTGATGTCAAAAACTTTGTACATACTAGATTGAATATACAGCTTTTTTTCTCCATCCGTTTGCTCTGTAACATATCACCTATTTGCTCAAGGCAGCTAAGACTTTTGTAGACTTTTATCTGAAACTTTTTTCTTTGTTATTTCATTTAAAGAAAACAAGCATGATGACAAAGCTTTTTAGTTTGTTTTTTTCCCCTCTCACTAAACTTATCAACAAACGCTGAAGCAGGTTTGCATTTTATTGTTTGTTTTTTATGTAGCTCCATGTGATCATCATTGTAAATATTTTTGATAACACCCCTTAAGTTCATAATTTCTGTTTTTACTTCATTTTTTACTAAACATTTCTAACCGTGTCGTAATGTCGATGGTGTCTGTGTTTTTGTGAATCGATTTGCGTATCACTGAGTCTGATTAGATACAAAGTGCGCAGTACTCTTTGCAACCACAGGGTGGAGTGCGTGAGCTGTGTGGAGAGAAAAGTGTGTTTCAGCATCCACAGAAATAAGAGAGGTTTGCAGAGAGAGACACTTAACCTGCTATTAACCATCAGAAACAAAGGGAGATAAATATATATATATATGTATATATATATATATATATATATATATATATATATACATATATATATAAAAAGGGAGACAAAAGGAGCGCGAATCACATCAAAAGTAGAAAGATATAAAATAAATAAATATCCTTTTTAACAGATGGTTTTTATTTTTTTCTCAGGACCATCTGGACTTTTAAGTCTTTTTCTTTTGTTCACAAACTGGCCTGCTCTTCTGAAAAACAAAGAGGGACGGGCGTTTGGCTTTCATAACGACAGACTTTAATAATGAAAAGTTATTTCTAAGGCACAATGGTTTGTGGTTTCCACCTTTCTGATGGTTGAGGAATAGTTCAAAATACTGTGATCATATCAAAAAGTGTGTTTTGGTTGCCATGGTGCTTGATCTCTTCATATAATATGCAACAGTTACATAAAATTTTCTCCTTTATTCAGCTTATTCTATTCTATTCTATCTTATTGTGGTCATATTTGATCCTCAGATTTTTCCTTTTGACCCTTGGATTGAAGCTTTCATGAGAAGACCCTTGTTACCTATTTGCTGCAGTGAAATACAAACTTCATTGAAGTCAGTCCACCTCAAATCTTAGTAGACCCAATCCACCAAAATGTGGTGATGAAGATAGTGTTCTTAGATAAGTTAAACTTTATGGGCACACAAATGGGGAATTTGCATTGGTCTATTCACACATGCTGTAGACAAAACAGTTAACAATTTAAACCATACAGCACACAACATGATACAATACAATTAACATGAGAATGACCCTAGCTCACACAGAGCATATAGCTAAACAAGATTTAAATGTATTCATGTACAAATAAATGTATAAATTAATAAATATCAGTGACAGGCATCAACTCTAACACCTAAATAATGGACATACCACAATAAGCAAAGTTTTGAACTAACAGTAGAGGTGGAAAAAACTAAAAACAACACCAACTCCAGCCTCTTCAGTTTCTACCTGCCCTCGGGTCTTGAGGTCCAAAGTTATTAGTTTCAGAGCATTGATGCATTAGGCTTTTTGTCTATTATGTTGTGTATTATTCTGCCCTTGTGTGTTTGTGCCCTTTGGGTGATGACTCTAGGTTAAAACACCCATTTATCAATAAGTCCATGTGCAATTTCCAGGCAAGCAACAAATATTTGTCATGGTGACTATCATGTATCATGTTTGGTTGTTTCAGTATTCAAGAGAGTGCAGTACTGACTCACGACCAGTGAGCTGGATACAACTTTAACAGTGAAAATGACTTTGAAAAAGCATTTTTAGTTGAGATAACACGATTTTCATCCTCTCTGCTTTTGTGTTTCAAAGTATCACCAAAGTTATGTAACACCTCATTGTGGAACTATTTCTAACAAATAAACAAACACAGAGAGTGTTACTGTAAACACAAGATCAGCATAGTACATTTAAAAAACTCTGCTGTATATCAATTTTCCTCAGTTTGAACCCTAACGTGTCCTCGGTGCTGGCTTAATGTGACAACACAAAAACTGTGGGTTGGTGACCGGTGTGAAATGTCACAAAGGACTGGATGTATTTCTCTGGGTGAAGCTTCACGATGCGTCTGAGGACCACTTGTTTGGATCAATAACATTGATCTGCTCTTCTGGAGTTTGGTTATAAGCATTAAAGGTATTGATGTGAGCTGACCTTTTGACCTCTTCTTCATAAGGTCTTGTCAGGCTGCAGGAAAAAGACCATATCTGTTACATGTGGCGGGGCACATCACCAGGTGCACCCAACTCCTCTTACATATACCTCTCTCCCTTTGGTTAGCAGTGGGTGAGAGGGGCCTGAGGCATGCTGGGATATGGGAACAGAGAGAAGGCTGCACAGTCACACACCTCGAGCGATGCTGCTCTGATGTCTCTGGCTCAAACTGTGAGCGGAAGCTGCAGTGCCAGAACCAACTGTGGACGAGGACACGGGAAACCAGGAGACCGGTCCACTGAGCGATGTTATCACTGGCACTCAGACTGGTGGGTGTGTGTTTGTGTATGCATGTATGTGTGTGTGTCTTTCTTTAAAAACTGAGGGGCTGACTGAGCGTGGATCCCCCGCTGTATGCATGATTTGTCCCATTCTTCAGCGGCCTACACTGTGTAAGCAGCTGCTCTCTGGGCCAGAGGAGAGTCACCGACAGGAAGTGTCGATCAGTGTGTGTGAACAGGATAGAGACAGGCGGTCATCCATCTGAGGTCTTTACCAGATTATGTAATCTGGAATGAGAGAAAGAAAATCAGACACTGAGGGGTTAATGGATGGATGTGGGTGCCACTTTGAAGTACGTCATGAAGGATTATATGTTGTAACCACAGGCTTTCGTAGTTAACCTCACTGAGACTTCAGAGATGATTAACTTTCATTAAATAGGAACCTGCTCAGCTGGGCTACCCAAACCTTCTTAGACTGTTTAAATCATCGGTTAGACAAGTTCTTATTAATTAACAGCATTTTTAGCCGCTCAAATAACGTACAGTAAATTTAATTAGCAGCCATTTAAAAAGTCAGTACAAGAAATGTATGAATACTTTACTTATTACTCTTACAGACAAAAGAAGGTTAAAAAAAAATGAAGACACTGAAACAATAAAACTACTTTAAAAGTGTCGTTTTGGGTTATATTATTGGACATTTTTGCCTTTTGTTCGACAAAAAGAAACAGGGGTCAGAGAGTGGGGGACATGCAGCGATGAGCCGTGGCTATAAACTGAGCCAGTGACCGTGTGAGGAGGACCATAGACACCTGTCCACCCAAGAATGGCCAGTGTGGGAGTTTGCATGGTAAACTCAGGAGCTGTGTTTTCAGAGGAACTAGCTACTCATCAGGTCTATCAAGGTAAAGTGATCCATAGGGAGGAGGACCCAGACTAAAAGAGAACCTGTCCAATCCACGATGACCTTGTCACCTTGCCTGGAGCAACAACTTATGGGCTGCCACTTTAAAGCCAGAACTTTGCAAGAACCTCCTTTTGAGAGTCTTGAGGTTCACCCATGGAGCCTGGCTGGGCTCAATAGGTGCGGGGGGTCTGGTGTAAGGGGGGCCAAGTGACGAAGAGAGGCAGAGCAGCAAAGAATGAAGCACCAATAAGATGGACTTCTGATCATGTCTCATGCCTCTCATAGCTCTCCTTTTTCATGATTGCCCTAGGCAGAGGGCCATCGTGGATGTGGTGAGACTCACTCAACACCCCTTTGGAAGGAGGTTATCTATGACACTACAAGATGGAGAGGAGAGGACTCTCCAGAGGATTATGGTTTGCAGTTCAGAGGAGAGGCCTTCTCGAAGTCTTTGAGTAGAGTCATGGAAAGGGACCTGCCCAGAGACTTTAAAACTCTGTTGGAGGACATTAATGACAATGATGACGAAACCTGGAGAGGGGTGAGGTACCAGGTATCAGGTGGCATTGGGGGAAAAACCTCATTGTGGGACAGTTCAACGAGGCCATGTTGAGGGACGTTTGATCAGCCTTAAGAAAGTTCTGCCAAACTCTTAGATGACTCAGGAAGGGAAGCAGGGACTGGCTCGGGTGGTTTCCAGCAGAGGTGGAGAAGTGCTGACCCAGACTGGGGATGCTATTGGATAATGGAAGGATGCTTTGGAGATCCCCTGCACCTGACCAACTTGTCTTCTGATGAAAAGGGAAAGTTTGAAGATCCATGAGAAGACCCATCTATATATCTCTGCCAGAAGTTGAAATAAGCACTTTTGTGGCAGGGAGCCAGGTCCAAATGGATTTGCTCTGAGATGCTGAAAGCTTCCCAGAAATTGTTTTGCGTTTCAGCGCCTGTCAGAAAGGATGGAGGTTCCTGTTTTAAAAAAGTGCAGAGAGAGGACCCAGGGTAGACCCAGAACCTATAGGAGGGATTATAGCTTCTATGAGGCCTGGGAGGAGCTTGAAAACATTGCCATGGAGTGAGACACTCCACTCCTATTTTATCAACGATTGCACACCTCTGTAAACCGTATGAGAGTCTGTGATTGTAGATTCTACGGACTCTGAGAAGAGGCTCCTGCAGTCTTCAGCCTTTAATTCTTTCTAGTCTTTTTTCCCCATGTGCACGTGATGGACTGGCATGCCTACCACCACACCGAGATCTGACACCTGCAGCAGATTAAATGAAGCACATGTCCTGTAGATGAGGTGGAAGAGAAGATTGCATTGTTTAGTTTGTGCTGGCTGTCTGGCTGCTGTCAGGGGCGTCTTGCCAACATGTCTGACTGTGTGAGTCCTCTGCTGGGACTAAGATTGTTGCCTCAGTGTCTTAGCAGAGCTGCAGCTTGTCTGACTGTCACAGGATTGTCTGCCTGCCCTCACTGCCTCCTCTTGGATGGAGATATAATGTTCATTTACACACAAAGAGAATGAGCTATTTATAATAAGGCCTGTCCGCAGGCTTTCTTTCCACAGCACCTTTCTGAATGGCCTTCACATGCACTGAGCTAAAAATATCAACCATTTGAATAAATTCAACATAAAGCCTCTGGATGCTTCACTTCATCGGACTTCTGTAGTTACAATGTTTTAAAACATTAACCTCCCTCAGGGGAATCACTTTCAATTCAGTTCAATTCAATAAGGACTTGGAATAAGGACTTTCAAAGACTTGAGTGGAAGAAGGACCCAGAGTGGTGAACACAATGGTAGCACCCTCTGCTCGTGACACTGCTCTAACCTCAGTGAAACCTCAAGTTTGCAGCATTTTTGATAAAACAACTTCAAATGTCAACTTGCTCAAAGACTCAGATTCATAGATGAAGTTTATAGATACCACACATGTTGGTGGACTCTTAGTACTTTTGTTTTTTAATACAACAGCCACACAGCTCTAGTAACTTGGTGTCGCATTCATACCCGTCATAAGCCAGAGGTGAAGTGAATTATTCTTCATTTTTGAATGGAAGGGCAAAAATAATAATGGGCGAGGGGTCAGGGTTAGGTTGAGACTGTGCCACCAGCAATAGAGCTGGTGTTTGATCTATATGGGGGCCATGCTTCCTGCAGGGGGAGTTCACACAAGTCCTCCCTGTGGGATTTGAGTCTTTATTTTTTCTGGCATTTCACGCTGCTGTGAGGAGTTTTGAACCAGTGGAGGAAAAAAGGAGGAAATTATATGTATTAAGAAAATTCATTTAACATTGTCCCACTTATCGAGCATCTGCTAACCAAAGATACAACACAAAATATTGATTTCACTTCCAAGGACCGCACTTTTAACAAGATGCAGTTTGACAATTATTTATAAATTCTGCATTGATATGGTGATTCTGGATTTGACATTGAACTTCTTGGTGCTGTCAGTTTGGGGAAGCTTCTTAGGAGATATGCCAAAGCTCCTAGGCAGGACGAACCCCTGAGGGTCCTGCAGATAGAAGGACAGAAAGAGATAGAGGAAAGAGGGTAGGGTGGAGGGGTGTGAAACATGAAAAGGGGAGAAGGGAGACAGGTTTGAATTAACAGGAATGCTGGTAGAGGGTTTAGTGTGTTCTTGCTCCTGGATTTTGCTGTATATCAAAATTGATTCAACTGATTTTACAAATGATTTAGTCATACTTCCAAAAAATAGTCTCTGTGTTTCCACTGTTGGTAACACTTCTATGGCAACAGATTGTTATCTGCCTCCTTACAGTATGAATTAACTCTGAAATGAACATTTCTGCTTACGGTCAAGTTAGAATATTAGCATTTATTTCTTATAATTAACACCAAACTCAACATAAAGGTAATGTTGGACAAGGTGAACGTAACATCTACAGGAGTATTTATTTTGACATATCTGCTCTCATTCAGCTCTTCTTCCTCTCAAAGTTATGCAGCTGGCACAACTTTAAACATAAATGAAGTACAGCTTTAAATTTTTTATTGTTGCCATCATCACAAGCCAGTCTCTTCTTCTGGTTCTTTTGCCAAAGCTTACAAACATTAAATGATCTTGGTCATTTTTACCAAGCCACTCAGTATGACCCTCACGGCCCCCTTCATGCAGAGTTTAGACTAATGCGAACAAGAAGGAGGTTCACTCGTGCCAGGAAAGCCACATCAAACAGATATCCTAGATTATTTGTTCATCAGCTGTTGAGGGTTTTGAACAAGCTGCAGGAATTGCTGCTGCTGCACAAATACAGAGGACTGTTGGACCGAAGACAGAAACTGATGTTTTTGTTTGAGAATCAATAGGCAGACTCCTTTACACTGATTGATTTGATATGACGTATGTGATCAGGTTGTTCTTTGTGATGCTTTGCTGTTGAGAATTGATGATCCTGAGGTTTTGACCTGTCAGCATGAGGTGTTTAGCACAGCCAGATCATAAGATGTAGTGCTGATCCGGACTACAAAGAAAACAAAGCCATTGTCATAAAGATTGACTGTGTCTTTTGAGTGAATTTTAGTGCCTCAAATCCCTGCAGAAGGGTAGATGTAGCCTATTTTATAAACAGAGCAGTCAAAGCTAAAAAATGAAACACTAAAATTTTATGTTAATGTCTTGAATGTACACTTTTGGTGGCATACAGTGAGTGTGTGTAAATCTTTCATTTGGTGAAGCCGTTGTAAGTAGTAACAACAACACATTTTTGACTGGCTGGAGCCTTTAACAAAATAGATTTTTTTAACCAACCAAAAAAAATTTTCTCTGGCAGAACTGGTTTTAACTGAACTAGAACCAGTCCTGTGGTTCATGTATCCTTCCTGGCTCCCAGCCCAGGCTGTGGAGCTGGACTCATGAGCTTCTGAGCTAGCCTACTGTAACTGTCTGACTGTGTTGTTGACTCTGGTCTGTACTTCCTGCTTTGATAACTTTCCCTCACGCATCATAAGAGCTGCTGCCGCTGGCCGGTCACACTCATCTGACCACTCTATCATTCAGGAAGTTAAAACAGTGAAAGTGACTCAGTGGTTCAGCGCCTGTGAACTGCCGAGAAGATGCTGATCAATGTGCCCCACATTACTGAACAAAGACCAGTTAGATCTGGCAAGGATCTGACGGAGCTGGATATTAAATAACACACTTGAACTGGTCTATCTTCAAACTATATATGATCATGACTAATTTACATGCATGGATATAATACAGGTGAACAAGTGTGTGTTTTTTTAACATGTGCCAACCAAGGTTTTGGCCTGATCAGACATGACTACAACATGAGTATTGCTAAAAACAATAATACCAACATTCTTCACCTCACTATTCATCAAACCAGCAAGAAATCTCAAAACAAAAGAGAAATGCAGAGAGATTTTACAGCTTTGGCTTGAATAGAGTTTTCAGACTTAAACAGATTGACCTAAATCTTAAGTGAAAATCAGAGCCTACTGCTATTTGTCAATAAGATATCCGTGCACTTAAACTTAAGTTCTACTTTTTAGGACTAAATATGCACAACTTGGTAAATAGGCCCAATTAAAATTACACCCAAATATCCATCGGCACTTAATCTTAACAAATAACTGGTTGATGTACTAAAACACAGCTGATTGGACCAGTCAAACTGAGTGCCTTTACTGCTCCCCTCTATTACTACTTCTTGAGGTAGTTGATCAATTTTCCTGCAGTTATGATGAGAATTTACATATGAATACTCAGGGTAGAAATTGACTGAATCTATAGGTCGAACGTCTCAAACTAGAAGTTTAAGTTCGGGGAAGGTTAGATTGGTGGGCAGACCTCCAGTTCCTAACTTGTATTTTATTTTAGATCACCAGGATACAAATCAGGATCTTCTTCAGTGGTGTGACTTCTCACTTCTGCTGCAATGATGTGAGCTACAGGACACTCCAGTGTTTATAAGTATACTGTGTAACCACAGGTGAGTACATTTTCAGGTAAAACAGATGAAAATCAGAGTTCAGACAGATTTCAAATGTAACCTCACATGTAAAACAAGGGATACTTTAAGGCAAGTCTTCAAATTAAATCCAAGCAGAAAATTCTACATGTACCCAACAGGTGATCACTTATCTGATCCAGACTTTATATGCCACTATATTTTTTTGTTTCAAATATGTTGATTCAGTTTTGCAATAAAGATAGAAAAACACCAGAGTTGGACAGAAACATTGTCACCGAGAGTATAGTGAAATTTCCAAGATAATTAAAGACAAGCAAAATCCTGTGGCAGTAACAGTGGTGTCTGATAAAGCACAACAACACTTCCAATCCTCCTACTCTGCTGCTCTGAAACATTTAAGGCCTGTTATCTAAGAGTTAGCTTGCAGCATAGCAAACCCTCACAGAGTCAGGTGTTACTTCTGTTTCTAAAAAGGCTCCTGTGTCTTATCAAACACTCTTCGAGCCACTAACAGAGAAACAAGACATTACATCCTGGAGCATCTTTCCATTTAAGAGTGCACATTTGGCCAAGAGCAGAACAAAAACAACCATATGATGCTTTGATAGAATAGAGTTTGTTATGCTTTTTTAGTGCTGATATGGAGCTGTGGATCTGAAATAAAGCATTCAGACTAAGAGCAAACAGAGTAAGAATCCAAATCTGGTTTATTTTCAAGTCATAGTGTACAAAAATCTTTGTTAAGTTTTGTTCAGGTAAGCTCTACAGACATTATTATTATTATCACAATGTGTTCTCCCACACTCACATCGGTGTAGAAACAGTCGACAGGTACAAACATACAGCTTAGAAAAATACACTTTCATAATCCTCTTCATAAAAAGCAGTAGCATATCGAGCAGAGTGAAAAGTTAGTTTGATCATTTTGATTGTGTTACAATGTTTTTGTAAGACTGCAAACAAACTGATTAGTAAGTAGAGAAGGCAAAGGCAAACTAAGCAGCAGCTACACAGTGTTATACCTCTACTGTTTCCATTCAGTTAGTCCTGAAACATACAGTCTGCTTTAGTAAACATCTACACAGCTAAACCTCATCTTTCTATCAGTCTGATCTTCATGTCAGCCGAGATTCTTGTCTTCACATCCCATCAGATAACAAACCTATTTTTCACAAACACAAGCTGGTTAAGACTGGAAATAATACAACACATCCAGAACTGTACTGAAATCTCAGAGCAAGTTTTCAGACTGTTTACTTGCTGTTCTTTATACATTACAGGTACCACAACTTAAAGCTGACCTGACTTATTTTAACATTACTTATCTTCACATTCATCAGATTCATAAAAAACCCTCAGGGTAAATCCTCAAGAGTACTCGTCCTCCTTACTTAGCCATCACATAATGTCAAATGTTTTGGTTCGCTTTGTGTATGTGAGTAATTATGTAAGTGTTAAGATCTTGTGATTGGATTATTACAGAGGAAAGTGTGTGTTCAACCGTGTAGCTGCATCCTGTGATGCTACTTAACAACAGAATCATTGCAGCCTTCTGATTGGATGGAAGCTATAATGTGTTGTTACATTTATAGGCTGCTCAATAAAAAGTGCATTTTCCAACAGCAGGTGTACACACATGGATTAAACCATCAATGTGTGTGTGTGTGTGTATGTGTACTGTATGTGTGTGTGTGTGTGTTAGACTGAATGTATTTAGTAATGTAACAACAAAACTTTCATGTCCTGTCAATGTGCAAATCACCTCCCTGTTGAATAGCTTCATCTCAACAATGTAAACATAAGTCATTTGATTTTTTTTAATGTTCCTCCTACACTTTTATCCTTCAATGTCGTGAGAGTTTGTTTTTTTTTTGCACAGAAGTTTGTGTATGTTTGGTGTTGTGACTCAGCCATGAAGAAGTAAAGCAGCTTTTGGTCGGTCTACAAAGTTAGCTAAAACATTTGCTTGAATAGAGTGAACAAAAAGTGTCATCGGTCAACATGATTATCTGGTACATAAGATAATAAAACATGATTTAAAAAACGTCTCAAAAGGGAAAAACTGCATCAATCATGTGTCCCTCTGTTGCAGTTGCCTAAGACATTTGAACACCAGAGTAAAACAGCCGAGGCTTTAACAGTCAACTTAATCATCCAAATAAACATATACATTAGCAATATTATAACAGAGGCAACACAAAGTATTGGATCCTGGCGAACAGTTTGTGTGTGAACAACTGATTCAGTCTTTTTGGTGTGCATACGGGGGGGGGGGGGGGACCTTGTAAAATCCCCTAATCTCATTGGTTGAAGCAAAAATAATATCACCAATAAAAGCTCATGTATCAGCCATCCACTCCACACTGTGTTCTGCTTGCCCTTGGTTCGGCAAAGAAAAGGGTTTAAGGCACAGCAATGGTTCGACAAACGTCCTTCAAAACTAAATCCAGAATGAGAGTCAAGTGGAGATCATTTGTGACCCTGTCCATCATTCTTCTACAAGCTGAACAAGGTCTGAATTTAAAACAATGATAAAAAATCAATGGAAGCATCTTCATTCAATACTGTTGCTTTTAAGTATCATAACAGATTATAACTCTTGATTAAAAAAAAACAATAATCACAACAGAAAACAACCTCCTCCTCCTCCTACCCTGTAACCCATTTTACTGTAACTCCTCTACGAAATTAGCACCTAAAAATCATCCAAACAGAAAAGCAGCTGTTTGTAACTTTGACCAACATCACAGTACTGACATTTTGAAGCTTAATAAAACATATCGCTCCTAAAATTTTTCTCCTCTCTCACAATCTTAGCATCTTTACATTCTGCAGTCATTTGGCATAAAATCTGTTTATCCTAATCACAGTCCTCCGTCTTTTTAGTTCAGACATCAAGCTCTGTGACTTTCTAGTTCTGATATCAAGACTTTAGACCATGTTACATACTGTAAACAGCCATCTGAGATTGTCAAACACAAGGTCCTCCTGAAAAATATGGCAGATTAACAAAGACATTTGACTGTCACGATATATGGATATACTTCACTATAGTATACGTACGGTAAATAGCCCAGCATGGACAGTAACTGCACTCTCCGTGGCTTTGTCTCATCTCTCTCTCTTTGAACTCACACCTCCTGTCTACCCCTGTACTACCAAACATCCAACAGAGAGAAAACTATTTTAAAATTCATAAACTGTAAATCTGTGTCATGAACTGGATCCCTAAACTGTTTACAGTGTGAACTACTGGAGTGCTGCAAACACTAACAGGCTCCAAGACATTTTTTTTCTGACCTCTAGAGAAGTTTTTGTCTTCTTTTGCTTTAGTAAACTGTCAATACTTGGTGATCACCACCAAAAAGCAGCCTGAATTTATCCCCTGATCAGAGTGAGACTGCAGACAGAAAGCCAGAGCTGTCAGTTTTGACTGAGTTCATCTCATGTCCATGCGTCATTTTCTTCGTACTCTTTGTTCAACTGAAGCAGGTGTGCAGGTGATGGAGGGAAAACTGTTGAAATTTGCTGTCCTGTTTTCAAGAAGGCTTTCATCCATGTATGGGGTGAAGATGTCCACACTGTCTCATTTTTTACTGGATTTGGGAATAAAAATGCTTCATTTGGTCAAGTGGCTCACAGCTCTCAGCTGTGATCCCAACAACAACAGGAAGGCTGCAGAAAGACCTTGAAAGGTTGTGAACCTCTACTTCACATGTTCAATAAAATCCCCCCTCTCAGGGTCCAAACCGTTCATGAAAGATCCTCCATTTCTGGCCAGTGGTGCGGTCAAGCTCTGTAGCACCGCGTCCTTCTCATTCTTCTCCCGGTCGTCATTGAAATTGACGGATACAGTCCTCTTGGGCAGAGTGAACTCAGGAGTTGGACTGAATCCCAGCTCTGAGGACAGTTTGCGTTTTATCGAGGCAGCGCGCTGGAACTTGTCGTAGATCTCAACGCTAACACGACGCCGTGTTTCCTTGAATTCAGCAGAGACGTTTGCCGTCCACTCCGCTGCGTGAGCTCGGATCTCTCCCACCTGCAAAGGCAAAAAAGGTGAAATTAGAAGACGGTAGAGACGTTTGATTCATGAAACTCTTTGAGACAAATCTGAGCCAGCAGTTTCTGTTTGATCAGTCAAAAGGATGACATCTAAAACGCAACTGCAGAGAGGAAGAGAGAAATAAAGATGAGGAATAAATAGAAATTGGTCAAAACAATTAGACGTGATCTCTTGGTGGTTTTTATGATGAGGGCTATCCAAATCAAGCCTGTATTTATAGCGCACTTTTTAAAACCTGAGTTACAGCAGAGGTCTGCAGGATAGTGCATAATTACAGATCTGCAGCTTTAGTCTCTTTAAGATCAGGAAAATACAAAAACCAACTAGAGCAGACAAAGAGCTTTGCCGATAATTCTGTGTTTGACAAAGTAACTGTACGTAAACTTAATGTGTTTAGAGATTTTTGTTTTAACATTGCCTGTTCTGGTATTAATTTGGCATCTTAGCCATGTCAGTTGATGACCATTACATAACATTATCTAATAAAGATGTTTCTGTTTGTTATGTCTTTGAATCCTTCTGCCTTTCAAATGCGACTTTATATATGACTAGAATAACATATATACAGAGGGACAGTGGCACAGACCAAATCAGTGAATCAGTTCAATCAGCAATTATATGTAACACACACACACACACACACACACACACACACACACACACACACACACACACACACACACACACACACACACACACACACACACATATACCCACACAGTTGAGCTTGATATGACAAAATAGCAATAATATGTATAATTTTGGTAGAAAATGCATAACATGTATTGAGTTATATGCTACAAAAGTTTTCAGAGTCACACTCAGACTTCTTTTTATTCAGCGAATGAAAATCTCCACCGAGGAAAAACACCTCTGTTTTATGAATTGCTTTACATCCCATTAACATAAATTTAACATCTCACTGTCGGTCCAAGAGACCACATTAAATGGTAAATCATATGAATAGTTTCAGCCTCTAACACCACACCACTTCTTACTCTGTATTCACTCTCTATAGCCAAGAATAGTCTCAAACAAAAATGGAGCAAAACACTGTTGCTTCGTTTGCCTGCAGAGACAGATCCATATCAGACTTAATTCAACTTGTGGAGGCATTATTGCGTTTGTAAAAATATATATATATTAATTTATCAACAAGCAAACCACTACTGACCTTTAAAAACAATCCAAGGCACAGTGCAAGATTTGAGTCAACTTAATACTCTTCATTACATATGGCAAAATATGTATCTGTTCAACATATTTTAAAGAAGCACAAGTATCGCTACCTTGAGCCAAGACCCATCACGAGTCTTTTGAAGAACAGTTTTAAAGTGCACGTTTGATCGAGTTTTTGCTGAACTCATGCAATTATTGTTGGAAGCCAAAGATGTGACATATTCACCATTCAGCACGTCTCTTTCTTTAAATACAGGAAACTGTCAGTCACTAAAGTTCTTACAAACTCTATGTCCTATATATTTTCTTTTCTGCTTACATGATGTACTATGAATGGCAGTCCCCTGGTAAATACTTCATTTTGCATTCATAGATTCAATTTTGTAAGTATTGATAAATCAAAAACTGACACGTGCACATTTGCATGGCACAGAAAAAAAACTTTAAAAAAGGAGGGAAATGAAGCAGAGAGGTGTGAAAATTGAATCTAAACCATTTTCAGGACTCTTTTGGCTGGGGTGGCCAAACTAAAGAGTGCATGAGAGCACAAGCACACATAGTAGTAACTTTCAAGTAGCCTCCCTTTAACCGTGAATCATATCATATACATGACTAAAATGTAATTTGTCTATAAACAAAATAAAAATGGTTCCCTCTAAATTAAAAAGTTCAGATCTAGTAAATCTCAAAGTCACAAGTTTATTTGTTCTCTCAGACTTTGAATTCTTTTAAAATCCCGCACAAGGAATGTGACCAAACCATCTTTGTTGTACTGAGAAATATTGCAGGAGTTTGGATGTTTCCTCCCCAAAAAGATGTCAGTAAACACAAAGAGATGTGCCTACAGTGATTCTCTTTTACGGCTCTTCTAAGGCGGCCCATTGATAAAATACAATTAATTCAGAGATCTGCTTTCAGGCTTTGAACCAGAACAAGAAAGAAGGGAACATAACATCCCAGTTTTAGCTGGACAGCGCTGGCTGCCTGCCAGCGTCTGCTTGGTTGATTCAAAGCTTTCTCAGTGACAAGGCTCTTAATCGTTTTTACTGACCTATATGACTTATTCTTCTTTTTAAAAAACACTTATGCCAAACTATCTTCCAACCCAACTTAAGTTTGTAGATAACTGCCTTGACTTGCTGTCTACAATTCTGTTTTATTTTCATCCTTTAGATGTTTTTTTGTTCCCTGGATTTATATGTCTGCTTTTCAGAGCCTACCTCGTTTAATTTGACAATTTTATTTCATTTTCTACTCTTTATTTTCTTTATTTAATATCTGTTTCTTTACTTACTGGGAGGCAAATTGAACTCCTCTGCCTCTATGTCAAATAAACAATTACTATCATTATTATTATTGTTGTTGTTGTTGTTAATAAAAACTATGCAACAGAGTCCTGTCATGATGATAAACCTCCACAGATCAGTGAGGTGAAGGCGTGTCACAGCAGGACTTCAGCATGAGATCCTCAAAGCATTAATAAACACACAGCCACAATGCATCATGCATCACCACTTAACAGCTGAAGATGGTAAGCAGAATTAACGAACTAACTCTGCTCAACTAGCAGGTTCCTCATCACATCATTATATTCTCCTCAAAAAAGAAAACTTCAGTCCTAAACTCTTCCACAATATTTATATTTGTCCCTTACAGTCGTCCAAATATCATCTTTGTGCTCACCTGTCATTTAAACTCTGCTGAATCAAACCCTGGGAACATTTATCTGCATAATCGCTGTTATATTTAGAGCACAGATGTTTCCAAATATGTTTCCTGATAAGGACATCATCACACATTGTCCTCCGTCTCTTTCTCCCTCTCTCTCCGGAGATGCTCACAGTAATGGCCCAAGACCGTAAATGTGTTTGCGTTGCAGACAGTGGATTAGATTAGAAAAGTGTCTTATCATTGAAATGAAGTTAAGCAGAGGGCAAAAGTTAAGGAGGGGACATGGCACAGAGGCTGGGTACAGTGTGATAGTGCTCAAAGACACAGACACAGGGACAAACTCAGAGGGCAGACAGACAGGTGAGAGAAAATATCAAAGAAATGAGAAAAACTCAGTAAATTAAGGGTCTCATACCTCTTCTTTGGTCCTCTTGGAGATGACCCTGAACCAGTCTCCTATCATGCTGAGAATAGCAGCAAAGTAAGCCAGTCCGACCAGAATCCAGAACCATACAACTGGTTTATAGTAATCCAGGTACTCTATTTCCGAACCACCTGGACACAGACACAGAGGGGACACAGAGACATTGAGATAGAAATCCACATGGACAGTTTTTTTTTCTGTGTGTTGATAGTCAATCACTGTCGGTGTTTGTACCTGCAACAAAGTCCCCAAATCCTATAGTAGTCAGGGTGATGACGACAAAGTAAAGGGACTCGAGCGCAGACCAGCCCTCTATGTGTTTAAAGATAGCCGCTGGGAGCGCCACAAACAGCAGGCAGCCAAACAACACAAAGAGCAGGGTAGAGATGACGCGAATCTTTGTCTGGCTGATGTCCCAGTGCTGCAGGGGACACAGAGGAAGCAGAAGAGTTGGTTGATATGACAGATTTACCTTTATGACTGACAGGTATCTCTATGACGTCTATGGAGACCTGGTGTGTTTGATCTGTTTGTGATGAAACACAGAGAAGAAGATCCAGCTGGTCCTCAGCTTTTTGAGTTTGTGTGAGTTTGTGGTAGGTATACTGCATGAGCTGTGATGTAAACACAGACGACATAAATCATGGGCACAGTTACAGTAGAATCACCTGAAGGTTTCTTAAGTGATGGTTTGGCGCCTGTGTTGGTGATTGGAAATACTGACTCCAAATAAACTTTAGATCATCTAGAAACCAGCAGAGAGGGGGGAGTTAACGCTATTTGGTTATGCATAAATTTGAGCTGCGCAATGGTCATGGTGGATGAGTTATAAAGCCACTGTTACTCATGTTAGATGAGATGGGCCAAATCCCATCTTAGGTTGGGTCTTGATAATTCATCAAACAATGAGCGTGGTCCAGACCTGCTCTTTTTCTTTGGAAAGCCTCTTGGGATGACCACTGTTGTGAATTGACGCTATATAAATAAAATTTGATTGATTGATTGATTGATTGATAACCCCAGCAAAGTTATCACCAACATCTGAAGCTGAAATTTGCTGCCTTCTTCAATGAAACACTTCAATAAGGGCAAACCTGCCATTGCTCCTAGTTAGGACAGATGTCTCCCTCTTTTTAACTCATTCTTCCTCTTTATTCCTTACTTATAGACGATTAGCCCCCTGTTTCTCGTCAATACCAATCAGATGGGTGCTCCTGAGCCTCTATGCTTATGTGTCATAAGACCTGACAACCCAACTAGCCAGCCATGGGCATGAGCTAACCACTCTACCTGATGTATGCATGCATCACTTGTCACTGCACTCCACTACTCTTCATCACTCTGCCAAACATGCTGTCAAAAGAGGCTGAAGCGGGCCAAACAAATTTCTTCATCTTTATTCCTTTTTATTTTTGTGAGACATGAAGGGTTTTTTGTACACTTTGTATGTTTCTCCAACTAGTTTTAATGTGAGCCTCACAATTCCTGTCTCTCTTTGGCTGTCCTATCTAATAAAGGCAAAAATGCCCCAAAAACATCATTAAAAATATGTCATGTTGTAATGTTAATAGAAGCACCCTAGTCAGTGTTCAAACTGCAGAAAGTTGCTGAATGCTTTCTTGAAGCCAGCAATGAAAAGGGGCTTTGAACAAAATGAGGAAATAAGGGCGAATGCCACTGATTCTATTCCTTTAGAAGATTAACACGAATTTAGAGCCAGTCTGGAGGCTCAGTAAGAATTTTCTGAAGCTAAGCAGTCTGTGTCTGGGAACAATGCAAGCAATGCAAGCAATAAGTAAAAACACTTCCCTGTCAATACTAAGAAATACTGTAGTGGAGCAATAGTGCTAGTTTAGCTCGGTGACCACCACAGTGTGTGTTTAGAGGCAAAATTCTCTCTACACCAGCCCCTGATTTGACTCAAACCTTCAACCCTTTGTTGAACGCCATCACCATGTGCTCTTGGAATGATGGGATAACATCTACAGACAAAGCTGACTCTTCATCTGGTAGCTTCACCAAACAATTTAAGCTTAAAGGGTTGATTATAAAACAGGCTAAAATTACTCATCATGCCTTTAAATGATTAACACCAAAAACTCAAAGTTCTTCTGTAGAGTTGTTCTTTGTATCTGAAACTTCTGCCAAGGGGGACAATGAAGCGCTTAGCTATACAATACCAAAATGGTAAAAATTTAATATGATAATTATTATTATCAGAAAACACGGTAACACTTTATTTGACGCCTATCTCTATAACACATTATAAATATATTTATAATGTGTTATAATCATGTTATAGCACTGAATAACTATAGTTAAAAACACCTATAAATGATCACAATGCTAAACAGCAATAATCATCACACATTATAAAGCATTTTATTATGACTTACAAGGTCAGGTATTATAATGTGTTATAACTGTTAACAACTCACTGACAATGCCCACATAGATAATGCAATGCAACTGTTTTTAACAGTAATAACACATTATAATACCTGACCTTGTAAGTCATGATAAAATGCCTTACTGATTTTACTGATATAAAGCATTATGATCATTTATGAGTGTTAATAACTATAGTTATACAGTGCTATAATGTGATTATAATGCATTATACATATATTTATACTGGCTATAGAGATAGGCGTCAAGTAAAGTGAAACCGAAAACACAACTCACACATGTTCTGTACAAATCAGCAGAGATAGGTTATATTTTGTCAACAGAGGGACAGAAATTGACACAAATCAAAAGTCCCTTGAATGTAGTTAGTACATGTAGTCCATACATCTTCAGTCTGGCAGGTGTTAACCAAATTAAATGTCAAATCACTTAAAACTTTCTTGAGATTTTCCATAAAAACTGGATCTCATGCTGATGGACCAAAGTGCTTGAAAAAAAGTCAAAGTGTCACTGAAATCGGGAAGAGTCAACCCCTGGGATTATTTTTTGATGTATTGCTGTCTAGACGAGACACGTGACAGACCGAGCACAGAAAATGAAATCAAGTAAAATGAGAGAAGAGCCAGAATCTGAATGCAGTCACAGCATTATTTCCCTACAAATTGGTCTCATGGGTACAGGAAGAAGAAAACACATTCACAATGGCCGCAATGGAGAAAACAGACCAATCTGGCCACAAAGCCACAAGTCTTTGACAAACATGCATACACAAACCCCCGCACACACTATGAGCTTTTGTCCTCAGCCCTCAGCCTTCAACATTAAATTAAATCCAGGGTCCCTCTGGTGCCTTGAGAGCAGCACTGGCTCATTTCATTCAAGACTAGAAAGCAATTTATTCAATACAACTCCTTCACCTTACAAAAGCTCAACACAAACAGTGTGAACTTATGTCTCTCATTTCCAAACATGCATTCAGCAGCAGTTTAAGGGTGAAATGAAGCTCTTATGCATGGTAATCCTCTCGGTCTGAAACTAAGTCGCAGAATTATTCATCCAAATGTAAATTCTGGTCAAAGGTTTTATTCATGGGGCAACTTAGAAAGCACAATGCACATTTATGCTTCCTGCTCCCAAAGTATTTTTGCCCCCTGTTTCTAAATCGGTAAGTCTGCATATGATCTGACTGATGACTGTTCAAAGATTATTAATCTCTGAAATCAACGTCACAGTGCTGAAAAACAAAGATGACCTTGTTCCTGGAAACTTCTTTGCCGCGGTTTGATTGCCACTTACACAGTGTAATTTAAGGATACATGAATATGAAGCATTTTGTCTTTGACACATGCTAAGGTTAAATCTGTGCATAGCATGCTAGTTAAATCAAAAGGTTGTCCTTTTTAAATAAAACCTGAAAGAGCTGGTGTGGGTGAAGATATTGTAGAGAGTGCTTCTCTGTAAATTATTCAGACTAACCTCCTCAGACTTGCCCCTTGCACACCCAAAACTTGTGTGCACTCTGCTTTGAAAAACAGCAAACAGCAGACACTGGATAAGCAGCACATTGTTCAAATGTCCCCTAAAACAACCAAAACCACATAATATAGACAGAAATACATATGTTTAAGATATTTAAGATATCTATTTAAAATACTCCTATGATTGATTTCCTCTTACAGGGTAAATGCTGCCATACAAAGCTTAAGTCAGTTCATTTCTAAGACTATAAATCAGCAGATTATAAATTTATCTGTAAACTGGACTACCCCCTCATAATATTTACACACTAAATTACAAATGTGACAGTCATAGTCTATAATACAACAATATTAACTCATTTGTTATCAAGTGACTTAAGAGAAATTCATTCAACTTAAAGTCTTTCTACTTCTGAATTTGATGCTAATGAAGCAGCTTCTGGGTTATTTGATAAGACTGTTGAGTAAACCTTAAAGGTATATAGCTGCAAAAATGTTACCACAACGCGTACCTGTAAGCTGGACTACCCCTCATAATTATGTCTGCTGTGAGCGGATCTATGCTTATGTTATGAAGAAGTTTTTACCCTTTCTGTTGATGCAGCGAGACCAAGCTCAACTGAAATGAAATCATTAAATAAAACAATGTCTGCCTATTCAAACCACAGCCAACAACACTTCTTGAAAAGAGCAAAATGATGCGGTATAGACATACTCAGCTTTCCAGTTTAATAAGGCTGCCCCGGTACACTTTACTTTTTTCAATATCAGGCTCCTTTAAGTCACAGTTAGTCTAATGTGAAATAAATGTATATATCTGTGCATTGTTTGTGTCAGTCCTTGTTCCTCCAGACTCACCACAAACATCTTCTCCACCCTTGTGATGCCTTTGCCGAATATGGTGCCAAGCTGATCTCCTACACCAGCCAGAAGGAAACCAAACAGAGGGATCCCCAACAAGGCATAGATGATGCAGAAGATCCGCCCACCTTCAGTGTGTGGGGAAATGTTCCCAAAACCTAAAAGAGGACAAACACAACATAGACACTGAAAATGTGTCAGCAGCATTATATGCTTTCTAATACAGCAGCAGCAGCAGTTATTTTAATCATCTATCCAGGACGTCTTGTGATATAAGAAAACTGATCACACTTGACGCATCTGAAATCACACCTCATCACCACAAAGCCTACTACATGTGTTAGATCTTTACATATGTTTGAATGTGTGTGTGCCTTACCAATGGTTGTGATAACAGTCCCAGCAAAAAAGAAGGCGGAGCTTAGGTCCCAGAGGCTGCTGTGATTAGTCAGTGTTCCTGCAGGGTTAACTCCTGAACGTATTGCAGACACCACTTGCTGGAATAAAGAAAGAGAGGGATTCATGAGTTCAAACCGGTGTTTTTAAATCAGCAATTCAGATAGTGTTGCTCTTCTTCTAGGTTTCTAGTCAAACCCAAACAACAAACAGGACAACAAACATTTCAACATTTCCTCTTATTTGTCCTCTTCAGGAGCTGTCCGTGGTGCTGAAACCTCTGCAACTGTTTCAAAGTTACAGCCGTATATGATTACAAAGACACGTTCAGAAATGTTTTCTGTGAGGTCAGTCTCACCTTCACCAGCTCCTCCAGCTGGCTCTGGTTGACGCAGGGATGCCTGGACAAGAACTCCAGCTTCTGGGTCAGTATGGCCAAACGCTGGGCACTACAAGACAGAATGAAAAATATAAGGGTAACGGATCGAAATCTTCATAACTATGACTTATATTTCTATAACAGGGTCCACTTTTAGAGTGAATTTCTTACTCTAACAAGAATTGTGATATGGCTCTTGTGTCCCTGATTGACAATTGCACAGCGCATTCTCCTACCTCTCCATGTTATTTAAGGTCATCTATTATCTATCTTGAAGTTTCATACACACTGTTTTTTTCTTTGTTTGATTGATCATGGTTACCATAAATCACAAGCCAACAGAGACTGGTGAAAACAGTGAACTACTTCATCCAACAACATGATGAACCACTAACTACTGGCTGATGGTTCCTGCTTCTAATATTTACACACTAAATTACAAATGTGACAGTCGTAGGCTATAATTCTACAATATTAACTCAATCAAGTGACCAAGAGAAATTCATTCAACTTAAAGTCTTTCTACTTTTGAATTTGATGCTAATAAAGGAGCTTCAGGGTTATTTGATAAGAGTGTTGAGTAAACCTTGAAGGTATATAGCTGCACAAATAATGCTTTGCTGTAGGACTTGAGCAAAGTAGAATCTAAATTGGAGTGGCCCAAGTACTGAGCCTTGGGGAACTCCACGTCTTATAGTTTTTCATCATACTCCATCACTAGTACAGATGTTGGTCTTCCCTGCAAAGGTTTTTCTTGTGTATTTCCATTGGTTCATGTAACACTATTTTGAAGCCATGACAGCTGGATTTATATATAACCTGCATACCTCTCGTGAGGCTGCTCCAGGGCTCTGAAGACGGCTGCTCCCATCACCAGGTACAGAACCACCAACAGAAAGATGGCTGACACCGTCTTCCATTTCATCACTGTGGCAACAACCTAAAACACTTAACTGGTCAGTAAACCAACATATATATGGAGGGTTCTGAATTAGCACTCAGCAAAAAGGTGGATTTTTTTTCCCTACCAAGGAATAAACACCTGGTGAAATAAAAAGTAAAGAAAGTACTTCCAAAACCTGGACTTTTCTCACCTCACTCTCCTCTCGGGGAGTCATTGTGATTGGCTTTGTGGAGAAGGAGAGGCGGGGCTTGGAGTTGTGAGTGGCGGATTTAGGGTCCAATAAGTCTGGAGCTGCCACTGTCAGGAGACATGAGAAAATGGCAGTGGGTTTTTTATTTTTTTCTTTCTCACACACTTTCCTCCCCCTTCTCCCCCGTCTGTACTCTCTTGCTCCGGTCAAACACACTTCGATGTTAATTTTAGAACTTCTTATAAATAAATCACAAACCAAGACTTTAAATGGCTGCTAAATCCAAACACTGGTGAAAGCATGAATCAGGCACGAGCAGTTAGGGCTTCTTTTCGAGTCATGCTGCAACACTGGGGTGTGTTTTCATATGTGTGTGTTTATAGGATACAGAGAGCTGCTAAAAATGAGAGGTAATTCAGAGAGCTGAGAGAGGAGAGGGAAAGGAGAGGCACGTGAGTCTTGTGCATCTTTAATTCAGGGGGATGAAAAATGTGAGCTACTGCAGTCTCTGTTGTTTGTGAATGAACTACTTTCTGTGTGATCTCAGCTTCATCTTAAAACTTCAACTTCAATTATGTGTTCATGATTCTGTAGGTATACTAGACTAAAAAAAATGCAGAATCTGTAAATTTATCTTGAGCTTTAATTTCCCAAGATTGCTTAAAAATAGAAACTCATTTTTCTGCACTTAAACATTTTGTAAACTACAGATCTGATTGAAAAGAGACTCAAGTTACAAAAAGAGAGAAATAAGTGTGCGTGATGGCTTTACAAAAGGCTAAATATACTGTATTTATCCATGCTAATATTACTTAAATGTGTGGATATTATGTCTTTTTGTAATCCATAGTAACAACAAAAGTGCTTACATTGTTGTTGGATAATGGTAAATTAATAAAAAATATTCCCTGCTACAACAACTCCAGTACTTTAGAAATTTGGACAAATAAGTTGGCATCAACAAATTAATGCTGAGTTGTTTTTCAGTATGCCAATTTTCTTAACATCAGGATATCATACAGGTGACCTTACTGACAAAACAAAACTAAATGAAGATGTTCACTGATTTAGCTCATTTAGGATCAATCTAAATGTTACTTTACATGGTTTTATGAGGATTACAGTAAAAAAGTAATTCAAAAATACTCAAGCATGGTATACTACATTTAGTTCTGGACATTTCACATCCATCATGCGCTGAAAACTTGAGTTGAATCCTTTTTAGGGTCATTTCAGACCTTAAAAATCTGTATTTTGCAAATATAAGAGTCCTGGATGTGTGATTTTAACTTTTTTTAGCTGAATAAAAAATAGGGAATTGTGAGCTAACTGAGTGTAACATATGAAACTTGAGATGTTTGCTTTGAGGAAAGGTTTTATGTGGGTTGTCTTATAAGTTGATATACTTAAGGTGGATGAATATTTAATGATGAAAACAACTAGGCAAGCAGTGCAGCTGTGCAGGTTGCAGAGCTGCATGAGTCAAAGACAAACAGTTGCATGCCTCTTTCTAACTCTATTTAAAAAATCAGGGTATCTCAATATTAAATAATGAACTGCTGTTTGTTCTTAGTGCTTTTAAACTCACAGCCACTATTGTATGAAACACAGGCTAGCCTAAATCATATCCTTACAACTTGTCCAAAGAAGAAGTTCCCCCTCTCTTTCTTTGAGTAGCCTACTCACTCCTTTTTGTAGCCTATCCGATGCCCTCCGCTCTCCTCTTCTCCTCATCCGACGCTCTCACTGTGTTTGGGGGAATCTTTCCTCCTCTGCGTGTCTCCTCCCTGCGGAGCTGAAGCGTGGGGACGAGCAGGCGCTCCGTCTTTCTGCTGCTGCTCCTCTCCTCTCCTCTCAGCGGGCTCTGATGCTGCTTCGCTCGGTACTCTTATTGCATCCACTGGCTGCCTCTGCAAAGAGCTGTCCCTGGCCCCCCGCCTCCCTCTGTACGCTCAGCTCTCCTGCATCCACCCTGCTCTGTCTGCGCCCTCGCTTTTGAGCGCCCCGGTGGAGCGGTGGGATAACACCGAGAGGAAGGAGGGGGAGGAAGAGGAGGAGGAGAAGGGTGGAGAAATGAGAGAAGGGGTGGAGATGGAGGGCACAGGGAGGTGGTTCCCAAACCAGAGTTCATTGAACCAAAGGAGGTATTTCAGAGGGATCTCAGTCTTAATCTAGTGATTTCACAGCATGCTTATCCACAAGAGGTAGAGAGGCCCTGTTTGAGTCTAAGTCTATCCCCCCATCATGCAATCTCCTTATGCATCTGCAGGATGATGACATAGCAGAAGAGAAAGTGGGACAAAGTCATCATCTGATTGATAAAGAGTAATAGTCTTACTGAAACAGTCTGAGGAATTCACACATTTAACTGACTTCACTATGATAACTTCATGCCAGCTGGAATGTGAAGAGAAATCACAGAAGAGAGCATAAGAAAACAATAAAAACAAGAGAGAGTGCACTTTTACAGCTTGTGTCAATGTTTATGTCTCTTAGAGGCCAGAAAAGTCTTTGACTAAAAAGTTGAAGACTTTTCCGCCAGAAGTGCCTCTGAAAAACAAAATATACAACAGCACAGATGATCCACCTGAATACACCAAATCAGTATCTTGCATCAGCATGTGGTGAACAAAGTTGTCATGGGGGAGCGATAATGATGCTTAGGGATTATTTCAATGAAATCAGAGGAAATTATGTCTTGTATACCATCTGACTTTCTCAAAGCTCGTGCTGCTGTTTGTGATGGAAAATTGAGCACATATTTGGTGTTATGATCCACCATTAGTTAGTTTCTTTGCGTGTCCTTCAGAGCTATGATACTTCAAGGATGTCTGCGGTCTCATAGCTGATGGTCGAAACTGCTCCACTGAATGAAAATATGTTTAGAGAGTACAGGTCAACTTCTCCAGAGGCTCTATGAATCACATATTTTACTATGGTCAGACTAAGGCACTCTTTTGTCAGAGTGTCAGCTGAATCCCAGGTCAGAAGTATGTGAGGGCCTCCAAACATGGAGTGTGAAATGTTGTTTTTTAATCTGTGTGTCTTCTATGTTGTAAATGAAGCTGCTGTGATGCAAGACAAATCCTGGAGTGTGTCTAACAATAGAATCAGATAATTATTCAGTCATACTCACTCATTTGTTCTCCTTCCTCTTTCTTTTAATAGTCAGAAAACCCAAATGTCAACCTTGTGACTTTGTTGACTTTGTGTCTATTGAGAGCTACTGTCTGCAAGACTATGCCAAGTTTGTAATTATATTTTCATGTGTTTTGTGTTCACTTCCTATTTGATTTTGTGATCCTGTTGTTTGTTGTTTCTAGTGTTACTTCCTGCCATTGTTCTGTTTCCCACCTTCCCTTCCCGCACACACCTGTGTCTCTTTAGCAATTAGTCTGACCTGCACATAAACCCTGGTGTCTCTGCCAAACTGTCATTGTCACTCTCACTAGTGCGGTCATACTCTCCAGCCTTGGTTTCTTGTTCCCTTACACTTAACCTCAAGAATATTGACCAATGTTAACATCCTTACATTTTCAATCCAGGCTCATTATTTCATAATTTTCCTGTAAAGTTTAGACCCACACAGAGAGGAAAAGATTAATCACTCTCATCAGTGTTGTGGCCAAAGGAATTAAAAAACAAAGGAGCTAATATGATTGAGAGAAAACAAGCCATTTTTTAATCAGTCAGATAATAATAGGGATGGCATAAAGTTCAAGGGGAGAGAGTGCTGCACTGGGTTGAATGAGGCGATCATTTATTCAGGAATAGACTGGTCATGTGATGGTCATTAACATGGAGACAGAGGATACATGAAAGCGTGTTGTACTTGAGTGAATTTCAACAGTGACGGGTGACAGCTGTCTGACAGTCTGCAAGAATCAGACTTCATATTGGCCTGAACTCTCTGATCAAAACCAAATCTGGCAACCCACTCGAAGATTATACAGAGCTGTATGTGTTTGTGATTGAAACAATCAAATAGATGAGTCACAGTCTGCTGTTCATACACTAATTAAGGCCCTGCAGGTGTAGAGGCTGAAATACAACAATGCGTGATGTTCAGTAGAAGAAAGACGTGTTTGTTTAAAGTCCTACAATCTCACTTCCATCCATATACTGCAGTTTTATATTCTTGTTATGTTCTTATGTTCTTCTTATGTTATGTTGTTATGTCCATTACATTCTTGTGCCTACAGCCTCTCTGACCATCACCATACAACACTCACAATCATACATCAGTGGAGGACACACACTGGGAGCTAGGTGTGTTAAGTGTCTTGGGGGGAATCGAACCGCCAACCTTCCAGTCATTGGATGACCGCTCTACCTGCTGAGGTACTGCTGCCTCTCAAAAGACTTAGAGTTTGTAAACATTTGGCAATTTTCCCTTTTTCTATGGTTTTCTTATCTTTTTAAAATAAACGATACAGAACAGGAGGTTGTATCTCGCATCCACTCCACTCCATGTCACAAAGTTATCCATTAATCGTTCGTATCAACCTGAAACATCAAGACAGAGAGTCCATTAAAGCAGTAGTTCAACATTTCTGACCAAACCACACCACATATCAGCTAATGTGTTAGCTTGCTTCATTTGAGGCAATGTACTGTATGCTACTAACATTGGCTAACCATTCGCTTGGTCTCTATAATAATATCAAAACATCTATATGGTAAAGCAACAGTGGGAATGTAACAAACCCTGCTTTGTACATCTCCTCGCTTCAGCAGTTGTGGCATCAATCTGGTGAGTGGGTGGAGCTTGGTTTCAAACACCCAAATGTCTACCCAATGAGTTGGGTAGTCCACAATAAACCAACAAAACTGTGTAGAAATTACAACACAACAGTTAAAATCTCTGTTCCCAACATGAATAACCTTGTGAACTGGGTACTCAGAATACCCAACTCCATGAAAATAACCCAAATTAATTGACCAACAGGCTCAACCCAGTAGTTGGGTTGAAAAAACAACCCAGCGTTTTTCTGTGTGTAAAAAACATCCAGAGTGACTTGATAGTCTTTACTTTTCTTTGACATTTGTTTAGTGTCTCTCTTCCTCTCTAATGTCTCCTTGTACTAATGATAGCTGTGCTTCATCACTATTTGCACATTTCATATCTCTTTGTGGTTGTTTTTATCCTATTTAGTGATTTTGAATGGATGTTCTAACAAGAAATGCATTTTCTTTGGTTTCCAGATAAGTTCCTCAGTCATTCATTCACTTACCCACAAGGTCCAAAGGTGCACCTTCAAACTATCATTAGTACTTCTATTGACTGCATCCAGGGTCAATAATGATGTGTCAGTTGACCGGAAAAAAAGTCTCATTTTCA